GTGGCTCACAAGCCGCATCACGTGGCTTGCAGCTTACAGACGCTGGCCCGCTTCCACTTCACCGACGGCCACCGACCTCACCTTTCCTTGATCACGCTCAATGTACAGCAGCTCTCAGCCGCTTCAGCAATGGCCCTCAACGCTGCGAGTAAAGCGTCCAAGAAGAAATGCGACCTGCTTCATAATGCGATATCGTGACCCCTTAGAGGATGATACATGATTCCTGGAAAAGAGGTTTCACATGACTTCACCGTGTGGTTGTCCGGACAGGCAGACAGGTACGTACCTCCAGCATTCCGAACCGTCACCACGTGTGGCTAGGATTCCTAGAAGCTCAGGAACGCCGTCCGGAATTCTGCCTTTACCCACGAGCCGTTTCTCTCCGCGTGTGAAAAGCTTCTCAGGCTGCAAATGTTTTCGTTTCGGGAGCTTCAGAGATGCTTCTTAAGTTGCCGTCATCGCCGTATGGCTGGTGAGTGCAATCTTAAGTCGGAGTGGCTTTCGATTAATCCTGTGAGTCGATGTTGGGCATGGTTTCTCGTCAATGAGTGGTTTCTGCCACGGTCCATCGCTGTTCGGCTTCACGTGTGACTTTCGTTTTGCTCAGGAACGAGGATTGTGGCATGAAGCCTTCCGCAGCATGTCCGCTTCACATTTGAATGCGCTTCAAGCACCGGGCATCCAACCTGTCAATCTGTCAGCGACGACGCCGGAAGACTCGCGATTGCTATAAGATTGGCGGCTTCGGCACAACAGATTGAATAGAGAAGGACAGTACGGCGGAGGAAAGAGCATACTTCTGAGCCTTTACGAGCTCGACATATTCGACATGATTGGTAGCGTCGTCACACTGTTTGTCCCGCACCTTCTATTCCAGAGCATTATAAACTCTTCTCCTCGTGGGCGGCGACTTGCCCAGCCACCTCAACCATCAAGGTTCCGGTCTCATCTCTTGATCCGGTGTCGGAAACACGTCGCTATACGTATTAGCTGCATCTTGCTATTGCCGCGTTGCAATGCACACACAGTTGCAGGGAATAATGTGAAGGAGACCAAGATATCCAGGAATTGGAGCGGCTTGCAAAATCGGAGCCCCGGACATCGGCCTTCCCACCGAGGGTCTCTCGACATCCCTGCTTTCAACACGTTCCCGCGTCCCTCACCACTGTGCTCAGATCACCACTTCGACATGGCATGCCAGCCTTAATATGCGCTGAATGGATCTTCCCTCCGCTTCCACGCCTTCCGCTGCAGTCTGGATCCACTCCGTTCGCTCCCAGAGTTGGCCGTTCCAAGGGATCCCAAGGATCTGTCTCGGTGGGATTGGCAGGCGGCCCAATCTGGGAAGAGCTTATGATGTGTCGTGTGATGAGTCGCCGACAGACGGAGGAAATAGTAAGAGTAGATGTGGACGTGATTGGATGGCGCGAGATGGGGTTGCTGTGTGTGGTTGCTGGGCCGGAATGAATATTGTGAATCTGCATGCATCTAGGCGATGATTGCTCCGTTGCTCCGCATACATATGTACACAGGCCTGCCTGACTTGCAGTGCCGAGACAAGTCGCTTGTCGACATCGTCGACTCTTGCCGAGTGTATATCTTCAGCAGTCCGCCTTGGATTCCTCCTCCTCCTTCTTGCTTCGTTTGTTGAGTCGACAGACATCATCATGAGCAAAGCAACCCTGTTCAGCTTGCCCGGCGAGCTTCGAAATGCCATATGGCGAGAGCTAGTGACCTCAGCAGCTCCCTTGGATGTGGAACCGCTCTGCGAACCGGACAAGCCAAGACTGAAACAGCCCGCCGCGGCTTTCACGTGCAAACAGCTGCGTGACGAAGTGTTGAGCATTGTAAGGATACAGCCATCATACCTTACACGCTATACGAGCAACTACTCACCAGCATCAGTTCTACTCCGAAAACACCTTCTACCTGGGCAAGATCGGCTACCACCATGCCGGCGAAATTCGCCTCTACGACTTCAACCGCCGCCTCGCCCGCTGGCGCGAGATGCTCGGCCCCTACACCAAATACCTCACGCATCTCTCCATGATCATCGACGGCCAGTGCTACGCGTGGGACGAGGGCACCTTCTCCTTTCCCGGCGACGCACAGTACGAGATTGAAGCCGAGCGCGAAGGACGTCTGCGCTTCGAAATGAACGGCCGTCTGCGATGTACCTGCCGGCTCAAGAATGGCGTCGTGGACCGCGCGACCAGAGATGGACGCGTCCTTCTCGATGTCATGCAGGAGTATAGTGCGAGCTATTGTGAGAATGTGCGCGAGGGGAGGTGTAACAAGTGTGGAAAGAGCCGGTTGGAAAAGTTTGGGCGTGCAGAGGGGCCGCATCAGAAGAATTGGGAGGATATTGTGGCGTGCTGATGATGGGGGGTCTTGGGTTGTTGATCAGAGTAGAGTCATGGTGAGCTCAGCGGCGAGGCAGGGCCGATAAGGGATTAAAAAAATTGCCTTGCCGGCCGTGAGGCAGGAGGAAGAGAATCCCAAGTCTTAACCTTTTTTTGCCCCCTTCCCGGTTCGTCCTTCCCTCGCTTTCCTGCTGCCTGTCCTGCGAGATGTTCCTGGTCGCGGCTCATAAAACACTCCGATAGGTAGCCACGTGGTGCGATCAGCTTACATCACTTCTCGCAAACAGATCATCCCTGTTCGGTCTCGTACGTCGTGTTACATCCACCGGACGGAGAGTTTCAATAATTCGATGCTGCCTGCCAGCCCACCCAATTAAAAAAAAAAGGACACGACAGGAAAAAAAGACTCCTCTCTCTACGAACAAAACCGAACACAACTCCAAGCAGACGAGAAGACAAGAATTAGTTATGCTGCTCAAACTCCCCGGCGAACTGCGCAACCAGATCATCCGTCTGGCAGTTCTGGACGACCACCAACAACCCATCAACCTCCTCCGCCTGCAATGGACACAAGACCGCACGGGTTACAGCCCCGTCCTCATTGCCGAACCCGCACTCAGCCGCACCTGTCGCGCTCTCCGCCGCGAAGCGTTATCCATCTACTATGCGGAAAATCTCTTCCATCTGGGCACCGGAGCGCACGTCCTGAGCATGAACGAGGTGCCGCAGCAACTCCAGCGCTGGACGCAACGGCGACTCCGCGAGTACACGCCATACCTGCGGAATGTGAGAGTGGAAGTCCTCTGTGAGATTTTGGGGCCGAAAGCAAAAAACGGACCAGGAGGAGGAGGGGGCTGTTTCTATCGGGATTTCTGGGAAATTCTTCAATTCTCCGTCTCGCGGTCGGAAAGCGGAGGGGCGGAATGCGTTCTACGTGGTGATCCTACGTTCGAAGAACTCTGTGTGTGCGATATCGCGAAGAAGAAGGAGAAGATTTCTGTCGTGGAGAGTTTGGCATTGGCGAGTCGATTGTGGTTTTCTGGGACTACGGAATTGCAGGAGTGTGGGGGGTGTGGACTTCCGAGATTGAGCGAGGTGAAGAATTCCGGAGATGGTGGTGTTGGTTTTCTTTTGACTTTGTAATGCGGAAGATTTGTTTCTTGGGTTTTGAAGCATGTCGTCGAGGAATGAGAAGCAGGGTCAGCTATGGAAAGACGACGACGACGACGAGGAAGTCGGAAATACCAGCCAGAGTTTTCTGGACAGGAAGATCTTTGATACAGACTTGGCGATTGTTGTGTGCGTTCATCTTGCATTCGTGCTTCGAATAGAGATACACATAGATGGGAATTTGGCTTGTAGCGCGTCATGACATGGATTGGAAAAAACGTGGGCTTGACGTCGAAGTTCTCGCGGCATGATGAGACGCCAACGTGTTACGATTCATTCCGTTTCAGCTGCTCCGTTTCACTGACCCTGTCTTGTCCGATGTGTATCCGAATAGGCTCATCTCTCAAACCCTCCAGGACAGACATCCTCAGCAGAGCAAACAGCCAAAAACCCTTCTCGTCCTCAAAGAGACAGGGGCAAAAGTTGATCCCCGAAAACAAAGTTCTTATTAGACCTCCCCGGCGAAATCCGCAACCCAATCTGCGAGTTCATCCTCCCAATCCAAGACACCCATCGGGATCCTAGCGCCGTAAAGTTTTCCTTTGAATGGATGGATCCTGTGCTTCTCGTCCTTCGCTTCTGAGATACAAAGGTCCGAATGCCTCCATCCACTGCCAATCTCTGAGGAGGGTGGAAGTTTCTTCGATTGTCCCACGCTATGAACGAAGTTGACGTCGGAACGATTCTGTTTCGTGATCTGTGTTTTCAGGACATGCATACGCATGGGCAGTATTTGGCGGCACTGAGACGGCGGAGATAAGAAGTGGTGGGATCGAGTCAGGCATTCGAGGAGTTCGGATGTTGGATTGGTCTGGTATGTGAGGGTTGGAGGAAGTGATGGACGTGTCTGTGAATTGGGTGTTCTTGTCGATGCTGCTGTTGCGATGTGTGAAGGCTTCCGCGCCTACGAGGAAGGGAAGGTGTGAGGCATGTCAGACTCGTCGAACCGTCCAATCTGGAAGCTCTCAGCCGCCACACCCAAACCCATTAGACCGATCGTAGCCAACAAAGCTTTCTTGCCCCAGCTCGGCTTGAATCTCTCCCCTCTCTTCTGGCTCTTGCGATACCTCCGACAGTTCGCTTCCCGGAGATAATTTTCCATAGCACTACCGTCGTAGTCGAGATAAACCTTTCGAATCATCGATGCTCGCTCCGGTCCTATCAACTTCAACCAATCCTTGATCCAAGACTTCCACGGATTGCTCGTGATTACGTGGAAAACCCGGCCGCCGTAGAACATCGCCATGGTTTCTTGGCGCATCTTTCGGCAGACATGCAGCGCAGCGGGCGCCCGGACGCATAGTTTGTAATTGGTCTGGGGACGATTGCGAATGTTTCCGGGCTTCTGACAATCCGATTGATGCTCCCACGGCCTCTCGTTCCCTCGTATGCGGCAGCAGACACCAGTGTAGAGGAGGATGCAGTCTCCTCCCTGAGAAGGACATTCATATTCCAAGCTCATATCAGAGTCAGTTGCATCGGCTATCGCCGAGCACGCATCAGAGCAACTCCAGCTCGCACTTGTTGCATCGGCTATCACCATCTCGTAGATGCGATCTCGCAGTTCAGGCGGAAGGGTGAAGAAATTGGTGCGCTCTTGGGTGACTGCTAAGCCTGCATCCCTGGGGAGAGCAGTCGAGCTTGACCGGTTGTGAGGATCGTGTTCTTGTGGCGCTGCCATGAGCTCGCTCTCGGGGTCGCTCATGATGTTGATAGCCAGAAGCAGACAACGAAGAACCGCGGATGTTTGAGGGCGAAGTGATCGAGTCTCCGCGCGTACCTTATTGCGTGCGTAATGTTGTAAACAAAAGAGGAGTGTTTCAGGTGTGGAGGTACAGAAACGCGCGCTTGCTTCGTGGTGGAAGTGAACGGCAAAACTCCGGTCTCGCGCCACGGCACGTGCGTGCGCGCCTATTTATTGCGCAGAAAAGAAACCACTTGCATTAACTATACCTGGTCCAACATTGAGTACATGCGGATCTTAAATCGCAAAATTGCGAACCAGTCGTCGCTAATGCTCGTGCAGTACGGAGGATTTGAACAAAATGCTGGGCGAAATGAACTCTGGAAGTGGTTACAGAGGTCTACATCTTTCACTAGCTGTACAGCCGTGCCGTAACACCATTGGGTATCTCTTCTTGCTAGGCTATCGTCACAAATATCATTACATCCTGCCCCGCTAATTCAAATGCAATTGCACAGCGATTCTGTCGTACAGTGTCAGGTCCCTTCATACATGCTCAAATTCGGCCTCTGGCTTGGACTGTGGAACTCGCTCCCCTGCCTGGGAGAGTGATGACTGAACCTGAAATCTAGGTCGAACGGATCGCTTCTTCTGGATCCCCCGCTCGAGGTCGAATATCGCGATACGCTTCGTAGGTGCGCGTCGGGGATGTTTCCACGTGCTCGGAAAGGATGGAGTAGATGGCTCCAAGTTGAACCACCTGCGGAGCTTGCTGCGAGAGAAGGCCTGCGGATGTCGTATCCAAACTTGTTCTTGGAGTTCATTGGCGGGGAGGTGAATGGGTCTTTTGGCGTTTTGCGACCACTGTTACGGGGCGACGATGTAACGGAAAGATAGGAGCTAAACGAAGGTGTTCTTGATAGCGGTACTGCGCACGCTTGGGATAGATCCGGATCTATTACGGTGATTGTCGGTATGTCGTTTGGGATCTCATGTTGCTGGATGGGACGTGATATCGACTGATGAAGCGTTTTGTGTGTGCCAAAACAAAAGCCTGTCAGACCAGAGCGCTGTCGCTTCAAGAATGCTGCTGGGCTTTCTGATGGTCTCCGTGGCGTGCATGGTCTCGAGAGATCTGGGTTCACGACACGGAGCTGGCCTGGCGGCGCTGATTCCCGATATCCTTCGCCCGCTCCCGGAGCGAACGGTCGTGGCCAATGTCGGGTATTCATTCGAATGATTCGATGTTCTTCGTCTACACTGGCCGGAGATGAACTTCGCTCTGTAACATCCATGTGTTTCGGAGAGCCTCTGGCCCCCGCAGTGAGTCCAGTCCAGGTCCTCAAGATCGCCGGCCGGATACCCTTCTCGCTCATAGAATGGGATTGCTCTCCGCACGAATGCTTTTTCCGTCGCATCCGCAGAATGAGACATATCAATAGGCCAATAAATATGAAACCCGCGATCGAGCCTGAAAGACCTCCAACGATGGCTCGCTTTTTGGAATCGTTAAATGAAACGCCAATCATCTGTGATGAGGTTGTGTTTCCAGCCGAGGCTGATGAGGCAGTTGGCCCAGCACGCGAGGTAATCGACAGGAGCGTGGTGGTCTGAGAGCCAACTGGCACTATTGGTGGCGGCAAAGTCTGCACAGAAGATATCGAAGAATTCGATCTCGTCATTGATGCCGGAGGAAATGAATACAACGGAAACGCTGAGGATTGACTTGTTATCAGGGAAGAGAGAGTCGCTGTGGCTTCTGATGCAATATTAGGCGACGGTACCGTCACAAATAGCGTCGAATAGACCGTCCTGGTTGCTGTCACGGTCGAATTTGGAGGTCTTGCTTGCACGCTCGTTGCCATCTCTGGACGCGTGTTATGTGTGCCGCCGGGTCGCGTCGCATGCGGCCTCGACGCTGTTGGTCCCTCGAATTCAGATGTATTCGCATTACAGGAATCGGCCCAGGTGTCGTTCGCATCCGTTGTCCAGTGTCGCTGGCGCTCCTTCGTGGCCATCAAGGATCAGCTGCACGCAAGAGCTTCCTCCACGCCGCACAGCAGCATGACGGCGAGCAACGCTGGGGAAGAGGGAAGGGAAATAGTCGGTTGGTAAGACGCAAAGAGAGGGAAACCCACGCGCGACGGATGCAGGTTGTGGGAGCCGCCGTGGTGAAGGGGCGCCAGACCGAGTGGTCTGCCCATGAAACATGCCTAGACGGTCTGAGGCATCCCAGCCCATGATTTCGAAGTGCTACAGTGTCGCTACCGACGGGTGCTGCATGTGTAGAGATGCTGCATGTGTAGCCTGCGATCGAACAGCGGTTGGCGCGCGGCGGAGGCGCTGTGTTTGGGATTCGTGAGTGGTATGCTCGTTGCCGGCGTCTGTTTGGGCGCTTGAGTGCGTCGCCGATCTCTGCAGCGCCACAATCGGACGCTTCTTCACTCCATGCGCCGAAGCAGGAACCTGATCATCTTTGACAACGCACGTTCTCATATTGTTAGTGTAGAACATGATAGATAGTAGCCTGTCGGTGGCGAATGGAGTGCAGGGAAAAGGAGAAGTTGGGAGAGAAGAGTAATGAAGGACCGCATGAAGTCCACGATACCTGCGGCCCATGCCGTGTGGCCTAAGGCAGGAGAAAGGATGACCTCCGATCGTTCCGAAAACATTTCCCTTTCTTTCCTTTACAAGCCAACCAGACGTCACGCCAAGCGCCAATGACCAATCGAGAGATATGGAGCGCCAGATATAGCTGGGTCCGGATGGACGCCAACAGCTCCACGTGCCAAACCGGTATCTGGTCGCAAATCTTCCGAGACAGGGGCAGCACATCACATGTGTCGAACGGCTGGGACGGAACCACATACAGTCTGAGTAACGGCTGGCTCTCCTCGTATACCCGCAGACAACGGAGCGGTGCTCGCCGGCACCCATATCAGCTGAACAGACTTTATCCTACTAGTAACTGATTGGCGGCTTCGCTCAGCCATCATCGGCCAGCGCGAAACCAAGCAGCCCTTCCATGCTCGGTCAGGAATTTCAACGAGACCTGAAGTTCTGGAGACTACGATATCCATAGCGCTGGGGAGGAGATCAGCTCTTGCGACATGCGCGAGAGTCTTGTCCTTCCACTCGGAATCGGCAGCATTTGACAGCACATCGACTGGCCTGGGACTCTTCCGTACTGAAGCGCATCGCAGCAGGCAGTCACAGAGGGTTGCTTGGGTGGAGAAAGCAATGAAGAAAGCATTAGTAGGAGCTTGGGATAGCTATACAGCTTGCCCGAGGAGCGAAATCGGTAACGACGAGCGACTGGCATGTCCGCTTTCGTTCCTCCGAGATACGCAAGGAGCAAGCTTACCGCTCGACTCTAACAAGTAAGTGCGATTATGAGACGAGATTGAGACGGGGGGTTATTGGCGTACACCAAAAAGCCAATCGTCATGTTCATTTTCCAGACCATGCCGCCGCTATGTGGTGAATTGCGATTCGTCCTGGATGACCAGCCCAGCGATACTGGCACTGCTGAGCGTACTCAGAACTCCCGTGATCAGAGCACTGATGGCCAATCTACTCACGTCCCCGGAACGTCCAGGGGCAATCTGAGATAGAACACCAATCTGCGTGCCGAGACTACCGATATTTCCGAACCCGCAAAGTGCATATGTCGCAATGAGCTTCGAGCGGGGAGCCATGACGGTGTATAATGGGTCTGTGGTGAGGGAGTTGCTGGAAGATGCCGTCAGCAGGCTGTACAGAAGGCCTCTACAAGGGTGGGAAAGAGGAAGAGACTTACAAAGCCACGAACTCGTTCGTGACCACCTTGATGCCGATCAGTCTTCCGACTTTCAACAAGTCTGGTCCTCTCGGCACGCCCAGGAGGAAAGCGATGGGGTAGCAGACGTATCCCAGAATAAGCTCGATGGTAAGCTCGTACTCTCCCGTAAGATTCAGGTAACGTCCAAACCAGGTGAGAAGACCATTGATGAGTCCTACTAGGGCAATGATGCAGAGAAGGGTACAGAGAATCATGGCTATACAAGTGGAAGTCAGCTCGCAATCCTCCAAACTCTCGTGTAGCAACTGACCTGCAATCTTCAATCCTAGATAGGCACCCTGGGCAAAAGCATGCAGCATATTAGCTGCCCGATGTTCATCATCATCCGGCACCACGACGTTTCCTGACGTCAAAGACGCTTCTTCTTCAGGATATCGTAGCTTGCTGACTGCTAAGGAAGCCGGAATGGACATGACGCAAGAAGAGATCAAGGCTTGAGAATTCAGACCCATTCCGATGTAAGCAACAAGCACCGAGCCAGCGATTGTTGCGAATCCAGAGCACATGACTTGATGCAGCTCGGCCATGGTCAAGTGTGGCACGAACGGCTTGATCAGCATGGCTGATTCCCCCTGACCGATGAAAGGAGTTGCGGCCGCCACGACTGATTCGGCTCCGGAGATGCGCATCGCCCAGAAGAAGAAGACTGCGAATTTGCCGACAAACCTAGTGGACGAGTCAGCGAGTGTCTCCAGCACTGTGTAGGCGGGGTGTACCATTGGATAGTGCCCCAGTAATATAGCAATTGCACGAGGGCGACGAAGAAAATGATGGCCGGCAGCACCGAGATGAAGAACCAGCCTTTGGTGGGTACAGTATCGTCGGTCAAGAAGGCGACACCATCTTTAGCAAAACTCAGCAGCGAACGAGCAAGGCTGGAGATGAAGTTGAAGATATCGTATCCTACTGAGGTGCGGAGCACGAAGAGTGCGATAATGTATTGCATCAGCATGCCGGAAATGACTGTGTGCCAGTTGATGGCCTTTCTATTGCGCGAGGTGAGCCAGAGCGCGAAGATGAGGACCGCAAGGCCGAAGAGGCTGATTGCTCTGTTCGCACGAGTGTTGTCTGCGTTTTCTTTGCTGACGAAGGATCCGATCAGGATCACAGCCACAGTCACCGCAGCTCCCAAGGGCAGGCGAAATTTCTCAGGGATGGCGCTGTTGACGCGGGAACCTGTGTTTCTCCATGTCCAACGCATCGCCTTGGAGACTGGCGTGATTGGGATATGCAGGGTGACCAGACGTATGGTGATAGCAAGCCAGAGTAGGAATGGGATGACCCAGTTCATGTCATCGTGGTGGAGGCCTAAGCCAGCAGTCCACCAGCCTGTGGCGACAATCCACAAGGCAAGGTGGACCCATATGCGATACCTGCGGTAGAATCTAGCGCCTTTGCCGCTCTGCTCTGGCGACTGGTCAAGAGAGGTCGTCGGTGTGACAGGCGAGACATTGCCCTTCTCGACATCCGCCACATGGTAGTCAGCCTTCTTGTCCGCATCCTGGTGCAGCTGGCCATGATCTTGCGGGCTCGCGTTGGGGATTATGCTGGGCTCATTCGTGGTTCCCGTTGTGTAGCGCGGCTGGTCATTGCCGTCATGCGAAGCTCGCGCGGTGTGGTGTAGATGGGGGTGCTGGTGCTGATGGGTAGGATCCAGAGCCGGGTCCTCTCGAAGTCCTGCCATAGTTCGTGGGTCTTCTGAGAGTGCTGTTCAGCCTATGATGGGGCGGCTTGCGGGGCAGAACAACGAGGTGCAGGCGGTCTTGAGCATTCCGAGAAAGGTGGGACGAACGGAAGTAGAGGCGATGTTGTACCCTACCTTACCTTATCATCGTGGCCTTGGCATGCTACCTTACCCTTCACGGTGGCGAGAGCGCTCAAAGGGACGTGTGTGAGATCCTTGGCCTGCATGCCAAGGAATTACACCACACTTGCTAAAGTGGTGTTATGCCTAAGTGTGAAAAACTCTGGTCTTAGCAGCCAAGCAGAGGGGATATAAAAACACCTCAAAACCTTATATAGATAGCCGGGCTATAAACCTTCTTTGTTAGTTAAAGCTCTTATATCTAGTAGCTAAGATACCTTCTATCTTTTCTTCTAAGAATAGATATATTAAAGCCCTCTATACAAGCCTATAGGTTGCCTAATTAACTATAGCCCTAATCTAAGTTTTAACTATAATAACTACTACTATAGCCGACTAACCTAACCTACCTAATACTATACGCTTTACTAACCGAGACTTTCTACCCTTAGAATTCCTAGGCCTCTACATTTTAGAGCATAGTAAGGGAGCCGACCTAGTAGCAATTACAGCCCTTTAGCGAGCTCTCTAGCTTCTCTAAGAACTAAGTACTATATAAGAAGCTATAGTAGCTACTCCTTAGAACCCTCTAACTAATACTACTATTAACTAAGCTCTAAACACTACTACTTCTATAGCTAGACTAATAGGAAGGATCTAGATTAGACATCTAGTACTATATAATAATAGCTAGAGAAATAATAATGTCTTAGACTAGATTAACTAGGTCTAGAATTAGATTGCCTAGAATAAGATCTTTATGTTTAAAACACTACTTAATAATCTTTAGAAAATGTAACTAGTATTAACTTACCTTACTAGGGATGCTCTTATTAACTAGGTAGTAGCTATTACTAAAGCCTAGAAAGTAAAGAACCTACTTAGGGCTTTTAAGAATACTATACAAACTCTAGAAGATCTAAATATAGACTTAGACTATACGGAGTCCATTCGTAGGAAATTTAATAGCTGTACCTAGACAGGAGGAGTACATAACTTTATTAGAGTACTAAAAGGCTTGTAGAACAAGCTTTATAACCCTAAACCTAATAATTTCGTCTTTATTAGGAGGTTCTAGGCTAGCCTTAAACGAGATATTAGAGATAAATTAGACTAGAGAGGAGTGTATATATTAAACACTTCTACTAGGGACTATATAAGGTAGGCTATTAATATAGACAAAAAACTCTATAGTACTAGGAAGGCCTAGGAATCTATAAATGCCCTACTATAACAAAATACCGAACAATTAGCAGCCCTAGGAACCTCCTAAAGTTCTAAGGGAAGAAAAGACAAAGGCATAAAGGGGAGGAATAGTAAGGGCAAGAAAGGTAGGAAGCATAATAGGAAAACTAGGAGTAACAAGTCCTTAAGTACTTGCTTTAAGTATAGGAAGACTAGTTACTAGAGAAATGAGTACATGTTAAAAAACTAGCTTATAAGATGCCTAAAGAGGCTTAGTACCTTATAAAGCAGTTAAATGCCTCTACCTCTCCCCTAGGACCTAGCTCCTAAGGTAAACTAGCTATATAGGAGGACTTAGAGGAGGAAGAAGACTACACCCTAGAAAGGCTTGCCTCTATTAATAAGAACTTGTTTACTATTAAAGGTGTAATTAGACTACTAAACAAACTAACTAGAGCCTACTTTATACTAGATACTACTACTTTAGGAGTTTATATCTCCTACTAAGTAGTAAAGAGACTCCCTAAGAAGCTTTATATATCTATGCCCCCTATAAGGATACTCCTTCTAATAGGGTAGAGCATTATATTAGATTCTAGAGTTATTTTACTATACTAGATTAGATCCTAGTAGGACTAAATCCCTACTAGAGTCCTAGACATCCTAGAGTATAAAGTGATTCTTAGTCTCTAATAGTTTAGACAGTACAACCTAATAGTAAACTAGCAAGCTAGTAAACTTAGTCTTTAGGACAAGGATAGTAAAGGCTACTCTATTAAGTCTAACTCTAAGATCTTTAAGCTAAAGGATAGAAACCTAGATTTAGAAGTCTTTAACTCCCTCTATTTAGTAGAAGCAGTTAAGTATATATCTAGTCCCTAGTACCTATATATACTACGAAAGGCTCCTCTAAGTAAGGATAACATTTAGGAGAAAGGCCTAAATGCTACTACTAAGACAGAGACTGTACCTAAGGAGAACAAACCTCCCCTATATAGTAATCTAGAAATCTAGAAGTTAGTAAACTAGTTCCCTACCCTCTAGAGAGATTCCCTCCTAGCTAAACTCCTATAGGAGAGAGCTTTTAATTATATAATTGAAACTAGAGATACTACCCCTATTAACCTCTAGGCCTATAGCTTGAACCTAAAACAGCTAGAGGAACAGACTATATAGATCTAAAAGCTACTAGAGAGGGGCCTAATTAAGCCTTCTAGTAGTCCCTAGGGAAGTCCTATACTCTTTGTTCTAAAGCCTAATAGGCAATAGAGAATGTATATTAACTATAGGGCCCTTAATAATACTACTATAAAGAATAGCTTCCCCCTCCTAAGGATCTAAGATTACTTAGACACTATTACCTAGGGTAGTATATTTACTAAACTGGACCTTGTCTCTAGATTTTAGTAGCTCTTAATTAAACCTAAGCATACCTATAAGACTGTATTTAATACTAGGGATAGGAAGTATAAGTTCTTAGTAATACTATTTAGGCTTACTAATACTCTAGCTTCCTTCTAATCCCTAATAAATAATGTCTTAAGGGACCTCCTATAGAAGAATATAGTTATATACTTAGATAATATTCTTATATACTCTAAGGATATAAAGGAACATATTAAGCACTTGTAAGAAGTGTTTAAGAGGCTAAGTAAGGCAGACCTGTTCTACTTAGTAGAGAAGTGTATTTTAGGAGTTAAGACTGTCACCTTCTATAGCTATAAGGTTACTAAGAACATAGTTAAACTAATATAAGACAAGGTGGAAGCTATCTCTAACTAGCCTATACTAACTAATACTTAATAGATCCGTTAGTTCTTAGGACTTACTAGGTACTATAGACGCTTTATTCGTAGCTTTACTAAGTTAGCTACACCTCTGTCTAACCTTTTAAAGGAAGATAATATTAACTTAAGAAGCAAGAAGAAGCGACCTATTAGGTAGAATGTATAATATACAATTGCTTTTAAGACTCTTAAGAAAGCTCTCTAGTCCTACCTAGTCTTAATAGCCCTAAACACTTCTAAACCTTTTATTATTAAGACAGATGCTTTAGAGTAGGCTATTAGGGCCGCTCTGTATTAGTATAATAATAAAGACAAGCTCTATCCTATTGCCTTCTCTAGAAGAAAGCTTTAAGGAGCTAAGCTTAACTATCCTATCTACGAAAAGGAAGGCCTAGCTATTAAGGAAGCCCTAAGAACCTAGAGCAATTATATTACAAATAGACTAACTATTACTGTCTTAACAGACTACTAATCCCTTAAATACCTTAACTAGACTAAAGGTTAGAGCAAGAGGATTATAAGGTAGGCTAAAGAATTTTAAGAATATAACCTAGATATTAAGTATAGGAAAGGTAGTAAAGCTATTGTCCTAGATACTATCTCTAGAAGGCCTAACTTTATTAGGGAAGGACTAGCAAACATAGCTTAGCCTATAGAGTCAAGTGCTACTATTAAATAGCTAGCTATACTAAGACTTAAGGCTAAGGAACATAAACCCTTTATAGAAGCTATACTTGCCTATAAGCAAGATATAACACTTCTATAAGATCCTTACCTTAAGGATATAGTCCTTAAGAGATCCTAGCAGTTCACTACCCTAATAGATAATAAAGGGATTGTTAATCTTAGGCATATTCTACTAGATAATAAGGGAACTATACTATACCTTAAACCCCTTTAGAGGTATAACTTTGTTAATAGAATCTATACCTAGTATAGCTATTTTGGATTTCCTAGACTCCTTAGACATATTAAAACCCGGGCATAGTAGCCTTTAATAAAAACAGACCTTAGGAGATTCTTAAGACAATGTCCTACTTATTAATTAACCTAGAAACAGCTTCCTAACAAGCTAGAGAACAAGGAGAATCCCTTCTACTAGGTCAATCTACAATTGCAACTATTTAAAAGATAGGCAATTAATATAATTAGACCTATGCCTAAGTCCTTAGAAGGAAATAAATACATTATTATAGCTATTAAGTATGCAACTAGCTAGCCTATTATAAGGGCAGTGCCCTCTACTAATAATAAGACAACTACTACCTTCCTATATAAAGAAATATATAGCTTCTATAGTGCCCTAAGAGAACTACTGTCTAATAATAGGAAAAACTTCCTATTAAGGGTTATAGCCTATTTAATAAAACAGTTTAAGACAAACTATAAGCTTAGTACTCCCTACTACCTAATAACAAATAGGAAGGTTAAGAATCTAAATAGCACTCTTAGTAATATATTAACTAAGATATACCTAGGCATAGATATACGCTATTAGGACACATTCCTTTATAAGGCTTTGTTCTATACTAGATATAGGCAGTATATAACTACTAAAATAAGTCTATTTTACCTCCTATATAGACAGTACCCCCGGATCTTAGAGGATAAAAATAAATAGCGCCTAATAAGTAAGCTTATAATTAATAATTAAGGTAAAAGACTTGTTAAGGTACGCTATACACGACAGCTTACTAATAAAAGGCTACTAAACCGTACAACCTCTAGAGGCCTAATAAACCTACAGATTATGTAGGTAGAATTAGGACTAAGGAGAAAGGTTAGGGAATAGGTACTACTTATAAACCCTAAACCTAAAAAGCTTTAGCCTAAGTAGCTAGGGCTATTTAAGATTAAGAAGGCCTACTAGCTTAGGACCTATGCCTTATAGACCCTATAAGGGAGAGTCTTAAGGCACTTAATATATAGTAATCGCTTAATCTCTACTTATTACTAGGGCTCTAAACAATTCTAGTTAAAGTATACTAATAGTATATTAAATAGTAAGCCTAGTACTCTAAGTTCACTAGAAATTAAGGAGATCCTAAATAAAGAGGGAGATATAAGGATGTTAGTTTCTAATCTCTTAACAATTCTAGAGGCTAAATAGAAGAGACTTTAGAATTCCCTAACTAGGAATACTAGCTAGTATCGTGTTTATATAGGAGTACGAAGATTCTTAGTAGGGGAGGGAGATAATCTAGTAATAGGTTCAAACCAAAAAATTATAGATTAGGTCTTAAAAGACAGAAGGAGGAAGTTAAAAATCTAAGAGTATAAGTAAGCTTAAGAAAAATCCTTACTTAACAGACTTAAAGAGGAACCTCTAACAAGACTAACTAGCTTTCAGCCTACAAGCTAGCTAAGCCTATAAAGGAATATAGCAAAGGAGATAGAGGGATCTCTAGCCCTACCTATCCTAGAGGACCTAGTACTAGCTAGGCTTGCTTAGGAACAGCCTAGCAATCCTTCTCTACTAGTTATAGAGCGAAATTCTAGACCTAGAACTGTACTTAAAGACAGTTTACTCTATCCCTCTAGAGAACCTAATTCTATAGTAGAAGAACTAAGACTAATACAACCTCCTATAACTGCTCCTCTCTAAAGAGATTATAACCCTAGGGACCTATTAGCTTCTTCTTAAGAATATAAGGAGAATAAGCTTAAGTTAGTAAGGCCTAGACCTAGGGGATTAAGGTAGAGACCTGTTCCTTCTTAGAGAAAGAGAAATTAAGATAAGTTTTCAATTTCTATAATTATTAGAGGCTACTAAATCCTAATAAGAGACTATACTTGTCCTAGTACTCTATAACATAAAGGAAAGGCTATAAGTAGTAACCTATAGTAGTATAGGCTACTCTAGCGAATAGCTAAAAGAAAAAGGAAAAAGACCTACTAACTCTACTAACCCCTAAAAGTAAAAGCAAAAGAAGAACTACTAACCTAAACCCTTATAGCTCCCTAACTAAACTTATTTATTATCTTTATTACTACCCTCCTTACTAGAAAGACCCTATTTCTTAGAGTTACTCTTATCCCTACTAGAATTAGCATCCCCTCCTACATCCTAACGAAGGCGGGTAGTAGCTACATTAGCTATATAGCGACTACGACCTAAGGCGTACTTTATTCGTCTTACAATCTACTATAGTTAATTATTAATATTAAAGTTAAATAGGATGATTATTACACCCTCCCTAGTGTCCTTAGTAGGCTCGATAGTGTTAGGCTTAAAGTAGATAAGACCTCTAAGAGCATCCTAAGCTCCTTACATGTCCCGGATATTAGTTAATACCTAGTTAAAAAGGGCCTCCCTATTAATAACTAGACGATTAGGCCTCCTACTAGACCTGCTTAGGCTAGCTAAGTTAGAGCGTACTCTACTTACTCCTAAGCTTAGGGAGCATCTATTATAACCTAGAGTCTAAGTACAGTTAGTATAGGTACCTCTAAGTAACTAACTACCCTAACTATCTAGTATCCGGCGACACAAAGCAAGCCTACCCTTTCTAGAGCCTTTAGGGCTATACTAAATGTAACGGCTCTATTTATCTTCCTCTATATCTAGAGACTACTTAGGAGGACTAGAGTTAGTAACAGCCCCTTTTAGTAGGGTACCTAGAATTATAAGTAGGTAGCTAGTACTACTATATAGATTGATAGTAATTGTTCTAGCTAGACTACCTAGGATAGTAGTAACTATAGCTTTATCTATAGGGCGTATGTTAGGATTACTACGATTATTATTAAAGTTAGCCTTAGGAGAAGCAATCTAGTTAAATAGAGTTATGTTTAGCCGGCTATTCCTAGAACTGCTTAGAAGGATGTTATACTAGCGCTAGATAAGGCTATAGTTGTTAGTAATAAAGACAATACGAGCTAGCTTAAGAAGTTTTACTAGATCTATAGTAATAGAAGTATAGCGGAACTACGAGTCCTATAGAGTATTTATAATCTACTAGAACTGGTTTTCTATTAAGCTTAGTACTATAGGTCTAAAATTTGGTAGCTACCTTAGCGGCTCTCTACTACTACTCCCTAAAGAAGATAGGCTAGCCTTAAGATTAGTACGGCTACTCTTACGGCTAACACGTATACTAGCTATACGTACCTAAAGGGAAGACATAGTATAAGCTCTACTAGCTAAGGCTCTAATAAGAGCTACTAATAAATGTTATTATTAGAAGTAAAGGGAGAGAGCTTAGAAGCTTAGAAGGGAAAATATATATATACTTAGCCTCTTAGAGAGGGCTTTTGTTATATAAATAGCCTCTTAGAGAGGGCTTTTGTTATTATAGGAGGAGAATAGAGTAGAGGAGTAGTTAATAAGAAGAAGGAGATAAGAGTAGAGAAGAAGCTCTTATACCCCTACCTATATAAGCTTCTAGAAGCTTACTTATTTACCTTCTAATAACTAGGTCTCGTACCCTTATTACTAGGTTATATAGGCAAGTTACAAACAGTAAAAGTTTACTATTATCTAGTAAGTAGGAGCAAACATCCTTCCTAATTAGGAAAGATAAAGCCTATATACTAGCAAATACTACTACCTAAGGCTTATAACCTTTTTATAAGGCTAAGGCTTATAGGGACAACTATATACTAGTATATAGAGGGAGGCTACGAATCTATAGACAATTAAGGCTCTACTAAGGCTTTAGTAGGTACTAAAGTCTAAGTAGGGGAGGATGTAAGATCCTTAGCCTATATACTAAGGAATTACACTACACTTGCTAAAGTAGTGTTATGCCTAAGTGTGAAAAACTCTAGTCTTAGTAGCTAAGTAGAGGGGATATAAAAACACCTCAAAACCTTATGTAGATAGCCGGGCCATGAACCTTCTTTGTTAGTCAAAGCTCTTACACGTGCAATACCAGGAGATCACGTGCTTCACTGTACCGTACACTGGAAGGACGATTCTGCCGGGATGGTGAGCGGAGCGATTTCCACTTGTGTCGCTGGTGCATTACGCCAAGACTTCGCCGCTGCGATAACGCTCTGCGATAACGCTCTGGGTATGATTTTTCTTGATGCAGCCTAGTGGCCATCTTTGCAGAAACACCTTCCGTTGCGGGATGATGCTCCCTGCGTGTCGGACAAATCTCGGAGGTCTGAAGATGACTACCAGGGAGGAGGTGGAGGGAATGAATGAACTTCTCCTCAGCTCTGATCTAGGTACATGTACGCAACAAAAGCCTCGTCGGCATCGTATTTCTGCAAGGGTCGAATTAAAGCCTCCGCTTCGAGGCAAGGTGCATAGGGGTATCCGGATCATGTTCCAGAGCCTTCTTCTTTCCAGCCTCTCACATTCTGCACTTCGTCCTCAGTAGCAAATGTAACTGCTGAAGACATCGTTATACTCGCTTCCCTGGGGATTCGTAGCCAGGTTGGGATCGCCCGGGTAAACGATGTTCTGGAGTGAATTGCCTTGGCAGTTTGGTTTCCTGCAGGAAGAACGCGTCAGTTGTTAATTTTGATCTGGCAAAAATATTGGTTGGTGTTGACTTACTCGAACATCGTACACCCAGATGCTTCCTCATCTGGGCCCACAGAGCTGACTTGGCCTGCGTATGTCGAGTCGAGGTTGACTTTGAGTCTGTCAGCGAAAAGTCGCGAGGAGGAGATGGTAGATGGACTGACTGCAAAGACCGGGCCCGTTCTCCAGGTGTATGCATGGAGGAACCCATCCAGAATTGAGACACAGGTAGATTCCCACAGTCGTGGGTGCTAGACTGCTTGCATCGGCACGCGTGTCGAGCTGAGCTTCATGCCTTTCTGACGCGAGTGCAAGAGTCGTATGCAAGAGGAAGGCCGCGACGGCGAATAAGAGGGCCAGTGAGTTCATGTTGAGGATGGTGAAGAGTAATGAGCTCGATCGCAAGTGGTTGCTGATGTGTCGACGAAGAGAAGCGGGATTTGAGGAATTATATGCTTGCTTCTTTGCTTTTCCTGTGTCCCTTGCGCGGGCTGCATCGGAAGCAAGGTAAGTATCAGGTCATACTAAGTACCACTGTGTGGCTTTGCGCAGTTGTACAGTCGTGCAATGCAAACTTCCGATGACCATGTGGCTTCAGCGAGGAGGCCACACGCTGGTACAGAGGTTGGGGAGATTGCCGTGCCTTTGGAACGAATTTGAGTGATGTGTGCGTGAAAGCATCGCTCAGCGTTCATTGCCAGCCTCCTGTACCGACCCAATTCTTATCCAGCCACACCGAAAAGAGAAACAACGAAGGCAACCTACCTTGAAGGAAGGTGTTGTCGAAGGCAGCCGCACTAGCTCTCCGTAAGGTATTCACGAGCCGCGCAAAATTGAACGCAGCTGCTCGTATTGAAAGTGTCAAGTTAACACCTGCTACAACGTGAGTCCGCCATCTAATATGATATTCTGGCCGGTCATGGATCGATTCAGTGCTAGCGCTCTGACTTGGGTCGCGCAATCCTATTCTCAACATCAAGCTGTGAACTTCTTGGCTGCTCTCGAAAGGTAGCACTTACCTCGACGGTGGCCAATCGCTTCAATTTGGTGTTATTCTTCGCAGCCTCGCGTTTTTCCTCCGGGAATTTCATGCCCCATTCGGTCAGCAGCAGGCCTGGAGAAACCGAATTGACCCTGATCTTTGGAGAACATATCACAGCCAGACACTTTGACAGGTGGATGGCTGCAGATTTGGTGACAGCATAGGGCAGAGACGAGCCACTTGGCTTGACACCTGCAATGCTTGCAGTCTCGATAAAAGCACCCTCGGTCTTCTCGAGCTCCGCTTTGGCAGCGTGCATGAGCCAGAGATGGGATTTCACGTTGTACAGGAAGCATCTGTCCCAGTCCTCATCGACCATGCCTTCGTCGAGATTCGCAAAGTTGGTGATCCTGGTCCAGCCGGCGTTCGACACAACCACATCCAAACGGCCGAAAGTGCTGATGGTCCGTCCAACGAGCTTCTGAATGGAAGGACGATCTCCTACGTCGGCTTGAAAGGCTTCGAAACGTGGTGACTGCGTGGAAGCTGCTGTGTTAGGGATCTTCTCCAGCTCTTCTAGCAAGGATCTGGCTCTTGATTGGTTGTTGGCATAGTTGATGGCCTGGCGAAGCAAACAATCAGAGCTTGAACGACGGTCTGCGGTGTCAAGACTTACAATCCTGAAGTCAGGCGCAAGCGTGCGTGCTATTTGTGCTCCTAAGCCCGCGGTTCCAGCGGTAATCAGAGCGACCTTTTGTGCTGACATGGCGAAATGAAGACGGAGGGGCAAGGTATGATTTGGAGACACGTCAACTGAACCACGACAAACAAAGTCCACGAAGCTGGTCCGTCTTGTACCCAGTCTGGCCTTGATGCTCTAGTACATCTAGGGACCGCCGAGAGCGGACGAGGAACTGACGCGCCGCAATTCCGCACGTTGCTGGGTGGCTAAAAGGGTTGCCCGTTCGTTGGCCGTTCCGCTCACGCTCTGCAATCTCATATACGATAGCAGCCCTGATGTGAGAACGATCTTGATAGCGATGTTGCGGTCTCTGTGATGCGAAACGGTGGTGGAGAACCTATGGAGGACGAAGTGGGGCATTCGATACGCCAAGACGCGTGACGTCACGCGTAACATGTGATCGCGTCTCGCTTTCGCTGATTGAGAACCAACGTGTTGCCAACGCTTTGCAGCACTGAACTTCCTTCCACGGCTCCCAACGCATTGACAGAGTCCACACGCCTCACCATCGAATCTGCGCAGCCACTATAATGTCCAAGGCAACGTCACGCAAGCGCGCCGCCGCAAACGATTACGAATCGGATGGTGGCTTCGTTGAAGACGCGCCAAAGAGCAAGAAGAGCAAGGGCAGCAATGCGAAAGGGGCAGTAGACTTGCAGCAGAAGAAGGATGACGATGGCAATGCCTACTGGGATGTACGTGCTTTCGCTCAAAAGCAGTGGAATGGAGTTGCTGACTATGTTAGCTTTCTGGCACGCGAAGGCTCGGAGTATCCCACTACAAGGGCAACACTCTGATCAACATCAGGGAGTACTATGACAAGGACGGCAAGATGATGCCTGGCAGAAAGGTTTGTGCCTTCTGAGGCAGTGAACTAGCGTCGAAGCCACGGACGATCTGACTCTGCACAGGGGATCTCGATTACTATCGACCAGTTCAACGCTTTCCTCCAAGTCCTTCCACAAGTTGAGAGTGTCCTGGCCGCGAACGATATCAACGTTCTGCGCCCCCAGGTCGATCAACAAGCTAGCTCCGAGGCTGCTGGGAATGAGGACGAGAAGGAGGCAGCGGAGGACGAAGACGACCAGGACGCCGCTGCCCATGAAACGGTGTCAAAGAAGCTAGACAAATTCCGCCACAAGCAGAATCACGAGGCTACGAGCGACGAGGACGAGTGAGTGCTGTCTGAGACTGCGGCGATGATCGCGATCCTTCGAAACTCGAGCACTACCTCGACTTCTACTTTGTACGACGATAACCAACGACTTGAGATGGCCATGAGACAGGCGATGGCTGGTACGGATTGCGACGCGTACGTATCAACTGTCACAGGAGGTCCAACAACTATCGCGGGCTGTGCCATACAGATGCTGATATTCCACATAGCTGAAATCGCTCAGCTTCCTGCAGATCATGGCACACCTAGCTGAAACGCCCCGCAAGGTCCACCTACTTTCGGAGTGCCCACGGGCAGACGCACTCAAGGCCCACGGAGCTGGAGCAAGGATCTTTTGACTTCACTTTACGACTTTACAACGAGTGTCCGATGGCCACACCGCCTCTTTATATACCCGACATGATTTTGACGATCTATTATTTCTCCAGAAGGATGCGTTTCATCACTATGCAGATCGCAAATAAGGAACGTGTTGGTTTCGCTACGTACCGCCGCTCCTTCGACCGACTCGCGTGTGTAAGGCTCCAGGTAGCCGCCGAGTCGTTGATTCAAACCCTATGGTGTTGGAGAAGCTCGTAGCAGGCAGGAATCTGATGCTTCTAATAAGACAGTTTTCTGAGAAGGCTTCCACCAACGTGCACTAACGCATCAAAGATCCGCATCCGACTTCCGGTGAGCTTCGTTGTCTAGACGAGCTGATGAACAGCATTTTCCATCTGTGCCTTACGAGAGCATTAGTTCTATTGCTATACCGCGCCTCAGCCACATCTTGCCAGTGTCAGATATGATGCCCATCCAGTGGATCAGAACCCGTCATTTCTGCTGATCTTACTGGTGAGGGGCAATTATTCCTCCATCTGGCAGTGTCTATGCCCGAGCTGCATCCTCTCAGCCTCGTTTCAAATGCTAGATGAGGTGGCCCGGCAACCTCTGAAAGGATCGATCTCTCAACGTCGACGTCTCATACACCTTCTTGGCGAGCGTTGCTTCTCGAGGCACGAAGGCTCCTTTCTAGGATGCCGCCGTCGCATTTTCACGAGTAGCTTTCGTGTTTCTGTGCCTCTTCGATCTCCCCTCATGCTCCCTCGCTTGCCCACCGCCAGGTTTGTCCCTCACAATCCGAAACAATGGGCGACTCATCCGGACATTTGGAGCGGGTATGGTGGACAGTCTGTTCTCCCCAGTCTAAGGACACCGATACTGACAATTTCTGCCTCCACAGCTTCACACCGACGAAATGGAGCTGGGTACCACAGAAGCCATCAGAAACCACTATGAGCGCAAAGTGGTCTCCCCCGTCCCCATCTCGCAACGCCGCCTCAACTTCGAACATTCCCGACCGCGGTTCCTGCGTGAATGTATAGCCGAAGCGACCGGTACATTCTTCTACGTCTTCCCAGGCGTTGCAACAATAGCCGCTATGACCACCAAGGATTTCTCTCCAACTTTCGGAAACATTCTTACTATTGGGTTGGCATTCGGGTTTGGAATCGTATTTGCCATCATCACATGCGCGCCCGTATCGGGTGGCCACTTCAACCCGGTGGGTCAGACGAGAAGACTCATAAATTGAAGTATTCGCTGACGTTTTGTGTTCTTGCTTTGCAGGCCATTTCCGTCGCCTTTGCTACGTTTCAGGGATTTCCGTGGCGTAAGGTTCCGCACTATGTGATCAGTCAGATCATTGGGTCTTTCATTGCAGGTCTGCTGGTGATGGGCATGTATCATCAACAGATTGAGGTGTTGGTCGCGGAAACCATCAAGGCCGGGAAGCCTTTGATCACGAGTGGATCGCCGGCGAGTATTCTCGTTTCGCTTCCGGCCGACAATCAGACACTGGGCTATCTGTTCTTGGTTGAGTGGTTTGTTGATAGCTTCATTGTAAGTATCGACTGCCTTTCGAGCAATATTGGACGTCTTGAAGCTGACTACGATGTAGGCCGTCATCATCTGGGCCTGTCTGGATCCTGCCAACCCATTCATCGCACCATCCTCTGTTCCGTTCGTCATCGGTCTAGGCTACGCTGTCACAACTTGGGGTTTCGGAGGCCTCACCATCACACAGAACATGGCTCGAGGTCTCGGTTGCAGGCTGGTCGCCGCTATCTTCTACGGACCTGGAGACTTCACTTACAAGTACTACTCTTGGATCGCCATCTTGGTCAACGTACCAGCCACGGTCTTTGGAGGCGCATACTACGAGCTCGTCATGCGGGATAGCTTGCAAACGCTCGGCGCAGGAGCGGCGAGATACGAGGGCGAAGAGGAGGACTTGGCGCTGCATTTAAGCAAGACTGGTATCAGTATGCAGCGGGAGAGGGAGGAGTGCTATGCTGGCACAAGGAAGAGGAGCTCGAACAGCACCGCCGACGGAAAGCTTCAAGTTCCACCGGTATGATAAGTGAGGGCAATCCTGTGACCTGGATGAATGGATGACTTCACGGCCGAGCTACGTTAGCGTTGTAGGCATGTTCGAAACGGGCATGCGAGCTTCTCATAGATGAGTTTGGAGGTTGCTGGGCGACTTAGTACGCTTCATAACCACCATTCCCTTACCTGGAGTCCTTCGACTAGGTGCTTTGGGTGAGGGTGACATTTCAACCTGGAGCTCCGCTGACATGCACACTATCACACAACTGTTCAGCTGAGGTGTTCACAGCGAGGAGGATCCGAACAAGCTCGATCAACTAAGCAGATGCTACAAAGATTGGCAAGTTCGCTCTCTCTGTGTCCAACGACAGTGTTTCTGTCTGATCCGTCACCGCAGCACTGCACGCTCACTACCGATCAACACGTCTGATTAAAGCATGCATTCCGGTGGCATACACGGAGGGTGTAATACGAAGTATACGCTTCGATATGAGTACGTACGGTGGCCTTCTCCTGTATTTATGCAGAGCCTCGGTCGTGATTGCTGCGTGCAATATTTGGGACTAGCCACTTCAGCCAGCGCTACCGCGGCCTACGACTTGGATCGACCACTTGTGACTCTTGTTGGCCGGAGGAAAACTGCAATGTACTTTCAATGCTACTTACCTGAGCAAAATGCCATGCACAAAGGCGCCGTCGGTGTTCCTCAGGCCGTGCCATCCGACTGAAGGGTCCCTCTCAATCTCAGCTGATTTTGCATCTCCTTTACCTTTCTCGTGCCAAGGCTGAAAGGTCCAACTAGCGAGATCTGGCTCCGAACAGCAAGAATGGCCCATTCGGATGAGGACGAAGAAAAGCATTTCCCATCGCAGAGTCAAACAGCAGCAGATCTGCAATCGCAGAAAGACGACAGCTCAACAACCCAGGATCCAAATGTAGTCGATCGGGATGGCGACACGGACCCCCAGAACCCACGCAACTGGTCCATCAAAACCAAGATCGCCAACACTTCTCTCGTGACTGTCCTGACGCTCCTCACACCTCCAGCGTCGAGCATGTTCGCACCAGGCGTGCTCCAAGTCCTGCGGGACTTCCGCACCACGTCTGCCACAATCGCCGAACTCGTCGTGTTGATTTACATCTTAGGCTTTGCCGTGGGACCTCTGATCATCTCTCCGCTGTCAGAGATGGATGGAAGATATCCGGTCTATGTGGTTTGCAACGTCATGTTCTTGATGTGGACGATTGCGTGTGCCGTCGTGCAATCGATGCCGCAACTCATCGTGTTTCGATTCTTGATTCGGATGCAGCCTGTCGGGACGCAGTACCAGCATATCCAGATGGGCCCATAGGCTTGAAGAGGCTAACTTTTCACCACCTTGTGGCAGCGAACGATAAGGCAGCCATGAACTATTGATATGGGAACGCGCGCGCCTTAATTACATTGAAAGGCCAGGGAAGGAAAACACGGGCTGGAAGATTTCTGCATGGTCATCATCAGTCGATACAAGATGAACCAGAGCAAAGCATAGAGGAACAAATCGCGGAATATGAGCATGAGCATCGGAGTTAGGCGTTGCGTTACATTGTCCAGCATCTGTACAGGTCGTCGCGAGCCTCAATCTCTTCCCCGGGCAACTGAGTTGATTAGCATCTTCCGACGTAAGCGGGCATTGGAAAGATTTATTATACGACAGAAGCAGCCTCGGAACACTTCACTCATCTTTCAAATACTTCTGAATCACAGGCGCATACCCCATCAACCTCGCAGCCCACGCAACGACTGCCTGTAACTTCCATGGCACCCACCATCGCAGAGAGCCTAGAAAGTGGACTCCAGGCAACATGACCGGTGCAGAGGCTCCCTCGTGCCTACCACACATCAGCTACAATCCGAAGCATGGCGAGTCTAGACTCACTCACTGGCTCAGCAAGACCTGAAACAAATCCGGCATTTTCTTCTCCCGATGACATCCATCCAAGTGTTTGAAGAGATGCTCGAACCAGATGATATCCAGAGGATTCGGGACAGCAGAAGGATGCGCGCGTAGAATGGCAATCACGTCTTCGCCATTCGCCCCAGAGAGTTGTGGATGTGGATAGGGAGCGTGAGGAACCATCTTCTCAATCGAGAAAGGCGTGTTCTCCGGAGTGAGGATCACTTCTTGTTGTTCGTATCCGTACGTCACGGCTAGGACACCCTGGAGAATCTTAAAGGTTTCGATTTGGTCGAAGTGAAGATGTAGCGGTGGGGCTTGAGGATGCTGTTTTCCTTTTCTGAGGAGAGGGCGATTCGCTTTATAGGTGGCACGGAGAAGAGTACTGATTGGTGCGTTAATCCCCGTGGTGAAAGTTGCATCAAGGTCTTCGTTGCGGTGTCGTTACCTGCAATCCGCGTCCTCTTCCATCTCGAGGAATTCCACGATGAAGGAGCCATCAAAGAAATGAAATGGTCCTTTGATGACTTTTCGCTCTTTCGAATAATTGAAATCCATTTCGATTTTTTGCCATGATGTCTAGCCCATGACTGCAACTTTGGTTGGTTTTATCGTCCAGGGAGTATTCGGGTCCGAACTTTAGTCTTTGCGGCTGAGAGTTGCGACTTAGTAATGACACAGAACCAAGTGGAGACCGATCACGTTGCTGCGAAAGCACTTACGAGGGTCCAATGCAGATAATGTGACGGCAGGATTGCTGAGAGATAGGGCAGGTTTGCAGGAACTCCATTCACTCAGTGGTCCGTGTTTGCATACTTGCCCTTTCCTACCCTAGCGTGTTCAGCTTTTCTGTTCCAGTATTTCCCTCTGCGGCACTCATCTCTACCACCTCCATTGGACTGACGCATTATAGAGACCGTTTCGCTTAGGGTCATGAAGCCCATTGAGAGGAGCTGCCGGATCTCGCTAGAGGGTAAGACCTCTTTGGTGCGAGAATACCATAGCAGCCTAGGTAGGAACGCAGCTGTATTCTCGGAAGCCGATTGGGACGCTACCCTTGGGCGACACATACCATGGCATGAGATCAAGTAGGCGCTACCTCAGTCGCCAACGCCCTCGTTCTTGGACCCGCGCGTATTAAAGCCTCAGCACTGAGATCAAGCAGATCACGGCAAGCTTCCACATAGCGTCGTCTTGCTTCTTCGCTCTCAAGTAACACGCTTCTGGAGGATTCTTCCGGACCAGGCGCGAGCGTTGACGCAGCGCATATCGAAACGACCCGGTAACAGTCGTCTCCCGCAACCTCAAGGCCCAGAAAGCTTTGGATCTCATGCACCTGCTTGTGAAGGGGCCGCGCAGTCCTCACGATGTATAGGAAAACAACCAATGAAATTTTTGGTCCTTCAACTCTGTGCCAAATTCTGCGAATGCGTTTCTCAACCTCGGCTTTCCATAGCAGGAATAGTCGAGCAGGCTCGGAATTTTAAAATGCTGCCAGAGATCTATAAAATATGCGTCAAAGTGTGCCATCTTCGCTCTGGGTATACATGCGGCTTTGGCACGCTTGAATTGCTGAAGAATCTCCCGGTTTGGTGGTATGCACTGGCAAGAGTGCAACCACGCGTCTGCTACCAAGCTAAGGCAGTAGGCGCGTCGTGGTGGTGTCTGTCCATTGGCAGAATGGAGGATCCAAAATCATTGTCTGCTTGACTTCGACGGAGGGAGGCTCATTTCAAAGTTAATGGACGTTCATGCGAAGGAGAGGAGATGAGGACGGGAGGTCGCGCACCTCTCGGCATCACGGCACGATCCGTTCTTCAGGAGATAGCAGCAAGCACGACCACCTCAGTATTCACAATCGACATTGCCATCTAACTACCCTTTCTATATCTTCGGCATCTTCCTATCCACCCCGAGAGCCTCGACATCCTTCGGCTTATAATAATGCGGCGCAACCTCCGTCAACCACTCCGGCTGAAGCGGCACGATACTCCTCATGAACTCCTTCGAAGTCAACACTAATTCATAGAATATCACCCACTTCGGCCGCACATCCATCAGCACGCTACTTGGATGGATGTGTACCGTCATGTTATTCTTGACTGTCCGGTAGCTATCGCCTCCCCTCTGCAGTCTTGCAGCATTCGGGAAGAAGCCTGCTGTGATGGCTTTTTGAACCGGCTGGATATTGGAGCTTCCGCAGGTCGAAAGCGTGACTTCCACGCGATCGCAGAGCTTGACAAGTTGATCTCGTACATCTCGGGCGCGGGTGAGGGAGCGTTGTTGGAGGAAGTTCTCGCGTGCCCAGACGTAGGAGAAGTCGCTGTCGACCCATTGATTCCAGATATTGAGATAGGTAAGATGATCGCCTCCTTCTTTGACCGTGAAGCGTGCTCGTGCAGCATCGGCTTGTAATTTCTTGTCTTTCGGGCGATAGAACAGAGCACTAGCTTCTCCAAGCATGGCGATTGTGGAGAGAACTTCTTCGACGCAGCCTTCCTTGTCCGCGGCCAGCACGGCTTTAGCGAGCATGGGATCTGTCGGAAACTCGGCCATTTGACGGCCGACCTTCGTGAGTTCGCCTTTGTCGTTCAGAGCGCCGAGCGCATAGAGCTGTTCAAGGGAGCGAATAAGCATGTCTGGAGCTGGCGGATCCATGAAGTCAAAATTGATGAGATCGTTAATACCAAGGGACTTCAGCAAGAGCACAATGCTGTTGAGATTGGTTCTTTGGATTTCAGGCGTGGTGTTCTCTGGCAAGTCGTTGTAATACGCCCACTTGGTGTACAGTCTGAAGCATTTGCCAGGTCCAGTACGTCCAGCTCGACCGGCTCTCTGGTTTGCAGAAGCACGTGAAATCGGGACCGCCACAAGAGATTCCATGTTTGTTGCAGGTGTGTACCTGTTCTCCTTGACATATCCAGGATCAATCACATAGACGATGTTGTCGATCGTCAAACTCGTCTCAGCGATATTGGTAGCCAACACTACCTTGCGAACTTTGGGTGGAGTTGGATCGAAGATCTTTTGCTGGAGATCAGTCGGCAAATTGGCGTAGATGGGGCAGATCATCAGCTCGGGTGCTGCGCTGCCCAGCTTTCGGGCTGTCTCTTGTAGTGACTGCTCTGCCTGCTCGATCTCGTCTTGACCAGTCAAGAAGACCAGAATATCTCCGGGCATTGGCTGGGACAAATGAATTTGGAAGACCGTGGTAATGGCTGCGGAAAGGTAGTTCGCTTCTGGCTGCAGCGAGTAGTTCATTTCGACATCGTACGTGCGTCCGGGAATGTTTAGAATCGGTGCGTCGTCGAAGAACTCGCTGAACTTCTGTGCATCAAGTGTTGCTGAAGAAATGAGCAGCTTGAGATCTGGACGTCCACGCGCAATGTCTTTGACCAGGCCGAACAGGATGTCAGTATGCAGGGTGCGCTCGTGCGCCTCGTCGATCATCAGGCAGCTATATCCTCCCAAATCGGGCTCGGTCAAGAATTCACGAAGCAGCATGCCGTCCGTCATATACTTCAAAGCCGTCTTGTCCGAAGTCGCGTCTTCGAAACGGATTGCGTACCCAACCTCATTGCCGACTTTTACTCCTATTTCCTCAGCAACACGCGTTGCAACACTCATAGCTGCAACACGCCGCGGCTGTGTGCAGCCAACCTTCTTGCCATCTTTACAGTAGCCATCCTCGTAGAGATACTGTGGGAGCTGAGTCGTCTTGCCACTACCAGTTTCTCCAACCACGATCAAGATCTGGTACTCTCTGACAGCGTCCAGAAAAGTCTGTCGATATTGGTACACAGGCAGAGTCTTTCGCTTCTCCTCAATCGTCTTCGCTTTCCTTTCTGCGGCCAGAAGTTGCTGCGCCATGAGTCGTTCCTCCTGGCTCTGCATCTGGCTCATCCCGCCCTTCATTGCTTGATCGGTAACCCACTTTAGCTGTTGTTCTTCGTCGAAGACATATTCGTAATCCCCTTCGTTGACGCGATCGGTAACGATAATCTGCGCTTTTGTCTTCTCGAGCTGTTCCCGTTCCCATTCCTCATGCTCCGTCACATATCGCTCACGGCCCTGTTGATCTCGATCCACGTAGCGGCTATACAGCGCATCCTGTTTCCTCTTCACGTCCATTTTGCCCTTTTCCGTGATGTAGTCCTCTGGCATTGCATAGCCATCGAAATGGTCATCGATTCCCTCACGTTCTTCTGCGAGACGCAGCGCTTCTCGATTTCGAGCGAACTCATCTTTCTCTACTTGAGTCAGGCTTGGGTTGTTGCGCTCCTCCTCAGCCTCGTCTGCCACTTGTTTGCGCAACAATGCCAGTTCCTGGGCTGAGCGCTTTTTCAAGTAATCCTGTCGCGACCGCAACCTCAGAGCCTTCATCTCTTGCTCGGACAATTTACCAGCCTGAGCTCGGCGTTTTGCGTCCTCCTCTTCCCGCCGCGAAGAACGGTCCTCGGTCAAATTCTTCGTGGAATCCTTATCCTTGCTCTTCAGACGCTCTTCAAATGCTTTGCGCTCTTTGCGATCCCGCTCCTCTTCATCCTCCTCCGGTTCGCGATCAGAGGCCTCGCGTCTTGGGGAAGCTGAGCCATTGTCCAATCTTGTACGTTTGGCCGGTGGTGATGGAAATTCGTCTTCCTCGTCATCCTCCTGATCGCCCCATCTGTCGTCAAAATCGTCGTTGTCTCTTCTCCGAAGCTTTTTGCCATGTCTCTCCCGGCTCCTCGATCGTCGTCTCTCTCCGTCTAATCCGTGCCTCGATCTTCTCTCCTTGTCGTCGTCTCTTCGTTTATCTTCGCGAGATGGAGGCGCTTCCTCCTCCACGTCCATCTCCACAAGAGCATACTTTTTCTTGGCCTCCTTCGGCTTATCTCTCTTTGTGGTGCTGCTTCCATTCAGAGCCGGCTTCGCGACTCGCGCATACAACGAGTCACTGAAGCTCTTCAGATCTGTCTCATCGGAATCCAGCATAGCTGATAGCTTGTCCAGCAGAGCTCCAGGCGATTTCGCTGATTGGGCGGTGCTGACAACGAAGTCGACCATCATGGTCTCGCTGCCGCCGACCAGCTTCAACAAGTGGTCGGCCACGTACGTGCGGAGATCCATGGTGCGCAGAGAGGGCTACGGGACTTGAGGTGGCTGTTCTCTCCTCAAGGTGGTGTACAACGAAGTTCCCAAGTCAGAAGTACATGACTCGCGCAGACACTCGGTCCGACCGATCGTTATTTATCCGGGGACATAGGAATGAGCACGTGAGGTGCTTCCCGTCCGGCAGTCTGAAACGAGGCCCCGCGACGTGGGATGCGCGAGTTGGCACTTGCGTGGGAGTGAGAACGTGGCATCGGGCATCGGGAGATTATTAGGTACTGTAGCAGCCCTGGGGCACCTTGCACGTGAAGCATGTGGAACAGGCGGCATGACGAAGGGTCACAGAGACACGGTGCACATTGATTGGGATTGACGGGGAATTGATTCAGGAGTTAATCTGGTCGCCGCGGTAGCACTAGAGACCGACCATCGCAATCTGCACGGCACAATACCACCAGACCGCTCCTTGCACACTGCTACCTCACTTTAACAACTCCTGCCACTGCCATCCACTTTCACGACTTCTCCTTCCAGAGGTCGACGCTGAGTGCAATCTCATCTTTACTGTCCCGATCAACAAGCGCTCTCCTGTGCGACTCGCCTGTCCCTCGAAGCGAGCACCGCAGCACTGCCACTGCCCTGCAGGTTGACAGCTTGCTGTTCTTTTCTTAGCGACATCGCCTCTGCTGCTCCTTCGCATGACGTCGCAGACGCGCTCATAACACAAGAAAGTGCGCGTGTATGCTGATCTGAGAAGGCCTTGTACGCGCGCACTGGCGCTGGAAACTCTCTCCCCTTCGAAATCCGCCAGAAGTTCCGCCATGTCGACCTCGACCCCTAACAAGAGGCCTGCCGCAACCGCCACGGGCCCCGGCCGTCGTACTCCCACCACCAACTCAACCATCACCAACACATCTTCTACCGCTTCTGCTGGCGCTCATCATCCCAGTCCCTCCCGTATGCCGTCGTCGCAGGCCTCGAGCGCATCGGCGGCCACCAACGGCGTCAACCGCACTCGCTCAGTCAGGAACGGCGCGCCAGTTTCCGCACGAGCCGCTGCTGCTGCCAGGAAACAGAGCAGCGCTGGCACTCCTGATCCAGCCGAAGAGGACGCAAAGGCGGAGATGCAGGCCAAGTTGGAAGAGTTGCAGCAGAAGCTCCAGCAGGCCGAGCTGTCCTACGAGGAATCGCAGAAGCAAGCCGCGGTTCTGCAGGTGAAACTGGATGAAGCCCGCAAAGAGCAGGGCATGTTGGAGGAGCACGTGCACGAGCACACTGAACGCATCAACGATCTGGAGAACGAGAAGAGGGAGAGCGTGCGAGCTCGTCGTGAAATGGAGCAAATCTACGAATCCGAGCGTGCAGCGGCCATGAAGGAGAAGGAGGAAGCAGTCGCCCGCGAAGAAGAGATGCAGCTGGCTATGCAGCGCATGAAGGAGACACTCGCTCAACGAGAGATGCGCGCTGGTCTGGACGACGAGAGAAGACCAATGCTCTCCCGGCACTCTTCTCACGGTCGGAGCACAAATCCGTCCCCGAATCCCGAAACGTCAGATCGCCAATTCGCTCCGCCCTCAGTCCAACGCAGCGATTCGTCTTCACGAAGTAATTCCAAGCTGGTCAATCAGAAAGACAAGATTATCGAATCGCTACGATTGGAGCTCGCGGAAGCACAGATAAAGCTCGTAGAGGTAGAGAACCGGGGCGGTGGTCACATGCAAGAACTACAGAAACAGCTGTACGACATCAAGATGAACAACGCGCGGTTGATGGAGGAAAACGAGTCCTTTCAGCTCCTTCTCAGCGAGAAGACACTCAACGGCGACTTCTTGCGACCGCCTTCCACCAATATCTCCAGGCCGCGGTCGCGCAGCCCCGATGCTGGTGATGCTAGCCACACTGGAGGTGCGAGCTTGGCTGACGAACTTGAATCTCATGATGAAAGCGAGGGCGATGACGATTACCGACGTCTCAGGGCAGAGGTGAACAGCCTGAAGGATCAGAATAAGGCCCTGACGCTGTATATTAACAATATCATCTCGCGCCTCCTGCAGTATGACCAGTTCGAGCAAATCCTGGACAAGACGCCTGAGCTTATGGCTGGGCCGCCGAACCCAGCCAGCAGGAGATACCAGGAATCTGATACCGACAAGGAGCTACCGCCACCGCCTCCTGAGAAGGACGAACAACCTGCAGGGCTTTTGCAGAGAGCCAAGAGTGTGCTGGGTGGCAAGCCAAAGCCGCGGCCAATGTCACAGCAGATCAACCCGGAGCAAGTGGAGAAGCCACTCCCAACTCCAAGACTAGATGAGCCATCCAGGCATGAGGACCCTCAGACCGCACCCAGCGTGCCGCTTGGTCGTGCGAATAGCAAGCGCGGTGGCCACAGGCGCGCGAATTCGGAATGGCCTGCAGCTAGTGTTGTGACCAGCATGTATCGCGGCCCTCAAACATCACTAGGAGGCCCCCTTAGTCCGGGCCTTACTTCACCCACCAACCGCAACTCATTTTTCGCCGGTCGAGTCCCCTCATCAGGCTCCAATGTCCCGACGATATCAGAGTTCGCTGCGGACAAGGAAAATAGTGGCCCTCAGAGAGATAGCAAGATCAGTGCCACCAGCAACCGCAACAGCATGAGCGCCAGTCCAGCAAACTTGAGCGGCCCCGCTGGCCTCGACGGTGCTCCGGACGGAGTTGTGAGCGGCATCGCAACCGAGAGATCGAATCCATCTTCGCCTCCTCGCAGCACGACGAGCAATGATAAGGACAAAGCATCTGGTGCGATTATGATGGGATCCAAGCCAAGACCACTGCGACTCGTTCAGGAAGCGGCGGAGGAAGATCAAGCGAGGAAGCAGTCCAATCGTGGCAGCTGGTTTGGCTTCATGAACAAGGGAGCTGGGGCTGGCGTCTTCGGACAGAGAAGCAACAGCGGAGAGCCGCCAGGATCGGCGCAGTAGAACTCGTCGAATCTCGTGGCTCTGAAGCAGGCCCTTCAGAAGCAGCGACCAATGACACTAGGGCCCGAATCCAGCGACAGGAAGAGAGTCGCAGAGCTGAGGCGCATGTTCAGTCTGAGTGAGCCGACGCTTTCGACTGTCAAGTGAGAGCTGCCAATGGCTTGGAATCGGAGAATTTGGGGGATTTGAGGAGACGGAGACGCTATCATCATGGCTGAACGATGATGAACTTTCACTTCTCTTTCATACAGAAGATATCGGATTAGATGGCGGATGGGAACGGATCGGACAGAGACTGCTGACTGGATATACCCCATACTGCGCATGGTTCGTGCTTAGAGGGGGGGGCGGAAGTTTTCACTGACGATATAGAGAAGTAGAAATGAGAGAAATATAACTCTGTTCGCTCATGATGGTCCTCCTATCAACTATATGGGATAGGCCGTCTCTCTGTCTTTGGATGACACAAAAACGTTTCTGCTGGGAAAATCTCCCTCTCTCTCTCTCTCTCTCTCCTCGTTCATTCTCAAAGTCCGGTGAGCGTATCCAAGGGACCCAAAAAATCCAACTTCCCCACGGGCACCCCTTCCTTGCGCAGGATCAAATAGGCCGTCTGCGAGTGGAAGAAGAAATTCGGCAGCGCGAAGTTCTGCACGTAGGCGAGGTTGTTGAAGTCGAATTCGCGGGGGCCCGCTTGCACTTTGCAGGTTGCTTCCTAGAGAAAGAAAGAAAGGCGTCAAGCAGGAACTTATTCAGAAGGAGGAGGAAGAAGAAGCAGGAGGATGGGGGTGGGGTGGGTGGGGAGGCAGACGTACAGGAGCCGCGAATTCGGCTTTCTTCGCGGTCTTCAGCTGGGCGATGGCGCTCTCCAAGCGGGCGTAGAGATCGGCGAAGGACTTGTCGTCGTCGTTGTTGTTGTTCTCGACGGAGGATGAGGGTGGTGGTGGTGGGGTCGCGCCTCCGAGGCGTTGCAGGACGCCGGTGGAGTGCTTGCAGCAGCTTTGGACTTGGAAGGGCAAGGGCTGTGCACGTGTGGTTTTCATCAGAAAGAGAGGGTGAGAATTTGGTGGGTTTTTTTTTTGGAAGCGGGAGGGGGGGTTTTTTGGGTGTAGGAAAAGGAGAGGTGGAGGTGGAGTGGATTGGATTGGAGTGCATGGGAGAGGAAGGTGTTCTCTTGGTGTTTATTTATTTATTCCTTCAACTTACGAGCATATCCGGCGCGATGCGCCCCTGGATGAGTTTCTCCGGGTCGACATTGTTGTCCTTGCACCACTGTTCGCCCTTTTTGAGGAAGGCGAGTTGGCTCTCGAGGGCTCGGGTGAAGATTGGGACGGAGAGGTCGTAGAGGTTCAAGGAGGAGGAGGATGAAGACATGGTGGTTTGTGGTAGTGGTGGTGTGGTATGCACGCGGAATTTGGAAAGATGATGAAAAAGCAGGGATTATTGTAGAATTGCGTGCGCGCTGCTGATGCTGATGATGATGATGAGACGTAATTGTAAGTGAATGCTTCTCTCCCACAGCACAGACTATATATACCCCAAACCCCCTCACTTCTGACAAAACGATGTCTCCTGTTTTCTTTGTAAAGGGCGTTGGGGTGGCACGTTGACCGCTCCACACTGTCGTACCAAGCTCCCCGACTGGTTTCACTAGGGGAGCCGGATTACAAATCAGAAATACACCGACTCCAAGAAACTGCGAAGAAGGTCGGCTTTAAGGATCTGCGATGATGATACTAGCAACCGGGATCCACAACTTCCTCGGGCGATAATGCTGTCTCTACATTGTGCATTGTTGTGCGTTGCTTGGGCGCATGTTGGATGGCTTTGCTTGGTCATCTCGGGCATTGAAGATCCTCCGATCAAAAGGACTGTCACACACAGACGGAGGTGCAAGTTCATCCGTGAGGAGAGGCTTTACGTGAGCAGTGAGACTCCTTCATCATAGCGAGGGGTTTCATATTCGTCGTTGTTATCATCGTACGGGGACGGAACGCTACACGATGTACCGATAGCCCTTCTGGAGCATTCTCGCCGCGGCGACATCGATCCCTTCCATCTCCGCCGTCTTCTGCAGCTTCTTGAGATCCCTCTCGGTCAATTGAGCATCCTCATTCCCCATCCGGGCCAATTGTCGGTTCTGGTATTCGAGATAGAACTTCATGATGATGCCGCAGATTCCAGCGATGCTCACGAGACCAATATTGATGCCCATTGCTTCGCGATACTGTGGATCTGTCGTGTTGTAGGTAAAGGGAGTCCAAATGGAAGCCGCGTTTCCCACGCTGTTGATGAAGGCGAGCGCCGCGGCTCGCTTCGCGGGAGGTCGGGGAATGGCGTTGGCTATCCAGGCATAGATGGTGCCGTTCATTAGAAAGATTGAGTTCAACAAGAACAGGCTGAAGTACCGGGGTCCGAAAGATGTTGTGAACATAAAGATCAAGGCACCGGCGATCGTGAGTGGCACAGGATAGATGAAGAACCAGAACCGTTTGCCCACCTTGTCAGAGAAGATGCCGTGGGCCAGAGATGTGAAGACGGTGAAGACGTAGGGCGGTGCAACTAGCAGGAGCGAGATGGTGTTGTCATAACCAAGCGTCTTGGTCAACGAGGGGAAGAAGTTCTGGAACCTGGTTGAGGGTCAGCAAAGCCGGCCGAACATATCGCATAGATCATGGAAACATACCCAGCGCAGCCAGTGATGCCATGATAGGCAATAGCCAGGACGTATGTCTTTGGATCGAGAAAAGCTGCCTTGACTCCGCCGAGTTGAGACATCGCACCGCCAGTATCCACATCCGCTTCTGCAGCATCGAGCGCCATTCTTCGGTTGGCAACGTGCTTCATCTCGGGAGATAGGCGTGACCAGGTGTGTGGGAAGTCAGGAAGCACAAAGATGATGGTGATTCCAATGAACACAGTGATGGAGCCCTCGATGATGTAGAGCTGGGGTGAATGTCAGCTGCATTGATTTCGTCTTAGCCATGTTCTCCTGCTCGACTTACCCATTGCCAAGGGTCCATCCCTAGATTCCCGTCCAACCCACGAAGGATGCCGGCAGCAATGAGGCTGCCAAAAGCACCCGACACCAGCGATCCGGAATAGAAGAGCGACATACGCAAGTTCAATTCGCTCTTGGTGTACCATTTGGACAGGTAGAATAGGACTCCAGCAAAGAAAGGCGCCTCCACCAGTCCAAGAATGAATCTACAGGCCACGATGCTACCGTAACCTTTGACCTGAGATGTCAGAGCCGAAACCAGACCCCACGCAGTGATGAAAAAGCCGAGATACCACGATGGCTTGCCACTGAGACCTGATACACAAATTGCTTAGCCCAGATACCACGATAGCTCGCCACTGAGGCCGAGTTCAAACCACTGACCTAATAAAAAATTGCTTGGCACTTGCATTAACACCTGGGCAAAGTCAGTAAATTGTGGACTGGTGCTTGGTGGAGGAAGAAACGTACATAACCGACGAACAGAATGCTCAGTCCGACCTGGTATTGCTGGGGGCTCAGCTTCAGATCCTCGGTCAACCCTTGCAATTTGGCAGCAGCGTAGTTGTTGCGGTCGATGTAGTTCATCAAGTAGACGAGCACCACCAGTGGCATGATCAGGGTATCGATTTTGCGTTTCAGCTTCTTCTCGATCACCTTCTCCTCCTCCGTCAGCTCTGTCAGATGTGAGGCCTCTTCTTTGCTGCCTTTGCCGATGATGTCGTGGTCGGCGACCTCATGGTGATAGACATCGCCCTTCTCGAATTCGTCCGACATGGTGGCGCCCTGGTTGCGTCGTGAAGTCACGGTTTCAGAGTGGCCGACAACATGCGATGGCAGTCTTCGGGTAGAAGTGAATACCAACGGATCTCAAGCCGGGGTAGGAGTTGACGTGGCGACGAACAGAGCGAGGGCGAGGGCTTCTGATCAAGATGTGCAAGCTGGATGTTTACGAATGAGCGTACGCCAAGGCCGTTGGAGGAGGGAGGCGAATTAATATTGAGGGGAAGCGCTACCACACTACTGTGCTATCCACTGGTACACTGATGTTTTTCGCAAGATCTGCGTTTCGATGGAGCACGTGGCCGGCACGCTGCGAGAGGGAACACTGATGATGATGATGAGCGAGCGGGTATGAGAGTGGACACCCGCTGAGAGAGATGCCCGTCAATGGCCGCCGCTCTGTTTAGGCTCAATACTGCTCCCTCTCGTGCTTCTTCGTAGAGGGGTCGAATAGGCTTTGCCTATTCGTCCGAGTGGCGTGAGAAGGCAAAGCCGGGAGGAGGTGCTTTCAGGCAGAATCTCACCCGCCTAACAAGCCTTGTCTCGTCCCGGAGACGACTCAAGACATTCAAGCACTCAGGTTGAGTCACTTGCAGTAGAATGGTTCATGTCTCTTCCCCAGAAAATCCAGTCCTCTCCGCACTCCGCGGATAGATTGATTGAGAAGGGCCGTCGACACGGCTCATGCTCCGATGAACAGACCACAACAAGTGCCACCATATGATGTGGGCAGAGAAGGCCCACAGCAGCTCGTCATTGTGCTTTTCATGGACGTACAAGGCCGAGAGCAGCGTGCTGAAGGTCGTCATGTGACACTCGTTTAACAATGGCTGCTGACTCGTAGATATGGGCATGTGAAAAGGGAAGGGAACGAACAAAGTCAAATGGTGTGAAGTGGAGAGATGTCAAGCCTGTCGTTCTCTCCACGGATATTAGTCAGATCTAACACATAACTCACAGCGGACCGAGCGCGCGATATGCCGAGGTCCAACACCCTCGCGAAGTAACCAACCACTTGCCGTGGAGCAGCCAGTGACAGTCTTCCTGATTACTCGCGACGTCCTACAACAACAACAACATCATCATCCCCATCAACGAATCTAGAACAGACGAAAGCGTTGCAATCGAAGCAGAAAGCGAAGCGAAGCGAAGCGAAGCCTCCACCAATCCACGACAAACGATCCCCCTCCCACTTACCCGCCATGTCAAAGCAAATCACCGCGAACGAAGTCAAAGAACACAACACCGTCGAGAAAGGCCTCTACATCATCATAGACAACGGCGTCTACCAGATGGACGGCTTCGTAGAAGAGCACCCGGGCGGCGCCAAGATTCTCAAGCGAGTCGGGGGAAAGGATGCGAGCAAGCAGTTTTGGAAAGTGAGTCTCTCCCCTCATTCACCATCATTGCACACATGGCGTTGGAAGGAACATTCTTTGCTGACTCCCTGCCCTCCTCCTTCTCCTTTCGCAGTACCACAACGAAAGCGTTCTCAAGAAATACCAAGCGCGACTGAAGATTGGAGACTTGAAAGAGGGTGCGAAGCTCTGATGAAGTTGGCGGCAAATCTATCTGCCCTGGTCCCGCCCGATGGAACGTTTATATATGCCATGTGTTTTATGATTTCTAAAGAGGAGTAGTGATGATACAGCCGATTTGAGAGAAGATGATGGGTCAGAACATACCTACCGGACATGCATTCACGATTTCCAACTTTTGCACCAAAGGTGAGGTTATTGCGCGACTTGAGATTCTATCTCCGCCACCAGAGAATTTGAAGACGTGCGCGGGCTCGGACTTTTTCTTTCGTCCACCGCATTGGGATGGATATGTTCCCCAAGCCGGAACGACTCACGTACTCGGGCAGCACGAACGCTCAAAACACCATCGATCTCTCAGCACTCCAAAATTCCCGAATCCATACCAACTCCATTCCTCTCCTCTCTTTGCACACTATAATACATACACACACACACACACCACCATCATCATACATACACCGACTCCCCATTTCATTTCATTTCATTTCATTTCATTTCCAGAACAACTAACTAACGCGCACTCACAGCCTTCCTCGGCCGACTCGCAGCCGAAATCCTCACCTTCCCCTCGGGCGTCCTATCCGCCTTGCCCGCCGCAACCTTGGACAGCGCCGCCGGCTTCGGCGTGTTCCCATTCTTCGTCGCGATGTTCGACTTGCCGCCCTGCTGGGGCCTCGACGCGGGCGAGATCTTCACTTTCCCATCCGGGGTTCGGTCGGCTGCTGAGGAGGAGATCTGCGGCAGAGTCGGGGTCGGTCTGGTGGTGGTGGAGGGTTTCTTGGCCGGGAGGTTGCGATTCGCTGTGGCGGGCGGGGGTTTTGAGGGGAGAGGGGTGGTGTGTTTCGGTTTCGTCGCGGAGGAAGACGTCGATGAGGCGGCGGGAGCGGGTAATGCTTTCGTCGCGGCGGAAGAAGAAGAAGAAGAAGAAGGCAATGCCTTCGTCGTCCCTTTCCCTCCTCCCCCTCCTCCCCCTCCCACCGCCGAACTCGCCTTCACAGGAACCTTCCTCTCCCCACCCCCACCCCCACTCCCACTCCCACTCGCCGCCATACTATTCTTAATCCCATCCCCATAAGAATTAATATAACTCCCCACACCCCCAATAGCACCTGTGCAACGCGCTACCGATCAGAAAACAAGAAAAAAAAACCCCCCAAGCAAGGATTCCCGCTGATTTGGGAAAGGAAAGGGACTGGACTGACCGTTCGCACTTTGGGAGACGTTGCGGCCGCTGTTCTCGATCAGCGTGCCGGCGCCGCCGACGGCGTTGCCGGCCATTGTGCCGCCCGCTTGGATTGCCGTCGCGGCGAGGCCGGAGGCTTTGTCTACGACCCAGTCTTTGGCCCATTGGAACATTTTGAGGGGCGGGGGAAGGGGAAAAGAAGCCGGGAGGGGATGGGGGGAGAGGTAGAGTAGACGAAGAGGGGGGTTTTGGTGATGCGTTTTGCTATTCTTGACGATTTGATTGTGTGTGTGTGTTTTTTTTGCTTTTTTCTTTCGTTCTTCCCGCAGCAGTTTGTTGGTTCGTGGTTCGTGGTCGACAACGGGGGTAGATACACAAGAATAGCAAGTAGGTAGTAAGTAGGTAGTAAGGTAAGGTAAGGTAAGGTAGGTAGTAGAGAAACAAAGGCGAGGTTAGCAATACGTCCCCCTCCTCCTCCAACCTCCCACAGTCCCCGTCCTGTTCTACTGCTGCTGCTGCAGTGCTGCCCCGTGTGTGGCGCAAAGCCAAAAAACCGGTTCTGTTCTCGAAACACACTTTTTTCCTTCTCCACCCATCCTTGTCCACGCATGATGTCAGATCCTGTCCTGTGTGTGCGTGTGTCTGTGTGAGAGGTTCCACAGACTGGGCGGTGGACGCAGAATGACGAATCCTCTCTCATGATGAGAGCAGGAGGTGCACCGCCACACCTGCGGCACGTAGCGCGCTACGAATCCCTGCTCATAACCGGTAGACTTCTTGGATAAGGTGTAGGTACGTACCTATATCGCCAAGATACACTCACAACTGACGCACGTGTTATTATGTTGGAAAGAAGGGGCGTTTTGAAATCTCCGACGGAAGATGTGGCTGGCTAGACGCTTGATTATTAGATGACTTGTCGTATGTGGTTGCTTGGTAGCAGACATCTTTTCTGACATGATATGTTTTCTGGCATCGCTATATGTTTGCTAGACTTTCGATTGTAGAGTCTTTCTCGTTCATCATACATGGTCTCGTCTCAGACAGGCTTTCCATTTACGTACTTTCGAGTCCCGAGTGGTTTTGAATTCTTCGACACTGGTGCCTTCTTTGCTGCAGGTGGAGGAGGAATCTTGCCTCCCGGCTTCTTCACATTTCCCACAACTGGCGCAGAGCGAACGGTCGGAGGCGCTCCGGCAGCTCTCGACGCCGCAGGATTGCTGTTGGCCTTGGCTGCCGCGGCGTTTGCATCCACTTGCTGGGCCACGCGGTTCAGATTCTTCGCCGTCAAAGCTGGCTTGATCATACCGGGACCTTTGGCAGGCTGCTTGGCGGCAGTCTTTGGAGCCACCGTCTTTGCCGTGGAAGCTGCCTTCTGCACAGGCAGAGCGCTGCTTTTCTTCTGCGCCTGAGCGGCCACGAGCTTCTGCACCTGTTGACCGGCGCTATGTATAGCCATGGTGCTGATGGGTCTTGTGATCATGCTCTCCATGTTCACCAAGGGCATCTCCCTCCGCACGTTCTGCGCTGGCGTCTTCGCAGCGGCATCTTTCTGCGCTTGAGAGACCACCTTCTGCGTTTGGCCCGCCGCCTTGGTGAGGTCTTTCTGTGTGTCACTCGGAAGAGCTTTGTCTGAGCCAGGCGCTCTGGCAACCTCTTTGGCAATTTGAGCATCTCCAGAGGTTTGTAAGGCTTGTTTCATCTGTGCCTGTGTCGCCGGGGCTGTCTTCAGAAGCTTGTTTATCACGCTGTTGGGAAGGGGATTCTGCTTGTTAGCTGCCAGAAGAGCATTTCGTATCGCATCCTGTGCTGTTGCCGCCATTGGCATCTTACCGAGTTGTAGGAGGTTGTATTGCTGTGATTGGGCGGCCTTCCGCATCATCTCGTCGAGATTGAACGGTTCTGTCATGTCGACACTGGAGAGCGCTCCAGCGGCTGTGGTAATTGGTCCGAAGATGCTCAGGAACTCATCCCATCCGCCACCTTTTACCGACGTTGAGATGGACTTCGCATGGCTCGGCTGCCTTTTCCCTTCTGCGGCGAGCAAAGCTTGGGTGGGCCCCTCCGCTGGAAAAGTGCCAAACTTGTAGTAGTACTCAAGGATGTAGTCTTTCTCGCGCCAGCGATTTAGTAGCCAACGACTGAATTGCTCATCGTCTTCGTAGGGTATCTCCGACGTCTTGAAACGCCGCCAGTACATATTCACCGACTTCGGGGGCCTGCCTTCGAACAGTGACGACTTGAGCGTGAAGATGTCTTGGCCATATTGTCCCCTTGGAACGCCTTCGTAAGCAATGGTGCAGTCGTACAGCCAATTGGTCGTTGGTCGCAGCTCCTGGAGGCAGAACTGCAAGCCTGTTGAACGCGGGAGGAGTTGATGCTTCATGTCCGGGACCCCAGTCTTCTGCGCCCATTTCGCCGACTTCTCTCGGGTGACTGCGGACAGATTCGTGCCCTCGGGGAAGATGAGTAACCACATGGGGTCTTTGGGGTTCTTCAGGTGGTCGAGGTGTCTCTTGAACTTGTAGCGGTCCTGTTCCCATTTGCGACTCAGGAAGATGAAGTTGTAGAACTGCATGCCCCAACCGATGATTGGAAGCTGCTTGAGACTCTCCTTGAGAATGATGTAGATGCGGCCATGCATCTTGTTGGTGTACGCGATCCACCAGAGATACAGCCAGTCCGTATAGAGCTGATGGTTCCCCATGAGAATGATTCGGTGTGGGAAATTGCATTTCAGCGTTCCATCGTCCATTACGAAAAGTTGGCCCTTCATGCTGTCGTCCCCGCTCACCTTGACCACGGTTGGCGCCCACCATTGCGTGATGGTGGTCATTAGGACGGCGAAGGACTCCTTGGTCCAGGCCATGTATGCTTCGTAGAAGTTGGGATCGATGAACTTGAGAGGCGCTCCGATGAATTGGGAGGCCGATATGGCCATGATACCCGACAAGAAGGTCGAGGCGGCGGAGAAGGCTCGCTCTGCCTGGCCCATTCCGCCATGTTGAATGGGATTGGGATTGTTGTCGCCTCCCGACTGCAAGCTGACACCGGCCTGCTTGACCGGCTTCATCGTCGGCTTCGCAGGCGGCGGCGGCTTCGTGACAGCAGCAGTGGCAGCAGTGGTGACTGGCATGGCCTGAGCGTCGTCCCGGTGGTGATGATGTCGCCGATGAGCTCAACAAGTCGTCCGATCCATGGTCCTGTGGTCCGTCGTCGTGCAGGGCGGCGGCGGCGTGGTGTGCACCTGCACAACCTACTCGTACCTTAGAGCACACGAATAGAATAGAATAGAGCACCAGCACCGCCACTCCCCACGGTCCCGTGTCGTTTCACAAGCTCGCATTCCAGGCCACACCGCGCCGATCGGCTGGGCTGGGTGCAAGAAGAGGGAACATGCCTGCTCGTGGGAGGAATGTTCGCACTGCAATCTGGACTGAGTTGGCGCGAGTGACGTACGTTATACATGAGAGAGGCGGGATCGTGATTCCAGGTTCATGTTGGCAGCCCACCCGGCCCTCCACCGCATCATCTTTACATACCCCTTCCCCAGATCAGCCCACGAGGAGGAGCAGCTCAAGGGACTTCTTCGACGGCCTGTCATATCCGTCCCTGCAGAATCGGAATCTGAATCGGAATCCGACAACAGTTCCAGGTCTCGCTCGATCGAGACGAGACGTCTTTGAAACGGCACGGCAGACAGCACATAGCACACAGCACACAGCGCACAGGAGGATAGACGAGCCATGGCGACGGCGGTGCAGCACGGAGCGCCGCACGTGAATGGTGTCGCTCGGCGACCACCAGGAGCTCGCGCACCGATCAAGAAGCCATACCAGCCCGGCACGAACCAAGTGAGACGGCCGGTGAATGGAGCAGCCAAAGGGCCGCAGAAGGCGGTGCAGAACAAGGCGGCATCCATAGCAGGCGAGAGCCCCGTCAATGGGGTGACGTCCGCGTACGCTGTCATGGCCTCGAGGATCGCCAACCGAGTCGCGGAGATGGCGGAGAGTATCACGTTTGTAGAACGGTAAGTTGCAAGACTTGTGGTGTGTCGAGCGGCGTATGGGTGAGGGTGTGTGTTCATCTCCCGTCGGCTAACGCAACGGCGCCGAGCAGGCCGAAAGTGAAAGAGACGGAGGCGCCGGCGACGGAGGAGAAGAAGAAGCCGCGCAAGCTGGACATGCGCCTCAACAACACCACCTCGGACCGGGTCGCCTTCTCCGCGCCCTTCCTCGACAACACGCTGCAGAAGATGCTGCAGCTCCAGAACCGCATGCTGCAGACGACCGCCGACCTGTCCAAGGCCGAGGGCGTCGACGAGAAGACGATCAAGGAGCACGCCGCCCAGAGCGCGGAACTGAGCCGCATCATCGCCCTCATCTGCGCAGAGAAGGCGCGACAAGGAGCGTGAATGTGAATGTGAATGTGAATGTGAATGTGAACATGAACATGAGGTGGTGGAAAGGCTTGAGATCGATATCAATATATATCCATCGATGAAAGGAACAAGGGCATTCGTACGTATAGGCAGGGCGTTTGGGGTCATGTTGATCGTGCTGTCGAGCAAGCAGGGAAAACACGCATGGGGACAGTAATACAATTCGTTTGACTACAGTATGTACCTCATCTCGAAGACGAGTGAGTATACGGAGAATTAGATTATTAATAGCAGAGCAACACCACTGAACAGAGGTGCCACCACATCATGAGGGGGCTCTGATAACGAACCGTCCAATCGCCCATGTGACATGCCCTGACTCTCCGTACGGTACTTCTTGTCTTGTCCCTCTCTCCCGTCTCCTCCTCCTCTCGCTCCCATATCCACCCGACAACACCTCTTCGACATGACTGCCACTTCCAACCCGACCTTCTCGGCCCAGAGATGTGCCGGACAGAGATGAGCGGATTCGGACGGAAAGTATTCGCACAGAAAGTACTCGGACAGACATGATTCTGGAGGTTGGCCAGACGAAAAGCTTCCAGCGAAAGGCTGCGCCCGCGCCCGAGCCCGAGACCTACCACTCCTCCACGCAGCCATCTCCGCTACTGGACTTGCCCTACGAGCTTCGCCAATCCATCCTCCAGTATACCCTCCGTCAGCAGCGCACACTGCAGCTGCAGTCTCCATTATGCGCGGGTCTCCACGTGTTCGCGCAACCATTGTTCCACGTCTGCCGACCGCTTCGAGATGAAGCCTTGGACGCATTCTACCAATCCAACGACTTCCTCTGGGTCATCGATACCGAGCACACACTTCGCTCCTTTCCCTCCAGCTATCCCTCACCCACACCCGTCCTCCACGACGGCGAATCCGTGCACCCGGACTTGGAAGCACCGCTTACGCCAATCTTGCCCTGGCAGTACCCACGGTTGATGAAGAACCTACGCCGTCTTCAGATCAACGTATACCTCCCTCAGGCACGTGACGCTTGGGCATTACAGGAGCGCTTGACCGCTCTGGTCAACGCACTGGATAAGGGCCGGAGACTGGCAGCATTCCACATTCTCGTCACTGCCAAGCGGAGAGCCGCCCAGATTCCTCTGACTATGCCGGAACGCACTGCACTCGAAGTCCTCGCCGAAATGGAAGTCCGCGGAAAGGTCGATGTCCAGACGCGTTACTCCTTTCGGGCAGTGACCGCTGGCGTGCAGAGTCTGGATTTGCAGCGCAGAATGAAGGCACACTGAGTCATGAGCGCGGTTCGCACCAACACCCGTCCCGGCGACATCTCTTCTGTCGGAACGTCAGGCCCACCGAAACGAGCAACCAGCCCCATCTTCCGGGCCGGGCTACACGAGGAGAAACTTGTACAGAAACCAATCCCACATCCCGAAACCATTCGCTGACCCTGGCGCCATCGGTCATTTGCTCATGGATTCCCCGGCATGGAGCCTGGTTGAAAGGCTTTGCCTCGCGCAGTCCATGTGAAACCCCTCGCCGCCGCTCGTCCCTGCCGTTTGGAATACAGGTGGACAAGCTGTCCGTCGTACATGTGGAGTTTTGAGCGCCCCTCCGACACGAAGTGAAACTCGTATCCTCACCATGTCCTCGTGGTCGTTTCCAAAACCGGCACAAGTCCACCCATCGGCTAGCGTTCCAGCTATTTCACATCAGATGGTATATTCATCCCTTCTGGAACTGGGGTTTAACAATCTGCAACGGGGAATCCGCTCTCCAAGAGAGGCGTACGAAGAAGCATGACTCGGGAGTCTTGAGCACGATTCTGCAAGTTGTATAATGTGGAAGCGGGAAAGAAGAGGTCTTCACGACTAATCAACGATATGCCTCCATCTCAAAACGCACGGCTTCCGACGATCTAGGACCTCAAGGCCCTGCAGTGATCATGTTCGACTCCAATGGACCCATCATACGACCCGCAATTCGCTATAACGATCCTCATATGTCCACGCACGAGGAAATCATCACTCCGCCCGACACGACTTTTGTCTACAACCAGGTGTCATGAGTTTTTATATCCCACAATTCTGTCCCCTGATGATGTGAATGGACATCCTGCGGAATCGTATGACCCTATCTAGCCTATGTCATGGCCGTGGTAGCTAATCCGCTGAGTGGGAGACTGACGGGGCCGGCGCAATGTGTTGCTGGGCTGTCGATTGTCAAGGGCGTCGGTGGTGGGTCAGACGAGCTTCTCGGTGGGAAGATTGGCATTGGATCGCGGGCCTTGTGCTTTGAGTGAGGGGAGGTTGTGGGGAGGTTGGGTATTTCTAAGAAGGTACGAGGGATCAAAAGGGCCAAGGTACACCTGATGATGTGCTTCTTTGCTTATGCCGAAGACCGCGCACACTGCCCATCCGACCAAGTATAGAAGAAGTAGTCGTACAAAGCCACCATCGACTTCATTCTGAACTACTTCACCTCCACTCTCCCAACATCCCAACATCCCTACCTACCTACCTACCTCCTCCTCCTCCCCCTCCCCCTTTTGATTATTCCTTCCTTCCCCCCTCCTTCCTTCTTCGAGCCGATGCGCAATGCAATCTCTTCCGGTGAGTGCTGACTGTATTTCCTTTCCGAACGGGAATTGACACGCCAGTTTCGGGTAATGAATGGGAAGTCCATCACGGAACTCCGATGATCTATTTTCTAGAAAAAAAGGTAATAATAAGCAGCCACCCAAAAAAAGAACCCAGAACCCGAAAACGAGGACAACGGATTCTCCTTTCTTTTTTTTTTTTTTTTTTCCCTCACAACTCCGGGACGGACGGGACGCCACACAATGGAACGGAAATTTGCTCTTTTTTCGTCAACGATACGGGTCCGATACCCAACACACCAGCAAAAGGCAGAGAGAGACACTTGGACCGCCGTTGTACGGTGATTCCGACCGGGAAATTTCGATGATGGCATCCCTTCACCGTCGCCTTCGCCGTCGGGTGTTGCTGTCGTTTGTCGTTGTTATCACCGTTATCGCTGTTGTGAACGCGGGGTTTTCGATCCTATTTTCAGCTGCCGCCTTCTTTTCTCAACCTCACTCAGCCTCAACGGGATTTTTCGGTCCAGCAGCAGCAGCAGCAACAGCAACGGGATTTCCCTCCCTTTTCAACAGGCGCGGCAGCGGGGATTGGGATCCTCCCTTCCAGCCAAAGGGAAAAAAAAAAAAAAAAAAAAAAAAAACCAAAAAGTACGGGTAGAGAAAAGAAAAAAAAAAATTTACATTTCCATTTCCATTTCCATGCTTGCTTCCTTTGAGCCAAGAAAGAAATATTTTCACGATTTCAAAAAAAAAAACCTTTTTTTTTTGTTTCTTCTTCTTCTTCTGGCGTGAGACTTGGGGTTGAAGTTGAAGAAGAAGAAGAAGAAGAAGAAGAAGAAGAAGAAGACGATTTCGGAGATCTTATGTTATGATACCGGTCGTTAATCGCTGTTTTCCATTGTTGATTGACTGACTGACTTCCTACCCATCTACCCACCTTGCCCGTCTTACTTTTAGGGATTGATTTGGAACAGCACGAGAAGAAAGATACAAAGAGAGGCAAAGAGTCCCTCGGTAGAAATTTTAGAAAAGAGAGAGATAAGACGGTGGTACGTACGACACAATGACGAGACCAACAACCACCACCACCACAACAACAATTCAGACTCTCCTCGCCCCGAAACGTCCCGCAGCAGCAGGACAAGTCCATTTCCCCGGTCGAAGCATAGCGGGACAACAACGTCGACACATCACGATCGAACAACTCGAAGCTTCGAAGAATGGTGAACTCCATCCCTCCCCCCCTCCTTTTTCTTTGGTCTCTCATGCTCCTCCCCGCTTACCTCTTTCTTCGACATCCAGATCGCGAACGAATCGTCATCCTCGGATCGGGCTGGGCGGGCTACAACCTCGCCCGCTCTCTCAATGCCCAGAAATTCCAAGCCGTGCTCGTCTCGCCTCGTTCGTACTTCGTCTTCACGCCCCTCTTGGCCTCCACGAGCGTGGGAACCCTCGAATTCCGCACCGCGCTCGAGCCCGTACGGTCCCGGGGCACGAAGTACGAATACATCCAGGGCCGCGCCGACGGCGTGGATTTCGGCAGGAAGGAGATCATGATACGGGAGACGGTGCGGGATCCGAATCTGGGGTTACTGCATCACCGCGCGGGCGAAGAGCGAGATCACCGGCCCTTGCACATGCAGTTGGAAGCGTCGCGGGGAGAGTTGTTTAGCATGCGGTATGACAAATTGGTCGTCGCGGTCGGTAGCTACAGTCAGACGTTTGGGATCCCGGGCGTCAAGGACCATGCGTATTTCTTGAAAGATGTGCAGGATGCACGCAAGATTCGGAATAAATTGTTGAGTTGCTTTGAGACGGCGGCGTTGCCCACGACTCCCGTGGCGTTGAAGAAACAGTTGCTCAATTTCGCGGTCGTCGGAGGCGGGCCGACGGGGATCGAGTTCTCGGGAGAGTTGCAGGATATTGTCCGGGATGACCTGTCGAAGCTCTATCCCCAGCTGACAGAGCATGTGAAGATTACAGTGTACGACGTTGCTGACAAGATTCTTCCCATGTTCGACCATCAGCTCAGCAAGTACGCAGTGCAGAATTTCGTGAAAGAGGGAGTGACCATCAAGACCAGCCACAGGATCTTGGAGCTCAAGAGAGGATTCCCGGTCATAGAAGGCACGCAAGATTTTCACGACGATGTCAAGGCCAGCGGGTTCACCCTCACGCTGCAAAATGGCCAAGAGGCTCAAGTCGGATGCGGCCTCGTCGTCTGGAGCACCGGACTCATGAGCAACCCGTTCGTCGCCAAAGCAATGTGCTCGTCTTTTACCGCGCCGGCCAGCAGCGTCCGACTGCTGAGCGATATCAACTCCAATCCGGATACGAAAGCCGACTGGGGGGTCCGAAAGCATGCAAAGACCGGGAGCATCATCACCGATGACTTCTTGCAAGTCCAATTGCACGCTGCAGAGCAGCACGAGGGCAGAGCGGCCGCCATTCTGAGGGATGTGTACGCGCTGGGGGACTGTGCCACGACGGATGGGACTGAGTACCCTGCCACAGCGCAAGTCGCATCGCAGAAGGCCAAGTGCTTAGCGAAGCAACTCAACAAGGGCGATGTCAACACACGGGGCTTTTCCTTTGTACGTCGTCGATGACGGTGTACAGTTCCAGAGGGGCGTCGCTGACAAGTGTTACAGCAAAGTCGAGGGATCATGGCGTATGTGGGATCATACCGCGCCATCGTGCAGCACAACCAAGGGAAGGTGTCCGGATGGGCAGCATGGTTGATGTGGCGGGGTGCATACCTCAGCAAGTCGATCAGTTGGAGGAATCGCATCCTCATTCCAACGTATTGGTAAGTTACGAAACCGTGGGCGGCTGGCTGAGAGGTAGAGCTGGAGCGGGTGAGCTGACACGGAGACGTCTAGGTGCATCAACTGGTGAGTCCATCCCGAGGCAAAATTCGAGAGCCGTTGCACAGATTGGGCTCGTCAGCTGACCTTGATCGTCTGCAGGGCATTCGGTCGAGACATCTCGAGATTCTGAGCGGAACGGTTGTCATTGTCATTGTCGGCGCTGACACGGGGCAGTGGCACGGTCGTGAGCGCTTATCACGTCGAGATGACGCTTTGGAAGTCCGACGCTTGGAGATGGTGCTGTGCAGTGCAGTGCAGTGCAGTGCAGGCATTGTCCGTGCAACGAGATTGTAATTGAGGCAATGCAGTATGCAACGTGGCGTTGGGTGGAGGAAGGGATTGGAAAGGAGAGATGGAGGTGTTGTAGGTAGTCGGTCTTGGTGCTCCGATGCAGCGGTCCTATCTCTCTCGTACCGTACATGTCGCATCATCGTAGACGAGACGAGACGAGACGAGGGAAGCAATGATGTAGAATGTCGCTTCGTTTGGTGATAAAATAAGATGAGGCTTCGCTGGTCTGACATGGCGGTGACATGGCGATCAAGACCGCAAGCGAGTGTCGTCGATAGCGGTGGACAGCGGTGGACAGCGGTGGACAGCGGTAGACAGCGGCAGACAGCGGATGGGTACAGTAGATAAGGACGAAGCCGATGCTGCGCCGAGGGCGTTTACCTACCCTAGCACATAGTACACAGTACCTACCTTACCTACCTTACCTTACCCATCATCATCATCATCGCGGTGCTTGCACTGTGCTTGTGCACCGTGTCGGTAAGGTAGCCTGTGCACCACCCGACGTTATCAGATGCAATACCGCCCCGCGTGGTCCCGGAGACTGCGTGAGTGTGTGAGTGCCTGGCGAACTTTAAACTCCCGCGCGACCGTCTACCTTACCATCTTCTCCCTCGGGCCCCGCACAGAATAATTGCCATTCATCCCGATATCTTACTCATCCCGCCGACACCTGCGACGTTGAGCCTGAGGCGACATCTGCGCGACATCCGACCACCTCCCACCGACCAGCTGAAACGAGCCGCACGTCGTCCCCAATTGGCAGCGCGACGACTCCTGTGCCTGCCTGCCCCGCCCCTTCCCTTCCACTCAACTCACTCGGTGCTCTGTCCAATAGGACAATCGCCGTCCGCACCGCACCGCCGCGCACCGCACCGCACCGCACCGTACCGTACCGTACCGTACCGCACCGCAGCCAAATCGCCCCTTGCCCCCCCCCCCCCCGATCACCTTCCCCCATCCCAGCCCAGAGCCCAGAGACGTCGTCCGTCGACTGATGTGACTGACTTCAAACCTCACCACCCGCACCCGCATCCGCCCACCACGCTCCACAATCCTGCCTCCGAGCCCTGCACGACTTGCGTCCTCGCTGCGTGCGTGCAACACGCTGCTGCTTCCGCCATCCTGGACCCGGCCGGTTTCGAAACGCGCACCAGAGATTGCTTTCCCTTCCACTCTCTCTGCAACGCACAGCGCCCGGGCCAGCTCCAACATCCCCTCCCACTCTCCCACGTGTCTCCGTAGCGACCGTCGGGTTACTCGCGCGCGATAGCAACTACTCCCTCCCCATATTCGCCAAGTGCGCCCGACGGAAAATCTGCTGCGACCATTACACCTGCGCAAGGGATTCCTGGCGCTGGCACGCTGCGCCAGCCAGCTCTGAAAGAAATCCCCCCATCCGCACCGGCTGGTCCCGTGCATCGCGAGCGCATTCCGGCGACAAGAGCTCTCTTTGTCTCTGCGCCCATCGCGACACATTGCCAGTCCTTCACCACGCCCACGGCTGCCGGAGCCGCAGGAGCCGTCAAGAGCGACCTCTTCGTCGGACTGCGCGCCATGGCCGTGTCCATGTTGAACACCCCCTCCCGCGCGTCCACCTCATCCGGCTCCTCCTACGTCCCCGTCACTCGTCAGAACACCATGAGCTCCCAGGATGGCTCGCGCTCCATGCGCACCTCGAAGCGATACTCCGTCACCGCCCTGTACCTGTCCATGAATGCGAACCAGCGGGACTTGGAGATTGAGGATGACCTAGCAAGAGCTCAGAAAGCACTCAGGGAACTCAAGGCCAAGATATCATCTCAATCCAAGAAGAACTTTGTGCTGGAGAAGGATGTGCGCTATCTCGATTCGCGAATAGCGTTGCTCGTGCAGAACCGCATGGCATTGGAAGAAGTATGACCCCGCAATCTCGCACGCATCGCTGGAGAAGATGATCACTGACACACCTCCCAGAAGGAAGAAGTTGCAAGCCATCTCGATGACTCTCTCGACCTCTCCGAAGGCTCCTTCCCGAATGACGAGAAGACACAGAAGTACGGCAACCTAATGTTTCTACTCCAGAGCGAACCCAGACACATTGCACACCTCTGTCGATTGGTCACCATGGCCGAGATCGACCAATTACTACAGACCGTCATGTTCACGATTTACGGAAATCAGTACGAAAGTCGCGAAGAGCACTTGCTCCTGACCATGTTTCAAGTAAGTCGGAAAGACCAAATGGCGCGCGCTTGATGCTGACCCGTTTCGCAAAGTCTGTTTTGACCTACCAATTCGACCACACCCCCGACTATTCTTCCTTGCTGCGAGCAAACACCCCCGTTTCACGAATGATGACCACCTACACACGAAGAGGACCCGGCCAGAGTTACCTCAAGACCGTGCTCGCCGAGCGGATCAATTCCTTGATCGAGATTAAGGATCTGGACCTCGAGATTAACCCGCTCAAGGTGTATGAAAGCATGGTGGGCAAGATTGAGGCAGACCGCGGCGCGCTGCCTGCGAATCTGCCCAAGGGCATCACCGCGGAGCAGGCTGCCGCCAACGAGAACGTGCAAAGGATCATCTCTCCGCGCATCGACATGCTGATTGAGATTGCGAATTCCTTCCTGGACACCATCATCGAAGGCCTCGAGGAGACGCCCTACGGAATCCGTTGGATATGCAAGCAGATCCGAAGTCTGACGAGGCGAAAGTACCCAGACGCCCAGGAGCAAACCATTTGCACGCTCATTGGCGGGTTCTTCTTTCTGCGTTTCATCAACCCGGCCATTGTTACGCCAAGATCGTACATGCTCATTGAGCAAACACCTGCAGAAAATCCGAAACGCACACTAACATACGTGGCCAAGATGCTCCAGAACCTGGCCAACAAGCCGAGCTACGCAAAGGAACCGTACATGCAGAGGCTGCAGCCGTTCATCCAGCAGAACAAGGAGCGCATCAATAAATTCATGATGGATCTCTGCGAAGTTCAGGACTTCTACGAAACGCTCGAAATGGACAACTATGTTGCGCTCTCGAAGAAAGATCTTGAACTCTCAATCACGCTGAACGAAGTCTACGCGATGCACGCGCTCATTGACAAGCACGCGACGGACCTGTCAAAGGACGAAGGATCGCATCTCAGCCAGATTCTCGTTGAGCTGGGCCCAGCGCCGGCGCAGCTACCACGAAAGGACAACCGGGCGATCAACCTCCCGCTCTACAGCAAGTGGGAGCACTCGCTCGACGACTTTACGGCTGCGCTGGATATCACTCAGGAAGAGGTATACTTCATGGAGGCCAAGTCGACCTTTGTGATGATCATGCGGTCTCTGCCCGCGAACTCGGCGGTCATGAGGAGGCCATTGCGGCTGGACCGGATTGCAGAAGCTGCCGCCACCACGAAGAACGACTCGGTCATGGTCCGTAAAGGCATCCGGGCGATGGAGCTCCTGAACCAGCTTCAAGACTTTGGCATCATCGACAAGGACGACAGCTACGCGTTACTCAGAGACGAGATAGAACAGGAGCTGGTGCATCTGGGGTCACTGAAGGACAAGGTCCTTGTCGAAACCCAGAAACTGGATGAAGTGTTCCGGACCATTCGTGATCACAACACCTATCTGGTGGGCCAGCTCGAGACATACAAGAGCTACCTGCACAACGTCCGTGGGCAGTCCGAGGGCACCTCGAAACGCGGACAATCGGCCAAGGTTTTGGGGCCGTATAAATTCACTCACCAGGAACTGGAGAAACAGGGAGTCATACAGAAGAGTAACGTGCCCGAGAACAGACGAGCCAACATTTACTTTAACATCACCAGCCCCAGTCCCGGCACCTTTGTCATCAGCTTGCACTACAAGGGGCGCAACCGCGGTCTGCTTGAGCTGGACCTGAAACTCGACGATCTTCTGGAGATGCAAAAGGAACAACAGGAAGACCTCGATCTTGAATACGTCCAATTCAACGTGTCCAAAGTGCTACAGCTGCTCAACCGACGCTTTGCCCGGAAGCGCAACTGGTAATACGACCTACTAATCACGACACGATCCGACTTGCCACGGACCTGTACGATATCCCGAGCGATGGATGGCAGAGAGTCGCTCGATTTCCTAGGATGCTGCATGCGAGAGGACCCGGGGGGAGAAGCACGATTGAACAGGGGGTGGAGTTTCTTTGCTGTTATCATTTGAGATACCCGGAGAGTGAGAGTTTGATGAAAGCGACCATTACCATTGTGTACGAGTAGTAGCGAAACCCAGGGAATCGGAGGGGCGGACAGAGCGTCCTTCTCTTGTCCTTTTTGTGTGGCTGATTCTGAACTTTTGCGAACACGACACCAATCAATATCATTATTACCTTATTTGAGAATCAGTAGTTGGCCTGGTTGTTGTTCGAGTTCCTTAGCTGTGCTTCACTTTGGAGGCAGGCGAGCAAGGCGATCGGCTGTGCTACGATAATTCAGGATGCGTCTGGACTTGAAGTGAGCGATCTAGGTGTCTGTTGCGGTAGTAGTACATGGGTGTTTCCTGATAGGGAGGTTGCTTCCGATAGGTACATCTCCACCCGAGATCGAGTCATGTGGTGTGGTGTGTCATAAGGTAGGGCACTACTGCTGCTGCTGCTGCTGCTGCTGCTGCTGTTGCTGTGTGCATGAGCTCTACCGGCTAGCGCGCTTGCTGCAGCTGCCTGCCTGCCTGCCTTTACCTTGATGACCCGATCTCTTGCTTTCCTCCTTCCCTCTGACTCTCCTCTACCTACTGGATCATGATACGATAATAAGCACGAGATCAAAAATCTACGCTCGAAGGGAGAGTTTTTTGTTAGTTGTATTCATATCCTAAGAGTTCCGTCCTAAGACTTCCGACTTCCGCGAAGCATCATCATCATCATCATCATCATCATCATGATGTCGTCCGCGATACCGATCCCGATGACGACGACGCCGCAGCACCGGTCGAGTCGTCCCAACGCAGAAGAGGAAGAAGAAGAAGAGCTGGCCGCTTCGCCGGATTCTTCGTTGGGACCCACGCCGCCGAGTCGTAGCAGTTTGAAGAGTAGTAGTAATAATAGTAGTAATAAGGGAAAGGGAAGAGCGAGGGATGTTCGAGAAGGTTCGGGTACGCCGACGACTCCTCCTCCTGCTTCGCGGTCGGAGTGGTCGGAGTGGTCGGAGTGGGAATTGAGTCCGAGGAGGCCGTCTTTGTTAGGTGCGTGTCGTCAGAGGAGGAAAGGATACCAGCAGTTAAAACCTTTGTTGCGAGTCACATGGAGCTAACGATGATTTGATGGGATGGCACGCCAGGCTCTTCACTGTCCCAGTCGTCTTATACCGTCGTCAATTTGAGTGGAGGAGGAGCTTATTCTTCGAGCGAGGGACCGACGAGATTGGTAAAATCCCCCCTTTCCCCTCCCCTCCCACCCAAAAGACAACCATGTAATGTAATGTCGTTACTTACTTACTGAATATATGCATTTTTTCAGGTAACCTGCATCAAATCCTCGCAAGGGTTCGACTGGAACCAAGAACTCTTCCTGCCCGCGTCGTATGCGACGTCCGACTACGATTCCCTGGAGCTGCAACACCGACCGGACCCCGTGCGGGAGATCCGGTTGACGGAGGAGGAGGCCGAGGCGATTCTGCCGCAGCAGTGAAGGATGGCGTGGGAGAGAGAAGGCTGATCCACCTCGGGAGAGCGTGTATGACATGACACGATATGGGGTCTTGGGTATGGGTGTTCTGGGGAGGGATTCGGTGGATATGGAGGACGCTCTTTTTGGGGGGATTACGGGCATAGGGCGTTGGAGGAAAGGGAGCTCCGGTGCTGGGAGATATCACTTGCATGGGACCATGATGGAGTTTTCGTCTTATTTCTCTGTATGTCCGAGCTACGAAGCTATATCGTTGTTTAGAAGAAGACACCGCAAGCCGAGGATGAAGTGGATCGGTCAACTCGGTAGTGTCAGGTCTTGTTGGCGAGATGAACTACTCGGAATTCATAAGCCTGAGATGATATCTATGCTGCAGCTCATGTATCCCTCTCGATCATCATTCCCTTCCCTCACTCCTCCCTTGGCATGCACCTTCCTTATCTCCACGATACCGGCAAAACAATCACCCGCCCGACGGAAGCCATTCCGCACACCAACCCCGGACCCTTAAGCCCTTAAAACGCGTCCCGTCGCCCCGTCCCCCGTCCCTCGTCAACAAACAGAACCTCTCCCCAAAACAAAGCACACCAAAACAAACAAAAATAAACCAACCCTCCACCCACCACCATCATGGCCACAACCAACATCTTCGAATCCGCCTTCCCCCAACAAGCCCAACAAGGCCACCGCGCCACCGACTCCCCCCACCGCAAAATCGAACTGCAATCCCCGCAGGACCTGACGTACCTCATCGCCAACGTCTCGCGCGCCGCGAGCGAGAAACTCGACCGCCACTTACCCCCCGACGCGCCCGAGGGCGATTTGCGCCAGCGCGTGGAAGTTCTGGTGCAGGCGTATGTCGCGGAGACGTTTGAGCGGGCGAAGGATTCGATTGTCGTGAATGGGATTGAGGCAAGGGAGGTGGAGTTGGGGGAGGCGGGGAAGGGGGAGGAAGGTGAGTTATGCAAGAGCATATAAAGATGGGGGGACAGACCGAGAGAGAAGAGAGAGAGGAATTGAAGGATTTCAAGAAGTCTTCTCGGCTGACGATAATGTTTTCTTTTTCTTTCCCCTTCACAGAACTCGAGTCCTTCGACGCCAAACTCGCGCAGAAGATCCAATCCCTAGCCGCACAGATCGAACGCGAGACGCTATACCTCGCGAACAAGCGGCGGAGAGCACCCCAGGAGACGGCGAGGAATTTTTTGGCAGCGTTCGAGGAGCAAGGAAGGGTGTGGGATGCGAAGCTGGAACGGGAGCAGGAGGTCCGGGTGGCAGCTGCGCGGAAGACGGAATTGCAGGTCGGGAGGGTGGAGAGGGTGGGGGAGATGCAGAGTGCGTGGGTAAGAGGGAGGGAGGATTTGGCTGGGTTGAAGGGGGGGATGGAGGGGACGCTGGAGAGGATGGAGAGGGCGAGGAAGGCGGTTGAGGCGGTGGAGAAGTAGGTTGCAAGGCCCGCAGTGGTTCAGTATTTGTGGGGATGATGATGATGATGATGATGATTGTTATGATGATATACCCCAGAGGCATGGAACGGTGGACTGGAGTGGCGTTTTTTCGGCCTTTGGAGCGGTAGAGTCTTGGATATTAATCTCAACTGTGAGTCCCTTTGCGCTGCTGCGTATCACGACCACGACCACGACCACGACCACGACCAAACCGGGCCGCGTTGTTGACACCGAGCTAATAAATAGTAGTACACGCTTTCCATGCAGAGCGTCCGGCTCCGCGTCGACTGGTCGTCTTCTGGGTAATGACTGCTCAAACAACAACAAACAACAACAACGACACATCACTCTTCCCAGCCCAGCCCAGCCCACCTCAAATCCCTCCCTTCCGCCTACCTACGCACTGTACTCCCACGCACCGGGACCCGTGGCGTTGGTAGTGAGCAGATCGGCGCCGAGGCAGTTGGTGAAGTTGAGGCCGTCGAGGGCGGCAAACATCTGCCACGCGGTCTTGAGATCCGGGTCCTGCACGCTGCCGGTCTCCGGGCAGAAGACGGTGCCGTTGACGTACGCGAGCTCGCCGAAGGAGGCGAGCTGGTCGAGGGTCCAGCCGCCCGTGAGGGCGCCCGCGGGCTCTTCCTCGGAGTGCGCGGTCGTGTAGCGCACCGCGCCGCAGGTTGGGTCGATGTAGCTGTGGGAATGACATTATCCATTATCAGTAGATGGTATGGTATAATATAAAGGTTTTGTGGTGTGGTGTGGTGGATTCCAAGGATAGGGATAGGGAGAGAGAGAGAGAGACAGTACGTACAGCATCTGACCCCCAGGGACGTCGACATCGAGCGCGATGCCATGCGTCTCCTCATCCGGGCCGGTGAAGATGGTCTGGCTGCTCTGGGGGCACGGGATCGGGATGCCCTCTGCGGTCGCGTTGGGGCAGTAGGTGGCCTGGGGCTTGCCGATCCAGAGGCCGCCGCCGGTGGCATTGATGGCTTGCAGGTGGATGGGCGAGGCGGAGCGGGCGGCGATGAGGGTGAAGGTCTGGTCGAAGACGCCGGTGGTGTTGGAGGAGGCTGCGAGGACCAGGTTGATGATGGTGGTGGAGGCCAGCGTGATGCCTGCGAGAGCTGGGAAGGACTTCATCTTTGCGGTGATGGGGATGACAGTGATGATGGCGTTGTTGTTGTTGTTGTTGTTGTTGTTGTTGCTGTCGAGATGGAGTTGTCTGTTGGCTGTCGATGTCGGTGGTGAGAAGGGGGAGTAGTGCACAGTGGTGTGTGTGTGTGTGTGTGTGTGTGTGTGAGAGAGAGAGAGAGAGAGAGAGAGAGAGAGAGAGAGAGAGAGAGAGAGAGAGAGAGAGAGAGAGAGAGAGAGCGAACAAGGAAAGGAAAGGGAAACCCGGCACACGTCGTTTGCAACCAACAGTCAAGTTAACTAACTGCAAGGTCGGTCCATACAAACCCACCACAGCACCAAACGAGTCAAACCGAAGCCCCGATCCTGGCTGGCGAACGAAACGACTAAACGGGTTGAAACACCGACAGACAGAACAGACAGACAGACAGCTCGTTCTCCCCACCATCACCATCACCACCTCATCATGTTCTTCCAACAAACAAAACCCACTAAAATAATCTCCGAATTCCCAGAGTGAAGTCATCGCGTGTACCACACACGGCACCGTCTCGCGCGCCAGAAGTTGCCGGGTAAATTGCCCTCGTTTCACCCTGCCACCCTGCACACTAGTACATAACATGCTCCATAGTAATAATCCGATCCGAGAAGAATAATGAACAGGGAACAAGAGAGGGGGGCAGGTCGGCTACCACCTACACCCATCATTCCACTTCACATACTACGTCAAAGGTCAGTCAGTCGCTTATACAGACAGGAAAAGGGAAACTTACATACCGTCCATGATGATGGATCTCCTGCTCCCATACATATCCTCTTGATCCTGGGGAAGAATGGCCGTGGAAGTTCGTACCTACATCCGCGCGGTACCACGACATGGAACGGATTGCAAGCCTCACCCAAGCCCGTCGTGACAGAGGGTGATACGATTACCTCAAAGAAACCTACAACCTACAACAACACGCAACACGCAACAAAGCCCAGAAGAACGAACTTCTAGCTAGAATCCATGATGACTCTGTCTTGTCTGTCCTCCAGACTACAGCTCATCCCGGACGCGTTCATGCTTCTTCTCCTGCTTCTTCCGTTCCCGCTCGGCATCCTCCCTCTGTAATCTCTCCTGGATGCTCTCTTCATTCCCGCCGCTATGCACATCCGCCATGCCGCTGGATGCCCTCTCCTCGGCCTTCGATCCCGCTGCCGCCCCTCTACCCTGCTGTTCTTTGTAGCGCTTGGCCACAATCGCGATTTCGTCGTCATACTCCGTCCACTCGGGCACCTGTCTTCTCGCCCGATCCAGCTTCGGCTCCTTCGTCTGCGGGTTGTTGCACAGATCAATCGTCTTGGCATCCTTCAAGCTCTCATCCGAACACCACGTCTCGCACCAGAGCCACTCCTGCGGGAGGCTGTGGATGGGTAGCAAGCTCTGCATGTGATTGGGCAGATCCTGGTCCAAGTTACTCAGACTATTCGGGTCCGCCGAGAGTTGATGGTAGTTCTGCCGGAGCCGGTCTCCTGCTGCCATTTGTCGGAAACGTTTCAGATCCACGACGTACAGCGCCGAGATGTGATATGGCAGACCCTTCAAGAAGTTCTTCCAGTACCCCTGCTTCCAGAACCGGAAGCCTTCCATCTCCGTGCGCGAATCGCACATGGGTGTGAAGCCGTACGGAGCGCCCTCGAGGTCGTGCTGCACCAGATCGTACATATCCGTCCGCACAATCTGGTCCGCATCCACGAAGATGACCTTGTCCAGGTCCAGCGGGAACAGTACGTCCAAGAAGAGGATCTTGTATCCCCATATCTCACGCTGCTTCTCCTTCTGTCCACGCAGCCAGTGCGGCCACTTGTATGTCACCATCTCGTACTTGAACCCATACTCCGCCGCCATGATGGGCAGAAAGTCCTTGAACGAGGGCGACAAGAACTGTTCAATGAACCAGAACTTGACACTGTGATTGGTGTGCTTCATCACCGACACCATCATGATGTTCAGCATTCGCTCGTACAAGTGCCCAGACGCGACCGAGAAGATGTTGATGTCAGCGTGGCCGCCTGCGGAGTTTGCAGTCTTGCCAGTGCCAGGCATGAGGCCCGAGCCAAGCTTGGCCGCCTTTGAGAGGTATTTGCTGGCTTGTGAAGACTTCAGTCCCACCTGATCCAGGAGGTTACCAGCGCCTTCGGCAAGAGATTCTAGAGCAGATTTGGATGGCTCGAGCACATCTTCCTCCTCCATACCTGGCTTGCGAGAGAGACGAGGATACAACGTCGAACCCCTGAAGCTCATCAGTGCAATCTCGGTCGTGCTGTCGCCAGCCTGAGCAGCGTAGCCCAAGGTGCCAGCACTGTCAATGTTGAAGATCTCTTCGCTTCGCCCCTTCTGCAGAGCCAGGTTGTACAACCCCGGATTCGCCTTGAACTGGAAGTAACCGAGATTTGCCATGATGATCGTATCGGAAAAATGAGGATCCAGTTCAGTTCCGAGTACGAGCTGAACACCCCGTGGAGGAGGTCCCGTGCTAACGTCTCGAGAGTGTCCCTCGATGAGAATGTGCTTCAGCTCATACACTGCTTCGATGTTCGTGTCACTCTTGACTGCACTCAGCTTGATGTTGTCGAGATCATGCACTGTGTCCTTCGGCGCCACCAGCCATGAAGGCGGGACCTCCATGCCCATGTTGAGCAATGCTTCCGCCGGCAGACCACCAAAGTGGGCCCCAATGCCGCTCAAAGACCCGTCGCTCTCGAAAGCGGGCTTGGAGCCCAGTACTTGTCTGTAGAAGCGTTTGATTGGAATCTCTTCCAGTCTTTCTTTCGGGTTCAAGAACAGTCGTGTATACACGCCATCGAGCTCAGACAAGACCTTGATGATAGCAGTCCACTTCTGGGCAAGTTCCGAAGCCGGATCAATCGAGGCAAAGATTTGAATTGTTGCAGTCTCAGGGTCGCCAACGTGGATGGCAGTCTGGCTGGCATTCCACTTCTTGAAGATGTCAGTTCGCACAGTAGGCGCGGCCTCGAAGATACCCTCGGGTACATCAGATACCATAGAAAGCGCGATCAGGTTCGACATCCTGGCAAAGGATAACGGCGTCGAAGCCTTGTCTGAGAGCCCGTGAGCCTCGATGGCCAAAGCGGCAGGCAACAGACGCTTCTTCCGTTCATAGCTGAGCAAGGTTTCGAGATCTGAGACTTCCAGCCCAACAGTGTCATTCATGGGTCCAGCGACTCTGCCATTCATCACAAGCGCCTTCTTGCCAGGAGTCATGCCAATTGCGGAGACAATGTTCCCGAAAGGAGCCCAGACACTGCGCACTTGCTCGTCGATCTCGGGCGTACTCTCCATCGAAGCCGCTGAGTACAGCTTTCCGTAAACCTTGTGTCGTAGTGTGTAGTCTGGCGCATTTTCGGAGCCCTCTTCAGCAAGCAACCTGTCGTATTGCTCCAGCAGATCTTTGAGGAAGTCTTTTCCAGTGCTCTTGTCGTAGTCCGACGCCAGTCTGGTCTTGACAGTGTCACCTCTGGGAACATGCAGGAATGCAACTTCAGTGTTATCGTGTTCCCTCTGGAACAGTAAGGCCTCCATCAGCTGTTCGAAGCCCTCCTCTGAATCCATGTCCGCAACGACCGTGAGGTGCACTAGTTCCCGCTCAATGGTGTCCTTGTTAGCGGGCGAGCTGGGGAGGTCTGCAAATACCGGAACCTCGCCGAGGTTGAGGTGTCGAACGTCCTTGTCATCCTCCGGTATCACGTCCGGGTTGCGTCTCAAGCTGGCCTTTTCGAGAAAGACGTTCGGTAGGTAGTCGTCTTCGCCCAATGTGCCCTCGAAGACGGCATGCTGCACCATGCGCAAGTCCATACCAACGCGCTGGCTCATGAGCTGTAGCCATTCCTCTGATCGTACAACAGGCACACCGTTCACCAAGACTGGTGGTACAGCGTCAGAGCTGCCAAGTCGAGCGATATACGCCTGTGCGCCTTTGTACCGACTATTGATGGTCTCATCGCCGAGCACGTCCTTGAGTGGGAGTGCGACTTTGTTCGGCCGCACTTCCCGTTCCTCAATTGTCGATTCGAATATCTTCTGGTTGACCGCCCCGTGTTTCCTACCCGCGGACTCAACGGATTTCTCGAGATAATCCAATGCCGCCGCCAAACCATATCGGTCAATAAGGTAGTATACTACCTTTGCTTGCTCAGCGCTGGCTTGTGAGTTGATCTGAGGAACCAGACCAAACCTGATTGGGATTTTACGCTGGATGAATCCTCGCAAACTCTCTGAGACAAGTACCGCGTCGGTATAGTCCGCAAAATCTACTGGGACCACCAAGTTGTGGATATCTTTCCGCACGGGTGGAAGCTGTCCAGGGAAGACACGTTGGAGCAAGGCCTGCGGAGATGAGGGCCATTCTGCATAGCGCTTGTCCTTCTCAATGTCATTCATCCAGATAATCACGTTACCGCCCTCGTGCTCATCACGCCAGTCGTATCGCTGAACCTCCTGCTCCACCTGAGAAGCAGTAATGGCTTCGTGGGAAAGCAAGTCAATCGCTTCAGGTCCACTGAGGCCAATTCCCCGAACGCCGTTGATCATCTTTCGCTCATGCCTCAGATGCTCCAGTAGAGCATATGCGTCGATGTCTCTGCCCATAATCTGAACGCCGTTGATCCATAGGACATTGAGACCAGGTGGGAGCAGGACATCTCGGTTGGCGACATGCTCGGCCTTGAACTCTTCCGAGACATTGGTCGCCGCGATCGCGCTCGAATGCTTCGGAAAGTCTTGTGAAAGGCGGAGAAGAGTGTCAAACGGATTCGCGCTTCCCATGACGAAGCTCGCGGCCTTCATGCCCAGCCCTCGAAGCTCAGACTGTTGAAGTGGCCGCAAATCAGACAATTCCTCTTCGCTCAGTGTTGCCTCCCCTGTCTTTACGGATTCGTCTTTCTTCTCTTCTTCAGCTTGGCGGTCGTCAATGACAATGTAATCCGTCCGCTTGAGAGCCAATTCAACGCCATATCCACTGACGGTAAGCGGTCTGCTCTCCTGACCAGGCGTGGGCTTGTACCGCACTCGATACGACGTCTTGCCATCTTTCGCCGTCTTGCTCAATGTGTTGTGAAATTTCCGGAACGATTCTGACAGGATGTCCGCGTACAGCACGGCTGGTCGATCGCTCAGCTTGTTTCCCAGCACTCGGTCAAAGGGCAATTGATGGAGATCCTCTCCTGCCTTGCCCATAGGCTTCGCGCTCGCCTCGTCCAACTCGGCAGAGCAGTATCTCTGACCGCTGAACGGGACATACACCCAGCTTTCGCATCCGACTCTTTCACTCTCCGCTATCGAATGTACGATCGTGGTGTTGTAGTATTGGTAATGCGCCTCGATCCGCGGTGCCGCAGAGTGTAACGCCAGAGCATAATCGAATGACGAGAGTTCCTCTTTCCCTAGGTGTTCCTCCTCTTGTAACAGTGTTCGAAACTTCTTGTACAGCTCTTCATCGGTTTTGAGGGAATCGAAGTACCCGCCCGCGATTCGATCGAGGAGGGGGAAGTACGAGGTCGCATTTTCTTCGGCCGCTGTTTCTCTGGAGTTTGTGAGAGTCTGTTGAGAGTCGTGCCAGTAAGAAGGAGGCTAGACTTACAGTAGCTCTACAAGATAAGGTGGTGCGCCGAAGTGTGTTCGAAGCTCGACGTTGACCGAAGGTACGGCATTGGCAAGCGCTATGAAGAAACAGACTATTGCTGCTCTCCAGCCGACTGATTTTGTAGAGGCCATCGTCTCATCAAGAGCGCGACTGTGCTGTGTTCGCTTCACGACATCGGTAAATTATAATGTTTGATCGTTGCGAGATCGAAGCTCTCAACCCAAGGCGTTCCCAAAAAGCTACGTGTCGTTAGAAGTTGGCACATGCGGCGCTTACAAAACTTCAAGGCTCTTGCAAACCGACGATGTGAAAGAGGATTATTTGAATGACGGCAGAGTTGGAATCTATAAGCAAGAACCTCAGCGAGTTGTGGTGATGCCTACCTACATAGCTAGAGATTCGGGCACCTCCGCGGCCTTTGCCGGAAGAGGTTTAGCCTAGGAACCAATGGTCTCTGGCATGTGAAGGCAGACCCCACACAAGCTCACACAAGCTTGCCATCAAAGAAAGACCCCAAGTCTTCAACCACATCCTTCAGTAGCCCAGAAGCTCCCATCTTTGAGCTCGCCTTGATCCAGCCAGGCAACTTGCTACGTATGCGAGCCTTGGAATATCTTGCATCGAATAGCAGAATACTAGCCCAGTCGTTCTTGTGGCGAATCGCCCTTCCAATAGCTTGATTGACGCTTCTCATACAGACGTTCTCCGCATGCTCTCTGCTTGCCTTCCCCCTCGACGCGCCCCTTTCTGCTGCCCTTTGGTCCAGGTACTGCGTTTTCGCCTTCCATTCTGGCGTTTCCAGGTTGGGGTAGGGCAGGCCAACAACAACGACGCAGCGACCTAGATCGTCACTGAAATTGATGCCCTCCGAAAGCTTGCCTCCAATGACTGACAGCAGTAACGCTCCTCGCTTGTCAGATCGGACAGCTTCGCTGTATGCCCTAAATGTGTCTTCGGCAGGCACGGCGCGGCTGTCGAAGAACACAGCATTTGCTTTGTCGAGTTGTGACATGATCGACTCCTCTTTCCAGGTCTTGATGACAGCCTCTAGATATCCATAGCTCGGGAAAAAGACTACCGTGCCGCCTTCGACTTTGTCTGCGATCTGATGGATCGCTCGGCCCAATCTCAATGCACTTCCGTGGTTCCTCCCCTGGAAGCTGAAGTCCAGCAGTCCATCGACGTCTGAAGACACGGCGCGAACGAACAAGCTGCTGGGCGGAATGAGGTGACCACAAGAGAAAGTCACAATTGAGTCCAGGTATGGGAACAGCTGCTGCTTATAGTCCTCCATCGGAGACATAGTGCCTCCAGCAAGAACGACAGCACGCGCTTCTTCCACAATGTCCCGGAAATGTTCAGATGGATCCAGCAGCAGGTACTGTAGCGTCACAGTATCATTTGCTTTCGACCACATGAATCGGCCTTCCCTAGACGGGTTCATTAACGCCAGGAGAAAGTTTTGGACGTGTGTAAGAGTGGGCACGTCCGGGGTTGCGGCCGCCCGGGCAGGTTTGGCGCTTGGTTCGTTTGAGTGTTCTTGTTGCAGGTATGAAGCGTAGCCCTCGACTTTTCTTGCCAGCTTGCTTTCGTTGATGTAGCGCACAAGCTTTGCCAAATTGATTTGGTCGACGGCTTTTCCAGCAAGAAGTGCGCTTGGTAGAGCTGTTGCGCCGGCGCCACTTTGCCCTTTCACGTCGTTGACAAACCCGACCAATGAATCAATGACCCGAACGACCTGAGTAACATAACTCCGATTGCTCCCTTTTAACCGATTGCGGAAGTTCTGGAGATACACAATAAGTCCGTCCTTGGCTCGCCGAAGCTGCAACTCTGAGATCTGGACTGAGTAGATACTTTCGACGGCGTTCATTAAATTGTGAGCTTCGTCGATTACGATGGCATGGCCCTTGAGAGATATTCCCAGTGCTTCTCGGGCCGCTTTCTGCAGAAGCAGCGGGTATGGAAGAGTGACAATCTCGGCGGACCCAATCCCAGGTCTTGATGCATAGTACGGACAGATTTGTAACTTTGATCCAAGCTTCGCAAGATCTTCAATGTCTCGGATCTTGGCCAACGCATGATCTCGAAAATCGAGAACTTGATCTTCTGAGTCCTTGTTTGGCAGAAATTGGCATTTCTTATCCGCAGGAGTATTTGATTGCTGTAGCTCGATGCACCGCTCATTGATGGCAACTTGGCTCGATAACTTGTTCACTCTCGGATGAATGCATAGGTTCTTGCGCGATCCGAGTGTCATGTGCTTCAAGGCCTCAGTTGGTTCATTCCCAGGGGTGGCGTCCCCCAGCTTCGCGTTCTCAGGCGGAAGCCCAGGTGGAAGTTTGACTCTCTGAAGTTCGCCCACGAATTGCGAGAGCTGAGAGTGCGTCCTAGAACAGAAATATATCTTTGTCTCTTCAATTTGCTCGTCTTGACTGTGACCACTGTCTTTTGGGAGAAGTAGACCCAGCTTCTCCATAAGTTTCGCGGTGTCCGCTGAATACTGTGTTTTGGGATTTGCCGTCTGCTCATCTTCGCTTTGATAATCATCTAGAACGAATTGGTCTTCGTCGTCTTCCTTCTCCGAAGTCTCTCCCGAGTGCTTCTGCCTTTTGAAAGCGGGCTCTCCATTGGTATACCGCTCTCGGACCTTCTGCTCGCGCTCCCGAATGGCGTCGAGTCGTGCTTCAAAATCTTCCCTTAATTGTCTGATCTGCCGGCTTCGCGCCCGCCTTGCGTGTTCTTTCATCCATTCTGGATCATCTTCCTCGAGTTCGATGGCTGCCATAGCCTCATCGAACGCTCGCCGCTTGTGCTCGCGTAGCCATGTCAACGACCCACAAATCAAACTCAAAGATTTGCCTGTGCCCGTTGGCGATTCAAAGATACCGACTTTGCCGTCTTCGATGCAGTTGTAGACTGCTTCCATGAACTGCTGTTGAATCTCATATGGCTCGAACGGGTGATGGAAATCTTTCCGCGCCATTTTCCTGGTAAGACTTCACAAGTGTTGGCGCGTCGACCAAGCTTGCAGTGCACAGGATATGATGTTGTACAGTGGGTGCAAAGCTCCGAGCAAAGTACGATCGAAGGCGCGTTGAGAAATCCCCGCAACGCGCTAGGACGCGTCAAAGCGTGATCTGGCCGAGGTTTACAGGTTTGGAAAGTGTAGGTGAATGATTGACACGTTCATCGATGTTTTCCCTTCCTGAAGCGAAGGCTGTCTTGAAGCTGGCTGTGCTGAGACGTAGACTTTCCATCAATGACCCAGGTGTCGACAATCTCTTTCGTCTCAATCGACTTCCTCTCCGTCACCTTGGCGTCTTTGATTCGTCTGATGTATCCCAAGTAGATAGCGACCTCAGCAACTGCTACAACGGTGCTGCTGGAGAAGGAGAGTCCGAGACGCTCCGGAACGCTCCAGCGGCGAGCTGCCATCCACACGGCGACGCTCGTACAGATGATGGAGACGAGAACGTTGATGATGAGTATCATCTGGCGGTTCACATCCGCATAAGTAACCTCGTCGACCTGATCAGCAGTATTGTGGCCAAGGTCGATGCCGGACCCGAAGGTCGAGCCTGCGCCGGGAAAGCGCTGGCTAAAGGCCTCAGGCTTGGGCGGCGGGTTGATCATTCGCTCGTACTGTCTCCGCTCCTCTTCCTCGCGTAGGCGTTGCATCAAAGCCTTGTATTCCGGTGTCTGCAATGGATGGTCAGCATCAATGCTCGGCATTAATGTCCAGCAACAAAATCTTGAGTTGGTGACATACAGGCTCGGGTCTGGGTGGCGGAGGCGGTTGATATACTGCCGCCCCTTTCAACAGGGTGTCTAGGCGCCATTCCTTTGCGGCATCATCTGTCTTGCCATTTTGGACCAGAAATTTCGAAACATCGATCAGATCGTGATGGTCGATGGGACTGCCCACTGCTGCATGTGAAAGTCTGTCGTCCTTTTCGGGAGTAGAGGGCGTGAAGCTCCCCGACTGCTCCCTCCGCAGCCGCAGGTACTCGTCTATCGCGACTTTGGCTGCGAGTGTGACGGTGAGCCGGAGCATAGCACAGGCTGGTTGATGATACAGTATCTTGGTAGAGCTAGGGAGAGATGGAGGGATAGTTCGTACCTGCAGCTTATTGATAGGGATCGGTGACGCTTGGATCTCGGAGCGCTGGCCGAGACCCTTGACCGCCGGGAAGGTGAGCTTCGAAAAACTGCTGAACCAACTCAACGGCAATCCCGCGAATGCGAATTACATCCGATTCTATCCGCGGTCACCACCTCGACTACACCGACCTGGCCGCGACGAGCTCACCTCTTCTGGAGTGCCACTCGCTCTCCCTCCCTCACCACAGACGAATTTATGCCTAGACCGGCAGCAGCACGCTCGCGTGCTCTGGTTGGGACTCTCGAAACCTTGACAGCTCCCTCAGTACGACCCCAAACATCACGGCATTGCTGTCCACAATGCCTAAGACCTATACTGCAAAGGAACCTGCATAACACAGCGACGCGGAGCTACAATGTATCGCGAAGTCGAAATCAGTCTGCGGTCGCCGCGGCAGTCTCGCAGGCAAAGCAGATGTTCAATGACCCTCCGCCACCAGGACCCATGGGCATTGATCCGCTGAGGAGCGTAGCAAAAGAGCTGAAATTCATGACCGGCAATATAAGGCAGTTGCTGGGATCTGGACATCCAATGCTGGATTCCGTATCGAAATACTACACACAGTCTGAGGGCAAATATATCAGGCCAACGCTTGTGTTACTCATGTCGCAAGCGACATCTTTCTTACCTCGCAGTCCGCGTTCACCATCGGCTGGGCAACGGTCGATAGACACAGCCATCACTTCGCCCGCCGTATTGAACGACCAAAACCCCGATACACCTCTCACTACCACGAATGCCGACGATGCCGAAACAGATGACCCTTCAGTACTACCCTCGCAACGACGACTAGCAGAGATTACAGAGCTAATCCACACAGCGTCGCTCCTTCACGACGATGTCATCGACCACTCGCTTTCGCGGCGAGGAAATGCGTCAGCAAACATCGAGTTTGGAAACAAGATGGCAGTGCTCGCAGGAGACTTTCTGCTTGGAAGAGCTTCGGTAGCGTTGGCACGTTTACGGGATCCGGAAGTGACAGAGCTCCTGGCCACTGTGATTGCCAACCTGGTAGAGGGAGAATTCATGCAGTTGAAGAACACGGCCCTGGACGAGAAACACCCAGCATGGAGTGAGGATACGGTCAGCTATTACTTGCAAAAGACATACCTCAAGTCCGCCAGCTTGATCAGCAAATCTTGTCGAGCGGCCGCTCTGCTAGGCGAGCATCCTAGGGAGATTGTAGAAGCTGCGTACCAGTACGGGAAGAATCTGGGTTTGGCATTCCAGCTCGTAGATGATATGCTGGATTACACGGTGAGCGGACAGGAACTTGGCAAGCCAGCCGGTGCAGACCTAGAGCTCGGTCTTGCAACAGCACCGTTGTTGTTTGCATGGAAAAACAACAAGGAGCTCGGTACACTTGTCGGGCGGAAGTTCTCCCAAGAAGGGGATGTGCAGAAGGTAAGACTTGATATCGCTGATCAGATCCGCTGAAGATGAGCTAATGCCGGGTAGGCACGAAACTTGGTGATCGAGAGCGATGGTATCGAGCAAACTCGGGCACTGGCTCAAGATTATGTCGACACAGCCGCGCGAGCGATCTCGGACTTCCCGGAGAGCGAAGCGAAAGTCGGACTCATTGATATGTGCTCGAAAGTCATGAGCAGGCGGAAATAGACACTGACCAGGCACATATTACTCGATTTGTATCCATCCGGCAGAGTCCATTCAGATGATGTTGGCGAGCCCGGCGTTCGAGGTGCTTCTCGGGTACTTCCATTGTGGATCTCTATATGTTCAGCGTGTACATAGATATCAATGTGCGATTAGAGACGGCTTACTACCAGCATATGAAGAACTGAGGGTGAAGTGAAGAGCGAAGAGCTTCTCACTCCATCGTCAGCGGATATTTATAAACAAAGTTTCCCCACTTGCCATTCCTTGCTTCACATGCAAGCCCCACGAGCTTCCACTTTCTCCTTCTCAATTCCACAGCACGACAATGTGAACGCCCGCAACCGTGAGCAGCACTCAAGTAGCCACAGCCGCCGAGACGTGATGACAACAATGCCAACGAAGAAATGTATATCCATCCGCTCTCCCACACAATACCTACCTTGGGCCCATTTCACTAACCCCATCCAGGATCGACCCCTCCACTCGTCTCCGACGAGCAATCCACCTCCACGACCTCCTCCTCGTGCAACGAATCATCCACAACAACCCCCGACTGCTCCAGAACCCAGATTTCCAAGACAAATCCAACACCTCCCTGCACCTCGCCGCGACGCACGGGTCCACCGACATTGCCTCCTACCTGATAGCCTCCGGGCACGACGCGCAGGAGATCTCCCGGAATTCGGAACACGACACCCCTCTGATGCTCGCGGCCCAGAACGGGCACCATGAAGTCGGCACGCTCCTCGCGCACGCTTTCCCGCGCTGCATTCCGCACGTGAACCGCCAAGGGCTGGATGCCCTGGCGATGGCGGCGCAGTGTCCGGCGAGTGCGGCGATGATACCCGTCCTGCTGCAGGACGCGGCCTTCCCGGCGAGCGTGCACGTGCGGGATGCGGATGGGAATACACCGCTGCATCACGCCTCGGCGTCGGGGAGTCTGAAAGCTCTGAGGATTCTGCTCGCGGCGGGCGCGAATCCCCTGGCGAAGAATAACTATGACTGGACGCCGTTGGCGTATAGCCAGACGGTGGCGGCGGAGGTGTATTTCAAGAATCTGGTGGCGGAATTCGAGAGGAGGAAGGTGGAGGGGGCGAAGCAGAGCGAGGAGAGGGAGAGGCAGAGGGTTGCTGGGTTGCGGATCGTGGATGCGGCTGCTGATGGGGATGGCGAGGAGGGAGGGTATGAGGAGGAGGATAAGGTGATAGGGGATGCGTTGAAGAGGCACTGGAGTCCTGTGGAGAGGAAGAGGCCGAATACGCCCGGGAGGGCTGGGAGTCATGAGTGGGGGAGTGCGCCTACGATCTCGCACATCAGGACGAGAAGTGGAAGTGGAGACTGAATGGAGAGATGAGATAATCCGTTCGAGAGACCGCTACAACGGCAAAGCGCTTCAGGTCCTACTCTTTAGCGAAGAAGCTCTCCACAGGTACTTTGAATACTGGAACAAGATCTCGAAACGGCATCCGGCCATCAGCTTTACCCGCTCCGACACGACCTATACGGACACTCGATCGAAGAAGTCGTAACATCAATTGCTTTCGTCGTTACTCGGTATCTGCCATAACCACAACATATCATACACTACTCGTACGAAGATCAAGCCGGACACAAGAAATTCCTTACCGCCCCAACGACGATTTACGCTCCTCCTAAGAAGCCAAGGTAGCCTCAGTCGTGTGCATGGTCGGGTGTGGTGGCTCACTCTTCTCTTCCTCCTCCTGCGCCCGTTCCATAGCCTCAACACGACGCTGCTCAGCATCAGCAGTAGTGTGACTGGGCAATTCCTGGCCGGAAGCCATGGCGTTCGTCCCAAGCTGAGCAGAAGAAGTGTGAATCGGCTCCACGGTACTCGTCCATCCCCTCAAGCTCGCCTCGGCATCGTTGAGCATATACTTTCCGGCTTCTGCATGCGCGTAAGGCGGTCTCTCTTCACCGGGCACCATTGGGGTGTCGTCGAGCAAGTTGATCAGCTGACGAGCCTGTTGCGCGAGGAGAATCTGTTTCTCGGCCCGTTCGATAATGGCCGCGGTGTGCAGATCATAGGCCTCTTTGAATTTCTGACGAGTAATGTTTTGGAGCTGCGCTTCGGCGACGAGGGACTGTGCTTCTGCGCGGACCAATTCCTGCTCGAGAGTCACGAGCTTGGTGGATTCGGGTTCCTTGTACTTGAGCTTCTGGATTTCGTCTTGGATCTGGACACGAAAGACATCCTCTCCTTAGCTCTATTCCAGCGGACAAGGACAGAAAGGGAAAGGAAAACTCACCTTTTGCTTGTGAGTCCTCGTCGGCGCAACACTAGCCTCCGTATTCCTGATCTGCTTCAGAACACCCCTACTGTCCTCCAAGTTCTGCGCAAACATATCCTCCTGCTCTGCAACCTCGGCGAGCAAGACGCCCAGCTTGTCACTGATATCGCTGACCGCATCATCCTCGGTGCTCTCTCCCCACTCGCTCAGCTGGGACGCAATGCTCTGGCTCTCGCGGCCGGCCTGCTCGTAGGCGCCGATGGCATGGTTTTCGGTCTTGATCAAGTTGCGCAGCTTCTTGGAGAGCTCCGGCTGGTGGATGCCGCGCAGGGAGGAGAGGGCGAAGCGATGTCTGGCACCGCCGGAGGATTTGGCGTCGGATTTGTTGGAGCGGACGGAGTGGGAGCGTCCGATGTTCCTGCAGGGCGGTTTGTTGGTTAGGAAGGCGAAGTATGTGCTGTTCCGTTGCTGACGGATACTCACATGTTGGCGGTTGTTTCAATAGACGGATTCAATTACTCTTGGGCGTCGGTCCAATATCCTTGCACTTTGGGTCGAACTACACGTTTCAGCAGCTCGTAGGTTGTTTCTGTGTGAAGTTTCCTCGGAGGCGGTATGATGTTTTCCAAAGGCAAAGGCTGGAACGCGCAGCAGGAGAGAAGATGTACGGAGCGGATGCTGTGGAAGTGAAAGAGATGATGACGTATCGGCGCCGGATGAGCTGCACCTGGGCAGGAACCGAGGGGATCTGGCAAACTGGGTGCGAGCCACATATGACGGCAGCGCCAGCAGGAAGGAACAAAGGGGTGAAAGGGGCATACATAAGATAGAAAAGCAAGTCCATACCTCATCACACAGTACCTTATTAAAAGGAATGAGGGCTGATGGTATGAGGTATTGCGTTAATATCCAAGCACCCACCACGCCGCGAACCAGTCGCATAACAAACAACCTGCAATACCAAAAGAACCCCATCATGATATCATCCCCAAAGACCCAGAAAGAGAGAGATGCATCCAAATCGCCGGTGTATCCCATATCATATCGTATACCCATCATAATCGCCATTTGTATCATTGCCATTGCCATTGCCATTGCCTACGACAACCCAAGTCAGATTCTCCATCCTGTTATTCCCCAGGCAGAAGAAGGTAAGGTAAGGTATGGATGGATGGATGGATATGGATGGCATACTAACCGCAAACTCGTCAATCACCTCACAATCGTCGTCTTCCTATACACCTCCCCGCTGTGCCGGGGAACGCTCCTCACCGAGCTGCGATAGCTCACCCTCTCCACGGGCACCACGCTCGTCGACCGCCGGTACACCGTCCGTCCGTGCCCGCCGTGGTAGTTGGAAACCGGTCGCGGCGCATAGTATCCATCTCGGGCGATGTATTCGCGCCTCGGTGACGTGACGAGACACATCGTATCCTCGCTGTTGCTTGAGGTTGGTTTGGTATGGTATGGTATGGCTGGCTGGCTGGCTTTGGTGTGGCAAGGAAGGAGGAATACTGCTGTCGCCCGCGCGTCCTTCTCAGTCCACCTTTTATATAGATTTCTATCACTCACTCCGCCCTTCTTCGAAACAGTGACGTAGCACTGTAATTTCTCAGACGGCGCAAGACTCAGGTCCAAACACGTGTGGTCTTGAGTTCCGGGTGGCAGTGTCGCAAGAATCACTCCCTCACTGGTGACATGAGAAGGGAGGAGGCGGGCAGGGAGAGCTGAAGAAGGTAACAACCAAGTACTAGATCGGCGGCTCTGAAGAGGCCGCCGGGGTCATATGGACAGGATAAGCAGACGACAGCCGAGCTGCCCTTCCCTTCCTTCCTGACATCCTGGTTCACCGCCCTCCATCCCCCCCACCAGCCATCCTCGTAAACATTGCTGATGCGTGATGTCAGAGGCTACTACACTTAAGCATGGAATCATCGCTACACGAACAGTGATAAACCGTCTTCATCATGCACTAAACTATAAGGTATATACGTACGTAACATGTCGTCAAAGTCATGAGCGCCCAAACGCCTTTTCGCGGCAAATAGCAAAGTCATCTAGAGTGCAACACTCCCAGGCGACTCACTGACCATGCTGTGCCTGCTCTGCCGACCTTCCATCGGATGATCAATGTCCATGGGAAGGGCTCCGCTCATCACGCGAACGACCTTCTTCCCCCTTCCTCCGTCATTTCGCACAAGCACCTGTGCTGGGCAGACGACAATCTCCTCCTCCCCTTCTCCATTGTCGTCCCCCTTCTTCACCACGAGCGGGAACAGCACAATCTTGACCACCGCTTGATCGGCAGCTAGTTCCTCGTTGGAACTGAAAAATCCAGACCGTTCATTCATGAGGTCCGCATTGAAATGCACTTTGCGCACCAAATCTCCATTGGTATCGTACTCCGGCTGGAGCGGAGGTAGCATAATGTACTCGGCTCGTTGCGTGCGCATTTCGATAGACAGGTTGACCGCAACGCCCATGACCTTTTGCAACGAGGCGAACAGTTGCTGCTCCGCGCTTTGCGGTGGTGGTAGAAGCGTGCAAAGCATGTTGAAAATCTCGTGTGCAACAGCCTCGGTGTCGAGCCCGCACTGAGTGGCGAAAGCCGGACGCTTAGAGAGCAGAGTGAGCGTCGTGGCACGCCAGTGAGCCACAGCGCGAGGTGGTCCGACCTCTGCCAGTGTCTTTTCGAGAGCCTTGAGTTTTTGGCGTTGTTCGCGGTCCATGCCGAACAAGTATCGCGTGAAGACGTACTCCCAAACCATGGTCATGACCACAGACATGAAGACATCGCGACGGCGCACTCGATCGCTGAGTAGCTTGTCGACATCCGAGCCATCCAGTATGGCGTTATCCAGGCGCGCCTCCAGTTTGTCGTCTTTGAGCTCCGTGGACAGGTGACATACACGGTTGTCGGACAGCTTCGAGAAGCGTAGTACCCACTGCTGGACGTGCTGGCACAGTTTCTGGCATGCTCCATCGAAGTAGTCTTCGTCACGCTGGACGAGCCAGTCGCTTGACTTGGAAGATTGAGTCTGCATTTGCAGAGATCGGATCTGCTCGGCGGCAATGTCCAGTTGCTCCCGCAGCCGGAGAATCTCCGCATTCTTGTCGGCCAGTGCAGACGCAATCTCAGCCTCGACGATGTCGCGCATGCCAGACGTGACTCTACCGTGCTCTGAGCGGATCGTCTCGAGCTCCCTGCTGGCAGACTGCCACTTCTCGTGCGCATCATTGTGCTCGGCCTGGAGCGTGGCATATCGACCGTTGGTGTCGTCGACCAAGTTTCTGTTAGCCTCAGAGAGTCCACCGTTGATCTCTGTCAGGCGAGCGACTTCTCCCTGCAAAGGCTGCAGCATCGCCTTGATCTGATTGATCTCGGCATCCTTTTCTTGCAGCTGCAGGTCACGTGTGGCGAAAGCTTCCTGGAGAGCCTGGGAGTTCACGTCGCGGGCGACATCATGTGTCTGCTCGGCGTATCGTCGAGCTTCTTGCAGCGCACGATTTTCCGCAGCCAGTTCATTTATCCTAGTCTCCAAGTCCGTGATGTGCATGCTCTGGCGCTTACGCACGCTTGGCGGTCGCGTGGGCGAGACTTGCGATTGCTGTGCGTCGCCATAGCCCTGCTGCGCATCGTTAGCATCGCTAGTAATGAGCCGTGATGTCGGATTAGAACGTACGAAAATATCATCGTTCATGTCTGCGGCGCGCGAGGCGCTACCATGGATCACTTCGTCATCGTTGAGCGGCGGCGTTGGCGGAGGCTCGAAGGGAATTGTTTTGGGAGATGCTGCCGCGCCAACGGCCGAATCCGGCCCGCTCGCGTCGCCCCGCCGGCTGACGGCCCGAAGATCACCTGACAAGCTCGTCCGCCGCAGAGAAGGCGTCGAGCTGCGGTTGCTTGTGCGACTGTACGAGCGCATGTCCTGAGGAGATTTAAAGTGGGTGCCACTGGTGTTGGACCGGTTACTCATGGCGCTTGGAGACCGCGGATCCGGCAATGCAGGCTTCGAGTACCGATGGCCCAAAGGACGGTCAATATGGACGGTATCCTGATCCTCATTGACAGAGGGCCACGAGAGGCGGTTAATCAATGTGTCCGTCGAAAGCGGGTTGCTCGTAGATCTCGGCAGGTCCATTGGAATGTTCATTGTTGCCTGGATGCTGGGCGAGACCGTATTCTGTCTGGCACGGATGGACTGCGGCGTCTCGGCGCGTTGGACTGCTTTGATCTGGGATGGTCCGCCAACGTCTGAATCAGGCTTTCTTCTCTTGCCCACATGCTGTTCTTCGGGAATGGCATCGAGTGGAATGCTTGGGCTTCGTGGGCTATGGATAGGCGAGAAAGCGGGCCGATCATGACTTTCTCTGACACCGACTGGTGAAAATGTTGATCGGTCTTGACTGACATCGCGTCCACCATGCGGAGAAAATGTGGATCGATCGGGCGTGTCTTCTCTTGTGGTATTGACATAATCGTTCGACCCTCTTGACGTGGATCTCGTCTTGAAGTACTCGCCAGCTGGCGACTTGTGTTGCGCAGTGGATGATGTGGCGCTTTGGGGCGTGGTATCTGTTGCACCAGCTAAAGTGTCAGGAGGCGATTGGAAAAGATACGAGACGCGTTCCTTACTTGTCGGCTTGAGCGGCGTCTCGGCACTAGGACTGTGTGGACGATCGCCAGCTACGTGGCCTCGACCATCATCAAGTCTCTTTTTCGGACTGCGGATGTCCCATGCATCGTCAGGAGTAGTAGATATTCGCAGCGGATCCAGCGATCTTCGCTCACGCAGGCTATCACGAGATGAGCTGGTGTGAAGTATTTCGGGTATTTCGCGGCTGGTCCGCTCGGGGCTATTTGAAGAGCGTTTGGCCTCTTGATAGCCACTGTCTCGGATAGGCTGATGATCTCTTGAGGCGGATGGCGGCGATTCAGGAGTGGCTTTGTTTCGCTCCTCGAGAGCATCAAATGACCATGCTGATTCATTCGCCGCAGACTTTCTGGCTTGACGTTGTCGCGCAGCGGCAGCGACGGCAGCACCAAGACCGGCAGCAGCAACGGCCCCTGCCCAGCCATCAGTCGAGTCTCGTTTGGACTCTTGAATTTCCACGTCGCCTTCCTGAAGGGCCATCTCGGATCGCGGTGGGCTTCTTGGCACAGCGACTGGTAGCAGCTGCGACACTTCCGAAGTGTGCTGCAGAAGGCCGCGTCGACTGCTCGAGCTGGAGCGCCTATCTCCTGGATCATCGTTCGCTGAAGGTATCGATGGAGCGCGCCTCTTGACACGCTCAAGACCCGGGAAAACGCTTCGCACGACGCTCTGATCGTTTGTTGGGCTCTGTAGTGGCTCCGGTTCCCGTGTCCGCTCTTCAACAGCTGATGAATCGTTCTTTGCGACCTCGTCGCGCGCGATTGACGGCCCAAGAGCGCTGCTTGCATGAATGCTGCGCGGAAGTGCGTCGCTGTCGGACACAGCTGTTGAACTTTCTAGGTTGTCGGACGGACCTGCTGCTTTCGCTGCGGCCTTCAACTTCTTTTGCTTGCGTTTGTTCCTTCGATATTCCTTGTACTGCCTGTCCATTTCATCCATATCCATCTCATCACGCCCAACGTTCATGACATTTACGACGCTGCCGCTGGACGATCTCGGCCTCTCTGCACTGGTCATTTGCGTATTATTATCTTGCAATTGCACTGCTGGCGCATTCTCATCCTGCAAAGGATCATCAAGCAGTGCGGCTTCTGAGGTTTGCGGTCCCTCTGAAGTCGGAATGGTTGTCACTGCGTCGGGGGAGCCATGATGCTGTTGTGTGAAGTCATTGGCATCAGTTGGACCAGCTGTGGATTCGACATCGGGAGCTGATGAGGTGTCTGTCTCGGGAGCTAGTTTCGACTTTTTGCCTTTCTTTGCCTTCTTGCGCCTCGAGGTGGTGGTGGAAGAGAAGTCTTCGGGGTCATCTGCAACGTTTCCAGACAGTTGATCATTGCTAGATGCAAGTGCCTTCTCCAATAGCCCAGGGTCAAACCCTGTGCTCGTCAAGCCTTGGCTGATAGCGTTGTCGAAGTCGTCAGCGGGGACGCTGTCATTTGCCATATCTCGAGCATGGATTGCTTGCTCGTTTTCAGGGCTGTGAGAGGCTTCGGGCGCGTTCTTGCTTCTTCTTCGCCTTGTTGTCGTTGACAAGGGAACTTCCTCAGGATCGGCTTCAGCGTTACTCCCGGAAGGCGATGCTCTGCGTTGGAACACCGGATCGTTGATCACCAAGTCGGGATTGAAGCCGCTGTCAGCAAGACCGGCAGCGACAGCAGCGGCAAAGTCAATGTCGTGTGAGACTTGATGTGGCGCGCTCGCACTAGTCGGCTCGGAGGTCGCCTCATTACGATCTTGCGCATTGAAGTCCGCCTCAGCGCCTTCTGCAGGAAACTCGCCCGGGTTGTATTCAGGCAATTCGTGTGTGGAGGGCTCGTCGGTCAGCGCTTTGTGCACCTGCTCGAGACGGCTGTCCTCTTGGAAGCCTGCGGTACTCTCCCCAACAGGGACAGGGTCTTGGGCTGGCGATGGGAGTCGATCAAGTTTCGGAGCGCCGGCATTCGGTTCCTCAGGGAACGTCCATGTCTTTTCGGTATCTTCGGCGTCGACGACCGTCTGGGCGCCGTCTTGGTGCTTCGATTCCACCTTTACTGCGTCGACAGATGCCGATCCATTCGAGTCTCCCTTCGAAACCTCATCGGACAAGCCCGCCGAGCCTTCCTGTGGTGCGGCCGGGGTCGACAGACCGCTCTTCTTTGCCTTCTTCTTGTCCTTCTTCGATTTCTTGCTCGGAAAGCCAGCCCATTCAGGTTCCTGTGGCTCCTGCTCTACAAACTCTCCAGCTACGACGCCTGCCGCTGCGGCGGTTGCAACTGCAGCGGCCCCGAACGACTCATCTTTTTGATGATCTTCACTTGTCCCAGGTATCTCTTCAGCTGGAGGGTCGACTGCCAAACCTTTGTTCTTTTTGGCCTTCTTTTTGTCCTTTTTGCTCTTCTTGGTGGTGACTGGGAGCTCGTCGCTTTGATCTTCTGGCACGTTTCTTTCTTGAGGATCGGCAGACACCTCTTCTACCGCTTCAGCAGACGAGGGCAGCGCCGGTTCCACGGTTCTCGAGTCCGCTGCCGTCGAGTCATCTGCTTTGTCTGGAGGTGTAGAGGGCTTCGGCAATGGTTCCGCTGCCTGTGCAGGCACTTCATGATCTGTCGACTCTGCAAACGCAGGCTGCTGATCAGCATCACCTAGCTGAACGGTATGGAAAGTATCCTCAACTGGCGCAGCCTCCTTCGGTGACTCGACTTCTGGCGCCCCATCCGCAGGCGTCCCTTCCTCAATTGGAGTATCGTCTTCCCAAGCAAAGGTCTGCTTGGCCTTTTTGCCCTTCTTGCCTTTCTTGCCCTTCGGAGGAAGTGCCCAAACATCGCTGATCTCAGCCTGTGCAGGCTCATGCGTGCTTATCTGTGGAGTTGGGTCGACCGCGAAGGGGGAAGTGGCGTACTCTAGCTTTGGGATGTCGTCAAGAGCAGTACTCTCAAGAGCATTGACGTCGCCCTGGGCAGCTTCTTTGCTCTCGGTGTTTTCCTTTGACTTGTTGCCGGGTTGAGGGACGGATGAACCCTCATGACTGGCAAATGAATTTTCTTGCACATCATCTACTGGGTCTTCGAAAGACGCATCTGGCTTGATGTCGCGAGTTTCCGTCTCCTGAGTAGGCGCATCGAGTCGTTCAGACTCCCCAGATGATTGGGACCTGCTACTATCCACGCCATGTTCGATACCTTGGGCGGTGTCGGCTGTCGTAATGCCTTGACTCGGCACGTCTTGCCCGCGGCCAGGCTGAGGAGCGTCTGCGGATTCAGGCTCGGCCGAGGACATCGCTGCTGCGATACTGCCACGTTTGCATTTCTTCTTCTTTGACTTTTTCGAGCTGAGAGGCTGCCAAGAGCTTTCAGTGACTTCAGAAGGATCTCCAACCAAGTCGCGCACAGCGTCATGACCCTCATGCGTGGCGAGATCTTCTTCGGCCCAGATGTCCTCGACAGTATTTGCTTCCACTTCGGCTGGAGCCGTTTCATACGGTGCAGCGTACTCTTCCGTCTCGGTGGGTTCGCTATTCTCTGGAACGAGCGCATGTTCTTCAGTGGGCGCGTGTTCGATCGTGGGCTCCGAATTAGAGATGACGTCCTCTGTCGTTGGAGTAGCGTGTCCGGACTCAGACTTTTTGCTCTTTTTGCCCTTCTTTTTCTTAGAAGAAGGAGCGGTCCAGAGATCTTCCGCGATACTTGTCTCGGCAGAGTCCTCCCTGGCAGCGTCCGTCATGGTCAAATCGGCATCCGGCTCAGGCAGAGTTTCCGATTCACCAGTAGATTCAATAACAGCACTTTCATCAATGTTGTACCGTGTATCAACACCGCTTGTTTCAGCAGTCGAGTCTCTGCCTTTTTTGCCCTTCTTCTTCTTCTTCTTCTTGTTGCTCGGCGCAGCCCACAGGTCCTCCTGCGGCTCTTCTGCAGCGAGCATCGCGGCGATATCTTGATCATCAATGGAAGCACGCGGCTCAGGCTCTGCTTGCTCTGTGATAGTCTGAGCTGATGTTTCCTCGCCCGGAGCCTCGTTTGGTCCACTAACACCAGGCAAAGGCGTGTCAATGGCGGGTGTTATTGAGCCTAATGACTTGGACTTTTTGCCTTTCCTGTCCTTCTCTGAGCTTGCTGGGACCTCCCAAGTGTCGACTTGAGGCTCATCTGCAAGGCTGTCAGGCAGATCTTCAGGCTTGGGCATCTGATCCGTCTCGAGGTCGACGTTTGCCTCCAACTGATGAGGCGAATTGGATGAGTCGCGCTCAGTGCTTGAATTCGCAGGTATCTCGCTCGCATGATCCGCGACACTGGCCTCATACTCGGGTGCAAGACGGGAAGTTTGCTCTGCGTCAGTCACTTCCGTCGCGGGCTCAATCGGTTGCTCAGTCTCTCCGACATCTGGCTCTGCACTCCCTTCCGCCGGTGGCTGGAGAGCCTCAACGACGGACTGACGTCCCTTTTTGCTCTTCTTTGACTTCTTGTTCTTACTCGTGGCCCAGGCGAAATCGTCTTGTGATGATTGCTCTGCCGGCGCGGTCAGAATCGTGTCTGGATCAGCGAATGTGGTGACTTCGGCATTCTGATCTTCGACTGGCGTTTCGTTCAAGCGATCTGATGCCTTTGAGAACACCGGATCGTCTTCTGCAGGTTGCTCGTGCTCGAGGACAGAAGGCGTCTCCGCAGGTGAAATTTCAGGCACAGTTTTCCGGCCTTTCTTGTCTTTCTTGCCTTTCTTTTTTGAGCTAGACGTCCATGATGATTCCGCTGGTGCATCGTCTGCCTCAGCAGTCGCTACGAAGTTGTCATTAGCAGTCGAGAATTTCGTACGCACTTCTGGATCATGCGTAATGCTGGCTGGCTTGTTGTGTGCCTCACGCGGACCGAGCTCGCGATGCTCCTCATTCTCGAAGACAGACAGTTCAGCGACCTCGTTGTCGGACTCCGCGGGCAATGGGATCTTTTCGGGACTTTCGCTGGCCTCTTGCAATCTCGCTTGCTCCTGTTCGCCACTCTCTGAAGTTTGCAGCTCTTGAGAAGACGAGACTGGTGCCGTCTCAGCAGATGGTTGATAGTCTTCAACATCGGCTTCCCGGTCCAGGGTCTGTTGTCGCCGCTTTTTCTTCTTGTCTTTCTTGCTTTGCTTGCGGGGCAAATTAGAACCAACATTCTCGGAAGGCTCCGACTCGGCTGCGGCATCTTCTTGGGCGGCAGAGGCATCAGGCGCAGTAGATGGGTGCTGTGGATCTTTGAAATCCTCATCGGCCTTTTCTCCTTTCTCAGTGGGCACGATTTCCTTCGCCTCGCTCAGTGAGGTCTCATCTGCAACATCTGCCAGTCCTGCAGCTGTAGCTACGTCTTTCTCAGCTTCAGGGGTGGAGATCGATTCAGGCTCCGGCTCAGTCCAACCGAAGGTCTGCCTCTTCTTCTTGTCTTTCTTGCTCTTCTTCTTCTTCGACGCAGCAGGGGCAAAGTCTTCACCTTTCGAAGGCTCCTCCGAAAGGAGACCCGGTTCGTTCGCAAGGCGTTGAAGGTCTCCCAAAGACTCCACGTGAGCGGCATCCTTGTCTGTCGATTCGGACAATTCTCTTGGGACGGGCTCGACATCTGTCGATTTCGATTCCGATTCTTGGGTCAACTTGCTCTCCTCCCCCTTATCTGAGATGGCCGGGACGAAGTTCTCGAGTGAAGAAGGATCAGTCGCGGTTTCTTGAGGCTCTGGGAGCTCTTGGTTGGCACCCATGGGTGTCCAAGTCTCTTCTGCAGCACCCTTCTGCATTTCAGTCGGCGCGTCTTCGTTGTCTTCGTCCTGTGGTTGCGTGGGCTCTTCTGGATCGTTGCTTGGCGATGGGACTTGATCGACGTCGTCGAGAAATGGCGTCCGAGTCTCTTCTGCAGCTCCCTTCTGCAATTCAGTCGGCACATCTTTGTTGTCCTCGTGCTGTGGTTGCGTGGGCTCTTCCGTATCGTTGCTTGGCGATGGGACTTGATCGACGTCGTCGAGAGATGGCGTCCAAGTCTCTTCTGCAGCTCCCTTCTGCGTTTCAATCGGCACGTCTTCGTCCTGTGGTTGTGTGGGCTCTTCTGTATCGTTGCTCCGCGCTGGGACTTGATCAACGTCGTCGGAAAATGCCGGTGCCTCTGGCGCTGTCCAATCCATTGTTTGTCTTCGTTTCTTGTCCTTTTTGCTCTTCTTCTTCTTCACAGAAGTCATCGATTCTTCCCACGCTGGTTCCGGCGTACTCACGTTGTTGTGGTTGGCTTGTTCACCTAGAATGGCGGCCTGTGAAGAGTCCGATCGGGTATCTTGATTGGCAGCAGAGGACCGCTCAGACTCCTCCGAGGGCTTGGCTCTGTCATCAGCCGGCAGAGGTTGTTCGCGAGGCTCAGGCATCGTAAGACTGTCCTCGGGTGTGGTTACCGACGCCCCAGGTACTTCATCCTCGAGTTCGTTCCAAGCGAAGTTCTGCTCCTTGTCCTTGTCCTTTTTGCTGTTCTTCTTGGATACTGGAGCAGACTCGACCAAAGAGCTTTCAGACCGAGCATCCTGAGTGGTGATCTGGGTAGAGTCGTTGCCTTCAGGTGTAGGTTCGAGCATTGCAACATCCGGGTGAACGTCGGCCACTTCCGCAGGCTCGTTTGCTGGCATTTGAGTCTCGTTTGCATCCACGAAGGCTGCGTCATCAATTGACATCGAGCGTGAAGCCGAGTCTTCTATTGAGGCTGACTCAGGATCGGGCTCAGCCCACCACTGCGTCTTCTTCTTCTTGTCCTTCTTGCTCTTCTTACGAGAGATAGGGGCGAATGGCTCAGACTCGACTTGAGCTGGCAATTCATCAGTAGCAGCAGGATCAGTCGTCAATCCTTCGTCACTCATTGGTCTCGGAGCCGACGAAGATGAAGGTTTGACGTCTGAGTAAACGTCCGCAGCATTAGTCGTCTCGGCTGAGTCCTCGACGGCATCGACGAAGGCTGACTCATCGACTGACATCTGCCTGGACTCAGTGTCTTGCTCTTGCTCGGGTTCTGCCGAAGCCGCAGTAGCCCTTTTCTTCTTCTTTTTCTTGTCTTTCTTGCTCTGGTTTCTCGACGTGCTAGGCATGGGTTCTTCTGGATGTTGGGCCTCCTCAGACTGCCGAGTATGGTCTGTCGGGGTGAGACCTTCATCAGAGGGCACACGCACATCTTCAGACGGCTGGATTGTACCATCAGGCTGCTCTCCCGGTGTCTCTTGAGTCTGTGGCTCTGAAATCTGCGCAGTCCCTACGAAAGTGGAGTCTTCGGTGGGCTCATCGACGAAGATCCCTTTAGGCACCTCGGCTTCGTCTTTTAGGTAAGTACTCTCAGCTTCGTCACCAGCATTTTGCTCTGGCTGGGTGAGAGCCTCCGTCTCGGGCTCATCCTGCGGTAACGATTTCCTTTTCTTGTCTTTCTTGCTCTTCCTCTTGGCGGCCGTGGGCGAAGAGTTATTAATGGCTTGCGGCTCTAGAGTCAGAACAGCGGATGCATCGCGCTCGTTGCTAGCTGCTTGCGCGGGAGGCTCCTCCACCTCTTCCTGGGAAGACTGAGCGAGAGGCTCTAGCATTTCCTCTGGCTGCGCGGGCCCCGCACCCTCCAGAGAATCGTCAATTCCGCTAGTTACAGGCCGTGTGGGAGGCTCGACTTCAGCTTCAGGTTCAGACCAGGTAGGTGATTGCTTCTTCTTGTCCTTCTTCGCCTTCTTCTTTGCTTGTTTCTCTGTTAGTACGGCGGCGCCTGCAGCGCCTGCAGCTGCAGCCAAAGCAGCGGTGACAATGCCACGGGGATTCTCATGGTCTTCCCCTGATTGGCTGGGCTCCTCGAAAGGAGACTTCTGGACAGTGTCAGACTCAATTACCGCCGTCTCCGTGTCAGCTTCGGACCACGTTGAAGGCTTCTTCTTCTTCTTCTTGTCCTTCTTCGCACTCTTAGAGACAGAAGGTTCAGAGACAGAAGGTTCAGAGACAGAAGGTTCAGAGACAGGAGGTTCAGAGACAGGAGGTTCAGAGACAGAAGGTTCAGAGACCTGATCCTGCTGCAACTGGCCTATGCCCACTGCACTTTGCTGCTTATCAAAGTCCTGAGATTCGTTGAGTGGTTCAGCTTCCCGGGAACTGCTCTCGCGGAGCATCGACTGAAAAGCTTGAGCTTGCGAATCGTGCCAGCCGCACCCACCGCTTTGCGCTACCACGTGGAAGTCAGCCATTCCAAAACTGATCCGAGGGGCTGGCTCCGGCGCAGTGTCGTTTGCTGATTCTACTTCTGGGCTTTCCCGAAGGTCCTGCACCTCAGGCACTTCCGCAAGAGATATACCAGAGTTGCCCTTAGGCGCTTCTTCGAGAGCTAATGTCTGGTGAAGAGTGTCCGCGCTCTGCACACTGGACTCATCAGCAGCCTCTGCCTCAAACAAGGTAGTAGCCTTCTGCTTCTTTTTAGCCTTCTTCGATTGTTTCCGGGTGAGCTTGGGAGCTGGCGTTATATCCGCAGAGTCGTCGTCACCACCAGCTTCTGCTGTGCGCTGCTCGATGACCAGAGGCGCAAGTTCAGCTTTTGCATTAGGGATTTTGTAGGACCGAGAAGGTCGCTGAGCTTCATGAGCTGTGACCGTGTCCTGCTGCGTGTAGTTCTCGGGCTCGGCTTCGTCCGCGAGCTCCCTGGAGTTATTCGACGCCTCATTAGACGGCAACACAGGCATGGTGTGTGCGGCTGCAGACGCGAAGACTGTGCCCTCTTCCATACCTTGCTCTGTCTGCAAGAAACGATCGAGTGAGTTTTTTGAAGACGTTATGGAAGATTGTTCTGGCGTAGCAGCCATGTCCCGGGCTGCGCTACCTTCTTCAGCCAAAGCTTCAGAATCAGGGAAGACATCAGTTTCGCGTCGCGCAAGCGCTTCCATGTGAGCTGGCGTGCTCGCATCAATCGCAGCGTCGCGCTCACGGCTTATCTTGCCGGCCTCAATCTGTGGTGTTGCCGCGGGGAACGTAGCCAGTTCTGGATGGTCCATGGAAGCAGGCTCTAGTGGCAGAGATGGAGAGCCGAAATTGTCCGCTTGTTCATCTTGTCCAATCTGGCTCTTGTCCTTTTTGCCTTTTTTCTTTGAGCTTTTGCGAGAAACTGTAGGCTCATGAACAGGCTGCGAAGCGTGCACTGATTCCTCAATTGGCGCAGGCAGTGGATATGAATGAGATGCTTCTGGCACTTGCCTATCTCGAGATACGCTCGCACTATTTTCTTCGCGCTCGTGAGAACTTTCGGAAGGAAGATCTTTGAATTTGTGGTCGGCATAGACGGCGGCAGTGCCAAGCATGGCGGCAGCTGCAACTGACTTAAAGGAGCCTCCATGGCTATGGTCGGACTTTGACGGCGATGTCGAACGAGTCGCAGATGAAGAGGGTAAGTCAACTGGCGTGTTTTCGGCGACAGCATTGGTTGTTTCTTCACTATGCTTCTGTTCATCACGCATCCTCTCTTCGCGAGCAAAGTCTTCCCAGGTGTAGAATTGCGGCTTCTGCTTGACGTGTTTCTCAGAAAGTACATGCGGGAACTCGCTAGCCTTTGGAGTTAACTCTTCTGAATCCAGCAAGTCGCCCGGGTAATGCTCTCGAGCAACCCCTGTATCGATGGTCAGCCCGCGCGAGCCGGAGGGAGAGTCGGTCGCCAAATCTTCCACAGCAGATTGATAGTAGTCGTCGCTCTCGGGAACACTTGAAGCTCGACTAGAAGGCTTGCTAGACGGTAGACTGGGGAGTACATCTTCCACCTCCGGTGTCTTGCGGTTGCGTTCTACCAAGTAAAGAGGTCGGAATTCCGAGGAGTTGGGGCGACCTTGACGAGAGTGTTTTCCAGCGGCGGGCGAAACTGGGGTCGAACCTGGTGCCGTGGGCGAACTGAAGCTATGTGAACGGTCCTTGCCACTTCCTGGGGTCTGAGGTGCTTGTCCGAAGGGGAACTTCAGCGGCACTGCAGTAGAGGACATTGGCCTGTGCAACGTACCAGGCCTTGAGGTGGTGTCGAGAGCGAAACTTGGGGCCTCAGGAACTTCTCTCGCCACGTCTGCGTCGGAGATGTTCAGACTCTTCACCAACCCAGAACCAGATTCGGCATCAGCAGGGCTGCCTTCTCCCCGCTCCTGGTTTTCAGCAGCCAAATCTGGGCTCACTGGGCGACTACCGGGTAGAGGCGGCAGATCCTCTACCCGCATCCCTAAAAAAGACCGGTCCCGAGAGCTGGCGCCATATGGATCTTCATCAGTTCGGCGTCGGTGATGATGGCGGCGTCCGCTTTCGCTCACAGCGCTGCGAGACTCGTTGCGGCTGTCTCTCCGGAGGAGATCCTCGCCATCATCGTCAGTGCGGCGACGGCGGTGATGCTTGCGACCAGACTCGCTACGGGCTGGCGATGCGGCATCATAATCGTCATCCCGAGTGCTGCGGCGCCGGCGATCTCTTTCGTCAGAGCGGCCTTCCTCTGAACGATGACGGCTTCGACGCGATTCGGACTTGACGCTTCGGGTATCTTCTTCATCATCGCCATATTGCGAGTCTCTCGACTTCTTCTTGCGGCGCCGACGAGCCTCATCGTCTTCATCATCTCTGCTTCCTCTGCTTTCTCGCGTGGAATCTCGACTCAAAGAAGCTCCGTCAAACCGGGAATCTTTGTCCTTGGTAGATCTGTAGTCGTCGACTGACTTCCGGCTGAACAGCCCGAACAAGCCACCCTTCTTCTCTTTCTTTGACGAAGGCGACTCCTCCCTATCACGATCACGACGAGAACGGCTCGAGACCGCAGACGCGGTGTCGTCATCGTCTGCGTGACGCGAGCGCCTCTTAGACTTTCTGGATCTCTCATAGATGTCAGCGGGCTCAGATGCCGCCACAGATTGTGTCTCATAGGCATACGACGGCTCGTCAAAGTAATCTCCGTTACGGGGATCCTCGCGCCTCGCCCGACGACGGCCCTCGGCGTCAGGAGTCGGGGCAGAAACTACGGACCTCGAATCATCTGGTGAAATCCGGCGAGGGCTATCACTTTCTCTGCGTCTGTCTCTAGTTCCAGAGTCATTCTTCATCCGCTCGTCGAGTTGATCTTCGTCTCGGATGCCTGCAGAGTCCGGTTCTGGCCGCAAAACTTTCTCAATTCCGTCGCCATTCGTGGAGGCCAGTTCTGCAGTAGAGCGATAGTCTTCTGCCGCATCCTTGGCGCTGATGTAGTCATCCATGGGGATTTCGGAACGCAGCGGCGAGCTCACTTCCGGAATGTTGAAGGCAATACTGCTGCGCTTGTTCTTCTTCTTCTTTGACTTAGGTTCCGCGGATTCTGTCCAAGACCCAGCTTCCTGAGATGCCGGAGGTTCAGGTGCTGTCGGGGGCGCCGATTCCTCGTGAACTTGATACTGGAACGGATCGATAGCATTTGAGGTGTGGTCGAATTTATCGTCTTGAAACCTCTCTTCGCGGCTGCTGTCCCAGCTCCCTGGCATGCTGGCAGGCTCCTCGTTCACGTCCTTGACTTCGACAGCGGCTTCGGCAGGTTTCGAGTCTCTCGGGTCATTATAGATGGGCTCGCCGAGCTTTGCCTTCTTGCCCTTCTTCTTCTTTTTACTTGAGCCGGAGCCAACGTCCTCTGTGCTGTCTACAGCTGCGGCAGCTGCAATGCCCCCGGCCGCAAGTATTGAGTCAGTGACATCTGCGAAACTTTGGCCTTGCTTTTTGGCCTCCTTGTCACGCTTCTTTTGCTCTTTCTTACTAAAGATAGGCTCGGGCTCTGCAGCTGGCGTGGGAATGGCTTCGTCGCTGTCAGGCTCGCGAGGCGGCTCGTCTACCATGAAGCTGGCGTTGTCGGCCAGTCCTTGCTTTCTAGCCTTTTTCTTGTCCTTCTTAGTCATTCCGGAGAAGTAGTCGGTAGGCTCAGTCTCCGGAATTGCTGCACTGGAAGGCTCAGGCACAGATTCAGGCTGTTGCGTCGAAGTGGCAGGATCGCTTTCACCAAGACTGCCATTTCCCTTTGCAGCCTTCTCCCGCTTCTTTTTCTCCTTCTTCGAAAGAGGAGCTTCCCATGCGGGCTCCTCGGTGCCCTCGTCTTCAATGGCATCGCGTGCTGTTACTTGAGTCCTATCAGTCTCTGCAGTGACGGGTTCGCTTAGCTTTCGTTTGGGGCGATAGATATCATCCATTTCGTCGTCGAATCCCCCGGGAATGTGCGATCTCTGTTCTTCAGCAGGTGTTGGCTCGTCTACTTCCCCTTCCACGAAACCACGTTGAGGAGGGGCGCCTTCTGTGCCCGGCGAATCCACTCCAAATGTCCCGATGCCCATATCAGACACGGAGTCGAAGAAGGGCTGCCTGTAGAATGCGTGAGGCTCTGCTCCAGGGGAAGGTGTGATGTCTTCAACGTCATCTCCTTCGTCCATTTCCTGGCCATTCTTGGACTCTTCCTCCTCGCGAGCCCACTCATCTTCGTGAAATACCCTCTTGTCACCGGATGGATCTTCCACGACAATTTCGTGAAGTGCGGCGCCCGCAGCTGCTGCGCCCGCTACGCTGGAAAGCCCAGCCGCTACCTTTTCGCCGCGCATGTCAGGACTGTGAATGTATGAGTCGCGTTCTTGGTAGGAGCATGGTGTTTGATCATCGTAGATGTGCGTCTTGTCTTCGCCCCAGGAGATGCTTCTGCTACGCTCAGACTTGCTAGTTGAATCGGGTTCGCCGAAGTCTTCTTCATCAGCGTCCTGGCTCTTGGACAGCGGCGAATTGTAGTATACCCCTTTGCCCTTCTTGGCTTCTGGGCTCGTCGAAACACTGCCAGGTGGTGGCGTTGGTGAAATAACGTTGAGCTTTGGTACTCCGTACGGCGCATGCTTGCTTCTACCGTAACCGTAGTCCGAAGAAGGGAAACGGGACTGTATGTCGGCATCCCTGGCATGCCAGGTTTGCACTTCATTGTCAGCGACCGGGCTCGCAGAACTCGTCTTGCCTTGCGCAGCCTTGCACAGCAATTCCTTTGGCGCGAAGAAATCCGCGTATGTAGTCTTCTCTGTGTATGCGCCTTCTCGATCGGCCACGACTTTGTCTGCCGCCTTCCGTGCAAACTCGGCGTACCTGGCATTCTCGGTGGATGTGTGCTTTTCCTTGAAAAAGTCGGGATTGTAGAGATCGTCGTCCATGAGAGGCTCACCCGAATGCTCGTTCTCGGGCTTGATCTCGGCCGCGGCGTACCCATTGCGGAACTCGACGTCAGCAGGACTTCTTCCGTACTGTTCTCTGGCACGGCGGTCTAGCTCGGCTTCATCACGAGAAGCGCCACCATATGCTTGCACGTCGGCGTCAGACGGGCGGTCTCGCTCCGGAAAGTGAGCTTCGTCGTAGTAAGAATCCTCCCGGCTCTTACGATTGCGGCTCTTTCTATGCTCCTTGCCAGCCATGACGGCGCCGACTGTAGCGGCTGCGGCAGCTCCGGCAGCGACAGAACTCCATCCCGAAGACCCCTCATGACCGCCATCTCTGCGCTCCTGCTGATAGCGCTCAGCTTGCTCCCGGATGTAGCGTTCGTGCTCCTCCGACTCTCGCTGTCGGCGGATGTCCTCGTTGCGCCGCTCTTCTTCAGCCAAACGGGACTCTTCTTTCGCATACGCCTCTTCCCATTCGCGACGTTCACGCTCATGAGCATCGGCCCGCCGCTGAGCTTCTTCTCGTGCCCTCTGATGTCTTTCAACTTCTGCGGCGGCAGCGGCAGCGGCCTCCTTGCGATCGCGCGCTTCTTGCTCTAAGCGCTCACGCTCAACTCGCGAAGCTTCTCTCTCGCGTTCGCGCCTAGCTTGCTCTTCGGCTTCTCGCTGTGCTGCACGCTCGCGCTCCAAAGCAGCCTCGGCGGCTTTCCGATTCTCCTCTTCGCGCGCCCGACGAACTTCTTCTTGCCTTGATTCGCGAGCGGCCCGATCGGCTTCTTCTTTGAGTGCTCTCGTACGGTCTGCACGCCGTCGTTCCTCATCGGCGGCTTTCTGGTCTCTGCGCCGATCGCGATCCTCTTTCCGCTGTTGCTCGTCTGTGAGACCGAAGCGGACATTAGATGGCTCTTTGGATCGTCTGCCGGAGCCGCCTGCGAGGATTCCAGCAGTAGCAAGAGCACCTGCGCCAATGAGAGCCGCATCTTGTGCGAAGGAGCTGCGATTTGGGCTGGAATTTGCACGACGGGGCTGGCCAGGTCGATGTGAATATGGGTCCATAATCTCAGGTGGGCTTTGTGTGAATGCTGGACGAGCTGGAGACATAGGCTGAGGCTGCTGCAGTGGTGCTGGGCCGGGCCGGATGACTGGTGGCTCCTGATCGAAGGCACCTGGCATCGAGGGATATTGTGACCCTGGTGTGCTTCCTAAGTCGGAGATCGGTGCAGGCTCAACATACTGCATTGGCCGTGCAGGTCCGCTCGCCGTAGAGCTACTGTCGATACTTGGGAGACGCCTGCCAGTATCGTCGAGGTAGACAGGTTTGTTGATGGGTCGGTCTTGATCGAACGCAGTGCCAGCGGCAGCTCCGGCAGCCAGGCCCGTGGCAAGGGCTGGTGTAGCAAAAGAGCTGGCAGTGCTTCCTTGATCAGACCGCCGGCTTGTTCGGCGTTTCTTATCTTTACCGCCCCATCTCCAGCCCCACGCGCCCAAGCCTCCAGCGTGCGATTCAGATCCGACACTTTCCAAGCTCTGCTGACTGGAGAGACGCTTGCCACCATAGTCGCCAAACGCAAGACCACCATCAACGCTGGACTCATCGTCAACGTCTGAAGGAAGTTCGTCTTCCCACTCTCCATCCTCAGAGGAAACTGTGTCGTCTGGTCGCCGACCGGATCCGGTTGAGTAACGCACATCTCTTCGTTTACCGAGTTCCGGCCGGCTTGTGCGTTTGCTGACCCTGTTTCCTTTCTTCGCTGCAGCCAGGGCCGCAGCAGTGGCTCCGATACCAGCAACGGTGGCAGCAATGTGCTCATCAGAATTCCTCCTCGATCTTCGACGGCCCGTCCTGTTGGACCCCGAAGATGCTTTCCGGCGCAAGGGCAAGCTTGTCTTACTTGAAAACCGTTCACCAAAGGCCAGCTCAGAGTTCGAAGACGAAGAAGATCCATTACTAAACGTGAAGAATCCACGCCTCTTCTTGTGGTGATCGCGAGATTCGCGGCGTTGCCTCTGTGGTGGCGAGAAGAAACCACCAAACCTGCCCTGCTCCTCCTCAGGCTCTTCGTAGCGGCCAGAAGCATATTGAGCGGCTCGAGCGGGTGATGTACGGCCACTGCGTCTTGATCGGACATCTGCTGCTCCAAACGAGCCCAGTATAGTGGGACTCCGACTTCGCGAACGACTTCTCGAGTGACGCCGGGAGCCCGCAGCTAGACCAGCAGCCCCAAGAGCCGCACCCGCGGCCGCAGCACCCAAATATCCGGATTTGCGCTCTCGCGAGCTAGAACGCGATCTCTGAACTTTGCGGCGCTCTAGAGTGCCATCCTTTCGGCGAACGGTGACATACTCTTCCTTATCCGAACGGATAATTCCATGCGTAGAGCGACGTCGCCGCTCGTGCGAAGACGATCGACTTCGGCGCCTCACTGCCGAGCTATCGCGATGTCCGGATTTCACACTGTAGGTATCATCGAAATTCTTGCGGTCGCTGTACAGGGCGTTCGCACCCGCAGCGGCGCCAGCGGCGGCAAGGCCAGCACCAAGAAATCCTGCTCCTCCGCTCTCACGTTTCCTCCTACTGCTCTCGGAGGCGTAGTAACGGCTGTCTTTATCAACTCGAGTGCTACCTTGTCGCCTTAACGAATCATTGCTGCCCTTTCGAGTCATTCGCTCATATGATTTTCGCCTCCTCAAGTCTTCAAAAGAGTCTCGTCGCTTATGGTAGTGGTGCACACGGGGCGCGTCGCCTGGAGAAGTGCGAGGGTCGAAGCAGTATTTACAGACACCAATGTACTCGGTGTACATCTCCATTTTAGCCGTGTCTTCTGGTGAGGATATAAGATTGAAGAAGCCATCCTTAAGGCGCGTCAAGGGTCCCTTGTGTTCGTGGATGTGCTGGTGTTGCATGCCAAATCCACTACCGCCGCCGTTCGGTGGATAGTAGCCGTAGCCTCCAGCACCTGGTCGCGGGGATAGTGGAGGGCCCTGACCACCACCTCCTCCATAGTTGCCATGTGATGTCATGTTGAAGCCGTTGTTCTGGGTGCCGTAGTGTTGTTGGTGTTGTGCGTATTGGTGAGCGGCGAACCCGGCGGCAGCGGCACCTGCCGCATAAAGTGGTATATTAGAGTTAGTAGATTGCTTACCTGGAGTACCTGCTGTGTTAGCATAGGGACTGGGTCCAGAACCGTTTGTTGATGCGAGAGTAGGCGGGTAGGTGCTGTTCGATGGAGGCGGCGCATAGTACAAGTCCCCGTCAGAGCTTGGTCGGTTCGGTCGAGACGGCTTTGAAGAGCTGCCTGTTTGTTGGTAGTAGGACGACGACGTAGATTGCTGCATGGAAGACGAGTGATGGTGCGAAGAGCCAGCTAAGGCTCCGATGCCCGCTGCTGTTGCGGTAGCGGCTGCGGCAGAACCCGAAGAGGAGGTGCGAGGCGGCTTTGAAGGCTTCCCTGAGCTGGACGAAGACTGCTTTCCTGGCCTCAAAGGTTTTGCAGACGTTGTTGGAGCTGAGTTGACGGGGCTCACTCTGCCACTGTAGAAGTCGGCCGCAGAACCATGTCCAGTGTCTTGAGCAGGGTTAGGCAGCGCAGAAGCGGCCTGCAAGTGAGCGGCCGGATTGACGAGCATACTGGGAGTAAGTGGGCGGTTGCCGGGTTGAAACTGAACGGATTGACCTTCATCCAAGTAATACTCAGCGGCGTGGCCGTAGGAATCTGCGCGGGTTGGTTGCGGAGGCATCTGTGGCCTGTACTGGTCCTGGCCCGGGAATTGTTGCTGTGGCGCTGGACTTGGCAATGCTCCAGACATCAACGCTCCCTGCTGGGATGAATGACCCATATAGCCATCTGCGTATTGACCCGGGAACTGTTCAAAGCTGCCCATTTCGGGGATGGTCCTCGAGCCCTCTACCAGTTCTGGCTGACGGCGTGACTTATCCCTCTCTTTGTCGCGCGGTCTCTCCGTACTAGACATCGTCTTACTGCTCTCCTTCTTCTTTTCCCTTCTCTCTCGCGACCTGCTTCTCGACTTCTCCTTCTCACTTCGGGTGCTCTTCCGTCTCTTCTCGTCCTCACTGCCCTTCCGTCTGCTCTTCTTCTCACTGCGCGCATCCTTGTCCTCGTCTTCCCACTCATCATCGTCGTCTGGCAGCATTCGCAGGGCGCTCTCCGTCAATGGACGTGTCTCTCCGACCCGGGACGTCGGCGCAGTCGCATAGGCGGAAGTGTTGGGAGAAGCAAAGGAAGAGGCAGTCTCGTATCGAGAAGCAGAAGATCCATTGTCGTACAGGCTACTCGCCTTGCCACTACGCCTACGCTCTCTGTCTCGGTCATCGTCTCTTCGCGCGGTCGAGGAGACGACAGACTCGGCGCGATGGCTGTGGCTACTCTTCTTGCGCCGGGAGTCGTCTCTGGTGTCTTTGGAAGAGCGTCCCGATGCGCTTGCTCCAGCGGCGCCGCCCGATTCACTGCGACCGGTGAAAGCTGCTTTCCACATGTTTGTGCTGGTCTGGAATATCGATTCGGCTTCGGGTGAGCTGTTTTCCCAGATGCGCTCTTGGTCTCGTTGTAACGTCGTGTGTCGCGTATCGCACAAGCTGGTGACTATGCGCGAGTGTATTAGGTTTATTGCGTGAAAGGGTTGTCGTAAAGAGTCGTAGCGAGCTCCCAAGCAGCTGGAGCTGGTCTGGATGGAGTGGATTGTTCGCGTTGGCGTAGGCGTGTCGTCGCTGATTCTCGTATACACAGTAGTATATTCAAGATTCACAGATCCTGCCGAAGGAAGTGATGACTAGCCGTGGCAGGCAGTGCAAGTCATCGTGGTCGGCGTCGGCAGAGATCCGCCTACGGAGGTGTTGGTCGCAAGACGATTCGCTGTATGCGACCTATGTGCTGTTCATGGGTCTTGGCAAACGCTTGCTCTTCCTACCGAGCGGTGGCGAGTAGCCCTGGAGACGGTGGCTTGAACTCTGTGTCGGACGTTTCAGCTTAGGCGGCCATGCATTTCATTCTAGCTTTGCCGAGCACTATCTACACCATATACATTCAGAAGCATGTGAAGTGGAAAGTAGTTGGGCTTATCGCTATATACAGTTCGCCACCTTCACATGTCCCAGCCCCAGTCTATCTTAGCGCACGGCCCTCTCCAAGTTGAAACTGCCTGTAGTAGCAACCCCTTCTCATTCACGACTAACGCTTCACTTCGTCTCCTTGTTGTCTCTCCGCTGGCCATAGCATTCGGCGACTGACCGTTGAGAGGCCATTTTTGCAGCGTTTCGGAGGCGGTGAAGACGTGGACTCAGACGATGGAGATCTCCACTGCATTTCCTCGTAGCCGGGACGTGGCCAGCGCTTAAATCGTGAACATGGTCCAGGCCTGCCCGTTTGGGTAATACCCTAGTAAAAGTGTTGTGGAGCGCAGTGTGGATGAATGAGCCAATGGTCGAAGGAGCCAATTCAATTACATTTCTGGGGTCGATGCCTCCAGCTTCCAATGCGGACAGCAGTTACAGCCTCCAAGCCCATGAGTCAATCATTCATCGGATATCTTCTACAACGCCAGAACGCTGACGGCATCATTCTCCTGGTGTGTCGAGCTCGTCTTTAAGGATTCGTGCCTCGAGATCTGCCAGGCTCTCAAATTCAGCCCTCGTAGTAAATTGTTCCATTGTGTGGCCATCCAAAAGAATGTACTGCAGAGACCTTCTCGAAGTTTGCACCGGTTGCAAGTATTCCGTGGGGATCAGTGCAACCTGTTGGCCATGGATCTTATCACATCCCATGTCAATAATACATAGAGCGGGCTGGTTTCGAAAGTCCGGTAATCTTGAAAGTGCCAGTTCTGGTAGAGAACGAGGCCCAATTGATCCATCCGCTGCAAATATCCAGAGGGGAATCATGGTACTCTCTGGATCAATCGTGAACAGCGTATGCGGCAGAAGGCCGCGCTCGAGATACGTCGATGCTTGATCTGGCGTCCACTCGAACTGAACGAAGGCAGCGTGACCAGTAGGATTCGGCTGTGGTACTTTGAGGAAGATGCCACGCTGGCGTCTTGCGCAGTCCCTATTGAGGCTGTTGATGATCTTGGTCTCGAAAGCCTCCCGAACGGTGGACGTCATCTTTGAGTATCCGCGGGACCGCCGCAATAAACGGGACGTCGCGGTCTCGGGTAGGCGAGCAACTGGACTCGTAGGAGTCGACGGCGGAGAAATGTGGTCCATTTGTGGTTGATTGTGATGATGGCTCTGTGTTAGCTGCGCGAGGGCTTTTGAAGTAGAGCGAGAGTTGGATGATATGAAATGAGATGGGGCATCAATAATAGAAGGCTACCTTGACATTGCTCGCCTACCTTAGGCTGCCAGTGTTTCGGTGCCGGTAGGTGTGTACGTCGCATTTGTTCGGCATTGTCTGGGCGCTTCCGAGCGTGAGAGCCCATGTATTCCCTGCAGAGAACGACCTGGAGCGCACGGCGTGGGTCTATTCATAATCTTCCCGGTCTGTTCATGAAATCGTGCATGAAGAGGCGCCTCGATTCCGGCGGCTGAGAAGGTGGAGAGCGCATTTCAGAAGACGTCATTACACGTGGCGCCCATCGGAGGGAATTGTCTTCTGTTCGCGCACATATCAGGTGCGCAAGACGTGCTGTCAGGCAGGCGGTGGTTGAGAGGCAGGTGGTGTCGCACGGCAGCGTGCAGAAACTTGAAGGGACCAGAGAGGAAATTGGGAGATAACAAGACGATACCCCGATATCGTTAGCTTCCGCCATATCTACCCGCAGCCCTCCCCGGAGATACTGATTGGCTGGACCCCGCTGGTGAGCTCCTGACCGTGCCACACTTGCTTATGGCAGATCGCATCGCCAATGACTCTCTCCTGCAGGACAGGAACTGCAATTCACGCATGCGGGACTGTGATTGGGGCAGCGACGGAGCGTTCGTCCATGAAACGTCGAGCGACACCATAACGGCTCGAGACGAGAACTCCAGTACCGGCAGCTACCTCAGTGGCGTATCGATCAGCGACGCGCGCGCGTCACATTGAACCCAATCTGTGCCAGTGCCATCCATCACCAAACCCTTACATACCTGCCCGGTGGGCCTTCCTTGTGACAAGATCTGCCATCGCAACACTCTACAACGATGGATTACGAGACAGCAGACGGCTCGCAGTTCTCGTTACGCGAGATCGCCTCCGAGGATGGTGCCTCCAAGGGCACGCTCATCGCAGCCTTCGTCGACGGGCGAGTATCGAAGCGAAGGTGACCACGTGAGGCACGAATCTGACAGCTCCACAGAAATGCCTATGCTGGAAAGTCTTCTCAAAATATTGAAGAACTGGACGAGGTGGCTGTCATTCAGCATCTGGAGGCTGTGCCCTCGGAGAACGTCTTTCCGCTCCTGCCCAAGGGCTTCACAATCGCTCCGCCTTTCGATGCAAAGAACCATTACCTGAAAGCGCCGCAGTTCACTTACGACGACAAGCATCCCGGAAATACGTTTGTTGCGAACGTCTTGTCGCACGAGGCATCGATTCTGGAGCAGCTCAGGCAACATCCGCACCCTAGCATCGCACAATATTACGGTGCTTGCGTCAAAGATGGCCGCATCACTCATCTATGCCTGAAGCGGTGTTACTGTAACCTCGTGGAATACTCCCACGTGGATCTGTCCTCTGGAGATCGCGAGAGGCTCATGACGGAGATTCGGGAGGGCATTGAGCACATGCACTCTCTGGGCATGGCCCATAACGACATCAACCCACGTGCGCAACACCCCATTCCTCGATGATTGTGCGGGTACTAATCTGCTGGCAGAAAATGTCTGTGTCGATTCTTTTGGGCATGCAGTGATTATAGACTTTGATTCCACCCTACCCTTTGGCAAGCCGCTTTTAAAGGGCGTTGCTGCCCGACCACAAACCGAAGAGAAGCACGCTGTCTCGGCTCCTGAGAACGATTTTCAAGGGCTCAGGGATATCGAAGAATTCCTTTTCCCTCCTCAGTCCGCACCCGAACGACATCCGCTGGCAGAAGATGGCCATCCAAGGCCCACTTGAGCTAACCTAGGTCCACGGTACCTTTCACTCCAGGTAGAGAAGCTAACCAACCGTCTCTGGCTGTGTGACGCGGCTGAAAAACTTGGTTGTAGATTCCGGCAGACGGCTGTATCCAATGCAACCGACTCATGCGTCTGCCTGCCAGAAACGGAAGATATGCAAACTTCGCGCAAAGTTGCGGAGAGATAGAAGTTTGCCTTACTATCCAAGCAACCTATGTGGCCGCAGCATCGATTGCGACAAAGCGAGACACATGCATGCTATTTGCAATCCTATCTTGCGGTTCATGTCTGAGTGGAGGCCTATGGGAGAGGAGGCAGGGATGGCGACAGAGGCACGGGTGGGCAAGCTCAGGTTTGCAGCATACCGGTAGCCTTGAGAGTTCTCGGCTCAAGGCTTCCTAGTAAATGGCCAATTGCTTTTAACTGATTATTATTCACGGTCCAGAACGGTAGACAACAGAGTCCAGGATGTGCTTGGAGTATAGCGGGGCCGTCCAGGGTAGCACACCAAGGCCTGTTGCCAGGACCTTGAAGCCGTGGCATACCTGAAAGCACATCAGTCTTGAACACTTCCATCATCAACTGCAACATTTACCTTTCGCACTCGCCGCGGAGTTATGTTCGGGTTCGCAAGATGTTTGCGAGCTTTGAGATCACAGCCCAAGGACTGACGAAGATGGATCCGAAACCAAAATTGATTCGTTCGGATGACGGGTGTCTTCCATGTACGTGCTACGCGCCTTCCCCCGTGACTCGAGTGTTCTCCGATGGCTGATCAGTCGTGTCTCCTGCAGGTCGTCAGAAGCGCAAGAAATGCGATAACGCGAAACCGGTCTGTGGTCGGTGCCGCAACAGCTACCGGCGCGATCGGTGCAGTTGGCCGGTGAAAGACCTCAAACAGACCAAAGGACCTCGTTCGAGGAAACCACATATACCATCAGCAAACGACCCGGCTGCACCACAATCGACGACTGTCTCACCGGAAGGCAGCACAAGAAGCGCCGTTGCACCTGGGCTCACTGTGTCCCGCTGCTCGCCTCGATCTCTTGGTGAAAGTCCACAGTTCACATTGCCCGAGACAGTGACCAAGGTCTCACCGGATCTATCATTCAATGGAGTTTTGCAGATGTCTTTCGACTTCCAGGGCCTAGCGATGTGCGACCATGCCAACTACGACCAACCGTTCTTAGTATTATGCTTCCCGATCGCGAAGGCAAAACCGGCTCTCTTGCACGCCTGGATTGCATGCAGTGTATCGATGCTTGCCGACAAGTCACCCTACTGGCGGCAAAAAGCCATTATACACCACAAGTATTCTCTGAAATACTTGCGCGAGGATATTCAAGATGTCTGTGATGGCTCAGAGGAATGGCTGAAGGCGACGATCTTGATGCTTCATCTATTTGAGGTATGTAGTGAGAATTCGCTCTGCCTTGTTGGACTAGGCACTGACTGAGCCGTGACAGGCACACGGACCAAGTGAATCGAGATCTGCGTTCTCGACATTGCATCTGAACGCTGCGCACCAGGTCTTCAGACGAACTTTATCCATGAGACTACCTGCGAGCATACATGAGCTGATGCTGCTGGAGGCCTACACCTTAAGGGTAGCTACCAATTGCTTGTTCGAGCCAACAAGCGACCTACCGCTGGATTACGTTCTGCGCTTAACAAGGGCCTACCAAAGCGCCTCATCTGCCTTCGGACTGACCATTGCTTGGCGTACAACTCCCTGGGTCTTTCCAATCGGATTCGAATTGATCGATCACGTCTACAGATTGTCATGGCTTGCTCGTCGTCTACCATTAAACAAACGGCAGATTCTTGAGGCGTTCTCCATATCACGCGTTGTGGCGAGCCCACCCACCGACACCTGGGCAGTGAGCTACTCAGACGCACCGTGGTACATCAGCGTCGTGGGAAATCTCTTCAAGTATGCCTGCTCATGCTTGGTCTCTATCATCCTCGCCTCATCAAATCAAGTGGCCCCCAATGTCGACAAAAGTATCATCGAGGGATTGGCAGCTTTGGAAAAGCTGACCGAGCAAAGAGGAGTCCACCCGGGCTTACCGTGGGCACTTGCGATTCTGGGATGCGCGGTCAGCACCAGGACCGATCTGAATCGTTGTCGAAGTATTGGTGCGCGATTACATGGACCAGCGGGCGGAGAAGTCGTGGCCAGAGTGCTGGTTTTGATCGACGGCGTGTACGAGCTGAAGAGTGCCAGTGCCGGGAGACTTTCAGCGCAGGATCTGATCCATTTCATAGATTCGCAGACAATATTTATTTGAGTGCGGTCAAGAACCGTTGATAATTACTCTGGAGTCTGCATTACCGGGCCTGCGCACGGTCAAGAGTTCTCGCAATGTTCAGTTCCATCATGTGACGACCATGATCAGAGTCCAAACAGTGAGTTGCAATTATTCAAGACGGCACATTGCATGAATGTTTCTTTCCTGTCGAAGTAAGCACCATCCGATTATTGACGACCAATCTATCGGTCCAAAATTCCAGGTTCCAGTGGTCATGCAGGGAAGTCGCCAAGTCCATCGCACAGGGAATTCAAAAAAAAAAATACGAGCCAATATTCTGCCTTTTATTATATAGGAAGAGCCGAAGGCGGGGCTCGAACCCGCGACCTTGAGGTATTTTTTATTCTCTTGTGTAAGAGCCACACGCTCTACCGATTGAGCTACCCCGGCACGAAGGCAATGTCGTATAGAGGATTCAGGCAATATTGTCTATATTGAATTGAATCAATCGTCGGGCCGAAGAGTAACAGACTAAGGCAATGCAAAGTCTACCTTACTAATTTTACTAATCGAGAAGCGGGCTTGTACTTTACGGGATATTAGGCTTTTTTTTACGATTCCTTATATTAACTAGTCCTAGCTTTAATATATTTATTATTATAGCTAGTAGTAGCTAGAGCTAAGAAAATTCGTAAGCTTAGCTTTTTCTTATTATATAGAGGTATATTTAAAGATCTAACCTTTAGTCTACTTAATATCTAAGGTAGGGAGTCTACTCTATACTCTAAGTTATATAAGATCTAGACTTATAGCTTTTTACTACTAGATTAAAGAGTCTATAGACTTATCTACTATATAATTATATACTAAAGTAATTTATACTATTATACTAACTTTCTAGCTAAATAATACCTAATAGTGATTTTAAAGAGTAGTAACTTAAAGCTAAGTAAAGAGTAGTAGAATAATAATTAGATTAAGAGATAGATAATCATGTCTGAAAAGGTATTATAATTTTATTATAGAGTATGAAAACACGAGGAATGGGCTATAAAAGGTTAGATATGAGGAAGAGAAAGAGCAGGGCTGTCTACTACCTTACCAAAAGTGAGGTTTGTGGTTTGTGGGGAAGTGTCGGCACTGGACCCTTCGGCACCGTCCACATCGCCGGATGCACGTCAGATGGCGAGTATGGATTCTATTCCAGGTATGCTTGGCGAAGGATGCAATAGTGCAATCTCCAGCGATCGCTCGGTCGACTGACCAGACTGGGACAATGTCTTGGTGTTGATGTGCGCTCTTCGCGAACTCGACATGTCTCTTCTCGACAAGCGCGTGTGCCCACGCCCCCAGGAGGTTCGTACTGATATGGGTTCGGCCGAACAACCTACCTAGGTACAGCTTCGTCAGAAATCACCAAGAGATTCGTCTCTGCAATGGCAATGGTCATCAAGTCGAGAACGTCGCTGCCATCTCGCGGTCTGTCCGACCAGGTCTTGGATGCGCCGTGGGAAGCGTAGATGTCTCAGGCGAACCCGACTTCTTCTCGCGTCGGCGTTGTGGTGGTATCGCACATGTGGTGTGCACGAGCTCTGGATTTATTTGATCGCACTCGAGCAATACATCGCCGGTCTATACTTCTCTCCTCTTGCCCACCGATGCTTTGACACCATGGCTACTACCGTGTCAGTCCAGAGACGACATTCGACTGCTAACGAATGGATTCTGAAAATCAGCGAGAAGGCAAAGAGAGGACGAGCATTTTCTCTCGGAGTCATCACGCCGTCTAGTCCCAAAAACTCAATAGCTGCGACGACAGCCTCGTCTAGCTCGACCGACTCTGCTTCGCCCTTTCCTCCGCTGCAGCACTCGAAAGATATACGAATCTTGCATCTTGATCCGTCTCTCGGACCAGACGATCCGTTAGTCGGCCACTACGAACTCTGTGCGTTGGAATCTCGCCCGGTTTACGAGGCGCTATCGTACACATGGGACCCACCATTCAAAGGACAGATCCTCCCAGATGATTTCGTTGAGATTTCCGGCCTACTATTTCGCGTCAATGGAAACCTCGGCCAGGCTCTACGACGCCTGAGACACACAGATCAAGACAGAGCGCTATGGATCGACGCCATCTGCATCAATCAGCACAGCGTGCCCGAACGAGGCTCACAGGTTGCTATGATGGCCGACATCTATCGCAGCTCTGCACGTACGATTCTGTGGCTCGGCGAGGATTCCGCTATTCGTGACGGCCAGTACGTCTTCCACATGGCAACTGGTCTCGGCCGCCCATCGTCGTTGAAAGGCAAAGGCAAGAAGCGCGACTCTCCGCTCGGCAATCTCATGCCGGAGGTCGAAGACGGTGGCATCAGTCTAGAAGAGCTGAGCCAGACGTTTCTCGGCCGGAAAGTGTTCCAGCGGCGATGGATCATCCAAGAACTATGCAATGCCGGGAATCTGGAAGTCCTGTGTGGATCGTACCTGATGCCTTGGTTCCCATTCTTCAAGTCCTTGCAAGCTCTGCTGCACCATCGACCTCTTTACGAATCTCAGAACTGGCAATTCAGTGATCGCCTGACCATGCTCGAAGATGTTCGTCAAGCGGGCGGTCTGTCTCGGAACCACACTGCAGTCGACATGCTGTGCGCGGTTGGAAACCTTGGCTGTCGAGATCCCCGGGATCGACTCTTCGCCCTTGCTTCTCTGTGGTCCGAAGGCTTCATCATGATCGACTATGCACTCGCAGCCGAAGAGGTGTACTACAATTTCGCAATGGCCACCGTGGCGGCTTCGGTCAAGGCTCACCGACTCGAAGCTCGTTCCGTCTTGCACGCAAATCAACTCCTCCTCGTAGCGGCATACCAGGCAGGCGACCGGAGACGAATGGGAATGTACAGTCTCCCCTCATGGGCTCCACACTGGCATTTCACCACACCACCCAAGTTCAGCCTCTCGGCCGGCGACAGTCTCGTGCAGCCACTGCACGTCACCCGGAACAGGATCCTGCGAGCCAACGTCCCCATCTTCGGCACGATCGACGCTCTACTGGAAGGGAACTGCTTACGATTACTCTCTCATTCGGGCGCGAGGCACGCCAATCTGAACGAGAGCATCACCTATCGCGAACACTTTGAACGCTACTGTCCCGCCCTGCGCAACGGCGATCTCCTCTGCGGGCCCGTTCTGGAACACCACAGCCTCGACACCCGTCTCGCCATCGTTCTGCGAGGCAATGTACAAGAGCACGTCATGCGAGTCAGGATGGTAGGCTTGTTTCCCATGGATTTATTCGGGGAGTCTTTGAGGGATCACAGTATGAGCATGGAAATGGAGTTTTTGTGATCTGGGATTTGGGGGGGAAAATCATCATTCGTTGTGGTTGGTTGGTTCGGTCGCATTATCTTATCTTTCTCTTCGATCTTGTCATTTTGAATCAAATCATCTTCCATCCAACCAACTGATTTCTGGATATGATGAAGCGTGAGATATGCTTCGACTTGGAAGCGATGCTTTCTGATGAGAGGGACACGTTCGTCACAGGTCTATTTCATGGTATGTTGGAGTCCTTATCTGAGCTTGTGCACTTGCTCGATTCCCTCGCTGTCAAGTATATATGCTTAGGTAGTAGTAGGACAGTCCAAAGCGAGTTTCAGTGAACTCCCTGCCCATTCCTCAAGCTCAGACAGCCGCCACTACAAGATACTCTCTCTCACCCTCTCTCTCCCTAGGGCGTCTCCTCAACCCTATAAACCAACTTCATCCCACTAACCTTGCCGTCCCTAAACTCCTGCAACCCCTCAAACACCCCTTTCAACCCGTCCGGTCCCACTTTAGCAGGATGCGGCGCAATCTGTCCCGCATTCACCAGCTGCTGCGCAATCGCCCAGAACTTCTTACAGAATTCGAAATCGTCCGGTCGCGCCTCGAAATGCTTGCCAAACTTGTCGAAGGCTTCGCCGTTGACGGTGTACCCGAGGGTCTTAATGGACTTTACATCTTCGCGCGTGTGTTTGGCGGTGGGGAGGAGGTAGCAGATCGAGCCGCCTTGCTTGGAAGAGATGGCTTCTTCGCAGATTTTGGTCGAGTCGCCTTCGGCGATGCAGTCGAGGGCGAGCTTGAGGGAGTCGTGGGTGTACTCTCTGATTTTCTGGGCGCAGGCGGGGTCTTTGTAGTCGAAGACTTCTTCCGCGCCGAGGGCTTTGAGCAGGGGATGGTTGTGCTGGGACGCGGTGGCGAGGACTTTACAACCGGATAGAATTGCGAATTGGATGGCGAGGGTGCCGGTTGCGGTGCTCCCGCCGTAGATGAGGATGTAATTGTTGTATTTCTCGAATCCGTCGCCCGGGAGGGGCAGGTCGAGGCTTTGGTAGAGGGCTTGGCCGCAGGTTATTATGCCTGCTCCAAGGGTTGCGGCGTCTTCGTCGGACATGGTTTCGGGGACCTTTTCGACAGACACTGAGCATTGACGTGGCTTGAGTTTGGTTGGGGGGGACTTACGTTCAATCCGAGATCGCCTTTTGACACGCAATATTCTGCGAAACACCCATCCTCCGGCTGACTCTCATTCCCTCCGTGGCAGAAATTCGCAATTCGATCCCCCTTCTTCCACTGTCTCGTGACAGCTGATCCAATCTCTTCGATCGTTCCACACATGTCAACTCCTACGGTGCATCCAGGCTTGCCGATCATATCAATGTGTTTCCTACACGGCAACCCTCATCAGCTGCAGTTCCCGGATGGTAACCATCAAGAGGGGATACATACCAATCCGTAGGATTCAACGCGACAGCACTGACTTTGACAAGAACATAATCATCTCTCAGCTTCGGGACCGGAACCTCTTGCAATTCTGCCTTGTTGCCCTCAACAATCTTGATCGCTTTCATTTTGTCTGGTGCCATTGTGAGAGCTGGGAGAGTTGAACAAGAATTGGAATTGGCGTGGAGCTGAGATCTGCCTGGACTGCTTCTCGCTTGGCTGGAGGTATGGTGGTCTCACATGAACTACGGTTGTGGTTGTGGACGAGCAGACGGGGTGCAGGGACTTCAAAGCTTAATGATTCCATGGGTCAGTGACGTAGCTGAGTGGGGAGGTTGGGAGGTCATATACATGTATGCAAGACCACGACTCGTCTAGCATGTGTATGAAGTTCGGCTCGCTGGGCTTGAGGAAAGCGGGTATTCCGTCCGCAGAAGAGGCTAGAGAGCTTCCTGGAGGAATGCTGTGGGGAGGAGCAGGGATGCTGGCAATGGAGCTGAACCGGACAAGAGACTTGGCCTTGAGTGCAAATCGTACGAGCGAGGTCGGAAACGGCTGGAAATTATGTGTCTTTGATTTGAGTCGCTCGTTATATCATAGCCGTAGCTCTCATAGAGATAGTCGTCACGCGTGGTGTGTAGCCCTCCCTTCGAACGGGTATTCCTCATCTACCCACCTCAACAGTCCGAATCGACACACGTTGGCCGCGCATAGTGATCGAACCCACCCCCAGGGGAGTATTACAAACCTATCGCATCTTCGCGGCTCCTTCACTTGTTGTGAGTCGGTGGTGGACCCTTCGGTGGCTCGTACACCTGACCCTCTCCACTGCGATATCCACCATACGACTGTTGCGGCGGTTGTAGTTCCACATCATTGTTTCCGTAGTACCCGTTGTCCGGCGGAGGGGTGTAAGCTGGCGGAGGCGCGGGGTTATTCGAGTTGTTGTAGTACGGGCCCTGGTTTGCGTAGTGAGGCTGCTGGGTGTAGGTGGGCGCTCCATGGCCTGCTGGCGTGCGTCCAAGTGCCCAGCCAGTACCGCGGTAGGGCTGATGACCGTATTGCCTTCGTCGGCGAGCGGACACGCAGCTACAACGTCGTGTTAGCTGCTGTATGTCACATGTGGGATTTGGTCGATGCGACGTACCTGAAGAGGAAGAAGATGAGGAATGCGCCGATGATGATCAAAGCTAGGACGAGCCATCGGACCCAACTGTCCCAGTAGCTATCGTAGCAAGACGACGTCCCATCGCCATTCTGGTAGCATCTTGCCATGTTGTCAGCTCTGGTGCCGTAGGAATGCGAACGCGGATGATGGTGTCGCAGAAGGTGGCAACGGAAAGGAAAGAAGGTCGGGATAGATGGTGATGCTCGGAAGGAGAAGACTCGGGAGAAGACAGGTGTTTCGGGGCGCAATCGAAAGGTGAAGTATGATCTGGTCACGGTCGTCTGGGCGTAATCCTGGCAGGGCGCAGCATGGAAGGGCAGGGAAGAAGCCTGGAACGAGACTCACTCTTGTCGCTTGGCAACATTCAACATGGCGGCGGTTGGTGGCTCGGCGAGGCGAGGGCGATAGGGAATGCAAGAGTGTTTGTTGCTGCTAGAAGTGTCTTGTCCGCAGAGACCAAGAAGAATAAGAGAGTACATGTAATGACCCAGAGGTCAATTCGAATGCGAGATGGATGACGAAGCTCCGCCACACCTGTCGCGGCCGATTTGCCGTGGCCTGATCGTGGAACGAACGTTCGCTCCACACTCGTTTGCGCCGGCGGCGCCGGGAAGCTTCCACTCGTCGCGTCCTGTGCAGCGGAGAGCGAGCGTACGGTCCAGCGCACTCTCATCTCACATGCGCGGTTTCTCCATGTACATGTAGTGATGGTGCATCGGCTTGTGATAGCTGCCGTCTCCAGAACACCATTATGCCCTACCTTACATGTAGTTGATCCGTGAGACCTGGATGGACTGCTCGGCACGTCGGCAGCGATCAGTGGAGACGGGAGCGCCCGCCCCTCGCAGGAAGTCTAACCTTATCCAGCATAGACCTCATGCTCTGCCAACGCATCGTGCATATCAAGGGCCAGCACACACCAGACGTGTTTATTTCATCGCTCTCCTTTGCCCGGCCGGATATGCTCCTCAAGAAGCACGCCGTCCTCGCGACCCTCCTGTGTCTGCCCTCGACACGCCTCTCCGCGCGCGTTTCCGGGAACGTCGCCTGCTTCACCACTGCCAGGGGTCGCCATGACAGCAATGCCTTCCAGGGGACGTGTCACCGCGAGCCCGTGCTGCCAGCGCATACGACATGACCCTACAAGAGCTTCCCGCGCGCGCGCGGGACGCACATAAGATGTTTCCCCCGCGAGAGGATCGACGCTCGCATACCGATGCTATTGCAAACCACGCAACATGGATATCACTACCGCTGTCGCGTCGTACCTCATCACATGATTCGGCTTTCCACCTTGGAGAGAGATTGCCACAAACGCCCCGTCTCTCCTTTGCCGCAGCAGACGGGACGAGCTCCATGAAGAAGAGAGAGCACACGCGCCCGCCGTCCGTCATCCTCTCGCACGAACAATAACGAGATACCGCACGACTGAGAAAGATTTTGTCCCGAAAGTTGCCATTGCTGGCGTGCAGCTCCGCGCCGCGATCCTATGCCTTCTAAACCAAAGCGCAAATCCCGAACTGACATGCCAACCACTCGTCTCGCGTGGGCCATGATCTCGTAGGGACTTCGTATGCCACGGCCGTTCAATCGTATCCTTGCGAACATTCAAAGAGAAGCGCCGTCTCATCAGTTCTTCGCTCGCGCGATGAGCCATTGGAGTACAGCATCCAGGTTGGTTTCTTCCTTGGCGCTAATTCCGTAACAGCTTACCTCCCGATGAGTGACGGACTTCAGATTTAGAGCGTCGATCAGCTCGTCGACCGTGGCGTGCCCGGATAAGTCCGACTTGTTCCCGAGCACGAGGAGTGGTATGCCCTCCATGGCCGGTTTGTTCAAGAGGATGTGGAGCTCCTCCTTGGCGACGGGTAATGCCTCCTTATCGGCCGAATCCACGATAAATCTGCGAGTCGACGTGAGCGGACGGGAGTCATCGCATTCAACATGCGCGACTTACACAATGGCGTTCACTCCGCGACAGTACCGTTCCCACATCGATCGGAATCTTGGCTGGCCTCCTAAATCCCAGCTGTGCGGCGTCAGTCTCTGTCATCGTTGCACAAGCCGTTTCTCTCGCAACGAACGCCACCGTCTTGACCCAACGCTATTGCGCGCGGCATGGAAGAAAGAAAGAAAGAAAGAAAGAAACAACGAACAACACCTCGATGACTCACCATTTCAGGGTGACATGGCCCTTCTGTACCCGCTTCATGTTGAAGCCGACGGTCGGTATGGAGCTGTGCGACGGCTTGTCAGTCTCGAAACACGTCTCGGCGAGGAGGTAGATCTCGGCTAGATCCCTGTCGGTCGCACAAAGGGAACGTACTCGATGGTGAACTCGCCGCCCTGTATCACAAGGTCAGCCATCGAAGAGCGATTTGGGGGCGCATCGCATCGCCGAACTCACCGCCAGGACGCGCAGGAGAGAGGTCTTGCCGGCGTTCTGGAGGCCGATCATGGTGATGTCCATCTCGGTGGCCCTGCGAAAGGAAAGCACATCATGTAAGCGCCGTCGATGGGTGGGTAGGGTAGGTCTGCAAGGTGGGAGCGAAGGTCGTCGCCGCTTGTCGCCATGAAGTCGGGACGGAGCGGTGAGGGTTGCCGGCTGCGTCAGGCTGCAAGGCGACAAGATGGCTCTGCTGGTGCTGTCGGATGGGCGGCGAGGGGGAGGACATACCAGAACAGGCTCAGCAGCCAATCATAGATGCGGCGGAAGATGCCCACCATGCTGGGCGCCGGCGTTGTTAGATCTCGGATGCGTGAAGGTCTTGGACCAGTCGCCGGCGGGAAGGAGCGATGAGGCTCTCAGGAATCAGGAAACTCCAGGAACCCTAGTGTTGCAGTTGGATGAGTTTTGCTTCGAGGCAGGTGCGGGGCGGCGGGCCGTGGATCGTTTAGGCGGTAGACAGAAGTATCGCTCGTCCTCGTCTCGTCTCGTCTCGTCTCGTCTCTTGTCCGTAGTAGCTCAGCAGCAGTGTCGTCCGGCGTGTGAGCAGCCTGGAGACGTATCGCGGAATGTGTGGATGGGAGTATGGACGGGCATGTATGGCTGGCCGTGGAGTTACCTCGTGTGCAGCCGAGCTGCGACAACGTTGCTCGCTGCGAGCGCCTCTGGCGGGCAGGATCTAATCGCTCTCTGCAGGTGCAGGTGCGAGTGGTGAAACTGCCTTGCGTGCACGCTCCAGCAGGCGGCGGGAGCAGATGCAGCTCGTCGGCCCGCGCTTAACGCCGATCGCGACCGTTGGGAGAAATCTTGGCGCGACCTGAGCTTCTCGGCTTGGGAAAGAGCTTTTTCATGTGCCTTCCATGCGACAGGAACCACGGCGCTCTTTCTGTATGATATCGCGGATACCCCTGTGCCGGCGTCGGGGAATGGTAATGTAGAGATAAGATATACACGTCGGCATCGCTCCAGCAGTACCCACACACACCATTGCTGCTTTTTTCCACCATGGCGCCATCAGAGACCGCTTGGTCGACCGAGTACGATACCCTCAGACGGGAGGACCTCTTCAGAAACCCGCCCAAAGCCGCGAGCGCGTACCCACAACTTCAGGAGGCAATCCGACCTCACGTGGACTCCTTCAACTACATATTCGCCGAACACGGCCAGATCCAACACGCCCTAAAAGACATTGGCACGAGGACGTTTCTGGATGGAAATGGACAACAAGGCGATGTGCGGAGAAACAGACTACAAGTCCGGATACGACAGATATATCTGGACAAGAGCCAGTTACCGCCCTCGAACAAGGTCGAGACAAAGAAGAGAGAGATTTTGCCAGTAGAGTGCCGGGAGAGGCATACAACATACAGAGGACGGTTTAGGGCAAGCTTGCAATACCGTGTCAACGATGGAGAGTGGAAAGAGAATGTGCGTGACTTGGGACATCTACCCATCATGCTACGATCGAATCGGTGTCATCTGGAGGGACTGTCTCCACGGGACCTGGTAAACCGCAGGGAAGAGACCGAAGAGCTGGGAGGCTACTTCATCGTCAACGGCGTAGAGAAGTTGGTACGAATGCTGATTGTGAACCGGCGAAACTTCCCCATGGCGATCACGCGACCGTCTTTCGAGAACAGAGGAGCGACATACACCAAGTACGGTGTGCAGATCAGATCAGTACGGCCGGACCAGACGTCACAGACGAACGTGCTGCATTACTTAAGCGACGGCAATGTCACATTCAGATTCTCATGGAGGAAGAATGAGTATCTTGTCCCAGTCTTAATGATCCTCAAGGCTCTCTCGGAAACCAACGACCGAGAGATCTTCGAAGGCATTGTTGGTCCGGCCGGCGGCCAGGGCCTCGAAAGCAAGCAATTTGTCACAGACCGAGTGGAACTTCTTCTTCGGACGTACAAGGCCTACAACATCCGCGGCAAGGCCAAGACGAGAGCTTACCTGGGGTCCAAGTTCCGAATAGTACTTGGCGTCCCTGAAGATATTAGCGACGATGAGGCGGGCACCGAATTCCTTCGCAAGATTGTACTGCCCCACTTAGGATCCTACGATGTTACAGAATCGAATGATTCAGACAAGTTCCGATTGCTACTCTTCATGATTCGCAAGTTATATGCGCTAGTCGAGGGAGAGTGCACGGTCGACAACCCAGATGCGGTCCAGAATCAGGAAATTCTGCTTCCCGGCTTCCTGTACGGCTCCATCATCAAAGAGCAAATTGATGAGTGGCTGGGGACAATAGGTTTGAGCTTGCGTGACTGGGGCAGGCAGAATCAATGGCCTTCCTTCACAAGTCGAGAATTCGAGAAGGACTTCATCTCCAAGATCATCCGGAAGACTAATGAGAATCTTGGCCAAAAGATCGACTACTTCCTTGCAACTGGTAATTTGGTCAGCCCTAGCGGTCTCGACCTGCAACAAACTTCTGGATTCACGGTCGTTGCTGAGAAGATCAACTTCTACCGGTTCATCAGTCATTTCCGCATGGTGCATCGTGGAAGCTTCTTTGCGCAGCTGAAAACGACGACAGTGCGCAAACTTTTGCCAGAGAGCTGGGGATTTCTCTGTCCAGTGCACACACCTGACGGATCGCCGTGCGGTCTTTTGAACCACCTTGCGCACAAGTGCAAGATTGCAACGGAGAATACTGACGCATCGCATGTCCCGGCACTCGTAGCGCAACTTGGCGTGACAGCGACGTCTGAAGCAACGCTCAGTGACAGCGTCGTCACACAGTTGGACGGCCAAGTGCTCGGCTTCTGCTCACCAAAGCAAGCCAAGGTAATAAGCGACACACTGAGGTACTGGAAGGTGGAAGGCACTCACAATGTACCAGTTGATCTCGAGATTGGCTACATTCCGCTTTCAAATGGCGGCCAGTACCCAGGTGTATACATGTTCTCCGAGCCAGCGAGAATGATCCGACCAGTCAAGTACCTGCCGCTCGAGAAGCGAGACTTTGTTGGGCCGTTCGAACAGCCATTCATGTCAATCGCCTGCACGGAACCAGAGATTGCATCTGGTGACTCGACGCATGTTGAATTCGATGTGACGAACATCCTATCCATCATCGCTAACCAAACGCCCTTCTCCAACTTCAATCAGTCGCCCAGAAACATGTAAGTGTGAGCTTCCATTCCAAACAGCAGAGATACTTGTTTTCTGACCAGGCCTCGTTGCTCCAGGTATCAGTGTCAGATGGGTAAGCAAACAATGGGTACACCTGGAACAGCTCTAAAATACCGGACGGACAACAAGTCCTACCGCTTACAGACTGGTCAAACCCCGATCGTGAGGACTCCTAAGCATAACGAGTATGGACTTGACAACTTTCCGAACGGCACGAACGCTGTTGTCGCTGTGATCTCATATACTGGATACGATATGGACGATGCTATGATTCTGAACAAGTCAGCACACGAGCGAGGATTCGGACACGGCACGATATACAAGGCCAAGAAGATCGATCTCGCGGAAGAGAACAAGACAGGCCGTAACAGGTCCGCAGTCACGCATATGTTCGGCTTCGCACCTGGCGGGATTATCAAGTCGCAGTGGCGGAACACCCTAGACGACGATGGTTTGGGCCGGGTCGGCGTCAAAGTCAAGGAGGGCGATGCAATCGCTGCTTCTTACGCTGTCGTCAAAGATCCACTCACTGGCGAGTACGTGAACAAGGACAACGTCACGCACATCCACAAATACAAGGAGTCTGAAGAAGCTTTCATCGAAGAAATTAAGCTCATCGGGAACGAATCCGGCAACAACGACCCATGTCAAGCTATCAGCATTCGGTTCAGGATACCTCGGTCTCCTGTCATTGGTGACAAGTTCTCTTCACGGCACGGCCAAAAGGGTGTGTGCTCCCAGAAATGGCCAACTATCGACATGCCCTTCACGGAAAGTGGAATGCAGCCCGATGTCATCATCAACCCACACGCTTTCCCGTCCCGTATGACGATCGGCATGTTCGTCGAGTCGCTTGCTGGCAAATCAGGGGCTTTACATGGCCTATCACAAGACTCCACGCCGTTCAAATTCAAGGACAAAGAAGGCGAGACAGCTGTCGAATACTTTGGGCACCAACTCAAGCGCGCCGGGTACAACTACTACGGTAACGAGCCCATGTACTCTGGCATAACTGGAGAGGAGTTGGCCGCAGATATCTACATCGGAGTCGTATACTACCAACGTCTTAGACATATGGTGAACGACAAGTTCCAGGTTCGAACGACAGGTCCAGTCACACCACTCACTGGCCAACCGATCAAGGGCAGAGCCAAGGGTGGTGGTATCCGTGTCGGAGAGATGGAACGTGATGCTCTGCTTGCTCACGGTACTGCCTTCCTTCTTCAGGATCGACTGATGAACTGCAGCGATTACACCAAAGCGCATATCTGCAAGACTTGTGGCAGTTTCTTGTCTACGCAGCCGAGCTCTGGATCATACAGCAGGCGAAGAGAAGGTGGAAGGTTTCGGTGCAGGAGGTGCAGTCGCAAGGCCATGGCATCTGATCCCAAGAGTGGCTGTTGGGAGGATCGAAAAGGAGGGAAGTGGTTTGGTGGCGACAATGTCACAGTGGTCGCTATACCCGGTGTGCTGAAGTATTTGGACGTCGAACTGGCGGCTATGGGTATTCGGATGAAATTCCGAGTCGAACCTTGATATGCTCTGCAGGAATGCCCGCATGAGCGAGAGGAATTGTTGCGAGACGCAATAGTGCTCGAACGCCCATTACTGCACTTCGAATAACTGCTTCGAAATACTATGGAATGCTTAGCCGTGACTGTTGAGACCAGCGCAAACGAAAGTCATTTCCTTCCACCTATTGGCCTTCAATTTGCTGGAGCGCTTGTGTTCTCGAGCAGCGAATGATTCACCCTGGAGCTCTTGTAAAGCATTGCCATCGAATTTCCACAAGGCACCGTCCGTCATCATCACCATCGGGCTGAACATTACAACGCAAGACAAAAGCCGAAGACTTAACCCACCCACTCACCCAGGTTGTCCTTCAGCAGCGGCTTGATTGTCGGCAACGTTTGTCTTCCATGAGCGAATTGTATGCGGTTACATCTTCTTCAGGGCTCTGCGATGATGGCTGCTCTGCGCTGCCCTGATATCCGCGGCGATAGTGAGAGGCCCTTTTGAAGCGCTCCGCCGGTCTTGAACGGTGTCGCTCGAGCGGTGTAGTAGGCGCAATACCAGCCGACGTTGACTCCTCGCGGGAACTTCTGGAGGCATTTGTACGAATCGTGCCTGCGGACTTGGCAGACTTGTCCGATGCTGCTTTAGGATAGACTGCACTCTTTTGTTTCTCTCTGCCCCGCAAGAGACCAGCATTACAACAAAACGCGAGACTGCATGAGCTTGTCTTGTCACGATCCGTATATGTCGCCGCCTCGCGGCAACTTGAAGACATTTCCTCTCAACGCAAGCCGCCAAGGAACCAGCAAACACTATGGCACGACGTCACTTTTGACCCGCCCGTGTCGTCTTCAAGTCATGTCAGCCTTGTATTCGGCTCGATCTGAGAATAATGGTGGTATAGAGCATCCAACCGAATAATCTTCGTCGATCAATTCCTAACTATGCTATTTCATCGACGCTGGATTGCACTCGAGCTACTTTTCTGTATCTGGGCTCTTCGCGGCCGTTGCGCCCGTGCTAACATAGAGATCAGGATAATTGGCTTGCTGATCAGCTTTGGCAGTATCAAAGAGCTTCTGCAGTCTCATTCTTTCGGCTTGCGGATCCAACTCAGCACCGTTGGAAGCCCCGGCACCGCCATGACCATCAAAGGCAAAGAAGGTCCGCTCCGTCATTTCAATGTCTGTTATCAGCGCTTGGTACTGGTCCCTAGCCTTCCGATACCGTTGCGGTACACCTTGGCCTTTCTGCCAGGCGAGAATCCTGGAATCGATCAGCTGGTGTTCGCCAAGCAAACCCCTTTGAGGATCTTACCCTGCCACAACGGTATTGATGGCTCCTAGAGTGATCAATGTCACGGTTTCTGTATCCTTGTAGCCCGACAAAGCAGTGAACGTCGCCGCGAGAAGGATCTGCAGCATGTACAGTATGTTGGTGATGAAGCCAGTCAAGACGTACGCAATCCTGCTTCGCCGTTCCTCATCTCTTGCACGTTGATACAAGCCGACGTTGTCGCTTCGCGAAGAGGGCGACCTCTGTCCATTGGAACCGCGGCTCTGCGCGAGCAGCGATGGTGTTTGGGTTCCGATGAGGTACTGGAAGGTCTCGAGGCGTGAGTAGTTGGCTGAGTCGGTTGCTTTCATGGGAGCAGACGATATCGACGAGGTGCCCACTGCTTGCGCTGTCGAAGAGGTCAGTCCTTTTTCTGGGTCCATATTGATGAGATGCTGCAATGATGGAGCAAAGACGTGAAAGTCGGAAGAGCGCTCAAGTCATCGTGGAAGGCATCTCGACGCTTTACGAATTACTGCAACAGTGGCATGATACAATTGTTGTCAGCCAGCCACAATTCAGCGGGACACTACGGACCAGACTGTGTGGCTGCTCATGCAGATGTCGAGTCTCGTGCAGCAAGCCCATTTGTGCTTGCTTCTTAATGCCTGAGGTCTAGGCCTCAGGTGAAGGATCAATACAGTTTACCTCTTCGCTTCTGAAATGCTAAACCGAAAAACAAAACATGATCTGGTTTGTAGACAAGACTAAGTATTGAAAAGACCCGGATAAGCGCTGTATTCTTCAATTAAGAAAGCAGCATTACCGACGTGCTACTGACGGTGTCTCACAGGCTTTAACGCGCTTAGAGCTGGCCAACACCCACAGCCTGCATAAGGCAGGCTTCGTAAGCCACCGATTGGCCCCTATGCTGGTTGCTTCAACGTCCTATACTCTCCTCACACCCGGACGATGGTGTTTATAACCTCCATACGACTTTCCGGCTTTTCTTCTACTGACACCGCCGACTCATAGGCGGTGAGAGCATCTCCAGTGGCATCCGGGCACTTGCAATAACATGCTCGCCTGCCCAATCGACCCTGAACATAGGGCTGAGGTAGTCTCACAATACTGAGTAGTCCTACGGGCCTTGGAGCACTCACATTCACGCCGATGGGTTTCAGACGATCGATGCAGTGGTGCCAGCGCTCCAATAAGTTGCAACCAGTGCTCATCGAGCTCCAACGACAGCTGGTCCATGCTAGCAAGACATCGGTCTAGGAAAAGACGGTCGCCCTGGCCCATGAAGTAGTTGATCTTTTGCTTGGACATCTAACGGGAGCCTCACTAGTGTCAACTCCAGCACACAGGCGAGAAGGCAAGGTGGTTTCTCATGCTGACGGTCCTTAGGAGCCACCAAAGGGCGCTGTTCCCCGTCACTGTGCCTCTGACTTCTGACTTAATCCAGCAACACACTCTCTCGACCTCACATGTTGATATCAAGCTCTACTGCAACCTTCGATAAGCTATTGCGTATCCTCCTCAGATACGAGCTGCAAGACTTCAGTCTAGTGCCACCAAGATCGACATTTGCTCCACTATACTGCAGTGCAAGAGGGGCTGTCACGCTCTAATCGGCCAACCTATCTTATTTATCCGGGGCTCGCCATTGTATGGTTACAGTTGCTAAAGAGACACTAGAATGGCGTTGCATTGCATTGGCTCCATACTCCTGCCGTGTTGACGCGTGGAGCCATGTGCTTCGATATACAACACGACGTTGGTGCAAAGCGTTGGAGTGGGCTGCGACAAATACAGAACTGTTGAAAGTGAAACACATCCAGAAAAACTTCCGACGCGAAGAACGACGTCGTGACACTGTCAATATGCTCCCGCATATCCTTCGTCAAGCAACTGTATGGTTGCTCGTGGCAACGTTGTGTGCTGCACAGAGCGACATCAAGTTCATGTACCTCTACAAGAATGCGAAGACATCCAACAATCAGGCAATCAAGACTAAAGGTTTCAACGCTCTCTCTATATTCGGCGTCGACTTGAAGACGAGTGGCGACATTGTCTGGAAACTAAGCGTGCTCGACGGATCGCCTGATGTTACTCTTGCCTCCAATGGCAGCTATGTCGGAGGTTCCGATTACGCCAATCTGATCAAAGCCTACAAGACAGGAAACACACACATCGATCGAGTCGAAGTGACGCTTGGCCAATACCAGAACATCAAGACTCAGGTTGGTCAGGGCATCGGTCCTTCAACGACTCTGTACAGGAATCTGGCCGCTCTCAAACACGCATGGAATCTGGATGCCATCACCAACGACGACGAAGCCGAGTACGATCTCTCCAGTACCGTCAAGTTTGCTCTCATGCTTGGAAGGATCGGATACAAATTCACAGCAGCACCCTACACCGAGATCGACTACTGGGCTGAGCTGGTCAGCCAGGTGAATGGCAACACTTCCGGCCTCTTCGACCGGGCATACCTGCAATGCTACGATGGAGGAGCTGGCAACGATCCATCTCAATGGATCGACAGCCTCAAGATCCCAATCATTCCTCTCTTGTGGGTTACCAACGATGCGAAGCCTGCAGATAGTATGACGCCGCAGCAGAGCCAGTCACAGTTCCAGAACTGGACGGACAACGATCGGATCTCTGGTGGAGGCTACTGGAACAACTACGATATCGAAAAGCAGAATAGTTCGTACTCGGCGTACGCGAATGTGTTGAATCAGGTGTTTGGCTAAGGTGTACGTTGCGGACTGGGTCAACGAGCCAGTGGCGAAGCTGTCCGTAAATTGGTCTTATTAGGGCCCTCTCTAGCCTCTATGGGTTACCTCGCCTTGAGATAAAGCCGCAGCTTAGGAGACATGTGCATAGCGCAGTAGCATTGAGCCGAAAGCGTACGCATGCCCAGGGGCTGCCATTGCTAATTCTCTGTTTTTCGACCTGTTGTGACTCTGTGAGCCTGGTGATTTGATCGGAACCCAAGAAAGCAACAGCTCTTGGCCGTGTATTTTCGCTGTTCTTCTGAAGATCCTAGTCTCGCTCTTCTGATCCTTTCTCGATAGTTCACCGCTCTGATGTAGCCTCTTAAAGTTGCCGCCTTCAAGTAAAGGTGTTCGCCCAGCCTTTCCTGTGGAGCTCCAGTAATCCTTGTTCCTCCTCCCACGACATTTGTCAGGCGTATAGTAGACTGGAATGTACCCCTCTACCCGAAGAGGGTATTTGCACGTGGGATAAAATTTGATGTACGCGGTTAGGTCGTAGTCGGTGACTTGGATAAGGAATGTATTGCGATCGTAGTAGAATGGAAGCGTATCTGCGGATGGATCGACATGTCCTACGTCGAGGGCCAGTAAAAATCTGAAGCTAAGCAGCGGTGAGACCAACTCGAGCAGTCCAGGATGTGCGAACTTGTCTGCAGTGAGGATGAGTCCCCGATGTGATACCACCACGTAAGGCCATATCATGTCTTGCAGCTCTTGGGGTAGCTCAGGAAGCGTCGTGCGATTATAGGGGTTGGCTGATGTCGGCAGCTCTTCGCTTCCCTCAGGTCGATAAGATTCGGCCTCTCAAGCCGTCGATTTGTCATCCTCAGATTTGATCGATTCGTGGTCTCCGGATCGAAGACACAGGTGCGAGGAAATTCTCGCAACTCCTCCCATACTTGCTACGATTTGAGATTTTGCACGCAGTCTGGAGGCCAGCGAAATATCTTTGTGAGAGGTCTCGTCACAAAGCCTTGCTTCGAGAATTGACACTGAATGCTCTGAAAGAAGTCAAAGATGGTTGTGGGTGGGCTCAATCTAAGAAGAGCAAGGAATCGCGTGAATGAACAACAGATCAAACCATGTTTACGGGAAAGCACAGCTACACCGTTCACAGGTAAGCTATCTCTGATTTTCCGAAAGACGATATCGGTTCGTCGCAGCCTGACCATCCATGCTGATGTCTGGAGCTAGTTAGAATGGATCCTTTGTGACAGTCGCGACGACAGCATCGTTGAGGCGGTGATTGATAATGCTGCCATCGCCTTCCCAAAGATTGCAAGCCGTCACACCTTTGTAGCGAAAGACCGTCGCGCAAAGTCCCACAGTTTGAAAAGATCAGGCCTTAGTTCGCGACTGATCGGTTTCACATGCTGGTCTGGCATGTGAAACCCCCGACTTTTGGGGATTCAATTGTCCACTTGGCATGACTCTTAGAGCGGCTCAGCGATGTTGCTCAGGGCCAGCCGTCCAGCAGCAACGCCTTAGGCATGTGAATGATATATTCGTAGTCACAAGGTTCCTAGCTCCAGCCATAAAAGTCATGTTGAATCTTACGATTGGTGTATACTTGACAGCAGGGGCAGAAAAAGGAAGTGAAGTCAATCCGTTTCCGGCGAGCGGTAGGTCTGTGCCAGCCAAAACGCGCTAGCGGCGCTACACGTCTTCCCCCTGCTCTCCAGAAACACCAACTTCAATGTCACTTACAAAATGTCGCTCGAGTCCTCTCCAGAACCGCCGCGCCGCTCGCCCAAGAGAAAACGCTCGATCTCGCATGGCTCCGACTCGGCAGCATACGATGGCGCCGTGGATCCACACTTCTCCTACGCTTACGACGAGGACCTGACCAGCGACGCGGAAAATGCGCTACAGACGCCGGACCAGGCCAGCGACGACGAGGCCTCGCAACCAAAGAGAAGGAAAGTCGAAAGACCGAAGCGATTGAACTACGTACCGCACATGACATTGCGCGGTCACAAGAGGGGAGTTGCTGCAGTGAAATTCTCACCAGATGGCAGGTGGATAGCTAGTGCTTGTAAGCATGACCAAGGCAGCACGCGAAATGGAAAGGGCTGATGTGAAGTAGCGGCGGATGGCATGATCAAGATCTGGGATGCGCAAACAGGGGCGATATCGCAAACACTCGAAGGACACCTCGCTGGCATATCCACAATATCTTGGAGCCCAGATTCTCGAGTCATTGCCTCTGGGGCGGATGACAAGATCATTAGGCTCTGGGATATCGCGACTGGGAAGAGTCTTCCCAACCCGCTAGTCGGTCACCACAATTACGTGTACAGCCTAGCCTTTTCTCCTAAGGGCAACATGATAGTGTCGGGATCATACGATGAAGCTGTTTTCTTGTGGGATGTGCGAACAGCCCGATTGATGCGCAGCCTACCTGCTCACTCGGATCCGGTATCTGGAGTGGACTTTGTTCGAGACGGAACACTGATCGCGTCGTGCTCGAGCGACGGCCTCATCCGGATATGGGATACCAGCACCGGCCAATGTTTGAAGACTCTCGTGCACGAAGACAACGCTCCTGTCACCAGCGTCAAGTTCTCGCCCAATGGCAAATTTGTCCTGGCTTGTACATTGGACTCATGCCTCAGGCTGTGGGACTACGTCAATGGTCGAGTCGCGAAAACGTATCAAGGCCATAAAAACGAGAAGTACAGCATCAACGCGGCATTCGGCACGTACGGAGCCCTCCCGAACTCGCCCGCCGATGGCCTGGAGAACGGAGCGCCCACCGTCATTGAAGATCAGAAGTGGGCATTCGCAGCTTGTGGGAGCGAGGATGGCAAGACTGTCATCTGGGACGTAAGCTCTAAAGAAGTCCTGCAATCGCTAGACAGTCACGAGGGTGTTGTTCTAAGCGTCGATGTCGGCCTTGACGATCAAACAATCGTCACAGGCGGCTTGGACAAGGCCATCAGGATCTGGAAACGACACCCGTTACCACTCGGAATGGACAGTCCTCAGGCCGCCGATGGTGCGCCGCAACTCAGATCAGAAGTTCCGTCTGACGAGGAGGTAAGAGACTCCGACGCAGGGTGAGGGCGTATATTCGGCAGATCTCATCACAACCAAGCAGACACCATAAAGCTTCATATGGGACATCTTCTCCAAGCAGCAGCACCCGAGATACCCCCAAACCAAACTCGAGAGATGGAATCGATTCTGCACTCTTAGCCGACGTGGTACACGACCACGTGACTTATGACTGCACTGCACAATTGCGGAGGAAGAATTGTGCAATGCTGCGCGGGGAACCCCAGTCCATGGCCTATTTACAGCCATGAGCCGGCTGGCTAAAGGCGCGGAAGAGATATACAACTGGTTGGCTAAAGGCGCGGAACAGATATACAACTGGTGACGGAGGACACTTCTTTTGAGTAAGTAACCTGATTGCATTATCGCCACCATGTTGCTTCTGTCCGTGTTTCTCAGCTTGCTTCCATTCTGCTTTGCCTTGCCTCAGTATAGCTACAATCAAGATGCAAGCGCGCCGGATCTTGACTCCGTCTTAATCCTTGACCCGCCGGCAGATTACACAGCACCTCGAACGCTCTACGCTCGGACTCTGCAACTGAAAGAATCTGGCGTCCTCTTAGCAACCTGGGAAAACTACCTCCCCAACAACGACTCTTTCCCGTACTTCCCGATCTACCAATCGCTGGACTACGGCCAAACATGGGCTGAACGCACGCGAGTCTACGATCAAGTCAACAACTGGGGTATGCGCTATCAACCATTCCTCTACGAACTTGAAGAACCAATTGGCAACTTCTCAGCAGGCACGATCCTCCTCGCGGGCTCTTCTATCCCTCAAGACCTCAGCCAGACGCAACTCGAACTCTACGCGTCAGCGGACTGTGGATGCACGTTCAATTTTGTTTCGCATGTCGCCAAAGGAGGAGTTGCGTTACCTGATAATGGCGAAACGCCCGTTTGGGAGCCTTTCCTAATGATGTATGAGGGACAGATGATATACTACTACTCCGACCAGAGAGATCCTGCACATGGACAGAAATTGGTTCACCAGACATCGACGGACCTTTTGACATGGGGAGATGTCGTGGATGATGTGGCGTACGATACCTACGACTGGCGACCGGGTATGACGACTGTCTCCCTCCTACCCAATGGGAGCTACCTTCTCACCTACGAATTCTACGGCGCAGTCGAGGAAGCTTTCGCGGTGTACTATCGCCTTTCGGAGAACCCGCTTCTCTTCGACAGCGCTCCCGGCCAAGTCATCCGTGCGACAGACGACTCTTTCCCCGTGGGATCACCCTACAATGTTTGGACGCCGGCTGGTGGCGAGAACGGGACGATCGTGGTTAGCTGTGGTAACGAGGAGCAGTTGTGGATTTCGAAAGACTTGACCGCAACGTGGGAGAGGGTGGATACGGTGGAGAAGACGAGTTACACGAGGAGTCTACTTGTTGAAAGGCAGGATCCGAATACGATCTTGATTGTCGGGGCTGGGGTACTGGGTGGTGAGGATAATAATGTTACGGCCAGTACGTGGAAAGTGGATGGCTGAAGATGGAGTGTCAGTGATAGGAGATGTGTACATATGAGAATCTGCCATGGGAATGGAATGAGTTGCAGATCGTCCGCCATTGCGGGTTTCATTTGCTGAGGGTCGTTGTTCTCTTCTAAAAATTTATTCTTGGCGCGTAGTAGCAGCTTCGTTCTTGCCTTGCCTCGCCTCGCACCTTCCCAACATGTGAATGTTAAGAGGGATGAGCCGGCTTGGCAAGCCTTGCTCGCGACTGGCCCCTTTCGAATTCCAGGAAGACTTTCACGTTAACTTCATCTCACCTCAACTTCATCCGCCACCCTTCATCAGACTCTCGGTCTCGACCATCTCGTCAACCACAATGCTGGCCGTCGCCGTAATGACTGACAAGGTGCTGAGCACGAACGAACTGCTGAAAAGTATCCTCTTTCAGCTGTCCATCAAGAAGCTCCTGCTTGCACAGCGCGTTTGCAGACTCTGACAAACTCTCATCAAGGACTCTTTCCGACTCCGACGCGCTCTCTTTATGGTGGCTGTTCGGATTCCCCGAAGGCATTTGGTGCTGGAGAGTGGCTGCGACTTCAGAAGTTGTCGACTGTCTTCCTCTTTATGAACTTCGCCTAACACCAGCTCCTCACAGAAAGAAGGAGCACCGATTTGGAGCACATTCACAACAGTTTCTGGGCACAAGAAGAGGCCATGATTGCAATGCGGGTTCTGAAGAACACCTCAATTGACAACATAACAGGAGCCATTGGATAAAATGGAGGAACTTACTCGAAGCCACTACTGGCTCCTTTCGATCCGGCTTGGAGCAGAACAGAACCCTCTTGGATACATATGCTCTTGTCACAGCCCTCATCGGAGATCACAGTGGAGGTCGACTGCGAAGACTTGATGAGCGTGAACCGTGCTGAAGATGGACTTGTTAGACGTGGGGCACTGATAGAGCTGGCAGAAGAGATCTATGAGGGCCGCATATCAAACATGGCCGTGATCAAAGATTCTGTGTTCTACATTGAGGGAGCGCTCGAATGGGATACATTCTGGAGCGTGGAAGACATCGAAACTTGCATTATCCAACAGTAGCATGACTTGATCGATGCCGCCGTGCACTACGCGTGCTGGGTTCGGACGAATGCTGCAAGCTTCTGATCGAGCATCATGCATCGTAGATTTTGTGAACACATGACATTGTGAAACGGAAGTTCTTGCCGCTACAATCCAGAACTTGAAATGATGCACTTTATCATAAGCCATCCTGTTTTCGTGGAGTGGAGTGAAGAGGGAAAGATTCAGGCTATGCGGACATGAGTTAGCGGCGGTCCTGCCCGGTCCAGTAGGATAGCTGGTCGGGATGAGCTCGGAGAGGCCAGCTTTGGCTTGTGAGGACGCAACTCTCACATCTACAATCGACTTTCCTACTCTCACAGCCCATTGCCTCCACCTCGCTGCTACCATGAGGCTCTCACAGCTCCTAGCAGCGGCATTGTTGCCCTTCACAGCCCTCGCGGCCAAGAAGACCTCCGGAGAACGCTTCCTCGAAGCACGCAGCAAATCGCAACCTATCAAGGTCGACGACAAGTCCTACGATGCCTTGACCAAAGCTCCGCGCGACTACTCGGTCGCTGTCCTCCTGACGGCTATGGATGCGAGATTTGGATGTCAGTTGTGTCAAGAATTCCAGCCGGAGTGGGAGTTGTTGGCGAAGAGCTGGACAAGAGGGGATGCGCAAGGGGAATCCGGGTTGGTGTTTGGAACATTGGATTTCATGGACGGCAAGGCGACGTTTCAGTCGGTATGAGACAATGGTTACCAGGAGCACCGGAGACAATTGCTGATATTGGGGCAGTTGATGCTGCAAACCGCGCCCGTCTTGCTCCTGTTCCACCCAACTACTGGGCCACACGCGAGAACGAACAAGCCAATGGAGAGATTGGACTTCAATACTGGGTATGCTCCCACCTCCAGCCCTCCTACATCACCCATCTCTAATGTCTTGCACAGCATCAATTCGGCCGACAGCGTCCACGCATGGCTAACCCGCCAGCTGCCCGACCGCCCGCACCCCAAACTCGTGCGTCCCATCAACTACGTCAAAATCGCCGTAACGACAACTTCCATCCTCGGCGTCATCACCTTCCTCACGGTCGCCGCTCCTTATATCTGGCCTATAATCTCCAACCGCAACCTCTGGGCCGCAATCAGCCTCATTGCCGTCTTGCTCTTCACCAGCGGGCATATGTTCAATCACATCCGACATGTACCCTACGTGGGAGGAGATGGCAAGGGAGGCGTGAGCTATTTCGCAGGAGGCTTTCAGAATCAATTTGGGCTGGAGACGCAGATTGTGGCTGCGATGTGTAAGTGCAGACATTCCATCCTCTGCTTTGGCGTCGGAGAGACTGACGTGGTAACACAGATGGCGTCCTTTCCTTCGCTACCATCAGCCTGGCCCTGAAAGTCCCACGCATGGCCGATCCACGCTCTCAGCAGATCGCTGTCTTGGTCTGGGGCGGTGTCCTCTTGGTTATGTATTCGTTTCTGCTCAGCGTCTTTCGCGTGAAGAACGGCGGATATCCCTTCTGGCTACCACCATTCTAGAAGAATCTCGATCTGGGAAAGGCACCATCTTAAGGGTCCAAAAGTTTTCAGCTACAGAGCTGTCTGCTAAGAGTGCAGCGCTTCTTGTGTATACCTAGAGCTCTGTAACCATATGAATGCAATAGAGCGTGGCAAAGGAAATGAAAGAACAATTTAGAGGTACGAGATTCGTTCATTTCCAGTCATACAATCTCATACCAACATGCTGTGCCTGCAGAGCAGTCCCGTAAAACTTCAGTTGGTCTTCCTTTTACCTCCCATCCACATACTCCCCGTAACTCTTCCTCTTCAACGTGAAAGCACCAGCAGCGTTCACCACCGCCAACCCCTGTGCCTGCGTCTCCACCGTCCTCTCCTGATCCGCCGCCCTCTTCCCCAGACTTCTCCCCCCTCGTTTCAAATGCCCGCTATACTCATAGTCCTCACATCCATACCTCCCATCGCACTTCCAGGGAGACGAATCCAACAACCCCGGATCGTTACAGATATCCACACTACCCTCGGGAATGGGAAGTCCATAGGCCGGCGAGGGAGCCTGCGTCTTGTTGAAATAGGGAGCCCCCCACCATTGCCCGATAATGTCGGAGGTGGAATTGCGCGTGCAGAGGGCGGCGTAGGCGTTGTGTTGCACCCAGCGGGCATAGCCGTGACAATTCCGATCGTGGAAATCCGCGAGGGAAGGCGAGGCGGTATACGTCAGACCCGGCACGAGAGCCGCGGAAATCGGGAGGGGTTCACAGAAGAGGTTGAGATTGCGAAAGTAGGCGCCCTTGAAAATGGATTGGTCCTGGTTACAGCTGGCGGGCGCGTCGCAGTAGTCTTCCATGATTCCGTTTCGGCCTAGGCCCGCCCATTCGCTGGCCTGGGTCCAGGAGGGGGCATGCCAGCCCGTGGCGCTGATCACGGTGTCGATGAGGTTGTAGCCGTCTTCGAGGTAGGTTGTGTCGCCTGTGGCTTCCCAGAGGCCGCGGAGGCCGGAGAGCATGACGCCTTGGTTGTAGGTGTAGACCATTTCGTTGCGGCGATCGCAGGTGGTCTGACCGTCGGAGATGTGGAAGCCGTCGACGATGAGGCCTTGGGCGTTGGTGAAGTTGTGAGATTTGAACCAGGCCCATTCTTCTCTTGCGTTTTGGAGGAGGAGTGGGTCGTGGATTTTTAAGGATGGGAGGGGAGGCAGAGTCTTGTTTGTGTAGTCTGGGCTGGGGTAGGGGTCGGAACTGATGTCTCCGGGCCAGTACAGGTACATGGCGATGGAGCTGGAAACGAAGAGCTCGTTCGTGATGGCGTTCTTGTATACCGACAGCGCGGGGTTCCAGTCGACGCCGCCCTCGCAGAGAGAAGTGTTGAATTGATCCTGGACGATGTTGTAGAAGATATGCGCGCGGTGGGCGAAGTATGCAATGTCTTGCTGGCCATAGCTGGATTTGGAATAGGCATCGTACTGCTTGACAAATTTGATGGCTTCGAGCCATTCGAGCACAACCCATTGTGCATCATCGTATGCGGCATCGAAGATTTGGATCGTGTCCTCGCCACCATAGTAGGCTTCAATCTGGGAGTAATATTTCCTGATGTCGAATTGGATCTGGGCTGCGTCTGTCCGGGCACCGGGGACGTTGCCTTGGTATGCTACCAGTGCGTCCGTGAAGTAGCGTTCTGTGGTCGCAATGATGGTACTAATGAGCGCTCCTTCCCATTGGAGTGTAGTGGGCTGGAATCGAGATCAGCGAGAACAACAGATGCTTGGGTTTGGTGCTGTTGTTCTACCCAATATGTCCCATTCCAGTACGTGCTCTGCATGGTCGCCAGGATATCTCGACTCTGGTCAAGCCAGTATCCCCCAGCGGGACCATCACTATAATTACGGGGACCAGGCCACTGCCACGGGTTGCCCCAACCTCCCCCAGGACCATGCCATGCCGACCAGTATGCGCTACTAGAGTGCTGCTGTGACGCGGTCGAGGTTCCGAACAGGAGAGCTGCAGACAACAGACCTCCTTGCAGCCACAACATGGTGAGAGCAGCCAGCACGCATAGCAGAAAGACGGACAGAGAGGTGAAGAGCGGCCATGGGCGGCTACGCGAGCCCTTTTGCAAGTGCAGCTGGGAGAGCACATGCGATGGGACAGGAGATGGCCATTCAGCTTTACCTTCCCGCATCTCCGTGCTCATTTCCATAATAATTTAATGATGATGAAATAAATGCGTGTGTGCGCCGCTTCAGCCAGGCACGAGTAATGTGGATAACGTGGTGCAGGTACGAAAGTCTGTCTCCGACAAAGAAGTGGAGATGGTGGTGGAGATGGTGGTGGAGATGGTCGTGGAGATACAGGGTGTGCCCCCCCGTGCGAATCGATGTCCCTGGCCTGAGAAGTTCAGGAGGCAACATGAATGAATGGAGGGAATTTCCTTCGGAAGAGAACTGTGAGAAGAGTGCACAAGTGGTCATCTGCTGCATGTCGCTCCCGACTCGCAGCTGCAGTCCGCTGCTGGGGGTTAAGATCGACCATCTGCTGCCGCGGGCACGAGAACAGAATGGATATAAGCGTCCGAATGAAGCTGGCTCGGTCGTATCTGCAATACAATACAATACAATACACAGAGATTGTATCGACAGGCATCTCCCATCACATGCCGCTTCTATTTATGCGAGGTTGTCCCGATCCACGCGATCGCGAACTTGTATGCGGTGGGTGAATGTCGCGCTCGTGATGTCGTGAATTCTCGCGTTGCGGGGCAACCACGCCAACGCCAACGCCAACGCCAACAATGCTTCTTCCATCTCCAATTTCCATTCATCACCACTTCCTCCCTCACCATCACTTTGCGGGACGAAGGCAATACCACAGAGCAGCTGTTAGGCTGTCATCATCAGCATGCCCGCCAACGCGCCGCCCGTCGCCAAGCCCTCCAAATCCATCTTCGACCCCTTCAACAGCAGCGCAACAGGCCACCAACGCGCCGACAACAGACTCGGTGGCAGTACTTCGTGGCGCGAATCGCGAAGTCGGAAACTCCGCGAACAATTCAACGCGGGCGCAGGCGGGGGTAAGAGAGTCAGCGATACCGTTGGCGCCGGAAGTCTGGATTTTGGCAGAGATGGGAGGACGGAGAATGGAGGGTGGGTGAAGGGTGCGAAGGGCTTAAGGACAGGGGGCCAGAGGAGTCTCGGGGAGAGTATGAAGATTGAGAAAAGGGAGGACGAGGGAGGGGAGAGAGCGAAGAAGAGGATCAAAATGGAGGAAGAGAAACCCACGGCGGTTGTGAATCCCTTCACGCCCTTCCGCAAGCAGCATGGCACCGTACGGGAGACAAGTTGGACGTCGCATGAGCAGTCGCCTTCAGACTTGCTCGAGCCTCTTGTAACGCCCGATCCATCAACCGACCCCATCCACCAAACACAAGCCGAAACCTCGAATCCCCCGACAGACGTGGCAGAAACCAAACCGCCGCCGCAAATCTTCTCCTCCCTCAACTTCTACATCAACGGCTCGACAGCACCGCATTCCGACCACAGGATCAAACATCTCCTCAGTACTCACGGAGGCAACATCTCCATCGCCCTCGGCCGTCGTACCGTAACGCACGTCATCATTGGAAGACCCAACAATACGGGCGACCGAGGCTGTGGGGGCGGTTTAGCAGGCAGCAAGATCCAGAAGGAAGTCGCGAGAACGGGCGGGAAAGCCGTGAGATTCGTGACGGCGGATTGGGTAGTGGAGAGCGTAGAGGCTGGGAAACGCTTGCCGGAGAGCAGGTATCAGGGTGTGAATATTGCGCCAAACGGCGTGAAAGGCATCGGGAGTATGTTCAAGCCGAAAGAGAAGCAATGACCCCAGAAGACGATGACATGAGGCACGCACACACGCCGAGACGACGCTTTAGAAGTGACTTTGAATGATACCCAAAGACTTTTTGATTCTTCCAAATCCCACGGGTCTTGGTCTGCTCCGCATCATCACCTATACTCCATTCTCAACAACCGGCAATTTCGCGTGCTTGTACTTCCGCTTTCCGCTCCCACTCCCATAGCTCGCCGCAACCTGTCCTTGTCCATGGATCCTATATTCATGAATCGTCAATCCTTCCAACCCAACAGGCCCCCTGGCATGCACCTTGTTCGTACTGATGCCCACCTCCGTCCCAAATCCAAACCGCATGCCATCACAGAAGCGCGTCGATGCGTTCCAGAATTTACATGCCGCGTCCACGCTGTTGAGGAACTGGTCCGCCGCCGCTTTGGACGCTGTAAGGATGGCATCGGTATGGTGGGAGCCGTGAGTGTTGATGTGTTCCACCGCGGCCGCGAGAGAGGGGACGGTGCGGATTGCCAAGACGAGGTCCAGGAATTCCGTGTCCCAGTCTGCGTCTGTCGCGTCTTGGACGGAAGAAGCGGCTCCATCCTGGTCCAGAGCCGTGGAGAGCGCAGCTTTGGATTTGGAATCGCATCGGAGGGTCACGCCCTTGGCGATGAGAGCTTTCGCGACGCCTGGAAGGATCGCGGCGAGGGCTTCTTCGTGTACCAGGAGAGTTTCCAGGGCATTGCACGCCGCTGGATAATCCGTCTTGGAATCGACCACGACGTCGATGGACATTTGGGGGTCTGCGTCTGGGTGGATGTAGAGACTACATAATCCATCCGCGTGCCCCAGGACAGGCATGTGTGCTTTCCGTTGACAATATCGTACCAGGTCATTCGAGCCCCGCGGGATCACCAGGTCGATGTACTGCCCCAGCTCCAGCAGCGGATCCACGGCATCCCGGGTCGTCACGAGCTGTATCGAATCGTTCGGAACGGAAGTCGCCTCCAGAGCGTTGGAAATGATGGACGCGATGATTTTGAACGATTCCGTGGATTCCTTGCCGCCTTTGAGAATGGCTGCGTTTGCGGATTTGATGGCGAGGGAGGCTATGTTGGCGATGACCTCGGGTCTCGCTTCGAAGATGATGAGCAGGACGCCGATGGGGCAAGTTTGGCGTTGGAGGATCAGGCCGTCGTCGAGTTCTGTCTGGAGGTCGACTCGGCCGACTGGCGAGAGTTAGCGGTTTAGAACCGAACGGAATCTCGACAAACAAGCACACTGGGAGCCGAGAGCAAACATGCTGGGCAAGGCAAGGGGTAAAACGTACTCGGATCTGGCAAAGCCTTCACATCCCGAATCCCTTGCAGCATGTCATCGAATTTCCCCGGGCGTGAGAGATCCAGACGCTTGTAGATGCTCGGGTTCAGCTCGCCATTGCTAGTAGCCTGCTTGGCCTTGTCCAGATCCACGACATTGGCCGCCAGAATCTGCTCTCTCGAGCGTGATAGAGCGTCGTAGATGGCGTCCAGGGCCTGATTTCGCGACTCCACGGAGAGTGTTGCTAATGTTCTCGAGGAGATCTTGGCCGCGCGAGCCGCTTGCTCGGGAGAGTCGTTTGCAAGGGACATTTTGGTTGGGGTTGAGAGCCTCTCTGATCGCTTTGTCTTGCTTCTCAACAACACCGACAAAGAAATTCGATAGTTTTCTGTCGCAAAAGTGTCGAGGACTTTCGTCACATGAGGTCGGCGAGTGAGCTCCAATGCCGGTCACGTGTATCGGCAAGAATTCAAATTCTCCGATACCGATTTCCCTTCCTGGGTGTCTTGCTTTCTTTCTTTCTTTCTTTCTTTCAAGCCTTCCGTCTTCCATCTAATCATGAAATATCGCCAACTCATCTGAATCCTCCTGCAGAAGTTGAGAGCAAGCTCTACTAGAGAAAATCGACCTGGGCTAAGCCGCATCCTTCTTCTGCTGCTTCTACGTGTGCATTTGGAAACGGGTCATGTATGGAAGCAACGGCATCGTGCCTCTGGTATCTCTGCTCGATCAAAAAGGACACCATGCGTCTATCTTGACCTTTTGGGAATGCAGAAATAAGTTCACCCTGCGTTTGAACACATCACCGATTTGGCTGCCTTGCAGCATCCTTTGCGTGCATAAGGCCGCAAGTTTCACCGAGGGACTTAATCACTCACAGAGATTCAACCGCGTTGGAATCTCCACATAACATGGCGAATATCTAGCAATAGGAAGTTAGCGGGTCTCCACTCGAAGCCCAAGACACAATGGTTGTCTTCAATATCACGGTTTATCCCATACCATTTGCCCGTTAGTACGTCACGGCCTTATTTTGGATCACTCAAGTCGTGGCCATCTGTCATCGCGCACTGGACCCCGCAATAGACGTGTACCACAAGACATACCCGGACGTATCACAAGATACATTCCGCTTCGCTTGGCGACCTTACTATTTGAACCTAGATCGGCCCCCGGCAGGGTGTTTGAACCTATAATAGAGAAATTGGCAGCGAAAAAAGGGTTCGAGCGCGTCCAGGCAATCTCTGCTCGATTGAACCTGTCGTTCGCGGCACGGCAACCTGTTCAATTCTGGAACTCGTACGGGAAACACTAGGGCTCCGAATCGCCTCGTTGGTAGATCCTGGAGACCAGCGGAAATTGCTTAGTGAAAAGCTCATTGAGTCTCGTTCCGAGCAGGACGAGATGTCCCATCGCACGGCATGTTGGCAGATGCAGCTGTGGCTGTTGGCATGGAAGGATCCGAAGTCAGAGCCTATTTCAAACGGAATGATAATGGGGAGGAGGTCGACGAGAACGCTGCAAAAGCCAGAATCATTGGAGTCCCGTCCACCTGGCCATTGAGACTGATTTTATTCGGAGTGAGGCTGCTGAAGACGCTGGAGAGTTCTATCACGCACTCGTCTCGGCCCACAAGGTTGCCGAATTGTAAAGCTTTGCTTCCTATCTCAGACTTCTATGGCGATCTCGCGAAGAAGCAGTCATCGGCGCCTGCGCACACCGCCTTTCAAGTGTAGCATCATTCTCACAGCGGAGAAGAGGTTCCGTCAAGTCGAACGATCCTCTGGTCGAGACCGTCGCTCATATCACTGGCCAGGAACAAAGCTACTACACCTACGTCATGTAGCTTTGAAGGTGGTTCATCGGATCGCTGTAGCTTGTTGAACGCCTCCTTGGCTTCCTGGAAGGCATGCTGCGATTGCCTATCACCTCCGCCGGTAGCTAAGGTAAGAGGGTCAGCCATAAGTACTGATATCAGAGCTGCAGACTCACCTTGCGGAAGGATTATATTGAACGCGATTCCGACATCTGAGTATTCAACAGCAAGACTCTTGGTGAGATCGCTCTATTCAATGTCAGCATGGGTCATTCTGTGGGAATTCTGGAAACTCTGCGGACCAAGGCCGGCGGAACGGAGTCTGATTCAACATCTTCAGAGACCATCACGACTTTGCCTTTCCCCTGCTGCTTCATCGCCAATGCTGCAGCATCTGCCATTTCCTTCGCCCCAGACATGTCATTCTCCTGCTCCGGGCCCACGATATTGACAAGCACATCGATTTGGTCCTGATCGAATTTCTCCTTGGCCGCGGCAATGACCTCTACCGCCGAATGCTTGTCCTTGACAGTAAACTCCTCAAACTGGAAATGCGTGCCAGAACCAGCAAATAATGTCGAATCTCGGGCTTTGGAGTCGATGCCTAGAACCATCGCGTTGGCTTTCAACAATGATTTGCTGATCCTGACGCCGAGGGGGCTGGAGGCGGATGTTACGATGCAGAGCTTTGATTGCACATTTAGTTGGGACTCGCGGTTCGTAATCGACATTTTGACGTTGATGCTTTGGGCTGGCAGTCTTTCAAAGCACCGCTCACCATCATCCTGCTTCTATACGACCTTCTATATCATCCCGTCCACGGCGGGGTACGTCATCTCTCCATGTTTAAGATTTTGCGCCCCGAGAGGCCGTTGAAGCTTATGGGAAAATGAAGCTCTGTGTATGTTCATAACCTGGAAGTTAGCGTATATCCTTCTTCAACCAATCAGATCGCTCTCGTTATAGTCACGTGAGAGGCATACGTTATACGGCTTCACTTCGGCCCACGTTCCGAAGGCCATCTACTTGCATCCAACTTCCAACTTCCAACTTTCACTTTCATCCATCGCGATACCTCGAAGGTTTATTTCTTCGCCGTGAACACCCTTTAGCGTCCGAGAAACGAGACCCAATCTTTTTCCAGGCAAAACTACTTACTGGAATTCGTCCAATTACGGTTGCTGAACAGAAGCTTCCGCGGCTGGTAGAAAACGATTGAAACATCACTCGGGGCCTGGAGAACAGATACAGAGACGTAGTACTCAGGTAATCAGAACCGAGCATCAGCAGTGGAGCTCCAGCTCGAGTTCAGACACAACAACAACTACCATGGCTCTACGGACTCTCCTTCGAACGCTTCCGGCGTTGCGACCACTGCTCATTCAACCCGCATCGAGAGCTCTCTATCACTCCTACGAGCACGTCGAGCCACCTCCGTATCGCGAGACCGAGTCCGCAATTCTCTCCTCTGCTCTGGCGCATGTTCCTGTCCATGGCTTCACGCAGCAAGCCTTGACACTCGGAGCGAAAGATGCAGGCTACTTGGACATTTCCACAAATCTGTTCCCCAGAGGAGCATACGATCTGGTGCTATACCATCTCGTGTCCCAAAGACTCGCTCTGAAGGATCGCATACATTTCTCGGAGGACATCGGTGTGGGCCGCAAGGTCCGTAGCCTCATATTGGAGCGCCTACGTGCGAATGTGGACGCAGGCGTCGTTGGACGGTGGCAAGAAGCATTGGGTCTGATGTCCCTTGCAGAGAATATACCACCGTCTCTGAAAGAGCTGGGCCTATTGGCTGATGAGATGTGGTTTCTGGCTGGGGATGTCTCGGTGGATGCCTCGTGGTATACGAAGAGAGCTTCTTTGAGTGGAATCTATGCTACGACTGAAGTCTTTCAGACAACAGATCAGAGCACGGATTTCAAGGACACAGAGGAGTTTCTCGATCGTCGGATGGAGGAGCTGAGGACCGTCGCAGGAGCCATGAGCAGTACATTGGAATGGCTGGGCTTTCAGGGAGGTGCAATGGTCAATTTACTGAGGAATAAGGGAGTAAGAATATGAGGAAGATAATATACTACTAGGGACTCATTTGTCACCCATTGCTTCTCTGTCGGATCTGACAGCTTCGCTAGCGGACTTTTGGAGAGCATTCTTATCGAGACATGCTGAATAATACCTGCTGCTCACAACCGAGACACATTCGCAAGGACCCGGATCAATGCATGGCAAAGATGGCCAAGATCGGCCAGACCAAGTCTACTGCACCACCCCCATTCCGATTCCAGGACCTCCCATCCGAGCTTCGTCTGTCAGTGCACCGTGAGCTACTGGTCCGCGGCGACTTCGATTCGGAACCTCGCTATCCGGCCATCACCACTGTCTCAAAAGCCAATTAACAACGCAATTTCCGGTGTGCTGTACTCGGAGAATCACGTCACGCTCGCTTTCCAATACCCAGACGGCATCTCAGGCCTACCTCAGGGAGATTCCCCCGGCTATATCTAACCCTCTGGTGCGCTCAAAATGCTCATTCGAGATGCCAACGTCTGTCAGGAAGGCGAAATCTTGGTAGGCTGGACACTTCACAATTCGTTTGCCGCCAGTGCTGCAAAAGTTTGAGCACATCAACATGGAGTTCCGGAGCCGTTGGTGGACACCAGGCGGGTTGGTCTGGAGTTCATCGATTGGAATGGCAAGCGAATGCCGTGACTACTGCATTGGCGGCGTGGGGCTTTTGCTAGCGAATAGAACGTCTCTCTCAAAGTCAACAAGACAAAAAGCGCTATAAAACAAGGTGTAGAGATCCTCTCTTGTAGTTACAAGCAAGAACATAGAAGAGACGATTCAATATGGCCAGCTGCTCCTTGAGAAACGCGCAGTAGCGTAGGTGTTGCGGTGCAGGGATTGTCGGTGTCATTATTATGGCTCAGAGAGAACTCGTAGATTCTGTTTCGAAGCGAAGCTCCCGTCCCAGCTCGAAAACCATGACGGTTGGGCGGAACACTGAGTGCCATGTTGGAATGAGAGGGGGCGAGTCGTGGTGATTTCGTCGAAAAGATTACGGTGTTGATGTTATGGAGTAGGTGCAACCTCAACATATCTTAAGTTTGTGCGGATCGAGATTACGTTATGCGCAACATGTGACGTTTCTTGGCATTCACCATTAATCGCAATTGTCTATAAACGGCCACAGGGGTTTTGGAGCTATCTCAGCATACGTTTCCAAATGCACAACCTATTCGCTCTCATCAACCCACTGTGTCTGCGGTTAACCGCCTCCTGTTATTTAGCCGGCCATCCAGGATCGTTCTCATCTCCACACACTTCCTAAAGAGTTCACGCTCGACCTCATGTGTGATGACAGTCTCCCAGATCCCATCGATGTAATCGGTCAACATGTCAAATCCATCCTGCACAATATTTGCATCCCTATCACTCTCGAGGTCCCAACCGCACTCGTTCTCAAGGTCCCACGAAAGCAGAGCTGCGAGCTCTCTCTTCTCAAACCACTCTCCGACGATATTAAACTTGAGAAGTTCTCCACTCTCAGCCTCCATACTGTCCTCCTTCCTAGAGGTAGCGTCCCGTAGCTCCAGCGCTTTGCGCACCATCCAAGTGGTTTCCTCTGTGCCCTCAACTACAACTTCGAGCTTTTGATCGAGCTTTGCAAGGGGATACAACGCTTTCTGCACCTCGTCATCTGGATCCACAAAGCCTTTGAAACGAGTAACGAGACGAATTCGAATGCCTTTATATCCACACGCTAGAACATAGAGGAGGCGATTTAACTCGGCCATGAAGTCCTCCTTCAAGGCCGCGTGAAGCGTGCCAGGCATATCAAGCTCCAAGTTGAAGACGAGCGTGCCGACTTCGAATATGTGTTGAGGCAGGGCATCACGTATTCTGATAAGACTGGACTCCCGCACGTCCGAAAGGAATCCATAACCACTGTCAAGCTGGAATTTGTATCCGACTGTGCCGAGAAAGCCACGTTTGGTCACGAATCTTGCATGCAGATAGAGTGTGGACTGATTGTAGAGGACGCCACGAGCTTCTTTGTAGATCTGTTTGCAGGTGCACAGCAGGGCAGGCGAGGCGACTAATTCAGCGCCAGGATTCGAGTCGTGCCTCAGCGAGATTTCGTATATGATGTTGCGCAGCTCTGGTGGCAACTCGAGGAAAGGGAAGATATGACAGTTAGCTGATCGGCGTGGAGCCATGTCGTCAATCACACTGGTGTCGGTATTGCCGGAAGTTTACGATGAGATTTGTGAGTTCTCAGGGAAGTCCAAGGCGCGTATGAAAGGGCGAGAAGTCTCGTCGAGAGTCTCAGCGATTTGGACTTCTTTAGATGGCTGAGCAGCAATTACCTACCTTGTTTGCTTGCAAGTGAGTGCACACGGATTCTTTTTGGACCACCGCAACCAAGCTTCTTCTGTGTCCCTCCAGCTGCAACAGAGGATGTCTTTCCACTATGGCCGGCTCGCCCTGTTCCCAGTATCGTTCAGAACGCTCTGTGCTCCCACTTCCTTACCCATGTCCTTCTCCACCAACTTCAACGCGAGGTCCCAAGCCATCTTCAAAGACCTCTCGCCCTGGAAAGTGCAACAGACTTCTCGGCCATCGACGTAACACGCAAGATCTCGACGCGTGTCTCTCATCATCTTTGCTCTCGAGAGATCCTCGCCCTGACCGACCCCGGTTTTAGACCTCTCAAAGACATACTGCAAGATAGCTTGGGACTTCGCGCGCCACTCTGTCACAGCATCAAATTGAAGGACGTCGGCGGCCGAGACATCATTTCGAAGTATTTCAATGTAGTCCTGCACGGCTGTTTCGAAGCCGAATAGCTGGAGTTGCACATTTGGATGGAATTTGGCGATTGGATAGAAAAAGTCGCTGCAGCTAATGACGTCTTCAGCCAATGGCGACAGTGATTGCAGTGTGATGAAGACTTTGCCTTTGTAGTATTGGCAAGCAAGCGCGTGAAGGAGGTGGTTCAGCGGCAGAATTGACTCGTAGCTGCTTTGCTGAGTGTAGCTGGGCAACGCAATGTGGACGTCCCATGTGCCGATCTCTAGGAAGTGGTGCGGGATGAGATTGCGCAGCTCTAGCAGTGTTGGTGTTGGTGTTGGCGTCTGGCACCTGGGCTTCGAGTCGAAACCTTTGCAGCGCACTCTCCACTTACAGTACTTGATGCCAGTGGCAGCAAATATGAGCACCATTTCGAGAGTGCTCTGCTGGTAAAGGATGCTGCGCGCTTCCTTGTAGACTTGCTTGCAAGTGCGTAAGAGTGCCGAGGATGCTCTTTGTCGTGGTTTGTTTCGGAGATATTGTACCAGCGACAACTCGTAAATTGCATTTCGGAGTTCCGGCGCGAGCTCAAGAAATTGGAACCCGCGGCGCTCCTCGTTGGTGGAGTGCTGCGAGTTCGCCATCTCGACCGTTCCTGTCGCTAAGAGGGTTGGTGGAACAGTGTGCCTGCGGACGAACGATTTTGGCAATGTGTGGTTGTCGGCACTTCCAAAACCAAAGTGCGAGGTCGTTTGACTCGAAGGAAGCCGCGCCAAGACCTTTTGCCGGGATTACATCGGATGCTAGATGGCGCCAGCCATGTGAGACTCTTGGCGCTGCAAATACACCTGTCAGCATTGTTCTCCGCAAATTTTCTCAGCCGATCTCCAAAAGATACATTGGAGAATCAGGAATTAAGACAAATATGTTTTCAGGATCAGATATTGGCACAAGGCGAATCACAACACCCAAAGAAAGAGACAGAACACCCTCACGCCTTGCGTGACTCCCAAGACTGCGTGAGAGCGTACAATAATCCGTAGACCCTCCATCCGCTGACGATGCCATGCCATTCCCGCTCCCAGCGCGCCGTGAGTGAGTGCATGATTTTGGAGGTCTCGGCTTGCCGCTGAAAGGCTGTTGCGCAGAGGATGACTTCTGCACGGTTTCCACTTCGTCATTTCTTCCTCGACGTACTTCAACTCTTGTGAAATGAGTAGCACTCGTTCGGTTGTGTGCGTTTTTATAGCAATGAGTCGAGGCGGGTGAAGACGCTAAGACAGGCGGCAACGACCTATAGAAATCGTCAGCATCCTGCTGCCAGATCTTGTTGTTGGAGGACTTACCTCTAGTTGCAGTTCCCTATCCTTAGCTGCGTTCACCTCATCCCGGATGACCTGATCCAAGTTGGCCCCAATGGCTGCTGCACCACCCGTCCTACGACCGAAGGGCCACTGTGAGTACTCGGCGAGCAGCTCATCGACCTGTGCAAAGGCACGCTCACGAGCTTCGTGTCCCAGGGTTGTCAATGCATTCTCGAGGACGTTCGCGGCATATGCAGCGCAGAGCATGGCAATCGTCCTCAAGTATCGGAACTCCATCTCTTCAGGTAAGAATTGCGAAGGCGGGAGGACGACGGTCCTGTTTGTGAGTACCGCTCGTACACGCTTGCGAATCTCGTCTTTTGCGCCGCCGTCCGCGACTGGATGTGTCGCCATATCGAATAGGAGGAAGTTGCGCTTTTCTGTTCTGAGGATTCCCTTGTCGACGAGGCCTTTCGCTAGCCGTTCACGCACTTGCTTCAGCTGATAGCCGATCTTCATGAGGTTCCAAGTCTCTCCTGTTCAAAATGTCAGTCTCTCTGCTCACGGACACCAGCTTCCTGCCTTCTGTTCTTTACCCACCTGACATCAGATCGATCCAGGAGCTGACGCTCATCTTCTCACTGCTCTTCATCATCTTCAACGCTTCATCCAGTAGCACTTCGCCCGTCAAAGTATCGTCCACAACCTCAATCAAGCGATCCGCGAGTGGGAACCTCCGCCTCGAGCTATCTCTTTGCATACTGATCCTACCTCGGAACGCCAACTCAATAACGATACACCCTCGCAGCGCATAACTGATGTTATCGTTCCAGAAACTTAGGTATCCCTGCTTGTCCTTAAGCCCCATGAGCAGCACCTCCTCCATGAGCGTGAGCTTGGGCTGCTTGAGCCGCTCGGCGCTTTCTGAAATATCCCTGGGGTCGAACGCGATCTTGTGGCCATTCTCGCCGGCTTCGTAGGAGGTTTCGGGGCCGGAAGAGGAGGTCGGTTTGGGTGCGGGCGAGGCCACACGGGAGTTGCTGTCTTCGCCGTTCTCTGCTGCTGCGCTGGAGCTTGCGCCGCCCGCGCCTCGGCGCCGTGTCAGGCCTCCGGCGGAGGAGGCCATTGTGAGAGGAAGCGTTCAGGCGAGAGGCGTATTCGTGGTGCTCAGTAGATTTCCTTGGTGAGGATGGGTGAAATTGAATACCCTTTCCACGTGCCTGTGCGCGCCAGGGCTGAGAGATGATCGCCGGGGATGGGTGATGAGTGAGAGTCGGAGTGTACGCGGCGACGGGCGCCCGAGGTTGCGCCGGTCAGTGAGTAGTGCGACAAAGCGAACGAGGGAATCGATGTTGTGAGCTATTGCAATGTCAGGTGCTTTTGTGGTGGTCGTAAGTGTTGGAATGGCGTGGGCGGCGCGACAGGTGCAGCGGTGGGTCTCCGTCCTCTAATGAACGAGCCCCATTGAAATATTGATGAGCAAGAATATACCGAGGCGACCAACGACAATCGAGCACCACAATACCGTTTCACTTGACAGTGTAAATTGGAAGTTGGCGCTACACGTTTATGCGCCGCTCGCCTGCTGAGCTACAATGTACATGATTACCTGGCGCTGTCTGAAGGCCAGGTCACGCGCGACCTCTCCGAGGATCTCTGCCCCCTCCACACTTCTTGTTCTCTGCCTAGCAATACCAATTGCTCCCGCTTAGTGTGCTGTGCAACGTTAGCAACGCATTGTGGTCACGAGACAGAGCAGATCATACCATCAGGCTGCTTCATGATGTAGTCGACGGCTTGGTTCACTGTCCTCAATTAGCGTATGCTCTTCGCTTCGGTACGTTTCATCTTCGCATACCGCTGTGGATGCCATCTGCCTCCTTGTCTGGAATCTCAATGCTGAACTCCTGCACGTGATCTCAGTCTCTGATGTTCATTGAGCTCTTCTGATACCACAAACCTCCTCTATCGCCATCACGACCTCCACGGTGTCCAAGCTGTCAAGTCCGAGGTCATTGTTGAAGTGTGAAGTCGCCGAGAGCTATCTCTCCATCAGTATCGCCGGTTCCCACAAAATCGTCTTATCTATCTCTCACCTTGGAGGCATCCTGAACCTGTGCGGCGAGTTAGCCAATGCCATCACCACCTGCTCTTCCAGTATGTGTATCATACCTTGTCAAAGTTCTTCAACAGATCCAGGATTCTTCCGGTGACCTCTTCCTGTCCAAGTCCCGAGCCCGAAGCGTAGCACCTCACTGCCGAAATCGTCGTCGCAGGCGAAGAGACTCGTGATGTGATGAAGGGGCTGCGGATGGCAGCTGTCCGGAAAGCCGGCACGGCGGCGCGGGCGCTGAGGGTTCGCGCAGAGCGGAGGAGAGCGGTACGGAACATCTTGGTTGTCGCAAAGGAAGATGCGAAGATATCGTATGGAGAAATGGTATAATCGGTTTGCTGTGTATGGGAGGGTAGCTCTTTCTGTGATGCTTGAAACGGGACTTCCCGCTAGGCTGTAGCTGAGTAAGCATGAGTAGACTTCACTCCAGCTTCAGTATCCAAACATGGACATCCACGACATGAAGATCTTCATGGCATCGACACCACTCTTGTTACCGCACTCTCAATCTATTCAGCGGAGACGAAGTGCCAAATAGAATTATCAAAGAGAATGCAGTACTCCGACTGCACCACGTAGCAGCTGCGGCGCTTCGTTGCGCAGCACAGCAGCGCAAGATTGGACGGCACCTTAGAGCTGATCCGCTAATCGCCAACGGCAACGCTGCTATCCGCCCAGAGAAGTGCAAGTGAGCTGCTCGTCGTGAGCCATACCCAACGGCACGACCTGACCGTGTGCGCAAACCACAAGCCGTTCGCGACCTTCTCTTCTGAACCCAGACTTGAGCGCTGCGAACCCGGGACAAGGCCTAAAGCCCGTGGAAGCATTCCGCAATGCTGGATGCCGCTAAGCCCATCCCACCGACCAAGGCCAGGAAGGCACGCAATGCAAGAAGCAAGGCCTTCAGCCGATCGTCGCGACCCTAGAGTGAGACAAGGGTGTCTTCTTGCGCGACGTCTAGAGCCGTGCAACAGTCGCGCTGTCATGCTTGGAGGTTTGGCAGCCGTCACTATACGCTTGCGAGAAAACTTCAGATTGATGACGCCTCAAAAGAAAGAGTGTAAGAACAAGACCGATATGGCAACAGTGCCTGCTCCAGGACCGTTATCCGTTCGCATGGCGAGTTCGGGAAGCCTTGTTTCTACAGATTAAAGAGACGGGCCTGATTTCCATGGTGATCCGTGAGAAACCTCACGGTGTTATACGGTAAGTCAATTTGCTTCTGATCTCTAATTTTTCCCCTCCTGTTCTGTGGCATTCATGAAGACTCTCGATGGCTGGAACTATACTTTTGGCTTGAGAAATAAAGGTAAGGACCGACGTGTTCATTTCAATCCGACATTTAGGAGAACCAGCCCTTTTGCTTCTTCTGCCCTTCACCTTCCCCTCCTTCGGCCTCTGCTTCTCCTTCTCCCTGGGCCTCCTCCTCCTCGGGCTTCTTCCGATTCTTACCACTGATACCTCCCCATACACCAGAGGCCAGGCCACCAACACCTTTGCCAACACCACTCACAGTTGATCCAACACCACCGATGACATCCCCTTGTCCGAGTTTGCCGACGCCGTCGCCGACACCGCCCGTCACGCCTACATTCATACCCGTCAGCAACGCGTTCCAAGTAATAGACCTCGGAAATGAATTGCGTACCAGTAACAGTATCTCCAACACCCTTGCCGACACCTTCAACCGTACCTCCGACGCGGCCAGGAATATACCCGCCTACGCTCTTGCCAGCTCCTTCAATCGAATCGCCCTGTACACCACCGAGATCAGCAAGCACTTGTGACCCTTACGGCTGCCAGGATACTCACAGCTCCTTTTCCGACACCATCAACGGTGTTACCAACACCGCCGGTAGCGCCAGAAGCGACGCCGCTCATATCACCCTTTCCGATAGCGCTGGTGGTATCGCCGACTGTTTGACCAAGGCCAGAAGTTGCTCCGGATACAGTCTTGCCCACATTGCCAGAAGCGTCGCCAACAGTCTTGCCAACGGGTCCGCCCTACGAAACATGTCAGCACCGAGAGCAAGAAGAATCTTGGCAGCTTGAACTTACGACTGTGCCACCAAGGGTCTTGCCAGCACCAGAGCTACGAGTTCAACATCAGCAGGCGACTCTGAAGGATTTCCGAAGGGGTTTGAAAACATACACAGTGCCATCGACACCTTTGCCCACACCAGAGACAGTTGTGCCAGCCTGGAAAGCTCTCATCAGCATCGACCGACCCTCAAATTTTGACACAATCGAAGACTTACGCCTTTGCCAACACCACCGACCGTTCGGCCAACGCCCTAGCAATGACATTAGCAATTGTAATGCAGTGGAAAGACAGACCAAATCATCCTCTTCTCACCTTCGCAGCCCCACCCGCAAATCCTTTCACATCCCCCCTCCCAATTGCTCCCGCCGTATCCTTTCCTGTCTGCGCAAGATCGCCCATCGCGCCACCTGCCGTGTCCGAAACATCTTTACCCGCCTTCTGCGCCGTACCGGTAGCGCCCTTGCCAACTTGGCCCGCAGCATTACTCGCGCCCTGGCCGACTTGGTTGACCTTCTTGGTCGCAGGCGCTGCTTTCCCGCCGCTGACTTTGTCGAGAGACCCTAGATCGATTCAGTTGCTGTTGTTGGAAGCAGCTTTCCAACGTTGCACTAGCCACTGCGGGAGCATAGTTTCCACGTAATTCGTACTGGTAGGACTGAAGTCCATCCTTGTGGGGAGTGAGGAGGACGTACCTGTAGCTGCGCCCACGCCTTTATTCACTCCTTCCGTTGCGGTGTCGAGCGTCTTGTCAGCTGCTCCCACGCCTTGGTTTGCGGCCTTCTGGGCGGTCCCGGTGGCTTTCTGGGCTGTGTTGGTGGCATTGTTGGCAGCTGGAGGAGGCTTCTTGGTCTGTGGTTTGACTTCTGGAGGGACTGGCTTTCGTTTTGCTGGGGAAGAAGCTGCCCCATCGGCTGGGGTTGAAGGTGGCTTCGCGCCGGCTGTTGCTTGTCCTGCCGTCTTTTGTGCCTGGGAGACTGGAGTCTTGGCTCCGGCGGTGGATGGTGTCTTCGCTGGCGTCTTCGCTGGCGTCTTCGCAGGTGTCGCAGCGCCTCCGCTCGCAGGAGTCTTCGCAGGTGTCGCGGCGCCTCCGCTCGCGGGAGTCTTTGCAGGTGTCGCGGCGCCTCCGCTCGCAGGAGTTTTCGCAGGAGTCTTGACGGGCGTCTTTGCTGGCGTAGGAGCGCCTCCCGTTGCAGGCTTCGCGGGAGCGGTCGCAGGCTTCTTCGCAGGAGTCGCGCCCCCAGTCGCTGGCTTGGATGGAGTGGTCTTCGGCGCCGAGGCAGGAGTCGCCGGCTTCTTGACGGCTGGAGTCGAATCGCCTGATTTAGCCGGAGTGCTAGTCTGAGGCTGCTTCGCCGGAGTCTTCTGCGGCGGAGCTTTGGCTGGAGGAGGTTTAGTGGATGGGGGACCTTTCTTCTTGGGTAATTCATTGTCGACCATGCTGATCTTTTGCATACCGGCTGCGGGTCATTAGCATAGCTTTCAACCAAGAAGGCAAAAGTTCCCAATGGCTAGACGCTGCCTGGGAAGGATACATCGAGACTATCGACAGGAGATTGGAACGCAAGAGTGGTTCTGCTGCTCTGTATTGAAGTATCCCAATCGCACGGACAGGACATACTAAGATAGTCATAGCAATAGTAGCCCGCGGCAGCTGCAGCAGAGGCAGCGCCAGCGGCATAAGGCAGCGTCCGCCAGAGGTAGCTCCCTTGCGACGTACCTTCGAGGCCGGCACTCTGCTTCTTCAGATCCTGGAGGGCGGACATGATGCTGCCGATGTATTCTTCCTGTCCGCCAAGCAACCCAAATTCGATAAAGGGAGATAACGATCCAAGAACGTCGCCACGAAATCGATGAAGTGTCCTTTTCCACACCAAACACAATCTTTGAGAAGAAACAACAAGAAGGAGCACTGAGAGGGGAGAAACACACGCAATACCGTTGGAAGCTCGCGCCTCAGGAAAACGTCATGATGCGTGGTGATGTGAGCAGTGGCGCAGGAATCCTGGGCAATACCAAGTTTTGGGAACGGGATCTTGACCGGGGTCGGTTTCAGCTTGCCATTGGCTGTCCCCAAACGTTCTGGAACACGCCCGCGAAAAGTGCTGACTGTGATTTTTCACGGTAGAAGTACGAGGTACCGCCTGAAGCCTGGGAAGAGAGAAAGCCGTGTCGCGTGTGATAAGACGACCAGACCAGCAGCCCGAAAGGCGATGTACTGGAGATCGGGTCGAACGAGCGGCATTCGAGCAAGATGGAAGCCATGTTGGGTGACACTGTCCGACGCGGGGCAGCGAGTCGAGAATCAATGGTCATATCCATCTTGACACACGCTGCTCGATCGAGGACGATGGTAGTGATCGCAGCATGGGAGCGTCTTCCTGGGCCACGCGTACGCTGTGTCTCGCAGACGGTCGGCAAGGCTTGAGATCATTGCAATTCTCAGCAGAGATGAGCAAAGGAGTCGAGCATTGGGGAAGGAGAGAAGGGGGCAGGTGATGGTGTTGAAGGAAGTGAGGTCGACGTTTTGCCGTGGAGGTGCCGATGGGAGTGGTCAAGGGTCAGTCGCATCAGCAGAGAACAGAAACGCTGTAGATGTCTTCATCATCATCATCATCATCATCAGTCGAAAAAGCACCCAATCTCGTCTCATTCAACCATACCTATCTAGATTCCAGATCCACCGCTCTTTCCATTCATCCAATCATGCCTTACCTATCGCTAACATTATAAAATCCCATCCAACACTTACCCCAAGGAATCAAACTATGCCGTCAAATATCAATACTTTCATCAACACTGCTAATCCGCTCATCATCATTGCAAACTTCATCGCATCGCCACAAAAGCATTCTCGATATTGTTGGCAATCACGTCAAAACGGTTGATCTTTTGCCCAAAGTACGCCGATTTGGGCCGCTGTTCGCTGCGGTCTCGTAGTGGGTCATGCGTGGTGCCGTTGCCATTCGTAGGCATGTATACAGCCGGATTGGAGTCTTCGGTCACGGCGTCCAGTGCAGACATTCCCTGATGACGGATAGCATTGCTTGAGGGAGCAACCACTGCTGATCGGGGTCGGCGATAAGTTTGAACTGGCACAGCATGTGAAGGTGTAAGAGTGATGACTTCCTCGTATAGTTGCGGTCCTTTGTTTGGCTCCGGTGCGGCTGTTGGCGTTGCGTATGTGTTGAGGTGGGTAGGCAAAGAGCGTCGCTTTTGGCATCTGGGAGTTTGATTCGGTACCTGTTGGAGTGTCTCACCCGACAGGCTCGATCGCGGCTGCTGCTTCACTGGTGCCCTGACTTGATCATAGCTTGGGCTGTTGCGGGTGGTTGCCGGACTGGAATCTCTCACGCGGTTCGACGGGCTCAAGGCTTGAGAGACCTCCACGGGACTGACGCCTCGGGGTGAGGTTGGAGTAGCGGAGGTTGAATTACGTCGTGGTGGTGAGCCGGAGATTTCGGTATCTGGCGTGTTCCTGGATGGCTCTCGGACCGGCGAGACTGATCGCGCAACGCTATTGGGTCCTTCCCGTGTAGGTGGAGTTGTGGACAGTTCAGGCGTGTTCGACACGGTCGAAGCCATAGCAACTATGTGCCCGTTAGCGACACCGTCGCCGTTTGACATGCCTCCCGGCTGCTGTGATTGTCACGTCGTACTCATTGCTGGTAGTTGAGGAGGCTTAGAGTCGATTGCTGTCTTGCAAAGTGAAGGTGCATCGGGAGGAGTCCGAGGAGAGTGGCTGTCCGGGGACGAGTCTTCACCCACACGACTGCAACAGAGTCAGTGACACGGCCCAGAACCGATACTTGGCTGTAGGCTTACCTCTTATTACGCCGGCCAAACCTCGCTGAGCCAAGAAGCTTCTTCAAGCGTTCTATTCCCTTCTCTGATGATGGCTTGCGCTGCGATACCCTTTAGCGCCGTAACCATGCTGTACATCCTTGAACACTCACTTCGGTGCTCTGTGGGTGAGCGGTAGAGGGGAGACTATCTGTGTCGGTTCCTCTTTGCAAACCATTGTGCGCTCCCTCGCGAAGCACTTCCATGGTAGGCGGAGCCCACCTCTCTTCATCGCCGCATACCACGACATACCAACCCACCTTCTCCTCGGGTGCAAGCTTGTCTCGCAGCTCCATCATGGCAGCCCACTGGTCGTTGCCCACTCCTCGGCCTCTGACCTCGTCCACATCCATGCCCAACTTCACCTCTTCGACAATGTCACCCACGTACGCGTAAGGCTGGCTTGCTGCGTCGGGAGAGATATCATTTGGATCGTACTGCTCTACGAACCTCAACTTGTCCAGGTGCTTCATGTTGTCCGGGTAAAGTTGGTCAAAGTTCTCGAGCATGGTCTTGGTCGTGCCCGGGGCGACAAGCCATTCTGCGGCGGCATCGTCGAGGTTCTGGAGGATGATGTGAATGCGAATGAGTGGTCGGGGCCAACGGAAGCCGTGTAGAAGGTAGACGGGCATGGTGATGTCTCGCGATCGATCTGAAATGATGCTCCCGTCGGAATGCGGTCTGATCGCGTATGGGTGGGCCAAGTGCGGCCGTATGGATTGGCGAAGCAGACGTTATTATTAAGATTCGGGGGAATCTGGCAATGGTAGCACAAGTAGCGGCTACGGATAGGACGGGAGTGGGGGAGTGAGATGAAACGAGGACTGTAAGAGGTGAGTCGTGAGCAGGCGGGTTGGGCGAGACAGAGGATCGGGGAGCAGGATGAACGTGGTACAAATGGGTTATCAGCGCGTCGATAGCCTGGACGTTGGCTGCAATGGCCCGAATCAGGTGGGTGTGGAAAGGGAGCAGCGGGAGAGCAATCAAAGCCCTCCCTCCCCCCATCCCCCGCCGGGGAGGGAGATGGTGGCAGCAGTTGATGCCCGTCGGACCAGCACACCCGGGCCGGCCTGTGTATTGTTTGTGTCAGAGAAGAAGTGTCACTCGTGGGGAATTATTAAGGAGACAGAGATGTTGGAGTGCAGGGGAGAGGTACTGTAAGGTAGTGACGGCGCAGATCTTGCACCGTTGTGGTTGTATATGCGGATAGCGGATAGCGCAACCAGAGTCCAACCAAGACTCACCTCACCTCACCTTACTCACGTTACACGTCACTTACGTTACTCACGTTACTCACGTTACCCACATTACTCAGGTCGTGTTAACCGCGCGAGCGCGTACAGCAGATGAGCACAGCAGATATGATATGAGCACAGCAGATGAGCACATGTGCAGCAGATACCTTATCATTATGGTAGATGACAGCAGATCAGCACAGCGCTGTGCATGCGATCCAGCATCGGTCTCAGACGCGCCAGGATAAAAGACAGTGCAGCTCTCCGTGCAAGGGCCTGCTCCTGCCTTGCGCTCGCATATTATTACTGCAATGTCGTCACGCGCCTCATGTACACGGACTCATGGTTCCTTCGTACCTTGGTGTCAGTCCATTGGCACCTCCCTTGCAATGGGCTGCTCGCGTGTATGCGTATCAAAAGTCCGCCAGTAGGATACCAACGCTTCATGATTTGCCAAGATGCGGCTGTACAGTACGTTTCTGGCGAGGAGCGAACATCCCAGAATCCATCGCCACCCAGTGGCCACCTGTCATTCAACGTCTGCCGGATGCTTCGTCGCATGCTTGTCGACAGAGATGAAATGTCCCCCGATCCACACGGCCGTTGCCGACGGCAGGGCCCGGAAGTCCTAGCTGGAGCCCTGGGTAGCCCTAGCCCTAATTGAAGCATGTAGCTGCACCCGACATGTCACAAGCGACACTCTGTGCGTTGCATGCTCTACGACAACATCGACCACAATGCCGCTTCACCTTCTCGGCAAGAAGAGCTGGAACGTATACAACACCGCCAGCATCGACCGCGTCCGCCGCGATGAAGCAGAAGCGAAAGCCCGCGAAGAGGCCGCCGAGCAGCGCATGCAAGAGGAAGATGCCCAGCGTCGAATGGCACTGCTTCGAGGCGAAGAGGTCCCCGCGCTACCACAAGCAGAAACTCTCGAAGAAAACGAGAGGGAAGGAAAGCGACCAAGAGACGAGACCTACGCCCAACGCGACCGGAAACGCCGCCGTCTACGTGGAGAAGACGACACAGACCGCGACATCCGCTACGCGAAACTCGATTCTTCCAAGGACAAGTCTTCGCAGTCTCTGCTGCTCCATGGCAAAGAAAAGGATGCCCCGTTGCAAGACCACGCGGGCAACATCTCCCTCATCCCAGCTCCAGACGAATCCTCCATCCGCACGACGCAAAAGAACGCCGAAGTAGAAGCTGAGAAAGCCAAGCAGAGGAAGAGAGACGAGGATCGGTATACCCTCCGTTTCAGCAATGCAGGTGGTTTCAGCCAGAACATGCAGCAAAAGCCTTGGTATACGTCTCCCACATCCCCTATTCCCTCAACAACCAACGCTGCCGAAAAGGACGCTTGGGGCAACCAAGACTCTCGTCGCCGAGAACGCGAACGCGCGCGTGTCTCCTCTAACGATCCTTTCGCCGTAATGCAGCAGGCTCAAATGCAGCTGAAGCAGAGCGAACGGGATAGAGAAGCCTGGGCGAAGAAGCAGAAATCCGAAATGGGAGAGCTGAAAAAGCAGGAGCGACACGATAGAGAGCGAAGACCAAAGAGTTGTGACGATGACGATGTTGATAGTCTGGACGGTTTCTCGCTCGACGCTCCTGCCGAGCGGAATGGTCACGACAGACGTCGAAAGCATCGCCACCACCATCACCATCACCATCACCATCGCCGGCACAAGCACCGCAGTCGCAGTCGAAGTCGAAGTCCCGGTCGCCATAGAGATCGGGACAGACATAGGCATCGACGACGCGATGCTGCTTAATGATGAATTCAACAACATGTAGGTAGCGGAAGAAGTCATTTCTTAAAACGACTCATCGCGTTGTCGATGAATTCCTACTCGAGAATCTTGCCCTTCACATCATGCTCATCAAACCCAAATGCTCGCTAACAACACAATTATCATCTCCATTGGTGTGGCTTTTGGTCACTCGTTACGCCCCGCTACCTACTACTCCTCTATCCTAAGCTCCCTGACCCACCAAAAGTTCATTAGACCGTCAACCGCAGACCACTGCTGGGCGCTCCAATCGCCGAAATCTCGCAGACTTTGCATACGGTACCCTTGTACTTGGTGTGGTACTTGATGCCACAGAACGGACAGCTGGTGCTGGCCTCGCCGGCGTAGATGGGTGTATACGACGCACCGCACATCTCAAACTCGCCAAAGGTGTCGAATTCAACCTCGAGGGCATCGGTCGGCGAGCGCTCCGCGACGGCCTTCATCTTGCGTGCCTGCGTAAAGTTAGCATATGTCAAAGGCGTCAATCGAGGTTGGAAGCTTACCGTTTCCTTGAACTTGGCATTTGTACCCTTCTCAATGAGCGCGTTCGCGAAGTTCAGCACACTGCCGAGCTGCTTGTTTTTGTTGGCAAAGTTCATTGCGGAGAAGAGTGCCAGGGTCTGATGTTGAGGCTCCATGTCCGGTATAGTGAAGTACGCCGACAGTTCCAGGGCTCGCTTTCGATCGTCTTCCGGGTATGAGCTCAGATCAGTCGCTCCACCGACCATCTTTCGTCGCTCGAGTTCAATGGACATGGCCAGGACGTATTGTGCCGCTTGCTTTACAGCGGCTTGTGCTTCGTGTGCCTGGCTTTGTGATGAGACCGCATTGACCATAAGCAACTGCAAAGCCGTCTTGAAGGCGACAACACCATCTTCAAGCTTGTTGGCCTTCATCGCGTTCTTTCCGGTAGTAAGCTCGGTGGCTTGAACCGACTCCAGGTCTCGTGGGATCAATGGCAGAAGCTTTCGAGAGTCGGTCTCGTTCAGTGTTCTCCGCACATAGTTGACGAGCGGTGGCATGCCACTATTCGCTGGAAGATATGTCCGAGTGGCCTGGTATATCTCCATGAATCGATCCTCGAGTGGCTTGAAGTTCACGGCGCCGACTTGTCGGTTGAGCAGGTTCATAGCAGTGTCGAAGCTGCCTGCAGCCGCATGATCTGCCGCAAGAGGCGAATTCCGCGCCCAAAGATCCGCCTCGCTGCTGCCAGCGCCAGCTTCAGCACTTTCGACGTTCACAAAATCGTCCTCGACTTCAGGAACAGCGTCATCGCCCATGTCCCAGCCAGCAGCAGCATCATCATCCTCTCCGTCAATAAGAGCGCCTGTTGGTGCTAGCTCCTCTTCTGCTAGTAGCTCTTCCTCTGCGTAGCCATTGGTGTCTGGAGCGACAGCCTCGTCACCGCCCGTCATGAGGGCCTTCTCGAACGAGCTGGCGCCCGTGGACCTCGTGGGCCAATTCGCTTTGAATGTCGGTGCGACAACCTTGGGAGGCGACACAGGCTTACCAAGCTTTGGTAAAGTGATTTGGTCCTCGGTCAATCCGCTAGCTTCGAGAATGGCCTGACACTCGTCTTCCAAGCCGTGGGATTTTGCCGTCAAGTAAGCAAGAGGGGATTGATCAATCTCCTTGAGCATCTCTATCCGATTTTCTACGTCGCCGAGGTAGATTGAATTTTGAAAGCGACTGGTCATGTCGCCGCGGTGCTCAGCAATCTTGGCCATTCGCTGCAGCTTTTCCTTGTCGCCAGTAGTTAGGTACAAGAACGAGAGCTTGTCGAAGTTGCGGAGCTTCTGATACGTCATCTCGACTACTTGGTGGTTGCCGTGGGCGAGAGCTTCGGTACTCAATCGCTGCCAGAGTTGGGGCTTGTCGATTTGCTTGGCCATCTCCACGGCAACATCCAAGTTTCCACATTCGATGGCAAGCTCAAAGCGAGTCTGTGGGTCTTGAACAAACTGCAGTGCGATCTCCGGATAGCCCTTCTTCTGGAGGTAGGAGATGATGCTCTGTCCGACCAAGCTAGAAGTCTTGATGATGTTGAGCATCTCGTCGTAGTGCCGCTTGACGAGTGCAAGCTTGAAACGATACTCGGTTGGATCGATGGTGAGAATCTTTGGCTTCGCGGCGCGATCCAAGCAGTACACACTGCGGCCCTTGACACGGACCAAGTAGACCACATGCTCAAGTGTGCGTACAATGCCGTTGTCGCCATTCATCAGGGCGTATTTGATGTGATTCAAGGTGGAGTACAACAGGACGCCAGCGTCGTCCCAAGCAGCGCTTTTGATTCTGATCGTTTCGTGCAGGGTGCTGACCTGTTCCAGAGATTTGTTGACAATAGTGACGTTGTGCTTGCTCAGGAGCGCGGCATGTAGCCCGTCGCCAGACCATACCACGTACTTCACACCGGCAACAGCCAATTCCGCGAGTTGCTTCTTCTGCTGAATGTCGTAGAGGTAGACGTTGTTTGGAGCGATGAGAAGCAGACAGCCAGTGCCTCCGAATACCATGTCGGTCGTGCCAGGTGGAGGCTTAATGGTCTTCGTGGTCGAGTTTTGGAGGTCTTTGATGTCGATTTGTTGATTTTGGGCGTTGAAGACAGCGAAACGGTTTCGTGCGACGAATACGGCCGAGTTACCAGTTCCGCGATGTGTGCTTGTGGGCTCGACAGCGCCCGATGCATCCCGTGGGAGACTCATCAACTCGTAATTGCCGCTATCTGCTGGTGTGGTAACAAGAATCGATCGTTCGGCGGGATTGTATGAGAGTGTTCGCGGCGGGACCCAGGCATTGCCAAGCTTTTTCAGTGAAAGCATGGACGGGCTCTCGACATTCTTTGTGAAGTCATATGAGCGGACATGCTTCTCCTTCGTGATGAAGAACAGGTTATTCTGGTAGACCGCGGAGGCTGGGCGCTCGCGCTCAAGCTTGAAGACCATGACACCGTTGTCGTGGCCAGCTGCGAAGAGGTTGATCTCAGGATGTGCGGCGATCACCCAGAAACGGTCATTTTCGCGCTTGAAAGATTGAACTGAAGTCCTACGGTTCAGATCCCACACACGGATAGTCTTGTCCTCGCCAACAGACAGAATCAAGTCCTGGTGCGGATGGAACAGGCAAGCAGACGCATTCTGAAAGTGCCCTCTGCAAGTGTCCACCTCCCACGCCTTGGTCTCGCTCATTCTCCACAGCTTGACCAGTCTGTCGTCTCCAGCTGACACAATCAATGGCAGTGTAGGGTGGAACGCGACCCAGTTAACGCCGCGATCGTGACCCTCCAGCACGAATTTAACAACTGCGTCGGTGTTACCAAACATATCCGCCTGGTTCTGGTTGGCCCGGGCTATTTGGTCTTCGAACGACATCGAGGTAGGCGCGGAGTGTTTCTTGCGCAGTCCCGAGATATCCCAAACTCTTACTGACTGGTCCAGCGACGCAGAGACTACCAGGTCCTCCTTGGGGTGGAATTGGGCGCACATGGTATAGTGGTTGTGGCCGGTCATAGTACAGACTGGGATCGTTAGCATACAGACTATCACACTGATCGCTAGGTTCAGACATACTCAGCGATCTGTTCTGCCAGTTCCATATCCGGATGGTCTGGTCGTCGGAGCTCGAGATAATCCACGGTAGCTCGTGGTGGAAGAAGACAGTCCGGACATAGTCAAGATGGCCGTTCAATGTGAAGAGACATCTCCTTGTTTGGTACGACCACACTTTGATCTTGTAATCGTCACCGCCAGAAACGAAGAGAGGTTGTGTCTTGTGGAAGTCAACGCCTCTAACGGGTCCATCGTGCTCTTCAAAGCGGTCTATAAGCGTCCCCATGCGGTAGTCCCACAGCTGTATGGTCGAGGAATGAAGAGAGACGAGGATCCATGGTCGCTTTGGGTGGAAGGCGATGCCCTTTGCGCGGGAAGATTTCGACTCGAACTTGGTGAGCATCGAGGGGGAGGAGGCCATGGTGGGTGTGGGTATTTAGGAGGGAGCCTCAGCTCCAGACATGCGCCGTTTCCGCCCGGTATTTAGCGCACACAGGGTCTGACTTCCTGAAAGACTTATTATCCCCCTTTGAGCGTCTGGCGGGAGCGGTATGGTGGTGATTTGGGGCGCGTTGGATGAAGTGATGTACAGCTGTTCAATGGCCTGTAACTGCCAAAGCTGGTCCCTGAGATGTCTGCCAAGAGATTCGGCAGCTGCCGGGATGCCTCAGGCTTACACGATACCCCAGCGTCACGTGTGCGGCATGCTGCTGCTTTCCCGACCCGACCAAGCCGACTTGCTTTCCCTTCGCGTCTCCGCAGATACCACGGCCGGCCGCGCTACGACGTCAAGTCATTGCACCGCAGGCCTCCCGTCATCGCACTGTAGGACCATGACACCCGTCGCTTCCACGCCGACGAGAGCAGCTTTCATTGGCCGCCGCTGCTGAGTGCTGGGCAGAAGCCAGCCGGCTCCGCCGAAGTTCTCCGCTGCGTGCCACCCGACGGGACATCATCAAGTCCCGATTCCTCTCGGCTGTAAAGGTAGGTAACGGTATTGTACTGTACTGTACTGTACGGCGAATGCGCATCCCATACCATACCATACCAAACCAAACCAAACCATACCACACCAAACCACACCACACCCACCGCTACCTCACTGACTGCCAGCGCAACCACATCTGCTGCCACCTGTCGCCGTAGACGAGCGCATTCCTCTGCTGCACCGCTGCACGCAGGCAGCCTCCCGCCAATCGCCGTCAGCAGTTGCCACCGAACAACGAATCGCTGCCTCAGTGCCTAACCATTCTGCACCTTCTGCTGCAGGGTGCTTCCCAGGAGGACCACTCGCTCGCTCCCTCTGCCATTAACACACGCCCGACACCCAAGCAAGGAGCGCTCGTCGACGACCAAGAACACCCCGCGGCTGCCTGCCACTCCCGACGCCTCACTTCCCACTTCCTCCTCCGCAGAACCCTCCGCACGCTTGATAAGACTGCCGCGGTCCCGACACACCTTCTCTGCGTCCAACACACCCACAAACATGAGCTTATTGGGATTCAGAAGGCAAAACTTCATAGTCAAGAGACATCACCGCCCTCACTTAGGCCCGATCGCCCCCCCGGATGCGCGCTGAACGTATCGTGGATCGAGCTGCACAACCACACCTGGAACCGTGATGGAAACACTCTACTCCACTTCAGGCTTCAATTCGGAGACCAGTCTGTCAGGAAGACCCCATACCCCGCCATACAGTCCCGCGCGGACCAAGAAGCCGGCAAAGCGCAGACTTGAGCGCAGTGACTCACCGGCTTCCAATGCGGGCTCGATACACCCCGCCGACACCGACAGTCCGGCCAAGAAGGCAGCCAAACGGACAGTGCCAGATAACATAACTGTGGAGGAACTTGCTGAGGGCGACGTGGGCTACATCACCGACATCGATGTTGTATATCCGGAGGAATTGGAGGAAGTTAGCGAGGATGGCAGTAACGACGACCGCAATACCGCGACTGATATTAGCGACTCTGAGGCAACTGGATTGACGCGGAAGCTATCACGTCTACGTTGCGGAGATGATCAAGAAGTCGACTTTGAGCATCTCCGCCGCAGGAGACACCTGGAGAAGCGCAATGGCACTCGCAACTTCAAACGCTCGCACAGCCAGACCGTGAAGAGCGAGACCGAGATCGCTGATTCGGATGGCCTCGATGATCACGACATCGAGTCCACTCGGCGAAGATTACGCCGGCGCGTTCGAGGTCCACGTGAAGTGGGTGTGGCATTCGAAGACCTCCTCAGGAGCTCGCCGGAAATCGGAAGTAGGGGCCTCACTCCGGACGGGTACGTTGAGGAACCCTCAGTCACGTCTCAAGCAGAAGACGATGTGATGGATGTGGATGATGGCAAGTGACAGGATGGCTGGCAGACGCCCGCCAGATCGAAAGATGACGTGAAGTACATGCCGGACTTCTGCCGCGCTCCAGCTCATGTTGGCGTGTGATGATCTATTACCCCCCGAGTCGCGCAGCCTCACTCCTTCTCAACGTTGAAGCCGGCCGTCGGTAATCTGGACGGAAAGGCTGCCCATCGCTGTGGCTGAAGACAACCAGAACACGTTCGGCCAGGGAGTCGCCTGTCCCGAGACGGAAAGCCTGGTCGTTCCGTGGTCCACAACACACGAAACCACGGTGCGGCGACAAGACGCCCTTGGATGTGCCAGAGCACCGAATACAGCTGAGACATCACAATAAGATTAGAGAACATCAGAATCCGTGTACTCGCGCAAGTGGGATCCATTTTTCCTATTCCTATTCCTATTCCTATTCCTATTCCTATTCCTATTCCTATTCCTATTCCTATTCCTATTCCTATTCCTACTCCTATCGCATACAAAAACAACAATACCCCTGAATGTGAATGTCCTTGCTCTCTGGGTTATCAAGTAAAAGCCTTAAGCCTTTAGACTGTAATCGTGAAGTTCCCTCCCCAAAAGCATTCCCACGTAGCAACAAGATATATTTTCCACCCGATCCACACTGAGACGCCCAAGCGCCTTCGCTAACCCCACCACTCCAAAGAAGACAACGGCAGAATCTTGGAAAACCCCAAGACCTTTGATCTAAGCTCCAACAGCGACAGCTTCTGGCACTTGCTCGAGAGCGTGCTGATCTTGACTGGCAATCTCACCACCAGACTGTAACTCGGCCCAGTCACCCCAGAGACCACGCTTACCGCGCACGCGGATGGGCAGGCCGAGCTCCTTGGACTCCTGCTCAACTTTGATCGCATCCTTCGTGCCCAAGACCAGAAGCTCAAAGAACATCTTCGTGGCGTCTTCTCGGGTCGTGCGCTTTTCAGGGCACAGGTCCGTGAACAAGGCAGAGCTCTTGACTCGCTTCGAGGGAGTCGGGGGCTCGTTGGCTTCCCTTGGATGATCTGGTGCGAAGTGGTCGCGGAGCATGTGAACCATCTTCTTGGTGCCAAGCGCGACAGGACCTGATTGGGATGGGTGCACAAGAGGTGCTTCGGTGATATCGAAGTTAATCGGCGGGTCGTCAAAGTTCTCCTCCTCGTCGTCTTGTGGTGGAATGAAGCCATCGGATCCTGCGGTGTCATCGCCAAAGTCACCTGCACTGACGCCGGCTTGGAAGCCTTCGTCTTCGTCCTGTGGGATTTCAAGTTGTGGAGTATCCAGCCTCTCGCCATCAGTCTCGATGTCCGCAATTCCAGAGTCTCGCTTGCGCTTCTTTTCGCCTGCTCTGCGGACTACTTCGAGGGAGAGAATGCCTCTAAGCTCAGGAGCCCAGCCAAGCATGCGACCATCACCCATAAGATTGCTGACGAAGCTGCCGTTGCGCTGCATCTCCATGAGCTGGAGTAATAACGGATCGCGCGGCAGGAATGATGGCGCCTTGGTGATAGCAGAGCGGTCTTCTTGCTGCTTCTTGATCTGGCTGTTGTGAATGGTAGTCTCCTGGTCCATGCGCATCACCTTCCTCCGTTTAACGCGCTGTGCAGCTTGGATTATGGTCGGATCGGTCTCATCCTGCAACGCGGCCTGATCGAGTCGAAATGTCTCCTCTAGATCGCGTTCCATGCTAGAGCGAACGGATGAGAGGGGAGATTCAGAGCCTCGCTGTTGCTTGGCGCCAGCCTCTGCACGATTCAGCGCGTTCTGATTTGCTCGACCAATTTCGTCGTCCTCCATGCCGCCCATTGGGAGATCGTCATCCACGTTCAATGTAGGAAAGTCGGGAGCAGCGGTGCCTTGTCTTGTGGAAGCTTCAGGACCGCCAAGCGTAGTGTCATTGAGGCCAAAGTCAAGGCCCAGGTCGTCATCCGGCAAGAGAGTGGGCTCGTCACCGCGAGGATCAGGTGCTCGCCGTCCTTGTTCAATTGAGGACTCGTCGCTCAAGGGAGTAGCACGGGTGAAATCATCGCCAATGTCCAGGTTTAGATCTTCATCGTCGAGTTGCAACAATCGTCTCTCTTGCGGCCGGGTTGGTGTCTGACTTTCCATGACTTGACTCATGCCAAAGTCGAGCAGAGTGGGATCCTGACCTGGGGCACGCTCCTCAGGTTCGCGCAGAATGTCCTCTGGATCTGGTAGAGGAGCGAACAGGTCTAACTCGGTAATGGTGTCGGGAAGCATGAGAGCCGCTGCATTGGCTTTGTGAGATTGATCATGAGGCAGGTCAACGTTTCCTGGGCGGAAAGCCTATAGAAGTCAGTATCCTGTTGCGACGCGTGAGTATGCACTGTCGTACCATTTTGATCTTAAGCAGAGCTTCGCTGCAGTCATCCATCAGGTATTTGGCCTTTCGATTGTGAATCTTGACGACGCCCAGCAGCAGCTGACCACTCATGCGCAGGGCGATGGGCGCAGCATCGTCTCCAATGATGTTCTGAACATCCTCTTCAATCTTGTTCTGTAGGATGTTGGACTTGGACAACTTGCGGTCGAGGTTGGAAGCCAGCCAGACGCGTGCCAGCGGCCCCGTCTTGCACAGCAGGGACTCGGAGTAGAACATGTTGGGCTATTGGATACAGTAGGCGTTCGCGACAACGACGATCAGGTGTGTGCGGCGCAACCGAGTACGGGAGTGAATGTCGCGATCGCGAGGTGGGTGGTCGCGTTGTTTTGATTCCGGGCGCGTGGATCTCGGGTCGGCCAGGGCCGTTCAGAGCAAATGCAGCATGCTCCAGAAATATTCGATGGATCCAAATCGATGTTGTCGTCAAGTATCGGAGGGCGTTACGCGTGTTGAAGAGTCGTCGGGAAAGTTGTTTGTGGGTGATGAGTCGGTGGTTGTCGCTGAATGCGTGCGGCGCGTGTGGCTGGGATCGGCGCGGACGGGCCCGCGCGTCGTCAATAAACTATTGATGCGTCTTGATTGATCCCATCAAATGCGTTTCCCTTTGCGGAAAGGCAGATGGTCTAGGAAGAGAAATACAAACCGGCGTATCTGCTCCTCGAGAAACAACCACCGACCCTCTGCAGGCACCTCCCTTGGACAACTTTGGATATACGAGACACTGGCGACATCACTTCCGCGCCATATGTAAATGCGCGCACCACTCCACGGGAACAGCACGAACAAACGGCACCCATTCATTGAGCGACCTGTCCAGACGCAACTGACTGGGCCCCTTCTGCTTCATGGCGAGTGAAGCATGTCCCGGTCCAGCACCCCGATAATCCCCACCCAAAACCCTCCCTCCCATTCACGCGCCTCGCCATCGCCCTTGCATTTGCAACCGACGCAAGAGCAGCGTCCTGGCTATGCACATTCCCGAAACGTCAGCCGAGTCAAGATACCCGGCCAGCAGTCGATAACAGCCCAGCATGCTGCTCTCACGCCCGATCAGGTCGTGGAGCGGCATTCAACTTCACTAGCCAACGGTCTACACCCTTCGGATGCTGCAGCGAGATTGTCAATTCAGGGGCCGAATGAGCTCCCTTCGGAGGAGCCGGAGCCGCTATGGCTGCGCTTCGTCAACCAGTTCAAGGAGCCTCTGATATTGCTACTCTTGGGAAGTGCAGCTGTCTCACTGCTCATGAGGAACTTCGACGATGCGTTATCGATTGCGATCGCGGTGACCATCGTGACCACTGTCGCCTTTGTGCAGGAGTACAGGAGTGAGAAGAGCTTGGAAGCATTGAATCAGCTCGTGCCGCACTCTGCGCATGTGATTCGGAATGGGGCGAATCAAAGACAACAGGGGGAGAATGGTGAATCAAAAGGACCTGGGAATAGCGAGCTTGCGACAGCTGAGAAGGCCAGCACAACTATCTCTGCATCACAGCTAGTGACAGGAGACTTGGTCTTGTTCCACACGGGAGACAGAGTGCCCGCGGACATTCGGATAACTCATGCGGCGGATCTCAGCATTGACGAGAGCAATCTGACGGGGGAAAATGAGCCTGTTGCGAAGAGTGCCGAGAGTCTTGGACTCGCAACCCAAATGAATGGCAGCACCAACCCGGCCTTGCGAACGCCAGACTCTACCGGAGAAATTAGGCTTACGGAGCAAACAAACATTGCCTTCCAGGGAACATTGATTCGATCTGGATATGGTCAGGGAATCGTCATTGGGACTGGCGGCGAAACAGAGTTTGGCGCCATCAGTGCCTCGCTTCAGGAGATTGAATCCCCGAGGACACCTCTGCAGCAAAGTATGGATCGCCTAGGGAAGGAGTTGAGTTACATGTCGTTTGGCGTGATTGGTCTGATCATGGTCATTGGGCTTTGGAGAGGCATGCAATTTTTGGAGCTCTTTCAAGTTGGCGTATCTCTGGCTGTCGCTGCTATTCCTGAGGGTCTACCTATCATCGTGACAGTCACCCTTGCACTTGGTGTGCTGAGGATGAGCCGACGTAACGCTATCGTGCGCAGACTGCCGTCTGTCGAAACGCTCGGCTCGGTGAACGTGGTCTGCTCGGACAAAACTGGCACTTTGACGGTCAACCACATGACCGTCACCAAGATGTGGAGCTTTGGACAAGAGGATCCACAGGATGTGCAAAGAGTGCAGAAAGATTCGCCAAATGGCGCTACGACGCAAGCAATCCTTAGGAGTGCGAATGTGGTCAATAATGGCAGGCTGAACACCCACAGTCATGGCACTGTAACTGCTGCGAGTGCCACGGTCCTGGCAAACACTGGTGGTGATGACGATCTGGCAAATGCGAAGAGCAGGTGGGCTGGACAGCCAACAGATGTGGCATTGCTTGATCTATTGGACGCATTTCACGAAGACGACGTGCGGCAACGCATTGGTGGACGAAAACATGAAGTGCCTTTCTCGAGCGAGCGCAAGTGGATGGGGGTGGTTGTGGAGGGTCAGGGTGGTGACCACACAGCATATATCAAGGGTGCTTTGGAGCGAGTCGTAGGGAGATGCGACACGTACATCTCTGGCCAAGGTGAAGTGGTTCTGGATGAGAGGCGGAGGCAAGAAGTAGAGCACGCGGCACGCAAAATGGCGGAGGAAGGCTTGCGCGTCCTCGCCTTCGCTTCTGGACCGGTTCGAATGCGTATCAATTCGCGTGCGTCTACTCCGGCGTCATCACTAGGAAAGGGCGCAGCCAACACGCCCAACGAAGATACGTACACTGGACTTTGCTTTGCAGGCTTGGTTGGCATGTCTGATCCACCTCGCAAGGGCGTCGACAGATCGATTCGTCGATTGATGGCTGGAGGCGTCAAGGTGATCATGATCACAGGCGATGCGGAGCCCACTGCTGTCGCCATCGCCAAAAAATTGGGGATGCCAGTCAACATGTCTTCCGCGATCGGATCCCCAGTTTTGCGCGGAGACCAGCTGGACCAAATGACCGATGGGCAACTTGCAGAGGCCATGAGCCGTATCTCCATCTTCGCGCGGACAAGCCCGGATCACAAGCTCAAAATCATCAGCGCCTTGCAGTCTCGTGGCGATGTTGTTGCGATGACTGGAGACGGTGTGAATGACGCGCCGGCACTGAAGAAAGCCGACATTGGCGTCTCGATGGGCAAGCTTGGCACTGATGTGGCTAAAGAGGCCGCTGATATGATATTGACAGATGACGACTTCAGCACCATTCTGAGCGCGATAGAGGAGGGCAAAGGAATCTTCTACAACATCCAGAATTTCATCACATTCCAGCTGAGTACAAGCGTTGCTGCCTTGGGACTGGTAATGTTCAGCACATTCGGCGGCTGGAAGAATCCGCTCAACGCCATGCAGATTCTTTGGATCAGTGAGTGTCTGCTGTTTGTGCGCAGGAAAACTTTTGCTAACGCCACATCTCAGATATCCTCATGGACGGTCCACCTGCGCAGTCGCTCGGCGTTGAGCCAGTCGACCCAGCTTTACTGCAACATCCACCCCGACCGCGCAATGCTCGGGTACTAACCCAGCGCGTCCTCCGCCGTGTCTTTCAATCCGCCGCCATCATCCTCCTCGGCACGCTCTATACCTACGTTTCCAACCTCACTGCCGCAGACCTCGCCGCCCATTCCGTCTCGGCCCGCGATACCACACTCACCTTTACACAATTCGTCCTCTTTGACATGTTCAATGCTCTTACCTGCCGCAGCGCCACCAAATCAGTACTCCTCGGAGAAGTACCGGTCATCCCGACCAGCAAGGTAGAGGGAAATAAGATGTTCAATTACGCTGTCTTGGGCTCTCTGATGGGACAGGGACTGGTCATCTACTTCCCGCCCTTACAGCGTGTCTTCCAAACCGAAGCGCTTAGTTTCATGGATCTGGTCAGGCTCGTTCTGATGGCTAGTCTGGTGCTATGGGTTGACGAGGGGAGGAAATGGTATGAACGGAGAAGTAGTAAGAATAGTCTCCGAGGCAGTGGATATAGCAGGCTTGTGTAGTGTGGTATGGCCCCTGCATGTCTCCGGCGTTCTGTATTGGTCCATGGGAAGAATAAAGCAAGCGGGAAAAATTGTAGTATAGTCACCATGTGCCATCAGTGCAGTGAATTGCAGAGAGATTCCTCTAAGACAGCTTCCTCCGAGCAAAGTGTCTCTTGAGTGTTACAACGTTTGGTGATTCCTGTCCCTGGAGCTACTTCTAGCACGAATCTGTGTCTAGCTCGCTCTTACTTACAGTGCAAATCACGAACAGGGGGGCTGAGAGCACAAAAGTCTCCCGGAGCCCTCCTTCCGTCGCGACCTTGCTTTCCACGATAAATCTCACAGCACACTTTGACAATCCTGTCCAGAACTCCCCACCGCCCTCGGGAAACGCCAAAAATTTCTCCCGTGACGATATATTTCGTCGCAGAACTCAATGCCAGCATTCGACCACGTGCGCTTCGAAGACGAATTTGGATCGTAGTTGTTGTCGTTGTTGTTGTTGTTGTTGTCATGATGAATCCCATAAATTTTTTTTTTTTTTTTTCGTTTACGGTCCGCTGTGAGTGAGCACTCTAGCTAGCTGAGCATCAAAGGAAAACTGGAGGACTGTCGGGAGCGTTCCAGGAATGACCTCATGTGCGGCGCGGCGCAATGCTGGTGGTGATAAAGGGGATGGAAATGGTGCTCGTGATTCTCCATTATTCTCCTCCGTGGATGGAGATATCGTCGCACTCTTGGACGTTGCCGTCGAGACAGGGCGCTCGCTAGTGCGGCGCGAGTTCTCCTTATTTCAAAAGCGACGACTTTGAGGATGTCGTGGACAACACCATCGCTGCGCTGCTGAGGGATAGCTTCGAGGCAGAGTGCATTCGTAACGTCCACACACCCAAAGTCTCGACCTTCCCATCCATACTCACCCTCAATTGCGCCTTACACTTCCAGTCCCTCATCTTCAAGCGCATCTTCGAAATGCGCGACGGCAAAATCTTCCAGAGAGATGCTTTTCAAACTCATCCGAAACTCAGAAGTTCTCTATCTCTGGCATTTGCAACCAGCTCTTCCTTTTCCACATCAATCTCAAACTCGCATTCGCCAAATGCAGGATGCGCATAAAAACACCCTCAAGCATCTCCAACGAAAACCGGCATAGGCAGCCTCTCTTCCTCTCCCGGCACGGGACCCGCAAAAAAGGCTCCTTCTCCTTCTCATCTTCGCTCTCTCTCTCTCTTCCTCACTCAACATCCGACAGAAATGAGGGAGAGCGAGCGATGTCGAATACCTTGCTCCACAAAGTCGTGTCGTCAGGAATATTGTGAATTCGTCTCGAAGCGATTGTCCATGGATTCCTGCTGCTCGCAGGCCATCTTGCCCGCTCGGAAAGGAATATCCATGGGGATTGTCGAGAGGGCTCTGTGGTACAGTCCAGTATCAAGGGAATCTCGAGCAGAGATGGCTTGATGCAGAACACCCAAGAGGTTTCTCATTTATACCTCTACGCGATGCACAGCAGAAGCTCATAGCTAAGGGCCGGCCGCATACTACATGTAGTCAAAGCTTGCTCGACTTCTCAGCTCTGTCGATGAGCCAGCGTGAGTGGGATTCTGCGTGAGTGGAATTCTCCGTGAGTCACGTCTTCTCGATCCATTGCGTGTAGTACGCTGCTTCAATCATCCTTTGCTCGTATTGAATCAGATATTGCTTCCGTCAGTAGACGCTCTTCAAGACGTCGTCAATGCAACTTCAGGTTTTCCTCATTCAGAGTGCCAAACAGCGTCTCAATCTCTTGTCCAACGGCTTCGATATCCTGCGCTAGTTGCCCCGTCACGAGAACGTATGCGTAGAGCATTTCGTAGTCTTGTTCGGTTGTGGATTCTTTGCCTTCGCCGGTCAATCTGAATTCGGCGATTTTCGCCAACAGTCGGTCTCGTCGGTTGTCGATGCTCGGTAGCACGTCGTTGAGAGGATACTCCAGCTTGATACTACTTGCTAGCACGGTGAACAAGTGGCTGATTCTTGCAGACAACGCGAACCGTTCCGGTCGCGTGTACCCCAACACCGCGGCTTCTCCCGGAGTGCATGCTGGGTTTTTGGAGATGACCACGTTCATCGCGTGGAAGGCATCAAGCATACGACCGCAGCGATCCATGATGCGCCCGATGATCTTGTCCGGAAATGGGCCTTGGAAGTCGAACTCTGCATTTGCAGACCTGCGCATGCTTCTCAAGCTTGCTAGGAATGACTGAAGCTCGGATTCTTCCCGAATGTCCATATAGGCCGACCTTGGCTCGCCGAGGAGCGAAATCGCAAGTGGGTCTCGTTTCCAGATGAGACCCATACGAAGCCAGAGGGTACAGAGGCCCTCTCTCAATTTGCGTCGTGCAGAGATGGGAGCAATGCACCGCACGACGATGATGGCCCAGATGGTTCCCACAGACACTGACACAAGACGATGGAAGGCGATCTGCCAGATTGCTGGGTCGATGCCGCCTTCATCATCATCGTTGTCATCGTCGTGGACCGATAGACTGTAGGAGTAGAGAGCGACGAGGTTATAAGACAGAAAGATGAAGCGTCCCATGGGCCCGTTGTCCTTTGCCACGATAATGTAGAAGCCCACAAGAGACATCAGCCAGCCGAGGAAAGCCAGAATCCATGGATTGGCAACGCCTTCATGGTTGGATATGATCCATGCCACGGCTGCCACGAAAGCTCCAATGGCACTGCCATAGATTCGATTGAACCCCGTCGTGTTGACCGCGCCGACGGTCATCGAGCACACCACCATATAAGATACCAATCCCCACTCCCCGCGCCAGTAGAGGAATACAGGGCGAGTCTCCTCCAAGAAGGCTGGAAGAGCATACAGAGCAGCTCCAAGCCCAACCTTGATTGCAAAGCGAACATCATCTCGCCGCATGAATCTGAAGGCCTTATAGATCCCGTAATACCACGGTCTTCCCAGGGCTGCTCGTTCTGGATCGCCGAAATTGTCAGCCTTCCTGACCGGCGATGGTATGTTGAAGCGAGCATCGGCGGGGTCTTCGTTGCTTTCAGGAAGCGCATTGTTGCCGTAGCCTTGCTTCTGGCATTCGTTGCGTTTCCAAAACAACATCCACGTCCATGACCTTTTCGGAGCTTCCATCTCTTCTTTCAAATCTTCTAGGATGTCCAGATAGTTCAAGACGTCTTGAGCGAAATCCAACAACGAAAAGCTGAAGTGGCCACAGCATGCCGAGACTTCTTCAATGTCGGCCAAAACCTCCTCGGGATTCCGATCGAACAATGTCTTTGCGTGCTTGGTGATAGGAGGTGGATGTCTGGCCTCGGTAGGAAAGGCTGTTGTTGGTGTATTAGGGGTCTTGGTAGAGAAGGTACTCTTGTGACCGCGTTGCGCCATCATAGCGGTGTTGATCGCACGGTTCTGGTACAGGGTGCTCAGTGCGGCTTTGCGTGATTCTCGATAAAGATCGACAGCTTCACGAAGGCTGACATGGAACTGTTCATTGACCCCGACTTCCAATTCCCTAGCAGCCCAAGGATTCCAGTTGCCTCCTGCGCTTCGGAAAGGCAACTCGTCCAGCACCTGCTTTAACGTGAATACCAGAGACTTGGTCGGGGGACCGAGTTGGCTGATGAATGCGATGAACATGTCGCCTGGACTTTTGGCGATGTTCGAAGCTGTCATACTTGCGATGCTGCCGTTGCGAGGAAGATTTGCATGAGTTCCATCAACGGAGTGCACTGAGCCAGGCGTCGCGGTGCCGCCTGGGGTTGCAAAGTTCGCTCGCTCTTCAGGCGACTCTCGAATGCTGTCCAAGTTGCTGAAATAGTGCGTGGCCTCGGGACTCATGGGCGTGCTAGGTGATGAAAGCCAGGTGCTTCGATCCTCGAACGTGGAAATTCCGCGGCCCGTCGCATTCGGCTGTTCCAAGAAAGTGAACTGAGCAAATGCTGCGCTCCGCAAGCCTCCCAAGTTCTGAGAGAGACCATTGAGGCACTCGACGATCCTGGTCTCCACGGCATAGATTCGCTCGTGTCCGAGAACGTAGCGCTCCTTCTTCGCGTCCTTGAGATTCTTTCGCATAGTGTTGAGCGAAGTCTGATGCTCCTTGGAAAGTGTCTTGTAGTATTCATCGTCCAGATCATGCTCTCGTCCATGCAAGAAAGCTCGCGCAATGCTGATTAGCATCTCTCCAAGCAGGTCTGTGTTCTTCTCCATTTCGCGAGAAAGCTTCGTGCGGGCTAGAACGGGAAACAACACGAAGTTGATGACCGCTGCTATGGCGACGCCCAGAATGGTCATGCCCAGGTTCTGGGTGACCTTGTACATGCTGAAGACTCCGGCCTGGACGGATCCTTCTCGAATCAGGATATTGATGGTTGCTAGAGAAGCCAGCGAGCAACCGACATTGAGCAGAGGATTGCCAAGGTATTGCTTGATAAAGGCCATGAAGCCGAATCCGCCGGCGACGAAGACGATGAGAACCAGAGCGTGGCCGAGTGCAAGTAAGTTGTGATGGGCAAAGAAGATGGACATTGCCATGCTACCACCCGAGATGAAGGCAGCGTACAAGAATGCTACGGCGGCGATGATGGTGGCCTCGTGCATGCTACCGACAGTCCTTGCCGGGTGGAAGTAGACGGCGACAGTGGCGACCATGTGTTTGCTGTCTTGACGATTCCCGAATATGGCGGATATGGCGGGTACCAAAGTAGCCATACTGCCAAGGAGATATGCGATGGAGCATTTGAAGATGCCCTGTCCAGTCGGTGAGCACGCGAAAGCGCAAGCCTGGTCGAAGCGAGTGCGGCAAGCATCCCGTATGACTTGGAGGGTCGGTCTCTCTCGTGCTGACCAGCCAAAGTTGCCGCTCCCATAGACGTGTTGATTGCCCTCCTCGCTTGGCGTCCGGCTATTCAGCCGGCTCGAGGCATCGCGCAGGGTAAATTGACGCCGCGAGCGTTCACCCGTCTTGGGCAGGATGAAAGTGGCGCGTTGTAGCTACAGTATTATCGATCATCAGCTCTATCATCATATCATCAGGAAGCATGAGAGACATACCTTTCGACTCCTGGGCGTCGTCGTTGTCGTCGCCGCCGTGGCGTCTCCGCGAGTCTCGCCCGTCATGGGTGGTGTGGACAACGCCGGCGGCCGGTCAGCTCGCGATGATGTCGTTGTCATGAAAGTGCAGAAGGAGAAGACGGCGACTTGGGAGCATGACTCCGCCGTCCATGTTGAATTTGACTGAGAAGGCCAAACTTGTTGTAATATAGACGGGACGCGATCAAGTTTCCTGTCCGTGTGCCACGAGATCGTCAGTTCAGTCTAAGGTACGTACCTTGATTCCTTACCGCCAGATATCGATGTCATATTGACACAGCCCCATCAATTATTGAACGACCCCTCCACGTGATTCCCCTGCACATCCTCCCAATCTCTGCCAACCGCCGTCTCCGGCCTCCATCGCCACACCTTCGCCATGCGCGAGTCCAGCTTGCCTTCCAGACAGTCTGCAATATAACCCCCTACAATCGGAATGTGCTTGTACCCGTGTCCACTGCCGCCCACCCCCAGCGTTAGCCTCGCAAATTCCAATCACGATTCGGGGTGTCCGCACACCAACAGATCCGCGCAAAGCTCAATGGCCGATTCGCCAAGTGCGGCATGGTCTCTCTCAGGAACCGTCTCACTCCCTCTTCCGAGACGAGAGGAATTTGGTGCTTCGCGAACGGCATCGACACGCTCTTGTCCGGCACAGTCCAGTTGCAATAGCCCGGATGCTCATCGCAGATCTTCAACTCATGCTGCTCCGTACGGACTACCGGTGATCAACTTCGCGCCTAATCTGCGAGCCTCAAGCGCAGCGGCCACAAGAGCCTTGCGAGCGTGCACCCAGCCGCAGCCATCTTTCTTGAACCAGCCTTTCCAATTCGGGAAGTCACCCGTCAGGACACCTTGCGGCATGGTCTTCCGGAAGTCTTCTGCTGTGTTGAGCTCGACATACCCTCGTTCGACCGTTGGTTGCTCCTCTTCGTAGAGCTCCTGGATATGCTTGGGCTGACTCGCGGCCATCACGTATCCCGTTTCATGGTAGAACGGCTTGAAGACCGGATCGCTATCCCAAGCCTTGGTTGCTTCTGAGGACACATGACTTCTTACCCACGTCTCATCCTCGCCGCCGTCACTTGATTCGATGTCCTGGTACCCCTTCTGAGGAACTCGTCAGTAGGTGCAAGCGTCCGGCTTCCAGCATGACCTACTATCTTGTCGATATCGTTTCCTGCCGAGATTGCCGAAGGAATCTCATGCGAATCGAGGACAGTCACATTCTTGTACCCTCTCCGGGCGAGTTGCAATGCGGTAGAAGCACCCCAAGTACCGCAACCAACGATGAGTATGGACGATGACTTGAGGTCTACTGCAGGAGGCATCGCAACGAAAAGTCTTGTGCTTGCAAACCAGTACCTTTGGCCTATCGAGAAGTATTGATCCAAGGTTGCCACCTGCATTGGAGCGGGTTGGACAGTCACGCACTAGCCCCATCTTCGGGTGATCTGTGGAGCGTGCTGGCCTCGAGCTGCCCGGTTCACTCAGCCGCTCTTCACGACATCAACGACAACAAAATTCATAGTCGTCCTCAATCCTCGATATTTGAGACCTCACCCAGTCAATAGTCCTCCAGGGAAAGTCAATCGACGCCCCTCTACGTTTACCAAGACTTGGCTTGCGCATGCGGACCCATCATCAGTCTGTTACCCTGTGATGCTGTGTAAGAGGGTCCACCATATTTGCCGACTTTGGCCTATCCTCCGAGGTTCAATGCACTCTACATGCGGTATCATGCACGTCGCGGGTCTGTACCTGCACACACTGATATCAAAGGCTCTGCTTTGCCAGCAATTCCCATTATTAACGATGCAAACGTGTGGATACGGAGATGTAAAGACGAATACGTAAATCTTTGAGCGAGCGGAGAGGATCTTCGAGTCGTATTCAACGGGGCAAAAGCATTCCGCTGTTTTGATACCTCGCAGACGAGGTCAATCATCCTGCAGTGCTATGAACTTGAAAAAGGGCCAGGTCCTCCTGCCTCGCTCTTCCGAGACATCTTTCCCGTCTCGCTCAACGCACGTGGCCAAGACCGACGAGACTGACTCATGGCGTACACAAGCGGAAGTGTACCAGCCACCATGCATGAGCACAGCACTCGGGCGAGCATCCAGTGAGCCCGACGATTGTGGCGCTGGCGGTATGGTAGTCCGGCGCTGGGCAAGCGGACCATTTCAGGTGCCGGGCAAAAGTGTCCGGGCCAGCAGATGACTGGCAGGAGACTTAAGAGCATTGTAGAAGAGTCTTATGATATGGCCCTATTCTTGACGATTGGTCAGAGGAATCTCGGAAGCTAACGGAAGGACGTGGTTGTCAACGGTGATCATCGCGATGTGAGTGACTTCATTGGCTGACGAGAGGTGACGGCCGCCCGTCATTGGCTGCAATCAAAGCAGCGCTAACGAATGTCGGTCTTGGCGACGAGGTGAACAACCCAAGGGTAATATCCATCTGGATCGGAGAATTAGCGTATCTCACAGTATATGCAGCTCGTAGATCATTGTGCTACACCATGTCCAGGGTCCACATCACGAGGCGAGCAGTTTCTCGACGACTTGCTTCGCCGTCTGTGGCTCGACGGTGCCCTCCTCTCCCCTGCGAACCATCTGGCCTACAAACCACATGGTCTTGCCCGTTTGTCCTTTGTCGCGTACGGCCGAGACCATTCCAGGATTCTCGTCCATGATTTGCTTTGCCAGAGCTTCATACTCCTGTGGAGAAAGCGGCCGCAGGCGGAGATTGCCAGCATCAATAAGATGCTCCACGCTCGGCCTATGCTGCGATTTTGCTGTCTCGTACAAAGTCGCGAGGAGCTGCTTCGCCACCCGTGCAGTGATTTGCTTCTGGAGAAGGGCGGCGATGAGATCCGCTAGCTCTCGAGCAGTGACTGGCATATCATTCCAAGCATCAGAAGTAGGAAGCAGACCACCGAGCTCGTGGAGGACCCAATTGCCAACTGTCTTGCCAGTCGTTGAGTTCTCCTGGCCGGGTAATTTTTGCTTGAGAAGCTCAACAGTTTCCTCCAAGAATTCGAGGCGATCGCCGTCATTCAGCAATACTATAGTCTTGGCATCCTTCAAGCTGAGAGCATATTGCTTCTGTACTCGCTCGACAGTCTCATCAGGAAGCTCAGGTAGGGTCATGGAGAGGTGTTCAACCAGATCTTGGCCTATGAAGAGCGGAGGTAGGTCGGCATCAGGCATGTATCTGTAGTCCACTTCGCCTTCTTTGCCACGAAGTCGAGTTGTCTCGGTTGCTCCAAGAGTCCATCCTCTCGTCTCGCCTTCGATCACTCCACCAGCTTCGAGAACACCAATCTGTCGGTCGCGCTCTGCGATGATCGCATCTTCCACTGCTTTGTATGAGGAAAGGTTCTTGATTTCAGTTCGCTGACCTAAGCCCTCCACACCTCTGTAGCTCAAATGACCAGTCGTTCCTTGCTGCCGGACGGATACATTGACATCAGCTCTCAATCCTCCCAGCTCCATTCCAGTGACACAGGCGTCCACGCTCTTGACGATGGCCTGTATCTTTCGGACAACAGCCGCTGCTGTCTGCGGGGAGTGGATTTGCGGTAAGGTGATGATCTCGATGAGCGGATGTCCGGATCGATTGAGGTCGATGTGATGTAAGGATTGTCCATGGGTAGTGGTCTTCGCCGTATCTTGCTCCATCTGAACCTGCTTGATCCCAATCTCGAGAGACTCAGCACCCTCGAGATCCGCAGATGGCACGCCATCCTCCGCCGTGAGCGTTATCTTGCCATTCATGGCAAAAGGAGCATAGTATTGTGTGATTTGGTACCCATTCGGCTGATCCCAATGGAAGTAATGCTTCCTGTCCCACCCACTCTTGCGCTGTACCTTGCACCCCAGAGCAATGGCTGCCCTCAAAGCTGGTAACAGTGTTCCCAATTGAAATTGCGGCTGCGTACCTGGCAAAGCCGCGTCGAATAATGCAACCTTGGTATTGGCGACTGCGTCTTCGTCTTGGGTAAGGGCGGGCGCGGGAGAGAACAGCTTATGGGCCGTGTTTAGTTCGGCGTGTACTTCGATGCCCACTGTGAGGCCCCATTTGGAGAGACGAGAGTCCGCAGACGGCTTTCTGTTCGGCGCACTCTTCGCATCGGCTTTCTTGCGTTTGGCTTCATCTTTGAGGTGTTTTCGTAAGGGGACGGTTTCCTGTTGGACGACAGGAGCCTTCGACAGGCCGCGTGACTGGAGCCACTTGGAGACAATGCAGGCGCGAGGCGCTCTGAATGTGGGCCTGAGTCCGGTCGCAAGATGTGAAGGCGCCGAACGCGCGACCGAGAATGTCATGCTCTGCTTCCAATGTCGATGGAAATGGAAATGGAAGCGGAAATGCTAGAGCTCCTCCGGATTTATCGGTCCTCGGTCACCGGAGGCCGAGGGTGCAATCCACTTCACTCCAACTTTCACACCTCCACTACTGTACCTGACACCAATTGAATCAAAAGACAACCTAATGTTTCACCGCATGCAAAGACTTGGTCTTGTCGAGACCGCTGTTGAAGACATATCGCAAATTTCGTATCGCGCTGAGGTTTCACGGGCCGATGCCACATCATTTCCGAAGCGCGATCCTCATCCTGCCTTTCGCCGGCTCCCTCGGCCCCTTCCTCGTCCTCTCCTCAATACCTGATTCTCAATCTAACGCCGCGTCGTCGGAAGCGAGGCACTCGCAGGACTGTTCTTCCAGTCCGCAGCCATAGCAGAAGGAAGCACCACAGATACAGCTAGATGAAGCGTCAGCCGAACTCGCGAAGCCACCACCTGTGCCATCAATATACTTACTACATGTGGTTGCAGCCGTCCATCTTTTCAACTGCGTTCTTACACCGCGGACACTGCCGCCACCGCTTCTGTTCGAGCACTGCCTCCATCATCTTCTGGCCCTCCGACAGCGCACACGGTCCGTAGTGCTCGGCGTTCTTGCACTTCGCGCACGTCACCGCGCGGCATTGTTGGCAATATGCGTTCTCATTGTGAATGCTCTGGCTCAGAATGAGGGCACTGCATTGTGGTCTGTGGCAGTAGATCTTGTTCTTGATTTTGACCTCCAGCATTCTGGTCTCGAATCGGCGGCGCAGCGTGTTGGGGATATGCCGACGGACTGCCTTGATAGGGATAGGTCCATCGCAGCACCGGGGAATATACAGTATGAAGTCCTCAACTGCATAGGTGAAGGAGTGCATGAGGCATGAAGCGCAGTGAAAACATCCGCAACCCAACTCGACGCCTTGGTCCAGAGGTTTGTAGTCGAGACAGAGGACGCAAATCTGCAGAGTCGCCTGCGGCGGGGGCGCCCGGTCTGTCATGTGTGCGATTTGTTGTTGTGGCTGGAAGACGGGGACAAAGATGTCTGCCGAAGAGGAAGTTGCAGTCTTTATATACCCCGCTACGCACGGGTGTCGCGCTCACATGCGCACAAACAAGGACGCAACGCCGATCTGTCTATTCACCTGCTGGGTAGCACGATTGTCTCCACAAGATTGTCTCCACGGGAATGTCTCCACAAGATTGAACAATGCGCGACAACATCTCCGTCAGACAATTTGACAACATGCCCTAGTAGAGTCTCTGATGCCACAAACGGAAGTCTTCGTAGGGGAGCTTTCCTGTGAAGATAATCCATCTTCAAAAGTATATACACTCCACTCGAAGATCTGAGACTATAGCCCCGAGAGACTCCTCAGTGGCACGCGCAAACTTGTCTCGTAGGCAGTACTATATCGCTCAAGACATCTCCGTCAGAGCAATCGAGAATCTGCTCTCGAGGGGCCTTCTCAAGAGCTTAAGAAAAAACTGTTCCCCGGGGATGCCCAATCTCCAAAAAAAAATATATACCTCGAGAAAATCGAGATCGTGGCCCTAACTAAGAGGGCTCCGGTAGCCAGGAGAAAAGTGTCTCCTCGGGATCTATATCGCCCGAAAATGTATGTCGAAGCAAGCAAGCGAGAGTATACTCCCTCGAGAGCACCCAGTGGCTTAGAGAAAAGACTTCTCTTCGGAAACACTACATCTCGAAGATATTCATCTCTACCAAAGTGGTCGAGAGCATGCTTCCGAGAGGGCTTCCAGTGGTTTAGAGGAAAGTTCGAAGGCAGGGTCCCGAGAGGGCTAAAAAGGGGCTCAAGGGGAACGCGTTTTCTCGAGATACTTTATCTCCGAAAATGTATCCTAGAGTAAAGACTCGAGATCGTGGTCTCGAGAGTCTCTCCAGTAGCATGGGAATTGATTTTCCGTGGGGATGCCTCGGGGAGAAGTGAGACTCAGGGTCCTGGCTCCTTCCTCATACAAACTACGGGAGCGTCCGATTGGCTAGTAAGCGAGGCTCAGGGTCTAGCGTATGAAGCATGTGAAAGCCGCGAAGTGAAATTCTTTGGTGGGGGGTTCCTGCCCCCGGCGCACGCTCTTGTTCATTGCTACTGCCTAGTCATCGCAGTTTCCTATTGTTGAGTCGTTCCCTCCCAACCCCAAATCGTGCCTCACATCTCTAATGGAGGTAGGAGCAATCGAAAGCTATCAGGCCTTCCCTCAAAAGCTTCGCCAAGCGCTCACTATAGTACTCCTGAACGCTCTTGCCCGGACCGGCCTTGTGTTCATCCACGGCAAGATTCAACAGGCGCGACAGCGCCTTCTTCACGTCCTCCTCGGCGTGCTCCGCCCAATTGGAATGCTCCGGATACTCTGGGGAAGCTGCGTCCTGCTCCGCTGGGAAGGTGTCACCTGCGAAATGAGTGAGTGCTCAATGAAGGAGCCACCACCGCTCGCTGCTGCCGCTGCCGCTGCTGCTGCTGCTGCTGCTATCCGTGTCTGCAAGAACAATGAAAAGTACTACTTACCTTTGGCGGTGCCTTCAGAGGCGACAGAGGACGAATTGACCTTCTCGAGTAGCTCTTGCAGCTCGGCGGGATGCGGGCCTTCCATGATGGTGGGTGGTGGGGCCGCTGGCTGGGAAGTGACGGAGCGGGTCTCATCGTCTGCGATGGAGGTCGCGTCGGTCTTGTAGCTGTCGGACATGTCGGATGCGCCTGCAATTGATATTAGTGTGCGACATGGCAGTTGCAAGGTGGTGCTCACTGTTGGAAGACATTGCGATTGCTATTTGTGAATGTTTGCGTGAATGTTGTCGGTAATTGCTTGGTCGTGGAAGTTGTGTTGTGTCGGAGAAGATGTTTGTGGAAAGCTCAAGAAGTCGTGTGTGCGACCGTCTGGCGGTCACACGGACCATACTCCAGACTGAGTGAGGTGAGGTGAGGTGCCATTTGCATGTGAAGGCTGGAGGCTGAATGCGGTTAGCGTCAGTGAAAATCTGCAGGCAGACAAACCCGTACCTATCCTCACTCCATTTCGAAAACATTTCGCGCCGCCAATGGAAGCATCTATGCCGCCAATGGAACGGCCATCAGGCTGTTGTGTCGAGATAGCCAGCAGATGTGTCGTGAGGACATGCTCGGTTGGATGCTCCATTCTCGAGCGACTACAGCGTGAAGAGCAAAACTGCGCTTATGGTGACACGAGGCTGATCGCCGTCCAGACATCCCGATAGCAAGAGTAAAGTCGTTCGCAATGAAGCATTTCCAATGGGTTTCACGCGTAGACCCTGGGAAGACGTCGGCCTTTGTGAATACATCGGCTAGCGTGAGCAATCGGTCAGCCGACATCAGGGAGAAGGGGACGGAGGAGCACAAAGGCTCTAGCCTTTCAGGTACTTACGAATGTCCAAGGGCTCATACGTCCAGGCTACACTGGTCCGATCAATGCAAGCAGCAAGCTGGAATATTGTGGATGGAGCTTGGAACAACCCGCGGTGGCTCTGTGAACACGGGATCCCCGCCTTCAACAAAGGTGAGTGTCCCCGCCAGGCGACTGAGTGCAAAGATATCCAGAACAAGCACGGTAAGTGGAGGAAGAGAAGCTGTAGTCGCTACTCCCCTGTCAGGGCGAGGGTTAAGCTTCTCGTAGCGCACCCACGTCCCAAGAGTCGCAGAGAGCTATCGCACACACGATCGCGATCCATACGGTGTTCCGCAAGTGTGACAGCAAAGCTAGCTAGTCGATGGAAGAAAACATGTCTTCGTCCAAGGAACCAGACACTAGCTGTTTCATCTTCAGATGTGCCGCAGGCTTTGAGCGGTAGATGAGACTCCCATGGAGAAGTTTTCCAGCCTTTTTAGTAAGTTCTCAGCCTTCTGAACTCAAATATGCTCGTTGTCCAGGAAGTAACGGGTGCGGATCATCTGATCTGTGTCTTCTGCTGCTCTTCAGATGATCTGAAGGAGATTGCGCCCTTCTCAATTATCCGCTGTCCTCATATGCACAAGCGGGACGCCTACTAGTGTTCGCTCTGAGTCTGCTAGTGGTATAGTCAGCTTTCGCCGTCGAAAAGTTGGCGTGGTGTCATCCTAGCTCACTTTGGCCCATTCCTGTGCCTCCTTGACTGCGGCAAAGGGCAGCCGTTAGCTCTTGCTGCCGGAAAGCCAGTCAAGAGGCAGAGAGGCCCACAGTTGAGTGGTAGAATACGGGAACTAGGAGAGCCTCCCGTAGTGGCTCATGAGGCGGCTGCGGCCAAGCTAGCTGACGTCCACAGCTCCAGAACACTCCTCTGAGCTGGTTTGTCTACCGTTAACGTTTACTCGGCTTCGTAACTCGTTGTCCGCTGAAGCAGTCCGAAAGACAGAGGTTGAAGATGTACCAACGTGCATTGCTATAGCATTGCCACGCTGGACAACAATCTCCGGGGCGGAAGCTGTCTCGCGACGTCGATGCGAGATGTACTGCCGCTTAAGCCAGGGCAAGAGATTGTAGTATCCTCCACACGCAAAGATGCCGAGCCAAAGAGCAAATTCGACCGAGTAAATTGTAAGACCGGCAATGTCGAGCCGAGGCTGGAAGAGAAGTGAGATGATCGAGGTCAAGTCGCCCAAGGCATCAAGTCCGACGAAAAGGAAAGAGATGCCTCGAACAGTTCGGTGGACATAGATATCCCAGTAGTGCCTTAGCACGCCCAGAGCCAGAAATAGCGCCGACAACGCTGCCATCAATATGACTGGCCAATGTACTCCCCTACTGGTAGCGATCCTGAGGGCTAGCACCAGAGCAAGTTCGATACCAGCCATCATGATCGCGAGGGGGAGAACAACAACAAGAGAGCGGGGAACAGACCAAGCTTTCTCGTAGTAGTAGCACTGAATCCAAGTTATGAGACTCAAGACGGTAAGAATTTGAGGCTGGATCCGAAGCGCAATGCTGAATCCTGATACAATGTTGTAGACTCCCAGAGGTACGCCGGCCCATGCCCAGAACATCATCATCGTTGGCTGGAGACCGGTTGCATTGTGGCGCCTCCAATTGATGACAATCTGGGGAATAAGTTGTATGGACCAGCAAACTGCTCCGAATGTCGCGAAGACATTGGCCAAGGCTGAATTGTCCATGTTTGCTTGCGTCTTCACACATCGGAGTGTTATCTCGACGTCCGCTCCGCTGATCTTGCGCTACCGGACTGGCTGTTGCCCTGGTAGGTGGTAGAAGTCTCGGGAAGATGAACGCCTTCCACTGTGTATCACGATGCTGATGCTGAACTGCTTTTTCCAGAATCCTTGTGTTGTCAATGCTGCCATGAGGCGTGCGTGTTTCCGTGAAAGGAGGGAGGTCCGACAAGATATGGTGGTACAGTGAGCTTTCATCAAGTCTGTTGCGACGCGAAACGTATCCAGCACATGCGCGTCGGCATCGAAGCAGATGTTTCTGCACGTTCGCGCTCGAAGCAGATGCCGTCTTCTGCTGACGATGTTTCCTGATTCTTTATATCCGACCGGATATCCGCCCGGTCATCGGCGCACGATCGCTGGCCGGAAGCTAAAAGCGGCTTGGCAGGCAGGATTGAGGGCCCTGGGACTTTCCTTCTAGAATTGGACCTCGATTCATTCGACCACATCTCACCAAACTTCCAACCACCACACCCATCCAACAACGTCAGCTTTTGTTTGAGACGCTATATGGACACATTCCGGTGATACTTTCCTATCTACACAACTCGACGACAGTACATCCACGCATAGCTCTCTACCGGTTACCCAATCCACGATGGCCGCTGAAGTAGCAAAGGCCGACCAGGCCAAGCCGGCCTCGACAAAGCCTGAGCGACCCAACGAGGAGGAGTTCAAGGCCAATCTGGCCAAGGCTGAGAAAGAGTTGAAGGCCACGGAAGAGCGCATGGTAAGTCGCTGGACAATGCAATTGTGCCGAGCCCGGCATCGGGAACGCGCATCGCCAACGACGCATGCTTGCTGCATCCACAGTGCTAGGAGAGAGCTTGCAGGTTTGGGAGCATAAGGCCAAAGAATTGGAGCTGACCCCGTTGTAGAAGCAGATCAAGGCCAAGATCGAGAATGCTCAGCCCAAGAACAAGGACTCCCCCAACGCAAAGCGCCAACAGGAACTTCGCAATGAGCTTTCCGAGATCCGCACTCAGCAACAATCGAGCAAGTCCGGCCGTACGCAGGTCATGGACAAGATCAAGCGTCTCGATGAGCAGCTCAAGGCCCGCATCGCCGAGTCGAAGAACGCCCGTAACAAGGTCCAATTCAAGTCGGCAGATGACGTTCAGAAGCAGATCGATGCCCTCCAGAAAGACGTTGACAGCGGCAAGTTGAAGATCGTGGATGAGAAGAAAGCACTTTCGGAAATCTCACAGCTCAATCGCATCAAGAAGGGCTTTGCGGGATTCGACGAGTCGCAAAAGGGCATCGATGAGACCAAGGCACAAATCTCTGAATTGAAGAAGCAACTCGACGACCCAGAGTCCAAGGCGCTGTCCGAGCGATACACCAAGATCACCACTGAGCTGGACACGATCAAAGCGGAGCAGGACGATGCATTCAAGAACCTCAACGCCCTCCGCGACGAGCGCTCAAAGATTCACGAGGACCAGCAGAAGAAGTACTCCACCGTGAAAGAGATCAAGGATGCCTACTATTCGCAACGTCGTGCCGCTATGGACTACGAGCGTGAGGCTCGCCGGGTCCGCGAGGAGAAGCGAAGAGCTGAGAACGATGCATACCACCGCGGTCGGAGACAGGAGGCCGCCAAGGCCAAGCTTGAGGATGCCAGCGCTCCTGCATACGGCGAGCAGATCCGCATCGCGCAGTCTCTCCTCGCCCACTTCGATCCGTCCTCTGTCGGCAAGCAAGAGGTCGCCGGACCTGGCAAGTTCGCCGCTGCCGCAAGTCGTACTGTCGATGCTTCTGGCATCAAGGGAACGGCTCTGAAGAAGAAGGGCGATGATGACGACGCCTACTTTGTCGGCAGTGGAGGCAAGAAGAAGAAGGGCGGGAAGAAGGGCCAGTCCAACGGCACATCTTCTCCTGCTCCTGAGGGCAAGTTCCAGCTTGACCCTCGCACCATCGAGTACCTTGCGGAGATGAACATCGACCCACCGCTTTCCCAAGCAGATGTTCCAACCGTCGTTGAGAAGATCAAGGAGAAGCTCGAGTTCTGGAAGAAGGATCAGGACCGCAAGACCAAGGAGGTGAGTTGACAAGACTTCGGGTCTCTGATGCTCTCACTAACACGACCATAGAACGTTGCAAACGCCGAAGCCGAGATCAAGCGTCTCGAAGAAGAAGCAGCCGCGATCTCTGCCGGTACCTCCGCTGAGAATGCGCGCAAGCCTGCTACTGAAAAGCAGCAGGTCAATGGTTCTGCCAATGCCGGTGCTGAGCTCTCTCAAGAGAAGGACGCCGCTGCCGATGTGAGCAAGGACCTCGAGAAGGTAAAGATCGAGGATCAGACTGCACCCGAGGGCACAGCCTAGGTGGCTTACGGACCCCTGAAATCTTCTTGTCCATTTTTACTCCCCAAAACTCATCTGCATCTGGGAACGGCGGTTTAACAACGTTGTGATTGTGCTGCTATTAGCATCTTGGACACTGGAGTCCAACGGCCGTATTGTAGCGTTCTGTAACATCTTTCCGAAGTAAAGCGATGCCTTTTCGAGGCGGTCCTGATATTGTCATGTACATAATCCGTTCCATTTACTTGCATCCCAAGCAATGCCATGTCCCTTACAGTACTGCACAGCGTCAAATGTTCTCCGGCACACTCAGAGAGCCTTCACGCTGTGGAAGAACGGATTCGCCAACAGCTCCTCGTTGCCCTGCACCAACTCTTTCATCCTCTGCACCTGCTCTTCTTTGCCCAGACTCTCATTCTCGACTTCTTCCTTCCACCTCTGCAAGATCTCCTTCAGCATCCTACTACCCTCTTCCACTTCCTCTTGCGTCCCTTGAACTCTCGCCGCCTCGTTCTTCCCCGAGAAATCTTCCAGCTCATCCGCTTTCCTCCTGGCCATGTTGACCACCTTCTGCGGGAACCTGACCAGTTCCGCGACATGGATTCCGAACGATTGATCCGAGATGCCCGGCACGACTTTGTAGAGCAGCGTGACTTCGCGATTCTTGGGATGGGCCGGGGAGGCGTCGATGTGGGCTACGACGTGCAGATTCTCGACTTGAGGGTAGGTCTGGATGAGGGAGGTGAGTTCGTGGAAGTGGGTTGCGAAGAGGGCAAAGGCGCCGATTTCCTTGATGATGTGTTCGCTTATCGCCCACGCGAGGCCGAAGCCATCGTAGGTGGATGTCCCGCGGCCCAGTTCGTCAATGATGACGAGGGATTCTCGGGTGGCTGTTTTGAGAATATTTGATGTCTCCAGCATTTCGGCCATGAAGGTTGAGACGCCTTTGAGTTGGCTGTCACTTGCTCCGACGCGTGCGAGGATGCAGTCGAAGATTGTCAGTTCGGCTTCCGTGCAAGGGACGAAGCAGCCGATCTGGGCCATGAGGGCTATCACGCCGATCTGGCGGATGTAGGTTGATTTCCCGCCCATGTTGGGGCCGGTGATGATGAGGAATTCGCATTCGGAGCGGATGAGCGAGACGTCGTTTGTGATGAACTGCACGTCGTCTTGCATTTCCATGCACGGATGGCGGGCTTCTTTGAGGATCGTGCTGCCGGTGCCGCGCGGATGGATGGTGGGCCGGACGTAGGCTGAGGGTGCGTGGACGGAGACATGGGCGAAGCTCACGATCACGTCTAAGTGAGCGAGCACACCGGCGAGCTTTTCGACGACCGGGCTGTATGAGCCAGCGACGTTGATGACTTCGCTGGCCAGGCCACTTTGCGTCCGGTTGTAGTTTTCTGTCAATTGCTCGAAGTCTCTCTTCATCTGGGTAAGATTCTTTGTCGTGAAGTAGACACCAGCTTTTTGCGTCGAGATTTCTTGGTAATCCGCCTTATTGCGTATCATGGATGACTCGTTCCGAGTGAGACGTAGACACCAGCCATGAACTTTGTGCTTCTCTAGCAGCAATTTCTTCTCGGTGTCCTGATTGAGGGCTTCACCCACGCGCTGGTGCTCCTGGTGGATCTTGTAAGTGAGACTGTCAAGCTTCTTGCGGATGACGCGTAGTGTGTCGTCGAACTCAGACTTGATGATGTACTCGTGATTATCCATCGCTTCTAGGTCAATGGTAGTCTCGACCATCTCCTGGAGTTTGCCAAGACTGTTGGAATACTCCACCAGTTTATTCGTGTACTCGGCATCGAGAGCGTCCTTGTAAGCCTCATCCATAACCCCTTCAAAAGTGCCTATGAAGTTCGGTACACGGATTGCAACCTGGTAGAGTCGCACAACGTCTTCAAGATTTGCTTTCTTCCGCTGGAACTTCTTGGCCAGACGATAGAGATCCGGGATTGACCGGAGATGCTCTTCTTGCAATGTCTGCCTGAGTTCCGTGTCGTTCACGAACGCTTCGACGAGCTGCTGTCGCTTCTGGATCTCCTCAAGACTCATCAAGGGCTGCTTCAGCCACTGCGACAGCAAGCGGCTGCCAACTGGCGTCTTGCAGTGATTCAGAAGGCCGTACAAATTCATCGTCTTCGATCCATCTTTTGGCCCGGGCATGAGATTCAGCGCCTTCAACGCCGAAGAGTCGAGCTTCATGTACTGGCTCAGGTCGTATTGATAAAGTCGATACTGGCCAAAGTTGCTTGCATCCGACATGATGCCCAGGTATCTGATGAGCGCCGCTGCAGAGCCCATCGAGAGTTTCAACTCGGTCTGTGGTAATGTATTCGCCGCGCCATCCCGGAGAAGGCGAGTGAGGTCCTGTTCAATGTCTCGACTGCTGAAGTCTCCGGAAGGTCGTTCTGCAACGGCACAGCCGCAATTCTCGGCAATGGCCCGTAGCTTTTGCAGTTCCGCGTCTTTCTTTGTGATGTCGACTTGGATCAAGCACTCTTTCACTCCGAGCTGGATGATGAGTGATTCGAAGTTTGAGTAGATGTCGTTGTCGACAAACTCATTGACCCCAAGCTCGCGGACACTCGCGTCGGCGAAGCAGATACCCACGTTGCGGGCCTCAGTTGCCCTTGCAGATACTTTGACTGCAAGAATCATGGGCGCGGAATCGATGTTTCCTCCGAGGTCCTCTTCGATGTCCTGCAAATTGCCAGGCGATGCCTGTTTGGTAATTTCCCACTTGTTTCGTCCGCCGGTCTCCAGAATCTCGACGCGTTTGCCGAGCCGTATGACAGCGTCTCGTAAGAATGTGCGATATACCATCGCAGTCATGGTGACCGAATCCAACCCCGGGTTTTTGCCCAATGTCTTGAGGACCGAAGTCGTCTTGTATTGGATCTGGGCGATGTACTTGGCATCTTCACCATGAGCGGAGTAGAAGTCGCCACGGTCGAAGATGCGAATGGTGTCTGTGGGCTTCTCCGTTTCGAGCTGGTGGAAAGCCTTCACGAAGCCGGTCTCGTCGTCCACCTTGAGTTCTGGTCGAGAAGACATGATGCGAGGTCCTTTGAAGCGATATCACTTTGTATCACTGTGGCGTCTGTTTCAAGTCCAGCATCTGTATCGAAGCGTCGTTGCTCGAATGCGATGTGATGTTAATCGCGATGAAGTCGGGAGATGAAGTCAACTTGGACGCCGGGAAGACGCGTAAAGTGGTGCCGAATCGCGTGGTCCGTGCGAGTGGTCAATGCGTTTCTTCACACTACATTACCTACACTTACCACAAATCTTGCAACTCCATCTCATCGACGTCAACACGCCTTGGAATGATACTGCGCGAGGAGACAGTGGAGAAGCAGTCGCCAACTCAACGTCAGGTACCCTAATCTGGCAGCTTTCACCGACAGCGCCGAAGAGTTAGGCCATGATATATCCTCGTTTCGGCTACCTCCAATCACGCCTCCTGCTCGAGAGACAAGACGAATTGCGTCTTTCGGAACACCGATTAGATGCCCTCTATGAGTGGCAAGTGTGCCAGACGATCTCTTCACGAGGGAGTCTCAGACGAATGAGAGGAGGGGGTTGTTGCGGTACATTGACGAGTACGGTAAGTCAGATTTCTCTTCTGTTGTATTCGCTTCTGTTCTTTTCCCTTCTATTGTGAATGGCAATGGGATTGTCGAAGAGTCGCAATGCGTTTGTAGCGCGACTGGTGCAATGGGCACAGCGATTCATGGCTACAAACCGATCCGCCCGAAGCGAACATAAGAGTGTTACGAATTCCATAAGCAGTAGGCCTGCCGATGATACGGAAAGGGAGTGTGTCTTGCATAAAGAGGATCTCATAACTCTTCGTCCGGAACGGGAAAGTGCCTGGCTGGATTGGGGGATAGAGAAGTGTTTGAAAATGCTACCCTGGAGCTATTCCTCGGGCAGAGAATGCGTACCGTGGAATGACGGAATATTGATTGATATTGGGGCAGTATATTTTCGGTTCTCCGGATTCCATATCAAAATCCACCGCAACGGAATTCCATTACTGTAGCGAGAAGATCCAGATCGCGGCGCCCAATATCATCACGGCAATGGTTCCCTTCTTGCGCCTTGTGCCGACGGATCTGCTCTACCACTTGGTGCAGAAACCGCATGGCCTAATGACGCCAAGGGATACCGCGATCTGCATCGGCATCTTGCCGAAGTTCATGCTGATGGTTTCGACTATCATATCTTTCTTCACGAGAGGGAGACATGAGATCATTAGGGCGGCAGCCGCGTAAGCTGTTGGGATGTTGTACCTTTGCTGAGAGCAAATGAGGCTGGTGTTTTAACCTAGGTATTGTGCTGTGCTTGTTGTATTTCTGGGAAATGTAGGGAATAACCGAGGGTGTACTAGCTCACATGCAAGTCACGGCCCTAGAGCTGCATGGCTGGCAGCTGCAGCTGTCTCACCCCTGTCTTTTGGGAAAGTGTTGCATGTTTGCTTGAGCGATATGCTCACAGTCATAGCCATTTGCTTTCTCGTTTTGGTACTGTATTTATAGGTGCATGATCTTGGAGAGGTATTCGAAAGAGAGGTATGGGTTCCATGATGCTCGCCGTGTGCCGGATGCCACAAAAGCCGGGAGCAGGTCGATGAGATACGACGACCGATGTACCGTTCGATTCCCGAAGTATAGAAAATTTGCGAAATGATACCCACTTATTAGTAGTTATGATCTGATCAAGGACACCGCTTTTTTCGGTTTGGAAAGTGGCACATGGTACGCCAGGTTACGGCGGAATCCATCGTGTGGTTCCGGGCGGTACATGTGCGATCCAGATCAGCACGCCTCTCCGAGACGGAAGGCACAGGCGTGTCGCGAGAAGGAACATGGCATTCGGTGTCTTTCACGTGATTCTCACCTCGCTGCCATTGCAGTCGTCTTGAGGTCGGCGAAGTGAGATCGGAGCGAAGATGAAGCTGACGACGAAGATGAAACCAAAGCGTCGAGAAGTGAGGTTCGAGAACACGGACCTTGTCTGCAGTGACAGTGTGGCCAGGCAGTGGCGGCCGGGGAGATCCCAGCCCATGTCCCATTGGCGAATCAGAGCGCGAGGGCGCAACTTTATATCAAAGTCATCTCGGCAAGGAAGCGCACAGCGTCGTAACAGATGCACGAGGCCAGATTTGCGGGACGGCGAAAGTGCCGGGGATGGGGAGCGCTCCTGGAGATAGCACGGGAACACAGGAGTGAAGTCTTGCGGTGAGACTGACATGTTTGGTACGCCGTTCGAAGTCGTTTCTCAATGGAAGGGGGGGCCCTGTTCAGGTGAGTCCAAAGTCCGGCAGCTCGAGGAACGTGGGGCGGATGGGAGAGCACAAGCACAGAAGGCAGCTCGCCGGCCGTTGCGATCGCCGTTGCGACCGCGCTTTCTCTGCACGCGTCGACGGTGGCTGTGGTGCGATGGGGTGAAGAAGAAGAAGAAGAAGGAGCGTGGGCGGACGGGAATTCGCGTTATTACATGTATCTCGTGTTTGAGGTGCGACGGGTGGTTGATCACAGATGATGTTAGCGGTTAGCCTGAAATAGCGAAGCTCCAACGGCTCGCTCCCGGCGGAGGTGCCGAGCATGATCTGATTGGTGTACCTGGCGGATACCCCTGCCGTTCCTGCGCGGCACTGGTGGTCATGGCGCGCTTCATTTCCGATGCGAGCGAGTGGACGAGGGAGAAGGAACGGGGGCTGCTCCTTCTCTGTGTTCGCCCTCAACACATTCGTCGTCGTCGTCGTCGCCGTCGCTCTTTCTCCCTCTGCACGCACACGCACACGCACACACGCACACACGCACACACACACACACCCCGACAACACACCGTCGCCCTTCTTCCCCCTTCGCCCTTCGCCCGGCGCGCCCACCACACACACTCTCTCTATCTCTCTTTGCTGCTGTGCATTGCACACTCCCCGTCATCCTTCGTTTACGGCGGACGATTGTACTTACGCAACCTCACCGCGACCATTCTTTCCTTCTCCTTCTCCCTCGCTGGGCCAATTCCATTCCTCGCGCCACCCTTCAAGCAGGTCTAGACGACCGCACTCCCGACCACATTCCTCGCTAGCCGCAACGAAACACATCGACATCATCCCTTCCGCCTTCCATCCTCTTCTATCCACACCGAACGTGAGCCTCCACCCGGACCCTCAGCATCTCCCACCGGTGATTCGACACCCGCAACGATATGGCGCTTCACAAACGACACACGCACGGCCGTGTGTTCCACGGCGAGGCGGCTAGAGAGCTGCTCGCTATCCGCAGACGCGACAGTCATGGAAGCACCCCAGTCATGAACGTGCCCGAGGGTTGGGAGCAGCAGAAGTCCGTCGAGGACAGCAAAGACCAGGCCGCGCAAGAGGTCGTCTATGTTACGCTCTCCCAAACCTTCTCCGGCCCGGCCATATACTCGACGATTACTGCCGACTCCAGTGCGACCCCAGTGAGCGCCTCCTCCGCGACCGCAGCGACAGACGATGCCCAGGCCTCCTACCAGGCCATGAAGTCTGCCGCTCAGGCCGGCAACCAGGCTAGCGCCTCGGCCACCTCAATCGCTACTGTCACTCCCCAGAGCAGTAGCAGGAGCAGTGCAGCTGCTGCCACGACTCTGGCCTCTGTTGCGAGTGCGGCCAGCAGCTACGCTGCAAATGCTGTTGCTGGCACTCCTCTCCAGGCTACTCGATCTGCGACCGCGTCCGCAACCTCATCGCCCCAAGGCGCCATCTCCGAGGACAACTCCAGCCTGACCCCCGGTGCAAAGGCTGGCCTTGCCATCGGTATTCTATTAGCAATTGGTCTTGCTGCTGCGTTGATCTTCTTCTGCTGGCGCCGAAAGAAGGCCACCGAGAGCCACGAGGAGTCCCTGAACGAGAAGCACGGCAGCTTTGCCGATGCACATGCTCGTGGCATCGAGGCCGGAGGAAAGCGCGCATCCAACATGACCGAGAAGGTCCCCTCCAGCCTGCGCTCTACCCGTACTGCTTCCACTGCTCCTCGTCTCAGTCTCCGCCCTGTCACCCAGTTCCTGCCAAACCTTGGCGAGGAGCGCAAGAGTGGCGCCCACACCCCCGACGCTGCTGCCGACGGCGAGAAGCGATCGGCCTGGGAGCCATCATCCAACAGCCCACCGCAGAATCCCTTTGACGACGCCACCATGCTATCCGAGAAGCAAGCACAACCCGAAAGCCCGCCAACCAGCAATCCTTTCGAAGAGCCTGAGGGCAAGAAATCGACCGACTCGCAGCAGGGCCCGGCTGCTGAGAAGCACAACTCGAAATCGTCCTGGGAAGGAAGCGAGGCACCAACTCCCAAGTCCGCCAAGTTTGGAACGGCCGCTGCCGTGCCTATGGCTGCTGGTGGAGTTGCTCAAAGCGTCGGACCACGAGGACCGAACAATGTCCACCGCGTCCAACTTGACTTCAAGCCCTCGATGGACGACGAGCTTGAGCTTCGCTCTGGCCAACTCGTTCGCATGCTTCACGAGTACGATGATGGCTGGGTAAGTAGTAACGACACCTTGCAACATGTCACGAAGCTAACGCGGTGCAGGCGCTTTGCATCCGAATGGACCGCAGCCAACAAGGTGTCGCTCCACGCACTTGCTTGTCGAAGTTGCCTGTGAAGCCGCGCCCGCAGCCACCGCCAGGCACGGCTCCTCGACCAGGTACGGCTCAGGGCGGTCGTCGCCCATCGAACCCACCGCCGCCGACCCCTACCAACGGGGCCATGTACCCGCGCCCCCTCACTCCAACGCAAGCCCAGGTCCAGGCCCAGGCCACCACCCGCTCGACGTCCCCAACGCAGGCGAATGGCGAGGCTTCGACTTCGCCGGTTGGTGTGCCGGCCAGGAAACCCGTGCCTGGTCAGGCGATGTAAGCCCGTTGGGGCAGTATCGCACCGACCGGTCGTTTTCCGACCCTTTTCCTTGTGTTGACGAGTTACGTGCCGCCATCCATGACTAGCTTTACATACGGGGATGGAATTGTTTCTCCTTCTACTTCACCGGCAGCCGAAGATCGCCGAACTCTCGATAACGACATGTCTACCACCCTCGCCGACTTTGAACTCGATTTGCGGCGGAACGGCAAAGATGGAGCAACGACTTGGGACGCGGCAGAAGAAGATGATGACACTGTGAAGTGCACAAGTACCGCACCAGGTCTGCGCGTGTCCCCGGCGCCTCCATCGAAACCACCATTGCCTCCTATTCAGAAAGACTACAAGCGAGACCTCAAAGTGGGCACCCGTGATTGTTCCGTCTGTCCCGCCCAAGCCAACGTCAAGACGGACGACGGTGAAGAGATTCAAGAGACGAACACGGGGGATCCGCAAGACGTATCGAAGCATGCGAGGTTGGCGACACTTGGGCATTGCTCTCCTGTTGAACAACGAAGAAAACGGAAATTTTGCGATTGTTGATTCCAAAGGTCAAATGAGTGGTTTTTATTTTTCACCAAGAGCGAGGGGCGTGTATGTGTGTGGGAGGGTGTGCGCTGTGTGTGTTGTGTCTGGAGCAGGACAGATTGGTGCTGCTCAGTAGCGAGCTGGAGCGAGAGTGCGGTACCCCTTTCTCTCCCTCGCTGGCCCTGGGCTAGCTTAGATCGTGTGCATAATGTCTGCTCCTCTTCACTTCATGTGCGCTTTACTTCTCCTTTTGCGGTTGACGAGGATTGGTGACGACTTTTCGAGTGTAGAATACTTAGTTAGTGTATGCAGATGTGTGAGAAGAAGCTATCGTGTGTGGTGCATCTCAGCTGTCATTGTTGTTGTTGTTGTTGTTGTTGTTGTTGTTGTTGTTGTTGTTGTTGTTGTTGTTGTTGTTGTTGTTGTTGTTGTTGTTGTTGTTGTTGTTGTTGTTGTTGTTGTTGTTGTTGTTGTTGTTGTTGTTGCTCGAGGTGGAATCATGGATCGGTCGATTGTTGCGGACTGGACAATAGCGGATGCGTGCAGTGCCGTGACAAAGGATATGTGTATGCATACATAGACAAAGACATCATCTTCATCTTTTCACTCCCACGTCGGTCTCACCGGCCGGCATACCACACGTCCCAGCAGCGGGAAGAAGGTTCAGACCGAAGATGGGCCGAGCAATGCAGGTCCTGCCGATGGGCCGACTGGACCTCCAACTCGGTCGGACTCTTACTCGAATACGGAACTTGATGTCCAAGGACCCGTGACAGATTGAAGGGGAGAAGGCATTGACTTGGAATGATATATCGAGCGGCCAACAACACCCACCGCCCGCACACGCCCCGGGGATGGCCTCCCCAATGCCGTCAATGCAACTGACGCCGATGCTGGGTCAGTATCTCGTTGCGATCAATGGCTTTGTCGGGGCGCAGAATGAGCAAGCACTGGCCGGATATATGCCCATCGAGCCTCCATTCCATGACCCGACCATGCAACAGATCATAGCGGAGCTGCAGCAGACATATCCGCCGGGCCACGAGGATGCACTGGAGGGCAAGTGCAGCGACGCCCTCACGGTGGCACGAGACGGGATCGAAGGAAGTCCCAGCTGGTCGCAGTTCACGAGATTCGTCGTGCAGTACCTCACGTATATCCGCGACGTGGGCTTGGACGAGGACCAGTACTACCAGACCTACGAGATGTTGTATGAACTGCAGAAGTATGTCGTCCGGACCGGAAGGGATGATTTTCGCGCGAGGATGCACGGCTAACTAACATGCTTCTTCAGGCGAGCGAATAGTGCCCTCACGCACGCGACGCTGGGCAATCTCATGCTGCCGATTGTCGTGGGCTTTGCGAAAGTCATCTGCAAGCTCGCCATCTTCATCGACAAACACCCGGAGAGATTCGCCCATCTCAAGCCCAACCGCGGCGGCGGCGAGGATGACGGTCCATCGAGCACACTCCCGGAACGAGCTGCCGAGCTCCTTCGAGGTGGTCTGACAACCTGCCTGAACGACCGCTTCTCCTCGATCGAGGACGGCAGAGTCCAGGGCAAGAAACGGGGCATCTACCTCATTGCCAACGTCTGCCTGAAGATCTTCTTCCAGTGCCGGAAGACCCGCAACGCCTCGATGATCTTCACCAACATCGGCAACCTCTCACCGCCGCTGTCTTCGTATCCGAGGGCCCAGCGGGTTACATACCTCTACTATCTCGGCAGATTCTGGTTCCAAAACAGCCATCTCGATCGTGCGCGGCTTGCACTACAGTCGGCCTACGACGAGTCTCCCGCGGTGCAGCAGTGTTGGCACCAGAGAAGGCTCATTCTCATTTTCTTGATCGCGAGCAACATCATTCTAGGACGATTCCCATCGGAACCCATCTTTGAGCGGCGAGAAGCGAAGGGTCTTGCTCAGCACTTTCGTCCATTGATGCAGGCTATCCGCACCGGTAACCTCGCTCTGTTCCGCCAGCATATGGATATGGACGGGCCGCATGCGGACTTCTTCTTCTACTACCGCATCCTGCTCCAGCTGAGAGATCGCTGTGAGGTCCTCGTCTGGCGCAGTCTGGTGCGCAAGACGTGGATCCTCTCCGGCACGCGCTACACCTCCGGAGGCCAGCCGCCCCTCGTCGATATTAAGAATCTCGTTGGCATCTTCGGGCTCCTAGAAGGACGCGCTGCCAAGCACGCAGAAGTCGCCTGGGTCGATCCGGACTTTGCAGGCGTCGAATTCGACGGACCAACCCCCGATCCCAACGCCATCACACCGCTCAAGATGGAATCGATCCTATCCTCGCTCGTCACGCAAGGATTCCTACAGGGCTTCATTGCACATCGACAGGCCAAGTTTGTTTTTACGCGCGTGAAACAGGCGGGAGGGGATGTGCTTGCGGCTGGATTTCCGACGCCCTGGAAGACTATCGAGCGCAAGATTGCCCAGAGTGGGTTCGCGGATGAGGTTCCTGGTTGGAAGCAGGGCGCGCCTGGGAGTATGGCGGCTGGTGGTGGTGGTGGTGGGATGGTGATTAATATGAGTGGTGCGAGGCCGGTCGGGGCGACTTGATTTCACGACGACCACTGTGCGCTTGCTGGAGACGGACGATGTGGTATGAGAAAAGCACCTCAAATGTCTGGTCGAAGAAAGAGCAAGAGGCGTTCAAGGAGACGTTGTAGAGAAGAAGCGATTGGGGATAACGGATCTCTCGTCCAGAGCTTTCGAAAACGATGATTCAGCTGCGAGGACGTCTGTCTGTCTCGGCAGCGAATCCACACCTCAGCTTTGGAGGCTCGATTCGAGAGAGAATCAACCCACGTCTTGAGATGCGTTGCAGAAGGAGAGAGGGAGTATGCCGAGTGAGGTAGTGTCCTTCTCGGTCCCCTCTACCACCCACAGACCGTCCTGCGTCTGAGAGCCCACGTGGCAAAGACAGACAGACAGACAGACAGACAGACAGCGAGTTGCATGAACCTGCGAATCTTGCTTCATCATTGTCGCTAGGTGCGTATCTCGGAATGGGATAGAAGTGTCATCGACCGGGAGAGTCGTTTCAGGTTGTCCCTCTCTGGATGATGATTTGTTACCCGATTGCTAACGAGTTTTTCCTTCTTAGGGCGGTGACTTACTACATGCCAGTTCGCTCGCACCAGCCTGAGAATACCAGGAGAATCTCATGATGATGAGTGTTGTGGTTGAAAGTCATGATTCCCTGAAAGTCTATCGCTACCATCTTGCCATCCCCTCCTCCACAAAAAGTCTATTCCTGAGCCGCCAACACAAGCGGCAAAACGTCTTGTTGGATACCAAACCGAATAGGAAAGCAAGCGGCGAGCAGACAAGGTCACGAGAACCGCCTGCTGTATTGGACCCTGAACATTTCTTCCAAATCACGAGGTGCGGACCACCACTTCCTTTGCTCTCTAAGGTATCTTGCTGCAAGCCAGTAGATCGTTTGGATGGAGGAGGCTGTATAGGGTTCTAGACCCCACTGCCACCGAGATGCACCCCGCAGCTACTACCTTACGACCGTTCGACGACGAGGGCTGATCTCAGAACGCCGGCGAGACGGAGCTTTCGCTAGTCGTCGGAGTGGCGGGGAGGCGTGGGTGGGTTAATGGACTGCTCGACTACCTTACCCTTGCCCTTCCCATGCTCTTGACCATCTTCCCCCCCGTCAACGACGACTAGGAAAGCGAGAGAGCTCGAATAATACACTTACTTACCACTACATTCCATCAGCAAAGATGGGTTCAGCACCGCAGGACAAGTACATCCCATGGGACGCGCCCGGCGTCGAGGTCATGCAGCCGGGCGAGAAGGAGAAGATCTGGGAGGTTTCCAACCTGTTCAATCGTCTGCAGATGATGAACTTCAACGAGCACATGCACTGCCTGCGTGGAACTCACTTGAAGACCCAGGGCGTGAGTCGTCGAACCCGTCCCTCTCCCCCCAAATCCGAATGGAAGCTCTCGCATCAGACCATCATGGTTGACCTCTCATGAATAGTGCGTCATCGGCCGCTTCGTCGTCCACGAGAACCTGCCCGAGCACCTCGCCCAGGGCATGTTCGCCAAGCCCGGCTCCTACGACTGCATCATGCGCTACTCCTCCCTCACCCCCAAGCTCCTGCCCGACAACATCCCACAGCCCCGAGGAATCGGGATCAAGATCTTCGGCATCGAGGGCGAGAAGATGTGGGGCGAGGACAAGAAGACCCAAGATTGGACCTTCAACAACTACCCCGTCTTGGAATTGAGGACGCCAAAGGATACCTTTGAGATCATCGACTCCCTGGAGCGCAACTGGAATACGCTGGAGAAGTTTGCGGGCGAGCTCGGGGAGCGTCCGGATGCGGAGGTTGCTACCATGCCTGCCAAGCTTCCCAAGCAGCACAGTAAGTCCAATACCACTTCCTTTCCTTCTGAAAGAAGCCTCGGTGAGTTCACACGCAATGTCCGCAGTGGTCGCCATGCCCGAGTGGTCCCAATCCGCCTACCGCCACGGCGACTACGTCGCCAAATACGGCGTCTTCCCCAAGGGCCAGGAGCAAATCAACATCGCCAACGACCTCATCAAAGACGACGACCCCATCAACATCCTCTCCCAACACACCCGCAACTTCCACCTCTCCCACAAGGTGACCTACAGCTTCTGCGCCCAAATGCTGCAGAACCTCGACGAGCAGCCCGTCGACGACATTGGGGTCGAATGGGACGAGAAGAGATACCCCATGGAAGAGATTGCGCATTTGGAATTCGACCCGCAGGATTCGTGGTTGCCGGAATTCAGAGTCTGGTGGGATGATCGTATCACGGTCAATTCGTGGCATGGATTGAAGCTGCATCAGCCTCTGGGTTCCACCAACCGTATGAGGAGGGTGGTTTATGCCGAGAGCAGGAAACTGAGGATGAAGGTCAATGGTAACAAGGAGTACATTGAGCCCGCCAGTATTGCGGAGGTTCCGGCGCCAATCCCGGCCGTGCAGCTGCCGTATAACCCCAAGTCCGGGCAGAATGCCATCAACTCGGTGCAGGTGAAGGCTGCTACGGTCATGTAAGGGATGGATGGTTGGTTAGATTGAAGAGCGTCTGCAAGCTAGTTGTACATACTTGTCGTTGCTTCTGCGTATGGAATGGTCAAGGATGGCTCCAGAGCAAACCCTCTCCTAACCCAACAGGGCGATCAAGGTCTCCAAACCCTGTTTTGGTCGGAGGTAGTTGAAGGTACCTGTTAGGAAAATGTTCTCATCGAGTGGTATGTCGTCATTCTCGCAGACAGCGGGCAATCGGAGCATGCACCTATGGGGAGGTGCAAAGATTAGTGTGATCGTCGTGGTGTAGTAGACGGGTAGAAGATGATATGTCCCGCAGAGAGCAATGCAGCATGAGGGTGTTGATCTCGTACCAATGCGTCGAACGAGAATTGCCGCCCCAATTCGTGGGGTCCAGAGGCAGTTCTCGAGTCTGTGACTGTTAGCCAATTCCTCGAATGCACTGAAGTCGAGAATCAAGGTGGTAGGCCGGGTGTTCGATGATTCTGAGGGCTGTGTTCCGGTCGTACCACCTGAAACCCAAACTTGTCGTGTAACGCTTTGCCTTGAATGCTGGCGATGACGAAGGCCTTGAGACGCGTACATCGATCCAATCTCTCCAGTCCTGACATGAAGTCAGCCACCGTAGCATGAGCGACGGAGAACACAGCAGAAAGGAAGGTCGCTCGGTGGTGGCGTTGTCTCCGTACCCTCTCTTAGCAGGGACGATCCAATGCCACGTCTCTGGTGGTGCGGGAGGACAGCCAGAACTCGCAGTTCGACATAGGGATCTGGACCAGTGCATTCCATCGTGGCATCGAACGCTGCTTCCATGTAGGCATCCTCCAACGGCTGATTCCTGCCTGGCACGTCGGGTGCTTCATCCTTCCTCTCCTTGACTTTTGCGAAGGCGGTTTCCTTGTCCTCCGGTGTCTTGGGCGGGTTGAGTTCGGTGTGCCACCAGCTGACACCCAGCAGCTTCCCGGTCTGCTGATAGCGTGCGACCAAGTAGACGTCGTGGTTGTTCAGGTACTTCTGGAGGCGGTTGCGGACTTCGGGGCTCCTGAGGTCGGTGCCCGGGAATAGCATGGGCATGATCATGTCGGCCTCTGGTTGCTGGTAGGCTGTGCAGTAGCATTCGATGAAGGCCTGGACTTCCATAATGCCGAGTTTGTCGATTACGAAGACGTCCTTTGGGGGATGCATTTCCGATGGCCCGGCTGTCGCTGGTGTGGAAGAAAGGTGTCAAAGTTGGGTGTGTTGTGGAGGGAGCAGAAGACGGCAGCGGCAGCGGCAGCGGCAGCGGCAGCGGCAGCGGCAGCGATGCTTGGATGTTCTTGCTTTCCATCGTATTGATTGAGTGAAGGCAGGAGCGGCCGCAGAGACGAGACGGCATGGAAACAGCATCTCGACGTGGTTTCGTATCTCCAGACCACGTGATGGCGTGCTCCGGTCGCGTCCGAGAGTCATTCCGAAATTTTCCAGCATACCTTAGCATACTCGTATCGGTCCCTCTATCCGAGTCACACACACACTTCATGATCCATCCCACAACTTCTGCTGCCCCCAATTTGAAGACTCGGATCGACGCATCGAGATTGATGAGCGTGCGACTCGCAGCATTCGCCACCAACCCCGTCGCCGTCATGGAGACGCGGACGCTGCCTGTCGACGCCTCCAAGATCGGCGAGATCGTGGCACGTCCTAACCCAGACGACATACTGGATGAACTGAGCATACAGCTGGATGTGCACTCTGCCGATGCACAGTATCTGAGAGTTGCCGCCGAGAAGCTCAGGTCCTCTCACTTTCCCGTAGCCTTCCCCACAGAGACCGTGTATGGGCTCGGCGCGGATGCTACGAGGAGCGATGCCGTCAAGGGCATCTACAAAGCTAAGCAAAGACCTTCAGATAACCCGCTCATCGTACATTTCGCGTCTCTCAGGCAGTTGAGATCTCTTTACACAGCCAAGCTTCCAGCCCAAGATCGCCTTCACGAGAATGGCACCGCAAAAGATCCAATCCCTGACATCTACAAGCCTCTGATATCTCGCTTCTGGCCAGGACCATTGACCATCATTATGCCAACTCCCAAGGACTCGCCGTTGGCACCAGAGGTCACGGCCGGCTTGACTACTTTCGGTGCTCGCATGCCTCGACACGTCCTAGCTCTGGCACTCATCGACCTCGCTGGCGTTCCAGTTGCTGCTCCTTCCGCAAATGCCTCGACCAAGCCTTCTCCGACAGCCGCTGAGCATGTTGCCTACGACCTCGACGGAAGAATAGAGATCATCATTGATGGCGGCCCCTGCGACGTTGGAGTCGAGAGCACCGTCGTTGATGGGCTGTCAAGCCCGCCTGCCATTCTGCGGCCGGGTGGTATCAGCCTGGAGCAGATCCGTTCCTGCCCTGGCTGGGAGCATACGCACATCGGATACAAGAATCTCGCTGAGAGCGAAAGCCAGCCAAGAGCTCCTGGCATGAAGTATCGACATTACTCGCCAAAAGCTACCGTCGTACTGTTTGAGTCAAACAAAGCCGCTCCTGCTATGACTGAGCTCAGCAAAGCTCTGGGACCAAATGGAAAGATTGGTATAGTCAGAACAAAAAGCTGGACCCTCGACCAAGCTCAGGATCCTCTCATTACTCAGTCGTCCAAAACCGTTCCTGTGTCAAACGGCGCCCAAAAAACGCTGAACGATGTCCACGCTGCTCCAGGATTTGCTGGGATGTTGACAAGCGTGAACGCCACTGCAAAAGCAACATCTCCCTTAACGAAAAGTGGCGTGCAAATCGGAGGAATTCCTGTTCAAGTCCTTGACATCGATCTTGGTCCTGCAACAAGCAACATAGCACGCGGCATCTTTTCCGCGCTGCGCGATCTGGATCGAGAAGGCGTGGACACCATCTTTGTGGAAGGCATCGACGACAGCGAAGGCGACACAGCAGCGGCCATCATGAACCGGCTAAGAAAGGCGGCTGAAGTCAGGCTTGGAGGTTGAATATCGCCATGTTGCACGCTGTGCACGTAGGGCGAAATCGGCATACCGCAGATCTGACCAATCAAACGCGACCCAGAGCCTCGCTCCTCGGTCCCCCATCCGGCTAAACGTATGTGGGCCGACCAGATCATGACGCGAAAGAATGCACTTCATCCCGTCTGCAAATTTCATCCTCTTGTGACCAACAAGTCGGAGCCGCAGGATTCGGAGCTCGTGCATCTCTTGGCCATTCGTGGAGATTGTGAATAACGGGAGAACACGTGAGGGTACAGCCGGAATAATGGGTTCTATACAAAATGACATCGACATCAAAGGCGATGAGCGCAGGGAGATAACGATCTTGGTGACCGGGTTTGGCCCATTTCAGGACAAATTTCCTATCAACCCTTCGTTTGAAATTGCGAGGTCTCTGCCGGATCTCCTGCCATCGACGTCGCCACAGACCAGACCGGTCCGCATTATTCCGTATGGCCATCCGATTCGGGTTGCGTACGGCGAGGTTCGAGAGCTCGTGCCGAAGCTACACGATGCATACGCTGGTACTGTAGACCTGGTTCTTCACATTGGCATGGCTTCCGGTCGCAAATTCTACTGCGCTGAGCGTTTCGGCCACCGGGATGGATACTGCAAGAACAAAGACTTGGATGGCAAGATGCCAGCCCTAGACGAGGGCAAGACAACATATGGCGACTGTCCCCAGACCATGACTACATCACTGGACTATGAGACATTGATACATGATTGGGACGAAAATCTCGACCGCATGCTCAAAGGTGATGCGCGGGCGCATGCTGAGCTCCAAGCCAGTAACGATGCTGGCCATTATCTGTGCGACTACATCTATTTCAACAGCCTAGCATATTTCGGGAGGAAAAGCGGTGTGATGGAAGGTGGTGAGGCAAAGGATCGACCAGTGCTGTTTCTGCATGTGCCCGCGGAGAGCGATGGAGACATGATAGACCGGGGCCGCGCAGTTGCGCTTGCTCTTATCCGAGCGATGGCAGACAGTTACTCGAGGAAATAGTAGGGTCTAGTAGTCTTCTATATCGAGCAGCCGTGTTAAATCACACTTGATTACTTAGTGTGGTTTACTGTAATCTATATGTTTTTATCTACTATCGTATTAGGTAGAGACGTTATTATTCTATTCTAATATAATATTAGAAAGGTTACTTAATATTAAGAATAGCGTTATATAAAGATTAAAGATTAGAAGAGTAGAATATTATATCTAAATTTTAACTAGTTCTAAGGTAAACGAGTAGTACGCGTCGTAATACGTAGGCTATATATATATAAGATCGATATACTTAGAATTAAGTAGATAGTAATATAAGATTACTATATCTATAGCTAATAATTAATATAAGAATTAGTATATATTACCTTTTAAATAGATTATAGATAGATAAGCTTTATATAATAATATAGTAATAGAAAGAGTATTATCTAATAATATACCTAGAAATAAGTATAGATTATAAATAAGTATTTATACTTTCTTAGTTATACTTAAATACTCTAGGCTTATAACTAATTATTATCTATAGGCTATCTCTATATAAGATTAATATTATAGATCGAAGTAAGAGTAAGACTACTTCGAGAATTTCTAGCTAGTAAAGTAGAAGAGAGACCCTACGCGTATAGCGAGGTACGTTACGTATTACGTGTTCGACTAATAGGAGAAGCCGATAGTCGAACTCTATAAGGAGAACTACGTAATAAGTTCGACCGTTCGACTATAGCTCTAGTCGGATAGCTAGTTTCTAGCTAGTAGGTAGAACAAGTTAGTCGAACTAGAAGTCTATATAGGAACACTAAGAATGCCTCTAGCTTTCGATGTGTTTAACTTACTATAGTATCTTACTACTTAGAATACAATCCCTTAAGTTACTATACTACTCTATCGCTTTACTCTTCCTCTACTAGACCTCTCTACTAACGAGCCTAATACCGATTAAGCCTTATATAAGTAATCCTTATATATTATAAGATTATTAAGTTATAGACTTAATATAAAGGTAACGCGTTATCTACCTCTTCGTAATAGTTCGACTCGCTACTAAACGGCTCTCCTAATCCGGAAGAAGGCGTAAGCCTAATAGGTACGGATCTAGGCCTAGATAGTAAGAGGAATAACGATAGAGAATATAGAGTCGATTTAGGAGACTTTATTTAAGTAGCTCTAACTTAGCGCTTCTTATAAAGTCTTAGTACGTACTAGGCGTAGGTAGAAGATAAAACGATAGATTAAAGAGTATAGTATACTTATCTTATTTACTTCTTTTCTTACGACGCTTACGGGACTTTACTCTAGTATCTAATACTCTTTATAAGGGCTCGTACCTATCGAAGAGTAGGTACTAGAGAGGGAGAGTAGTAATATTTTACTTATTTATTTTACTAGTTAGTAGCGCTTATAGGACTTTACTTTTAGTACTACCTTTATAAAAGTACTAGAAGCGGAAGAGTAGCGCTACTACTAGATTTAATATATACTAGCTTTAGTATCTATTTAGATACTAAGAAAGAGGGAGATAATAAGTTATAGTAGTACTTAAGTTAGTATACTAGAGTAAGTAGTACTAACTTAGCCTATAGCTACTTAAAGTCTTCCTCTCTAGTAGTAGTTAGTACTCGGTATCGACTTCTTATATAAACCTCTTTAACCTACCTACTTATATATTACTTATAGAGATCTATTTATAGGTACTCGATTAGTTAATATACTCTCTTTATAACTTTAGCTTAACTATAGCGATTAGCTAGGTTAGGTTAGGGTTAGCCTTATTACTAGTAAATTCTAAGTATTTATTAATTTATATAGATCTAGAGCTCTCTATTCTCTCTATAATAGTAAAAATAAAAAATATAATTATTCTTCTTCTAGGTCTATAACTTTAAGTATATAAAAAGAAATAGTATATTTATAAACTATACTTACTTATATACTTTTTCTCTAGCTTAATAACAGTATTATTATAGAGTTTAGTCCCTCTACGGCGATCCGTCGTCCTTCTTCGGGCATTTATGTACAATTTTCTGCTGCCTCGAAGCATCTATTCCGCCCGCGCCCCCACGTCGTGGAGAAGGTTCAACTACACCTTGGATCCTTACGTGTCTGTGCAGGATGCTGTTTCATTTGGCGCAGCCCTCTTTTCGTCGCCATGGCGGTCATTGTGTTCCTTCGAGATCATACCAATCCCCACCGTCGCCTCGATCCTTATGAGGAGCAATCGCCCCAGCTTCTGCCTGATCCGTTTCTCTACATCCCTCTGCAACGGCCATCATGACTTCACTACAGCGAGGCGCTCCTCCCAAGGCCAACATGGCCGAATTCTACCAGCAGATGGAGAAGGGATATGACACGGCGAAGTCGACGCGCAAGATTTATGCCGAGAGCACCGAGTCGCTCGTTGGGTGGGTCAGGAAGCAGTGGTACCAGTATGTATACACTGCAGCACTTCACATCCATACTAACAGAGCAGGTACTGCGATGTTGTCGGGAAACCACCAATCGAAACCCTCCGCGCGATGTCGATGCCTACTCTGCACTGCTTCTTCCACTGGCTCCTCACCAACCGCCCGAACATCCGACGTACTGCTTCCGTGCAGACGTATTGGAACGTCCTGTGCATTGTGCGCAAGACAGTGACGGGAGAGCAGTTTATCGATCAAGTCATTAAGAGCCAGATGCACGGGGTAAGCATTTAGTCTGCTACTCAAAGACAGGGATAAGGAGTTGACGTATCGGAAAGTACGCCAACGTCTGGCGGAAGAGTTCAAAATTAGCAGCGAGAAGAAGCCAAAGCCCATCGTCCGCGCCGAAGACGAGTTCGAGCTGTTGAAGACACTGTGGACGTCTGCTGAAGTGACGCTAGATCACGAGCGTCAGCGCGCACAACTTGCGCTATTGTTGCAGCTAGCAGGGATCACTGGCAATCGTCCTGGAGCTCTTCTGGCCCTACGCTACGAAAATCTCAAGGTGACGCTGCTTCGTGATCCGAACGGGACCGACCGGCCTAGAGTGTTGCTCGAGTTTACTTTCAAGGACACGAAGAGCTATCTTGGCCGGAAAGATGCGTATGTCTACTGAGCGCAAGTACCAATGACGCTGTCACTGACTTGGTGCAGAAACACATTCCCCGTACCCGACATTCCGAGCGAGCCCTGCCTGTTGCTCTGTCCACAGATTATGCTGCTCGGTTTAATCTTCGCTGACGAAGCATTTGCTGCACCGAGTCTGGTTGGTCCAGAACAGCTCTTTAGCTTGCGCATCCGTCGCGGTCGCAATCAACAAGAGCTGCCGTTCAAAGAAGGCATCCGTAGTATGCCCTTGTTCCGAAAGGTTGAACGACAGGTGCATGGTCTCTCCCTATCTTCCGCAGCAGCGACCGACGATTGGCTTCGGAAGAGGCTGTGTACACTCTCCACAGTCACGGGGTTTGAATTCCTGGTTGGTCCATATTGTTTTCGCCGAGGTAACGGCGAAGCTCTTGACAGCAGCAGTAAGTTCTTCCGCACGCGTGCATTGCGACTAGCTGATTCGTATAGGTCACATTAGCGACTCACAGCGGAATCTGATATTGCAGCATGCGAATTCGCTCGTCTTTCAGCACAACTACCTCTCTCATTACATAACACAAGACACGCACGCAGCATATCGAGGCTTGGAGCCACAGTCTTCCATCATGAGGGTCGCAAGTGGCATGCTCCGCAGCATAGACACCCGCCGCCCACGGAAGTTGACGGAAAGTCAGGCCATGGACGTGAACCAGCACCCCGATGTCAGAGTGCTGTCCAGAAGAAAGAGACGTCTGAGAAAACAAATAAATGACACGTTGGGTACCGTCACGAGCACCAAAGGTACTCAGGCGTATCAGCTCTTCAAACAAATAGAGAGGGATCTGCGCAGCACCAAACGAGCAGTCGCGCGCAAATTGCTCGTCGATAGCCAAACGCGCTTTCGCGAGACGCAGCCAGTAGCGGACATCGAGGCACAACTGGGCCATGGCTCGGACGGGTCTGTCACTGCAGAACGAGCGATTGACCAGCCCGAGCAGCCCACCGCTGATAAGTTGAGCATAGAGCGGCGACGTGTGGTTGCAGCACTGCTTACATTCGCTACTTCTGACCCTCAAGAAGAAAACGTCAGACGCTCGGAAGCTATTAACGCCGTCAGCGCGCTCTGCAGGCGCCAGGAACGACGAGCGCGTCAGGTATGCCAACCAAAGGGTCGCGTCAAGATCGATGCAGAGAGCCATAGTCAGCGAGATGACTATCCGGTCACCTGTCGGCCGACTCAGTGCATATTTTGTCTAGGCAACGACGCACTTCAGCACGAGGATCGCCAAAAGAGCTTTTGCAGAAAGCGTGACCTTAAGAAGCACTTCGAACGCATGCATCTGAGACATCTACCGGACGCAACGCCGATCGAATGTCCCCATCCTCGCTGCTCGCAGATCTTTGAACACAAGCTTCACCTCCAGAATCACGCTGCGACTATTCACGGAACGTTTACATAGACCCTCTTTCAAGCGACTGAGTTTGCTCGCAAAGGAAACTTTGGTATCTAGTTCTGGCGCGAGCTGGGCTATCGCTGCGTTGACAATCTCGAAGTTGTCCACTGGTCCGCTCAAGGGATTTGACGGGCCGTGAAAACGCAACATTTCCGGATTGTGGATGAATATTGAGTATGCATTCAGATCTCCGAAGTCCCAAGAAGTCACTTCTGTTTGAGTCGAGTATGCTAGATCGAGCGCATGTTACGTAAAAAACGCTTTTGTTGCACCAAGCTGTACAAGCTGGATCTCACTGGACGCTTGTGAACACAAAGTCAAAGTCGCCGCCGAGAACGTCAACTACCACGCAAAAGTCGGGCAGTGGTGTAGCTGTGCCGAGCTGTGTAGCGTGAGAAGGAGCTGCACCGGGAGGTTCTCGCCTTTTCCATCTCGCAACTACGGCTATTATGCCGAGATCCATGAGTTAGGGACGAAGTATTACCGTCACCTAAGTCATACTTTCGACTTTACAGCATTAGATGGCAAGGAGAAATGGACGGCATACAAGTTCGCGAAGAATGTCCATAACGACTAGATGCGTACGCACCTCATCCGGCGAACCAGACATTTTACTCTACCATGTACGGCTTGGAGACGACGACATATCATCAATCTCAGCCAAATGGGCTCAATGACTCCATAAGATCATCTCCGGTGACATAGGTGTCAATATCTATAGGCTCAATAACATGTCGTTGCGGGAGGAGAGTCTACCACTGTTGCTCCATTCAACCAGCTTTTGCAGCCCCCGACCCACCGCCGCTCGCAGGTCTGGATAACAATATCACAGATGCTGGCTTCCAGTTCGAGTGTGAAACTGCCGAGACATTCCTCCGCAGAGTTGGTGCTGTGGAAACGACTAGCATCATTAGAGATCATCTCTGGCCCTGGCTCCGTGGGCTAGCCCAAAGATTCTCGGAAAGCACTCGACATTATCAATGCGCAGCTACTTCGGGAGGAAATGAGGAAGATCACTAGCGATGTCCTCCGCTGGCGGATGCTACAGGCGTTGCGGTACGACAGAAAGCGAAGTAGTCAACAGTGCAGACGGCCGTTAAACGACTTCACACAGGTCGAGAGGCATGCTACCAGATCAATAGCGGCGTCTTCCTCAAACAGCAGTGAGACTTGGCTACCCTCCAGCAGTCATATACTCGCCGCTTCTCCTCTTTACAGGCCCGATGGCATTTCTCACAACTTCCTTCAACCCTAAGAGATCTGAGCTCGTGACAACGTCCGAAAGGTGGCGAGGTTCTACCGAGGGAGGTCTCTGGTCTCCGTGAGCCCACAGTATGAGGGAGACTCATTGACAGACTATCGAAGGCAAAAGACTGATCATGCACGATAGACGTGGGGCTATTCATGCACTTTGAGAGATCCAGTCGCAAGCCACGCGATCGAGACTTAGGTGTGGCCATGGCTATTCTGAGACAAGCGTTTGTCTGCAACGTCGATTTCTACACACCACAATCAGACATCAACATTGGAGTCCAATCCTCACCAAGCCAGTCCTTTACTTCTTTCGACCTCCTCATAAAAATCACAATCCTGAATACCTTATCCCAAGATGCCACGGCTTTTTAGCTGTACAGACAAAACGTGCCAGTGGTTCGATACCGACGATCACGGAGAGCTTATTGAACATATACGCAGCACTCACGGGAATGGGTTTGTGAAGCGTCCAAGTGCTCTAGGCATACCCGATTCGCATGGGCATCTCTGGTATTGTTTCAGATGCACGGGGAAATTAGGCAAAGATCACAAGAGCTTCGATACGCACAGGGCTATGTGGGATCATCTCAAGGCGGCACATGACTGCTTTATAGATACCGTTAGAATCACTTGTGAGTCTCGTCATGACCAGATTGTGGAACACCTGCTTCCAAGGCTTTCGGATGCTCATTCGAACACTCGATAGAGTCAGATCGAGCACATCGGTGCATCCGCTGGCCGAAGCACACAGACGCCGTGCGTGCCAAAGTCCGAGGTCGACTCGAAAGCGCGTGGGTACGGCAATGCGGGCGACGTCTATGCCTGATTGTGGTTATTTTCGAGGCGTACAAGAACCAACGTGAAAGAGCATCTGCATCTCGTTTAGGTGTCCTGCTAAGTGAGATGTGAGCGGACAAGGAGGCCTACAGATAGCTTGCACATTTCCGCAGTCTTGAAGGAGGAAGACCAACTCATCATTATGCAGCATAATTCTAACAATTCGTCTTCAATGCTGCTCCTTTCCTTCCATTCCTTTGAAGGCGAGTATGGCAGCTATCAATTAAAACTTGGCGCCAATAGCTTAGTCTAACAGTACGAAGACCTGAATCGTCGCCGACAAGCTAGGAATTCCAACCACCGGAATGTTATGCTTGCATACGGCATATGTTGCCTGCCCGGTGGTCCTGGTGGGCCTTGTATGCCCTGCTCGCCCTGTTGGCCTGGAACACCTTCTACACCTTGCGCACCTTGTAAACCTTGTGGACCCGGGGGACCCTGCAGGCTATTTCGACCGGGCGTTCCATGCACAGGGGTGATCAAATTAAGATAGATTGACGCTAGTTGCTTGGCATATGTGTCTATATACTATCTCTACCAAATATTATCCTTTATACGCTATCTACTATTTAAAGTAAGTTAGTAGCACCTCTATTACATACTCTATATTCTGTGTCTAATTTAATCTATTAAAATCTCATTCCAGGCACAGATACAGGCTGCTTTAAGAGCTTA